CGATAATCAGTATCGCTTCCTATGCACAGATAGAGACAGCTCTCGATGTTGCCCGAGAGTGATCGGGCCTTGTAAAGCTCCGGTGAAACTAGGAGAGATCGAAAGCTCTTGCAGACGAGTGAGAGTGTCTGATGGTACAATCTCGGGACGCGAGCGAGGATGCTCAATACCAAATCATCGGGAAGCGACTGAATCGAGGTCGGTTGCGATTGCGGCGTGGTAGCCGCTGTCTTCCTCTTCTTCTCCGGCGGGGACGACATTGATAACGATATCGCCAGAGTCTGATCAATCTCTCGATTTCTTATACACTGTAAAGTAACGCCTATTCTCACGGATCCCGTCATATTTTCTCGATTAGTTACAACTTACAACTTGAAGAAATAATAATCATTTCGTAAATTACTAAAATAATGTTTATCAGGTGGATTAAACAGTGAAAATTATAAAATTTTGAATTAAGAATTACATTAAAATTTGTACGTTTCTAGTTACAGTATAAAAACTCTGAAATAAACAAAAAAAAAATTGTGAATGAAACTTCATTTTATTAGTGTCGTCAACTCCTACATATTATTCAAAAATAATTATACGAAATGAAGTTGGGAATTCAATGGGCACAATTGCTGCAAACAATTCAGACTTGAATAGAAATTAATTAAAGAGGGAGAGAGATGTGTTTAGAGGTTGAAGATGGCAGCACCACTTGAAGGCTTGGAGGCAAAAAGGTAAAGCTCCATATCTTCTTCCTTTACCACTCCTTTCTCTACTCTCTTTTTGTAGTATTTCTCCTGTATAAATACCACCATTCCATTTCTTTTACTCAGAAAAAATATAACAATATCGTTACCTTGACTGCTATACAACCATAAGGAAGCGCTATTTATTACCTTGACTGCTGCGATGAATTGAGTAACGCCAGATTCCTTGACCAAGGCCACGGCGCAACCGCCCCATCCAGCTCCGGTCAGTCTTGCTCCAAGTGCTCCATTCTCCTTGCAAACTTGAACCAGTTCTTCTAGCTCCGGGCAACTGCGTGATTTTATCAAATTCAAAATCAATCCTTTTCACATTCACCTGTTTCACTCTTAACTTTTGATCGTAAATTTATGCACCTGCACTCGTATAGGACACTGCAGCTGTAATGGCTTTCATTCATGAGATCACCAAGTTTCTTTAACTTCTCTTCGTCACTGCACACAGTTTATGTTTCAAAAGTATTAAGGTTCCTGTAAAGATTTAATCACAAGTTCCAAGGCGAAAATCGGTCTCACCTTAAGTTTGAATCAACTGTGTCTTTGAAACCATGAACCCTCCGGGCTTCGGAATAAACATGTGCAGCTCTCTGTTAGTGATCGTAAGAAGACCATTATTGTTAAGACTCAGGGGAAAAAGAAAACGATATTCTGCAGGTTTGTATATTTTACCTGATGCAATTTGAAATGCGTGGCAGCATTGAGTACAGCCAAAGATGTTGGATCATTGTTCAAGATTGATGGTAATTTCTCCTCCAGGGTTTTCTCAATCTCCTCAGCGGTGTATGGTTCTTCTTTCAGATATTCCTGCACCATAGACAAGAACGCATAAAACCCTTTCAAAATATTAAATATCAACTGAATAACATATATAGAGATAAGTTAACATCAAGAATGACTGATTAGTACCTTAACAGCAAGAAGAGGATCAGATGACCCACGATCACCAGCGAATGACACACATAATCCCTCCACATCAGAAAGAGTCTTAACTTTTGCTATTGCTTCTTTTGGTTCCATTCCGAGCTTAACACCAAGAATGATCTACAAAGCCACATGGTAGAGAGAATCATATGCAACTACCTCACAAAGTTAAGATACTGCAGCAGAAAATTTATGCAATGACTAACCGAAGCAAGTCGACATTCAACGACCCTGTTATTGTAATTCTTAGCAGCCGTGACCGCCTTCTGCGACTCTGCAAGAGAATGTGCAATTACAAAACTCCCTCCATCAGGAAGTTTCACATCAGTTGCGCGGACTGGGTTGAAGTCAATAAGCTCAGCAAACCCAGTTTTAGCCATAATAGAGATTGCCTGTTGAAATTATTAAAAACTGATCAATCAGAAACAGAGACAATTATGGGTGAAGGTAAATAAATCATTGATTATTTGAGAAAATTTTTGACCTGGTCCATCCCACCAGATTGTGTTCCAATGTGTCGTTCACATTCACATGTAAGCTGTGCAAGTTCTTTCTGAAAGGCAGAGAGAACTTGGAGATTTCAATAATCAACAAGAGATTTATGAAAATCCTTTCATAGAGCACGATTGCTTAATAATACCTTGTCAAAGTTATGACCAAAGACAGCCATAATAGCAATTGTTGCTGAGCAAACAAAGGCAGCAGAACTTGACAACCCAGAACCTAAAAGGCAAGGCACTCCAGTTAAAGATCCAAAGTGAAATGATAAGTTTTTCTGTTCCGTAAGTATAATGATGCATCATTTATTGGAACTTTACCTGTAGGAACAATTCCATCAACAAGAACATCAAGTCCAACTGGTGAACCAAGATTCACACCTTTTGACTTTGCATATTCATGGAATCCTTTGTACCTGTAATGAATCAAAAATCAAAAAGCACCTCAGAGACAAAAAAAAAGAGATCTTTCAATTCATGAAGGACACCAAAGCGCCAACGAAACCCCTTACGCGCATATGAAGTAATGGCCCCATTTGTGATTCTTCAAGTCAATTTCCTGCAAAATTAACATATATGATAAGCAAGCCAGTAGTATTCTTCAACTATAGTGTGTGACAAACAGAACAATGCAACAAAGATACATTACCTGGTCAGGATCAGCAGGATATGTACACATAGTGTACTTATCATTAACATTAGCAATCCGAAGCTGCTTTTGATCCTCACATTTCCGAATCGCTATAATCGTATCCTGACGAATAGCCATTGGCAACACTGAGTATCCTTCGTAGTCAATGTGCTCTCCTATCAGATTCACTCTTCCTACACAAAAAAAAAGCAAACACCTGATCATATCCAACAATTCCCAAACACAAGATCATCTGATCTCATCATCCAAATACCAAAATTGCAGACACCAATACAATAATTAGAAACCAATTCATCAAAGTCAACGAAATTCCATTTTTACCAGGAGAGCGAGCGAAGAGTTGGGGTGAAGCACCGAAGACATCGTTGAAATTGGCCTTCAAAACATCGAATCGTTGTGTAGCTTCTTGGAGCAGAGATCCTTCGCCGTAGACAGGCTCAAGGGACGAGAAGATCGGGACCGATACTTGTTCTGGTTTCGCCATTTTTGTAAGTTTCTCCTTTTGGCTCTCTCTCGATCACTTGTCACTTAACCTCTAATGTTCACAGTTATCACGAAACGTCTTCGCTTGAACTTATAGGATAGATCTTAGAATATAAAAATTATTAAAATAATGTTCTTTTTTCTTTTTTCTAACAAAAATTAATCATTAACCAACAAATGACCCTAGAACTAGTATTAGAACAGATCTTGATGAAGACCACAATTCAGCTTGTTCTTCTACTGTTTGAATATTTTCAATTTTTTAATATCTAAGATCACTACATCAGTTGCCCCGATAAATATGCCCTTTATTGATTGCCACCGATCTTATTTTATTTTATTTTCTAAATATATTAATTGTTAGATCTGTTCCGATGTGAATATCTTACTTATCCAAAACTTTGGATCTTTCGGATTCCTGAACACGTTTATAAATCTTAATTTCGTAGTATATTTGTTGGAGATTTTTTTTCTCTTTTGGTAGGTTTATATTTGTTGAAGATATTATTCCCAAAAATGATATTATTGATTAAAACACGTTTTGTAATTCTTCTAAACACTCTAGGAATTCAGATAACACTAGATTAGATAAGTGTCGTAGTTCGAATTTAAATTTAATAATATTTTACGTGTGTGAGAGTTATCCACTTATCCTATACCTAAAAACTAAAAAGTAATTAAGATATAAGATCATTTTAAATAGTTGGATATTGTAAAAGCTCTGCGGTTAACCAATGTTTAATTACTGCTTAAGATTGAATAATAAAAATGCAAGTTTTAATTTATGTTTCTGCTTAATTTAATTTTGTGGAATTCGATTGTAATGCAAGTTTATCAAAAATCTCAAAGTGTAGCAACATGTAGGTATAGTTGTCCTGTACATCGTATAAACATAAAATTTATGTGAACCAAGTTTATCATAAATCCAACGACCCTCAAGTTCTCGAATACGTCTGCCTCGACGAAATCAAAACCGCAAACGATGACCTAAAAGCATCGAGTTTTCTAAAGAGATGCAGAGAGAGCGGAAACACGGAAGCATTGGTTCGTGAAGGCGTTGTGAAGTGCTTTTACCTAAAAAGTAATATTGTTGATGAAGAGAAAGGGATCGAATGTCTAGTAAAAGCCGCATCTAAAGGACACAAAGCGGCCGCATATCTTTGTGGAGTGATCTCTTTTGTTCGCGGTGGCCAAGTTGCGCAAAAGAGTATCGAGATCTTCAAGTCTTCCTTTGTCGTGAAATCTTCGGCACTGAAGACTAGGAGAAACCTCCAAGAGTTTCTGCAATGGATGTGTTCCAAATATAAAAAACATTTTCGGGGAATTAGGCTCCTTATTGGTCATAAATGTGTTCGCCATGGCCAGAGTTTTATTTGGGAAAAAGACGATTGTCCTCTAGAGAGTGAGTCTTGTCTTTTGTATACGGAAAATGCCGCTTTCGTTTTCTTTTCTCATAGGCTTACTGAAAAAAGGTCAAGTTATAGAATTTGTAGTACATCAAATCCCCTGCTTACGTCTTGATATATTATTATTATCGAGACTGAAAAGAGTTGTCGTGCAAGTTAATAAGAGAAGGCTTAAAAAGAAAGAAGAGGACAAAGGCATGGCCACTCCCATGTGCCTCCTCATACTTATAAGGTCACTTCTCTTTGTTTAAATATTTTTGCTTTTGTCGTCACTTCTCTCTTGTTGTCGCTTAGTCATACTCCAGTGTTCTTAAATCATATCCCTATAACAGAAATTCGTATATTAAGCTAACGAATCAAAGTCCAAATTTTAACTATAGGTTAGTCAGTTTTGCTTCGTGACATTAAGGATATAGATGCAGAACTGCAGATCAGTGTTTGAGAAAGCTTATTTAGTAACAGGGAAGAATTGGCTAATTTCATCTTCTTTTTTTTTTTCTTTTTTATTCCTTGTGAAGTAAGAAAAAAAGAAAAAGAAAGACAAACAACCTAAAAGTGTCAAATATGGGATACAAAGGAGGGGCAATAAAGCGACTAGATAGATGATTGAGTGACAGAGCTATCTCATCATTCAATTCAATGAATTTGAATGTATCATTCATTCTCTAATGTATCATCACATGCTACCACCATAATCAAAACTAAGATAACCCATTATCTACCTACACCTACTATAATGTAATTAAAAAAAATCTAAATGGGAAATTAGTTTCTTTCCACTTTATTGCAGTACAAATCTATTTCATGTTAAATTTCATATAGTACATAAGATGATATAGTACAAGCCACATTGAATGAACTAAAAGTACATCAAAAGTTCTATATTAGTTTAGTTATCATATCCTATGAAGTTAAAAGACCCATTTTTCCACTAACTGCAAATAACGTATTCATCAATTTAAATCAAATAATCCACTACGATTTTAATCTTATTGGTAATTAACGACTTCATTAATTTCTTAACTCGGTTCAAAATTTACTTTTAGTTATAGCAGAGAAGAATCAGGATTTGGGAAGAGTAGTTTACAGATTATACTCAAACCGAATCTTCTATATACACATATTTATATGAAAGTTTTGGTGTACACAGAGAAGATAGAGAGATGATGATGATGGGAGAATTAAAAAGACGATTTTAACCTCATCAAATCGGTGGAGGAGCGGAGCCGTAGGAGGAGAGAAGCTGAACTAAAGAGTTCATGGCTCTGACTTGCATCTCCAGAGCCTGAATATAATCAGTTGCTTCTTCTAGAATCACCGGTACGGATTGTTTCCCACAACCGGGAACTAACCGGCCCAGTACACGTACTTTCCGGTTAACATCCGGTATATTCTTCTTATTCAATCTCAACACCGACACTCTTCGTTTCCTCGATCTGTTGCTGCTATTCACCACCGTGGTCATGGGCGGAATCTTCGTCCTAGTTCTCGGCCGTTTCTGTTTACGGAATTTCAGTTTGATCCGATTAGCTAGGATCGCTCTGCTCCAGAGCGTTCTTCCACGAGCGGAAACAGCGAGAGCTCGATCGGCGGCTTCACGGACGGCTTTGCCTCGTTTCTGAGCCGTTGGAGACGATGATGTCGCGGCGGAAGAGTTGAGGCGGACTTGTTGGAGCGCCTGAATCAGTTTGGCTGAGTAGATCCGTTGTTGCTTCTCCGATCTCCATCGCGCGTGGCTCTCACTGGAGACGGAACCTGCGGTTGTACTAGACGATGCGGCGGAGGAGACAGAGGATCTCTTCTTCCTCCGAACGAGATCTGTCGTAGTACTCGTCGGCGGTTCAATATCTGAGATCAGAGACGCCATAAACAGAGAATTGGTTCTGATCTCGTCAGTCTTCTCTTCAATAGTCAAAAAGCTACAGCATCTGAAGTTGAGGAGAAGAAAATTATGAAAATGTAGAGAGAATAATGGAAGGGAAGGGGGAAGAAGAGGAGGATATATAAAGGGAGAGATGTATCGCTAGACGTTGCTGTTAATAAACGGCGCCGTTTTAGACGTAGCAGTTACTAAGCGGCGTCGTTTTGTCATTTTGTTTTTGTATTTGTTTTGTTTTAAGCCACTCAGATACCAAAGTGGCATTTGTAATGCATGATAAAGAATTCGTGAATACTAACCCAAAGAAAAATAATTAATATTGTCAACATAAGACTATGGTTATGGAATTACGAGAGACATCATTGTGACTTGAAGCAATGTTTATGAATATACTTAAAAAAAGTTTGGCTCCATGTTGGATAGTTTACACTTTACAGTTACTTGAATTTTTTAAACTTACCCTCTTTACTACCATTAACACTTTAACAGAGGTATTATACCAAAATTTTATACAATTAATGAGTTTGCGGTCTTTATAAACATAATCTAAAGAGACAGTAAAGACATAATAGTCACATACCATTGTCAATATATCATAAAAACGCCGTACAAATTAAACAATTGATTAACGCAAGAAAAAAAAAACTGATGATGTTAAACTGAATGCAGCTGTGGAAATGCTACAAAAATCTTAATGTGGGTAGATCATTCATAATGATTGCTTCCCATCATGTTTAGAGTTCAATCTTAATTAGTAAATAACCTTATTTATCGATGTTTAAGAAAAAAACAAACAAACTTGTATCGTATGCGTCATATAAAGGCCGATACTTTGGTGGAATGGAGGAGGAAGGTAGATTCAAATGGGATGATGACGTGTCATATTACTATTGGAGAAATCCGTTGATGACTTATAGTGGTCGTTTAATGGACTGACAAGGCAAAAAGAGAGGGGCCAAAAACTAAAAACTTTGGATTTTGTATTCAGTGCAATGATTTCGTAAATATAGAAATTTGTATTTAAAATACTACTTTACGCATAAAGTAATATACCAAACGAAATGCATGTGCGATGTAGGGTTAGTGGCACTGCCTCTCTTTAAGGCTTTTTTTTTTTTGGTTTTTTCCTGTAAAGATCACTGAAATTAACTCGTTTATTTTATGAAAAATTGTTTTGTATGTGTATCTATCTATCAACATGTATGAATAAATTTCCATTAAATATTGTATATATGTATAAGCAGTACTGTGTATAAGTAAATATTAGATTAATAAGTTTGTGGGTAAAGTACATATATATGGGAGTGGCGCGATTTGAAATGGAGCTTCTGAACTTTCTCCATTTGGTTAATTCATATATAAATAAAGATAGGATCAACTTAATTTTCTAGAAAATTGTCCTGTTAGTTTGATTTTTTGTTTGTTTTTACAGTTTATTATGTTGAGTTTTGATTAGCAGTTAAATTGGAAAATAACTATCTTAGTTTGATTTTGTTAAGAGAGATTGTAATAGGGTAGCACATCACCTAGCCAAACATGCCTGTGTACAACCTTTTTATTCTGCTAGTTTTGTAAACCAGCCACTGTGGCTCCATGAACTACTATGTACTGATCTTCATAATTAATCAAAGAGTTTTTGACGAAAAAAAAAAAAAAAACTATCTTAGTTTATGTTAGACATAAAAATACCACAATAGCATATATAGTGTAGTAAGATGGTTTAGGCGTAGAATGTGAGGATGGAAAGGATGTTAGTAACAGAGCGCAATGTTTAATATTCATTTAACATAAGGGTAAATTATTGTGTCACTAACGTGGCATATTCTCTGTACCTTAAAAAGTTATAAGCTAGAATGATTCCACATGACAAATTAGTATGAAAAGAAACAACACATCCAATTATTCACTAAAGTGTCACTTACAATAAAATAGTTTATCTACTTCGAATTTAAGAAATCTTTTCGATTTAGATACTTCAATCTATTTTACGAACTGAGTCAAAGAAACCACTATTCGTATGTGCGATTCGTGTAATTCGTGTGCTTCAACAACAACAATAAAAAAACATGTATAACAAAGATTGCTGGCAGTAATTGTTAGATTCCGATCCATTAACTGAATAAATATATTTCGGATCGGAAGTTCAAATTTGTTACTATGCAAATCATAATTTCAGCTGTCTACGGTTTTCAAATTTATTTGCAAATCATTATAAAAAGCTAGTAGTACTATATTGGGATTTCGTAAGAGATCCTCTCCTAATCAAAACATTGAACGGATTAAGAGGCCAGCCATTAAACGTGGACTTGATCCCGATGTAATAATAAAGGGGTATACACATTAGAAATCTGGAACCCTATGTCCTAAGGTTATATGGACCGAATAAAAGTTAAATTGGAAATAATCACGAAGCTTATCCATATTTGTTATAACTTGTAAGAAAGAATTGCAGCATGTGTGGGGATGATACTATTATACAAAAGGTTCTCAGAGATTTAAAAAAAACGTAAAAGTAAATTATTTAAAGGAGTTTTGGAAATCTATATCTAAATACATGTGAAAAGTATTAAAAATGAAAAATTCTATTATATATGTAATGAGTTTTTTCTTCTCTTTTCTTATTTTTATATATTAATGAAAAAGTTGATAAGAAAAGGAAAATTAACTAGTATTAAGTATGATGAAGGTGGCACAGAGATTGCCTCCCTAATTCTAGACACCAAAGAAACTAAGTGAACGACAGACAATGGAAGGAGAAGGACTATTTTCTTATTAAAGGAAGCAAAAGTGAAGTATTGATTAGATTAACAGATGATGATGCTCAATCATTGTTTTTTCAACGGGTCTATTTTGAATTGCTAATATGAAATGATTAATAGTCTTTTGGTAAATTTAACATCAACTTAACAACACTTTTCAGAGGCAAATATTGAAACACTAACCTGTGTAGGAAATTTTTTTTCAAATGATATTTCCAACTTTTACATGTTTCGCTTCAGGAGAAGTAGTTGAGTCTTCGTCCCTGGTTTCTCTCAAATCCTGTTCAAATAGCACAAATATGATTATTGTTAGATTACGTACACTAATTTATAAGCATTACGAAGCCTAACTCTTAAGTTGCTATCATTGTTTTACCAACAGCACTGAGCAAACGTGACAGTTACTTGACCAATGACAATCTTTGTTGTGAATCGAAAAGCTGAATTTCCAACCATGATTTGCCTAGGTTTGATACAAAGCTTTTCTTCATAGATGTGAAAAATAATTACTCCTATATCTCCAGTGGGAAGTCCAATTCGAAAGCAAGACTCAGTTTCTCACCAAAAAGTCATAGACTGAACTATACAAACGCCACGGAAGTAAGCAAGAAAAATGTAGACTAGTGCTTATATAATACAAAAAATATGGTCATTAATCAATGTCAAGACACAAGGACAAGACTGATTAAAAAAAACAAACAAAACTCCAATAATTGGTTTCCACTAATTCAAACCACTAAGCCGGATTTTTCTTCAATCACACAGAAACTTTACTTCCAAAGTATGCCAACAAGAGCTCCTTCTCTTTAATACATGGCATATATTAGTTTATTCTCTGGTGTTTAGTGGCCTACTACTATATTAATCTCCAGTAGAGAAGCCAAAGACCAGTCTGGATTATTCTGTCATTCACTTTCTATATACAGTACTAGTTTCTAAATCCTAATCTTTGTATAATTATCCATAATGGAGAATAAACCTAACCTAACACCTCGAAGAGTTTATCCAAATAGTTATGAAAGATCAAATCAAGTACTGTAATTACCCAAAAAGCTTCACAGGCTGGACTTTCCATAGGATTTGTCTGGCTTAATATACAAAAAATGTAAAGAACAGCTTGCATAAGAATGGAAACAAAGGCTAGCACATGTCTTGGTAAGATCTATATAACCTATCGATTTGAGATGCACATGGAAACAAGCATGCTAAATATATGAAGCAAAGAAATTAGGTGGGGTGGCATTACATTGTATCAAACAGAGCTAAGAATGAAACACATCAAGGTATATTAGAACCTAGCAACTTAAATGCTACAGAAGCCTATGTTCAAATCTGTGATGCAGAGAAGACTTTGCATTTGGATAAGAAAAGTCACCATAGATGAGACGATCAAGTGTCATATCAGTTGTGCCAATAAAGTGTTAGGGATTCTTCATTGGTTATTATGAATGAGACTAACTAGCAGCTTATGAGGCCTACTTGCAAACTCACTCTCAACCTACCAATGGATCTAGTGAGACTACTTGGTTTTGGGCCTAGCATGTGCCAAAATTTCAAACATTCAATCAGAAGGCTGACGAAGTTTGACATTCAACAAACCAAGGTCAGAGAGAGAAGTGGGTTGCATTTCTACCGCATAAGACTTCACTGAGATATCTGTACTACTTTTACTAGAGAATGTGCGTTTCAGTTATTCAAAGAGTGAATTCTAAAAAAACCAACAAAAAATGTTACAACTGATCTTTCCTTTGGTGGAGACATATGTTAATAGTGATGAAGTTCTAGAGATGCTTCAGCCAACTTAAACTAAACAGCTGGGACCTTCATTAGCGCTGCACAGATGCAACATGAAATGACAAGCAGGATAAACGTGTTATCAAAGGCAAATCAGTATACAACCCCAATCCTATGCAAGTTATCATCCTATGAAAAGGAAACCAGAATCAATGTAGCAAAGTTAAGAAACCTAAAGTAAATTACCTTGCAGAATCATGTTGGAAGTAGTCCACGGTAAGCAACTTCCTCTCCTGAGCTGAAGAAGACCACAATCGCAGCTAAGATAGCCCAAAGGATGAAACTCAAAAGCACAATGCGGAATTTCACAGTAACAACTCCATCGACCCAGTTAATTTCTTCAGAATTTTCAACTGAACAGATCAGTTTTTTCAGCTCATTGATCTCCGCACGCAAGGACTGCACAGAAGCAGGTAAGTCCACAATCGACTGGATCCGATCAGTAGAAAAAGAGTCAATACGAGCCTCCACACTAGTAATGGTTGAAACTGGAGAATCATCAGCCGGAAGAGAAATTTTAGGCGTTGACAATAAGTCTGGGCTCGATCCTTGCATAATAATACTCTGAGGAGAGAACAACATAATTCGAGCATCATCACACAGTACCCAAACACAAAATGGCTACGATTGAGGTTTAATTTTTCCAATTCGTCATCAAGCACAGACCAAATCGATTCAATTTTCGAAAATTAAACATCTAATCTTAACGGATCTGAGCGTTTACAAAGCATCAGAACAGAAAACTTCGATGGAAACGAAACCTAGCTACAACGTGAAGCGAAGCATACCTCAGCCTCGGAATCAGAGATCGGACCAGAAATCTGAGAGATCGGAGTAAAATCCATTGAATCCTTCGTGCTTTCAAAAGATACATCGGAAAATGTTGCGCTCTGCCTCTTCTCCGTCGTAACCTTCAGTTCAGAGAAGCAAAATTTGATTGGAATCTCAGTAGAACAATGGAGGAAAAAGAAACAATGACGATTTTAAGGATCGATCAGATAAAAATACCTTTCGATTCTTCATCTCAGGATCCTTGAGTCTCTTAGCTCCGAGATCTGATGAGCGCGCGAAGTTTTTCCTGGGAATTTGAATTTCCTTCATCTCTCTCCAATGTTTTCAAATTTGGAGCTTATCAGTTTTCGTAAATGTGAAATAGTGTGAACTAAAAAAATATCAAGCAAGATATTTTTATTTGTAGTACGCTTCTTCCATGGGCTTAAAAGGGCCGATAACTATTTTTATTTAAGGCCCAATATAGATCGCTCTCGCTCACCGCAAGATCAACCTACTAAACCGGACTTCGGTTCGGTTGTGGTATTGTTTAGCCGGTTTGGTTACAGCCGATAGAATTAGCCTTTAGGGTTTTCTAACGTCGAAGCTTGAACACTATCGAACCTCAAAATCTCTGTTGCCGGAGATTTCATTCACCGAAACTCAAAGAGGAAAAAAGAGAGAGAGAAGAGAAGAGTTAGAAGCAATGGAGGGAGCAGAGGAAGCTGGGGCTGAGATAGCGGTTGATTCAAAGGACTTGCAGCAACAAAGCAAAGCTTTCGACAAGCTCACCGATCGTGTCGAGGATCGCCAGCTCGATTCCTCTCGTGTTCAATCGGTTTGTTCCTCTTTCATGTCCTGATTTCTGAAAATATTAGGAATTCTGAAATTTTTGAGCTCGATTTAGTAAATTGAAAAGTCGGTACCGTGTTTCAGGCTATGGCTTCGATTGCTGCTTCTAGGGAGGCTGATCTGAATGCGAAAAGGTTGAGGTAAAAATTCTTAGCTTTCTCTCGTGTTCTAAATTCTGGAAAAGGAGAATCTTAGCAATCCGTAAGGAAGCTATAACATAAGTCAAACTCGTTTGTTTCCAATCCTAATTCAGAATTCACTTGATTACTGCATTACACTTGTAGTTGAAACTGTAGCTAATGTCTCTTCTGTTAAAATTGGTGTTATCTGTTTTTTTTTGGGGTTTGGTAGTTGGTTCACTTGAAGGCTATCTATTTAGTAGACTAAGAGAGTGAATTTTGGAGAATCTGTTTGTTTTTTTGACATTAATCATATCTAGATAGTATTGACGCCAGATATTAATTGTGCTGTAAGAGCTTTTACAAGAGAAAAACACAGCGAGAATGATCAAACAAAACAATTGGTAGTTATTAGTACTAATTGATTCAGTGTGAGTTACGGGTAAATGTCGTCTTTCGGAAAAGATGAGAAGAAAGGATTAGACTTTTCGTAGTATTTGATTGACAAAGTGTTGGCACTTTATGCAGGGAGAAAGAACTGGCCTCTGTGAAGATCAATCCTGCAGATGTTGAGTTTATTGTAAACGAACTCGAGGTTAGCTTCTTTTTATTAACCATCTCAAGCTTCTATGCATGTGTACACAAAGTTCTGAAGTTTGTCACCATTGTAACTGAGCAGATAGAAAAGAATGTGGCGGAAAGAACTCTAAGGGAGTACAACGGTGATGCGGTTGCTGCGACTAGGGAATTGCTTTCACGATATCCTCTATGATGGACCAGGACTAGTTACTACTTCCAAGGTTTTTGGTTTGTTTGAGAGGTTGAGAGCAAGTCTCCTAATATTTAACCGAGTTGAAATTGTCTATTGCTGAATCAATCTCTCTGAGAATTCCCTGAATACGGATACAATAGATTTTGTGTTTCGATCTGAAGTTTGAAGTTTCAATCTTATTATCAGGAGTTTAAGAGTGTTGTTCCTCGTTAACTTGGTCTTGGAGCTGTAAAAAGTCTTGTGGGATAATCATGGAACATTGGTACTGTTCTACTTTCAATGCAAAACAAAATTAAAGTACATCCATGTTTCTAATAGTTGCTAGAAAATGTTTAAATTAGACTGATAAATTCTTATATCGGATGCACAATGAGAACTTCCAAAAACGTAGGTATTCATTCAAACCAGAAGTTTGATGATAAACCTGTAGGTTAGTGCTAACTTCTAATTTGACAACCTTTCAACGTTGGTATGGATTATTTTGGCTTCAAAACTAATTCGAAATAAAACTACATGATCCCCCAATGAATATCTGTTCCAAAAAAAATTGGTGTCACAATATTCACTAAGAACTAGTGTTCCCACTCCCTATTTTTTTTCCTTCTTCTCTCTGTACAAAATATCATCAAATACCACACTTCATCGCATAAATGTTTAGTAATAATAATATATGCAAGTGCAATCTCTGGCCCACCTACCCAACTAATACATATGCAAGCACGTGGTATTTTTGCAATCAACTTCACATCAAATCCCTTTCAGGCCCTTTCTTTAAGCTTCCACCAGAGAAATAGAGAGCAGAAACCGACCACCAAAACTACAGTAACTAACCTGAGCCATACGTTTCTTTTGGTAGTGTATGTAATGACCCAAATACATCACACCACAACTCCCATAATTTCAGTGGCTGTCTCTGCTTATCAGTCTCCTCCATGTTGTAATTACACACCAACCCACTGTTACTACTGCTCAAAAACAGACCATTTTTCTCTATCTTTCTCTGTTCTCATGAACGTCTTCTGGGTCCTGAAGCAGGGCATTGAGGAACAAAAAGGCAAAAAGGCTCAAATTTTGTTTTGTTTAGTTGTCCTTGAGAAGAGCACGAGTCGCTTGAAACTGTATCGTATACTTTCTTTGCAGGTCTCTTAGTTTGTCCATCAGTTCTTGGAATGTGGGTCTCAGCTTTGTATCACTGCCGTGTGGTACAGACCAAAATAAAAACACAAATCAATCTCAGCATCAGCTGTGAAACATGTAGAACACCTAAATCAAGGAGAACCATAATAATTAAAGGTTTCACAAGGATTATGCAATGTTCAATATGTTAATGTACCCGTGCCAGCAGCTCTCCATTAATGAGATCCAACTAGGATCAATGTCTTTTGGGATTTCCAGCCTCTGGTCCATGAACCCCACAGCTCCAATCACCTACACATATTTCAGATAAGCATCTCTCCATACTTGATTTGTGTGTATATATATATTTGTACTCAGATATACCATCAATGTTCCAGTCATATACTGAGGAGAAATTGAACCTAGATTGCTCCATTGGTTGGATTAAGTTTATATATATGAGAGGATATGCGATGAGACATAAAATGGAAGTTTTCGACAATCAAGTCGTGCAATGGAAATAGGACATCAAATGGAACTTTTCGGCAATCAAGTCGTGCAATGGAATTAGGACATCAAATTCGTAGAGATGTCGTATAGTACGACTATATATATATAGAACATATGTCACTATCTTTACATTTTACAGCAAGTGCAATGGTTCTTATGGTTCCCACTCTCTTAATTAGTCCAATTAGACGGATTTTAACATATCGACCCTGGAACTAATCTTTTGACAAATTCTTGTTATTTGTTTTAGCATAATTGACAGAACAGAGAATGTAGTTTATAAGTAAAGTTTTCCCGAATTTGAGATTTCTAGGATAAAAGTGTCACTTGGAGTTCTTATTATTTCTTTATCTATCAAAAGTGATACCTGCATGGAGTTGAGAGTTTCCCATGGGATCTTCTTGGTGGCAAGCTCCCATAATACTACTCCAAAACTGTAAATATCAGACCTGTATCAACGAATTAGATGAGCTAGTTAACGATAAAGGCAAAGAAGAACAATTAATCAAGGGAACTTAACCAAACAGAATACAAGAATATACTTCTCATCAGCAGACTCATTTCGAAGAACTTCTGGTGCCATCCATTGAGGCTGCATAACAAGTAAAAATTCAATCAAGATCATTGTGAGAGATTGACTAGAAAAAAAGATTGAATTCAATAAGAGTCAGGATTAAGTACCGTTCCCTTCCCAGACTTGCTGGTTAGGTATGTTTCATGCTTGATACGCGAGAGACCAAAGTCAGCAACCTGTAGAGATATCCAGGTAAGTTGACGATGTTCTAGTTCTATTTTGGAGATCTGAGTCTTACTATTCCAGTTCATTCACATAAAACGATTTATTTTTCTAAAGCTTAATTTTCGTTTTCGAAAGCTATATAGTGATTACCATCCATCTGGATTACAGGAAAGTAAATGTATCTCAAGATGAATATCTTACCTTAACGGTCCAGTTCCTGTCTACCAGCAGATTTGATGACTTCAGATCACGATGGATAATGGGTGGACTACAATGGTGAAGGTAATTCATACCGCGAGCCTGTGTGAAGAATCATGTAATATGCTGGATGAGATGTACGGTGACTGAGTCAAATAGGGGGGAAAAATAATGATCACAAGACAAATACAAAGAAGTAAACAAATAGAAGCTCATACTTAGAACATTGTCCACATGCAATTGTAAATGCTCATAGAAATGAAAAAGTTACATGTCAAGTGAATGTGTGTAACTAACTAACACTTACAATGTCCAAGGCCATATGGATACGCCGCCTCCAATCCAGTTTTGATGTGCTCTTCTGTAGTAGACGGAAGAGACTTCCACTGCAAATAGTAATTCAAATTATTAGGGGCATAGATCAGAGCTATGGCATGAGGTCCAAAAAAAGAAAAACGAAAGTGAGAGTAGTAACCAAAAGAGATGAGACCGAACCGTGGAAGGAACTCCGACACTATACAGAGGCGATGAGGTGAAGTCACAGCTCCCATAAACAGCAGGACGTTAGGGTGTCTAAGTCTTTTCATCAACAATACCTTTACAATAAAACAAGATCAACATAAATAATTTGGAATTTGGAATTAGCTGTTCTCAGAAACGATTCATTCTTCAGTAAGATGCAGTTTGTAAGTGAATATGCTTTTAGTACAGAACAAATTTGTCGTTGAAGAATCAATCTGACTACTAAGATGTAAAAGACAAAATTTAGATTTTGGTTATACTAAAAACCAATAAAAATGTCAACCGTGTCTTCTCCAAAACTAAACTCAGAGCAATCATTATCACGAAAGATCAAAAACAATACCTCTTGTTTAAAAGATTCTATGACCTCTGCTGAATATTCTTGTTTGGAGAACACTTTTACAGCTACATCCTGCGGTGACATTAGCAGCTCTTAATTAGACAGATTTTTGAACTTGCAAATTCCTTTTTTTCTTATGGATGCACATATAAATCAACAAATGCATCTACAATATCACCAGAAGACAAAAAACGTACAGATCCAAACCAGAGACCGTGATAAACAGTTCCACATGAACCTGTAAAATGGAAATTACTACATGTTAGCAGAACGGAGACGGAATATCACATAAAAAATATTATGTTATTAAGAATGGATGTGACAGGCTTGAGAGAATAAATAACCTTGTCCGACTTGTTCTCCAATTGTCAAATCATCCCATAAAATTTCATATTCCAAGCCTTCGCTATCAGTATCAACCTTGTTCATAACACTGCTGCTGGAACTTCCGCAGCTACTAGCGCTGCTTGTACTGTTTGCATTTATAGAGGAAGACCACAAACAAGAAGCCTCATTATTGATAGGCTTATTACTTTCAAAGGCATCGCTTTCAGACTTAACACCAGCAGCGGGACTAATCTGGTGAGACCTCTCTTTCTCTTGTGCATTCTGTACCCAGGGCCATACAGAATTTGTAGGTCTTCCTTTTGAACCTTCCTGCTCATTCCCTTTCCATGGCCATGACAAACCTTTCTTAACCATCCACTCTTCAGCTTTTGAGGTGAAAACCTTATGGATTGCAGGCTTTCCATCACTCTCATCACTGGAATCTTTGAAGGGTTTCGAAACAAACTTGTCATCATTACATGTGAATACACCAAAAGGAGACTGGAGAAAATCCCCTCTTGGTGTGCTGGCACCACTTGATGCTGCATCGTCCTTGTGGTCAGTGAGAGTAGCCACGAAGACACCATGATCTGAATGATGACTATCGCCACTGCCACCCTCCGAGAGTGTGGCACTATTATCACCTGCTCGCATTTTCGACCTGACCTTGTTGCTCACCTTGGATGCCTGCAATTTTAACACGGGTCACAATGTGTAACAGGAAGATAAAAGGTGAGGATATGCAACCTACAATTGAACTAACCAAATCTGAGATCTTCGATGCTATAGCAACTTGTATAGGCTGGTCAGAGTCAAGGCCAAGTTTGGATATAACAGCTCCTCTGGAGTCCAAGCCAAGTTTAGAGGCAAAACTATTCCTTGCAGGGATAGAGCTTGTTTCACCTTCTTCTTGCGCCTTTAATTTAGCCAAAGAGATTCTTGGGTTTAGATATGGTGCCGTGTTACTTGTGATACAAATGATCCCCATCAGAGCACCGTCATCATCGTAGAAGGGGGAACACGTAGTGACAGCTGAAAATCTATCCCCTGATTTGCTCTTGACAGGAAACTCACCAGTCCAGCTCTCTCCACGGACACAACGTCGAGCAATATTCATTGCAAAGGCAGCGTCTCGATCATCTGCAATAACATTAATAGGGTTCTCCCCAAGTGCTTCTGCTGCAGAGTACCCGTAAACCTTTTCCGCCATAGCATTCCTGAAACAATTATGTAATCGAATTGGAATCTGAAGGAATAAAAAATCACACAAATGAACAATGCAAAACTATAATGCAAATCAATGAAATCACATCTTACTCCCTAATTAGAAATCTAGCATAAACTGCATTCACAAGATGGAACTACTTACCAAAAGATTATCCGCATATTAAGATCGAAAGCATGAACAGCTTGTGCCATCGACTGTAATATATTTAAATACTGTTTATCAGTGAATTTGCCAGCCGATGGTCCCCCGCCACCAACTTCAGACCTCAATCTCATCGAATTCTGGATACGGCTCTCCTTCCTCAACGGTGAAGCGTTACGAAACGAGGCGGCACCGCTTTTCCTCCAAACCGGAGCTCCCTCGCCGATAGTTCTCCTCGCCGGACGATGAGGAGACACCGAATGCGATCGCTGCCTAAGCTCCGTAGATACTTTAAGCCTAGACATCTCCAGCTTTAGATGCTCCTGACTCTCCTCTAGCTCTAGTATCTTCTTCAGCAGCTCCTCCGCAGGTGGATTCTCCATTGCGCTCCAAAATCGGTAAAACCTTACCACAACAACAACAACAACTAGTCCTCCTCCGATCAAATCAAAGCGAGTTGAATCGGACCTTGAAGAAGCTGCTTAGTGCTTAATCCATGTCGAAATATAGGATTTGATTTTGACTATATCTCTCGCTCCCTAACCGAAGAACAAAAGTTTCGAGAGAAAATGGAATTGAATTGAAATGACGCGAGAGCAACGTTTAACCTTTTTTCTCAAGCAGTCAACAATAATGGAAACCTTTTTTCTCCTTGTACGTTTCTTTTTTTTCTTCCATTTTTACTACTTTTTGATTCTCTTCTTCTCTTTGTTTGATTTTTCTTTTTTAGATATTTAATTTTTCTGGCGGTTTATTTTTACTTTTTCCATTATACCACTCAAAATCATTAATAAATTTCTTATTTATTTTGGGTAGATTCTGTATTAGATTCTTTGGAAAAAAAGATTCTGTTTTAGATTGTAAATTGTTAATGTTGATTCATCTAAAATTAGGTAATTTCGTTTCATTGTTCCATATAAGAATTGTTTTTTCTTATAATAAGAGAGATTTTTGTTGAAAACTGTCTAAAAGGAGAAAATAAACAAAGGAGATGAATACATTTGTTCCTGATTTCTTGGGACTTGGGAGTCCTATGTATATAAAAAGTGTCATACATACACAGGATGCATAATAAAACCACTAATTTGTAAACAAGCTTTAATTCGTTGTGGAGGTAAAATCTTCCTAAATGGACACATCATAAGAAGCACCTAATAACATATTAATACAAAAATAGTTTTTTTTTTCTTCTTATTAAGCACTAGCTAGATCACATGTTTGTTGTGGCACCTAACTCATAATATGAGTGATACATGTTTCTCTGTTGATTTTGTTCAGTATCTTGCGGTAGATTGTTTTATTAAAATAACCAGTTAAACCATGATCGAGAAACTTATCTGAATTTAAAAAGAGGTATAATATTTTTAATGGATACAAAGATTTGACCTAAAATTTGGAACGTTGGAGAGAGAGAAAACAGAGGAGGTTGGCCGGTTCTATTTTATTGGTGGTACTCGACAAATTGTTGGTTAGGCAGAGAGAAACAAAAATGCCAATCACATACGTAAGAAAGATGCGGTGTCTAGATACTGTTGACAACTATTTTTTTATTTTATTTTTTTGGTAAGAAGATACTATTGATTGATCATTTTTTTTTTGTTGATACCTAATAATTTACTTTCCATGAATGTTTTGTTTTAGATCCAATTTTTTTTTTTGTGAAAAAGTTGAATTCGAATTTATAAAAATACACATAATACTGAATATTATAAAAAAAAATAACAAAATCTAATAGAACTCGTGGCCACACCGCTTCAACTCAAAAGTGCAATCGCAATCTTGTCTGTCGGCCAAAAAGATCGGCAACTAACTCACCTTTTTATATTTAAATCATATTTTTCCGTCAAATTCCTTTTTTGCTGATATCTTTCTTCATTAAATAAATGCTATCTTGCCATGGTGGCTTTAGAATTTGGATATGACCGATTCAAGATTTTTTTATTTTTTAACTTAAAATTCAAGATATTTGTTTTCTTTAGATTCAACAACTAGTTATATCGTAGAAGGAAAAAGCTTAATCCATTCAAGATGTGAATTACAAGAAGCACCCCTTAGAAACTTAAACACCCATTTTTTTTTCTCTTAAAAATGTTGTCTTCACCTTTATTTGATTTTGGTGGCAATTTTATTGCTTCAATTAGAACAATTATTGATTCGTGTTAATTTCTAAATTTATCGAACTGCATGATTCTTTTAAATTAAAAAAAAAAAAAAAAAAAAAAAAAAAAAAAAAAAAAAAAAAAAAAAAATGATTCTTTTAAATTTGAAACAAAGATACGTTCTCAACATAAGACGTATAACAACTTAAGAAAATTTACTGAGACGTTGTAATAATACTAAATATGGGTGTAGTAACCAGAAAGTTATGGGAAATCACAAACGAAACACACAAATAAGTATTGCTTGGTGTATAAGACATCTTCCCACTCGTGTACAATGCTGCTTCGGTCTCTTTTTGTCGAATGTCTGCCTGCGACCATTTATATTCGTGGATCAAATAAAATCAAATTGCTTCAAGAACAAGATGAATGTGTCCGGTTAGGAGAGTTACCCGATTAAACCGATGGATCTAGCGGAAGAGCCCGAACTGATCTCTTGCTTGCTTAGTGACTACTGGCAAGAAGGTTCAAGAAGAGATATCTAATGGCTCCGTCGACGTTGAGTACGAGGTTGTTGGCTTTAGAGAGTGTATGTCTCTACTTGGACTGCATATTCCAAGTACTTCACTGCAGGGAGATTAGACCGTGCAGATTTCTGAAGCAGTCCATCTTTTGTCTCTGTTTCTGCTGCTGCTTTGAGAAAGTCAATTGTTTCAGGTGCCAATTTCTGCGTTTACATGTGAAACCAAACAATTACGCTTGCATCATTGGAGAGAAATGACATCTCCCACACCATAACCTTGTTTAGTGATGGAAGACATGGGCACCCCGCCATAGCATGGTTCCATTCGTTGCTGCTAAAAGCAGACCAATTCTCTATCTTTCTTTGTTTTTATGAACAGTCTTCGAGTCTTGAAGCGGTGCGTCGAGGAACAAATAGGCATAAGAGAAAAAGGTCAACTTTGTTTCGTTTAGTTGTCATTTAGGAGAGGGTTGTCAAGTAACGCAGCACGAGTCGCTTGGAACTGTATCGTATACTTTCTTTGCAGGTCTCTTAGTTTCTCCATCAGTTCTTGGAATGTGGGTCTAAGCTTTGTATTGCTGCAGTGTGGGATAAACAGAAATAGAAACACAAAATAATGTCACTGTTAGCTGTGATTTATGCTGAACATCTAAATCCAGGAGAACCGTAATAATGGAAGGTTATATTCTTTTAGCAAGGATTATGCAATGTTCAGTATGTTAATTTACCTGTGCCAGCAGCTCTCTATTAATGAGATCCAATCAGGATCAATGTCCTTTGGAATTTCCAGCCTCTGGTTCATGAACCCCACAGCTCCGATCACCTGCACATATTTCAAATAAGCATCTCTTCACATTTGATTTGTGTCTTTAAACAGAGGAAGTGAAATGAGACTGAAAATGACATTTTTTTTCCGGAAAGCAGTATAATCATGCGATGGATATAAAACATCAAATTCGTAGAAATGTTGCAAAAATATTGTTTTTTAAGTATGGCTAGACTATATATAACAACAACACAGATTACTTGTATCTTTACATATTTCTGCACGTATAATGGTTCCTACCTTTCCTAATTGTACAATTTATTTATAGAGTTAACGGAAATTAGATGGCTTTTTGACAGAGGTTTACCCTGAAACTAATCTTTTGGCATAAAGATTCTTGTTATTTTTCAGCTTCATTGATAGAGTAAAACATGTTTATAAATATTTGTTGCCCAAATATGTGATTTCTACGGACGATTGTCAGTGAAGACATTTCATCGTTCTATCGCTCAAAAACGATACCTGCATCGAGTTGAGATTTTCCCAAGGGATCTTCTCTGTGGCAAGCTCCCATAGTACTACTCCAAAGCTGTAAATGTCAGACCTGTTTCAAGGAATAAGAAGAGCTATTTAGCGACTGAGGCTAGAAAAACAAGTAATCAGGGAACTTAACCAAACAGAACACGAAAATGTACTTCTCATCAGCAGACTCATTTTGAAGAACTTCTGGTGCCATCCATTGAGGCTGCATTACAAGTGAAAAGCCAAACAAGATCATTTTGGGAGGTTGACTATATAAAGCAGGATTCATATCGAAAAGAGTCCAGGTAAAGTACCGTTCCCTTTCCCGACTTGCTGGTTAGGTATGTCTGATGCTTGATACGCGAAAGACCAAAGTCAGCTACCTGTTAGAGATGTCACTGTAAGTTGATGATGTTTCTAGTTCCAGTTTGGAGATCATTCACATAAACAGATAACTTTTATCTAAATCTTCACTCTAGTTGTAGAAAGCTACATAATCAGTTTGAAGATGAAAAGCTATTATTCATCTCGACTATGGGAAACCAAACTTATTTCAAGATGACATGTTACCTTAACGGTCCAGTTCCTGTCTACCAGAAGATTTGACGACTTCAGATCACGATGGATGATGGGTGGGCTACAACAGTGAAGATAATTCATACCGCGAGCCTGTTTGAAGAATCATGTAATGTACTGTATGAGATGTACGGTGACTGAGTCAAATAGAATGAACAAGAAGATTTACAAGAAAAATACAAACAAGTAATCAAATAGAGCAGCTCATACTTTGAAAATTGTTTACGTGCAACTGTCAACGATCATAGAAATGGAAAAATCAGATGTCTAATGAAGATATAACTAATACTCACAATGTCTAAGGCCATATTGATACGCCTCCTCCAATCAAGTTTTGACATACTTCTCTGCAGTAGACGGAAGAGACTTCCACTAAAAATTGTAATTCAAATGATTAGGAGCTATGGCTTGAAGGTCCAAAAAACACAAAGAAAGAAAAAGAGATGAGACCGAACCGTGGAACGAACTCTGACACTATACAGAGACGCTGGGGTAAAGTCACAGCTCCCATAAACAGCAGGACGTTAGGATGCCTAAGTCTTTTCATCAGCGATACCTTCAAAGTAAAAGCAAGACTAATATAAATAACTTCGAATTTTTGGATGTTCTACTAAAAAGTAAAAACCAATACAAAATATCAACTGTCTTTTGCCAAAACTACACTCAGAGCACTTATTATGGATAAAAGATCAAAACCAGTACCTCTTGTTTAAAAGATTTTATGACCGCTTCTGAATATTCTTGTTTGGAGAACACTTTCACAGCTACATCCTGCGGTGACATTAGCAACTCTCAATAAGACCGATCCCTGAACTTGAAAATGTTTATGGAAGGGTGAATAAAATCAACAAATGCAGATTCTACAATATCGCCAGGAGCTAAAACGTACAGATCCAAACCAGACACCGTGATAGACAGTTCCACATGAACCTGCAGAATGGAAAATTATTGGAGCATGTTAGCTAAACAGACAGAGAATATCACATAAATTAAAATGTATGATGTTATTAAGAATGGACTGGCAACGAGATAATCTGTTTCTGAAGTAAACTACCTTGTCCAATTTGTTCCCTGATTGTCAAATCATCCCATAAAATTTCATATTCCAGGTGATCGCTATCTTTATCAATCTTGTCCATAACACTCCTACTGGTACTTCCACAACTACTAACGCTGCTAGTGCTGTTCGCATTTATAGAGGAAGACCACATACTAGAAGCTTCGTCATCATCAGTACGCTTATTACTTTCAGAGTCATAGCTTTCAGACTTAATACCAGAAGATGGATTGATCTGGTCATGAGACTTACCTTTCTTTTGTTCATTCTGTACACAAGGCCATAGAGAATGAGTAGGCTTTACTCTTGAACCTTCCTGTTCATTCCCTTTCCATGGCCGTGACAAACCTTTCTTTACCATCCATTCTTCAGCTTTTGAGGTGGGAACCTTCTGGATTGCAGGCTTTCTATCACTCTCACTACTGGAATCTTTGAAGGGTTTTGAAGGAAACTTGTCATCGTTACATGTGAATACACCAAAAGGAGACTGGATAAAATCCTCTCTAGATGTGCTGGCACCACTTGATGCTGCATCGTCCATGTGGTCAGGATTATTATCCCCTGCTCGCATTTTTGACCTGACTTTGTTGCTCAGCTTGGATGCCTGCAAAGTTAACACTAGTCAAAATATGCAAACAGTAAGATAAAAGGTCAGAATATGCAATCTCTAATTGAACTAACCAAGTTTGATATCTTTGATGCTAAAGCAACTTGTATAGGCTGATCAGAGTCAAGGCCAAGTTTCGATGAAACAGCTCCTTTGGAGTTCCTTGCATGTTCTTGCGGCTTCAATTTAGGCAAAGAGAGTCTGGGGTTGAGATAGGGTGCTATATCACTTGTGATAGAAATGATGCCAAGAATAGTGCCGTTATCATCATAAAAGGGGGAACACGTAGTGACAGCTGAAAAGATGACCCCTGATTTGGTCTTGACAGGAAACTCGCCGGTCCAGCTCTCTCCATTGACACAACGTCGAGCAACATTCAAGGCAAAGGCAGCATTCTGATCATCCACAATAACATGAACTGGGTTCTTCCCAACTACTTCTGCAGCAGAGTACCCATAAAGCTTTTCCGACATAGCATTCCTGGAACAATCATGTCATCCAAAATGGATTAATCTGAGAACAACAATGCAGCAAAACGTCTATCCATGAAATCACATGACTCCCTTTTTAACGAACAAATCAGGACGAAATAAAATCATAGCGATTGACTATACAATTCGAGAAGAAAAAAAACCTCCAATAATTTAGGAGGAAGCCAAAAAAGTACTCACCAAAAGATAATTCGTGTATTTAGATCTAAGACATGAACAGATTGAGCCAACGACTGCAAAATATTCAAATACTGTTTATCAGTGAACTTCCCGGGCGATCCCTGGATACGGCTCAACGGCCGACGCGGCAAAATCGGATGCGACGGCTGCCTAAGCTCCGTCGAGAGCTTGAGCCTAGACATCTCCTGCTTTAGATGCTCCTGACTTTGCTCTAGCTCGAGCATCTTCTTCAGCAGCTCCTCATCCATTGCGCTCCAAAAAAAAGGAAACGGAAACCCTCAGGTCAGGTGGATCCGAAATCTAAAGAGCTAATAACCGAGTTGACTCGGGAATCGTGCGAGTTAAATCATGGTCGAGAAATAGAGAGTGAATAGATTTGACTATGGAAAAGATCGATGACGACTGTCTCTCTCGCTCCCTACCAACAAAAGATTACAAAGTTTCCTGTCTCTAGAAAAGTGGAATTTAAATAAATTGACTCGAGAAACCATGATGATACTCTCTGTCCGTAAGAAAGATAGTGTATTCTACATCCTTCTTTTTTGTTTGTACCATATTATTACCTAATAATCTGCACCATTATTTATGTTGCCGCAACACCGCTTCCAACTTCACTATTGTAATCGGTCGGTATCTAAGACTAATGTACGTCGGCTGAAATATCAGTGTAACTAACTCTCTCACCTTTTTTAATTGAAACCATCTTTTATCTTTCTTCTTGTATTTGTTTTGTTCCATTAGAAAACTAAAAAAAAATTGTCGTAAAAAGAAAAAGAAAGCTTCGTACATTCAAGATATTATTTACATCGGATTACATAGAGATTTTTAAAGAAATTTATCAAAACATCATCTTTTATTATTCTTAAAATTTTGATGCGGTAATAAATTTAAAAGGCACAAACATCGCCGGAGACGCATGGACCGTGGTCAGCACAAATTAAGCATTATGCATATCTGATCAAAGTGTCAGAAAGCAGAGTCAAGCTCACTAGCTAATAGTTTTCAACATTGGTGTCATAACATAGAAAGAGGACCAATCTCAATGATTTTGTTTCAGTACCGGGGAGGAAGTACTCCGTTCAAACCATAGTCAACCTCAATGATATCTTCGATGCCATAACCTTGTTCAATGATGAAGACATTGGCACACCGTACCAGCATAGCATGGACGGTCCACCAATTGTTTTTGTTCAAAAAGACCAATTCTCTCTCTTTCTTTGTTTTTGTGAACAAAAAGGCATATAAGAGAAAAGGGTCAACTTTTGGTTTGTTACTTGTCCTTGAGAAGAGACTTGTCACATAACGCAGCACGAATCGCTTGGAACTGTATTGTATACTTTCTTTGCAGATCTCTTAGTTTCTCCATCAGTTCTTGGAATGTGGGTCTCAGCTTTGTATCGCTGCAGTGTGGGACAAACCAAAATAGAAACACAAATTAATGCCAGTGCTAAATCAAGAAGAACCGTAATAAGTAAAGGTTATAATCAATGCTTATGCAATGTTCAGTATATTAATTTACCTGTGCCAGCAGCTCTCTATTAATGAGATCCAACCAGGATCAATGTCCTTTGGAATTTCCAGCCTCTGGTTCATGAACCCCACAGCTCCGATCACCTGCAGATATTTCAAAGTCTATGTGTGTAAAGATGTTGCGAACATATTGTTTCAAGTATGGTTAGACTATGTATAGCAGCACAATTCACTTGTTTATACATTACAGTAAGTATAATGGTTTTTATGATTCATATCTTCCTAATTAGTACAATGTATATATAGAGTCACCTGAAGCTGAAATTAGATAGATTTTTAACAGAGGTTTACCCTGAAACTGATCTTTTGGAATAAAGATTCACTGATAGAGCAAAACATGTTTCTAAATATAATTTGCCCAAAGATGTGATTTTAGGACCAATTGTCATTTGGAAACACTTTCTTTCATCGGTCAAAAACAATACCTGCATCGAATTGAAATTTTCCCATGGGATCTTCTCTGTGGCAAGCTCCCATAGTACTACTCCAAAGCTGTAAATGTCAGACCTGTATAAAAAGAATTAGAAGAGCTAGTTAGCAACTGAGGATAGAAAAACAAGTAATCAAAGGATAGTACTTCTGGTGCCATCCATTGAGGCTACATTACAAGTCAAAATCCAAACAAGATCGTGTGAGAGGTTGACTATAAATCAGGATTCAAATAAGCGTCTAGAATAGTACCATTCCCTTTCCCGACTTGCTGGTTAGGTATGTATGATGCTTGATGCGCGATAGACCAAAGTCAGCTACCTGTCATAGATGTAACTGTAAGTTGACAATGTTTCTAGTTCCAATTTGCAGATCTGGGGTCTCACTTTTCCAGTTCATTCTTGTAAAATGACAATAATTTAATCTAAATCTTCATTATAGTTTTAGAAAGCTATGTAATCAGTTTGGAGATGGAAAATTATTATTCATAACCAAACGTATTTCTTCAAGATGAAAAATTATTCTTCATAACCTTCACGGTCAAGTTCTTGTCTACCAGCAGATTTGACGACTTCAAATCACGATGGATGATGGGTGGACTACAGCGGTGAAGATAATTCATACCGCGAGCCTGTGTGAAGAATTATGTAATATGGTATCTTATCTGAGATGTAAGGTGACTGAGCCAATAGAGTGAACAACAATATTACAAGAAAAATACAAACAGATAATCAAATAGAGCAACTCATCATACTTAGAAAATTGTTTACGTGCTACTGTCAACGATCATCGAAATGGAAAAACCAGATGTCTAAAGAACATATAACCAATACTCACAATGTCCACGGCCATATTGATACGCCTCCTCCAATCAAGTTTTGACCTACTTCTCTGCAGTAGACAGAAGAGACTTCCACTACAAAATTGTTATTCAAATGATTAGGGACATGTCTAAGAGATATGGCTTAAAGGCCAATAAACACAAATAAAGTGAGACTAGTAACCAAAAGAGAAGAGATTGAACCGTGGAAGGAATTCTGACACTATACAGAGACCCTGAGGTAAAGTCACAGCTCCCATAAACAGCAGGACGTTAGGGTGTCTAAGTCTTTTCATCAACGATACCTTCACAGTATAGCAAGACCCATTTAGAATTCAGAATTTTTAGACTCTGGTTCTACTAAAAATCATAAAAATTGTCCTTTGCCAAAATTGCAATCAGAGCAATCATAATGGGCGACGAATAAAAACAATACCTCTTCTCTAGTAGATTGTATGACCTCTTCTGAATATTCTTGTTTGGAGATTACTTTTACAGCTACATCCTGCAGTGACATTAGCAACTCTCAATAAGACCGATCTCTGAACTTGCAAATGTATATGGAAGGGTGAATAAAATCAACAAATGCATATTCTACAATATCACCAGAGGCCATAAACGTACAGATCCAAACCAAAGACCGTGATAGACAGTTCCACATGAGCCTGCAAAATGGAAATTAATGGAGCATGTCACCAGAAGATGGACTCAATATTACAGAAATAATCAGTAAAATGTATGATGTTATAAAGAAAGGACTAGTCTGTAAAACGTGAATCTGTTTAAGAGAATAAACGACCTTGTCCGATTTGTTCTCCGATTGTCAAATCATCCCAGAAAATTTCATACTCCAAGCAATTACTAAGACTGTGGCTGATAGTTCCACGGCTACTAGCGCTGCTTGTGCTGTTCGCATTTATACAGGAAGACCGCGAACTAGAAGCCTTGTTATTGGTAGGCTTATTACTTTCAGTGGCATGGCTTTTAGACTTAACACCAGAAGAGGGATTGATCTGGTGAGACTTATCTTTCTTTAGTTCATTCTGTACACAAGGCCATACAGAATGAGAAGGCTTTACTCTTGAACCTTCCTGCTCAGTCCCTTTCCATGGCAACCACAAACCTTTTTTTACCATCCATTCTTCAGTTTTTGAGGTGAAAAGGGTTACAGGCTTTCCATAACTGGAATCTTTGAAGGGTTAATTTGGAAGCAAACTTGTCATCGTTAAATGTGAATACACCAAAAGGAGATTGTATAAAATCCCCTCTTGGTGTGCTAGTACCACTTGATGCTGCATCGTCCCTGTGGTCAGAGAAAGTAGCACCGAGGACGCCATGATCTGAATGATGACTATCCCCACTGCCACCCTCAGAAACTGTGACACTACTATCACCTGCTCGCATTTTCGACCTGACCTTGTTGCTCACCTTGGATGCCTGCAAATGTTAGCATCAATCAAAACATGCAACAGCAAGATAAAAAAAAGTGAGAATATGCAACCTACAATTGAACTAACCAAATCTGATATCTTTGATGTTATAGAAACTTGTATAGGCTGATCAGAATCAAGGCCAAATTTGGATACAACAGCTCTTTTGGAATCCAAACCAAGTTTAGAGGCAAAACTATTGCTTGCAGGGCTAGAGCTGGTTTCAACTTCTGACGCCTTTAATTTAGGCAAAGAGATTCTCGGGTTGAGATACTGTGCTACATCACTTGTGACAGAAACGATCCCAATAAGAGAACCGTCATCAGCATAGAAGGGGGAACATGTAGTGACAGCTGAAAATTTCTCTCCAGTTCTGCTCTTGACAGGAAACTTGCCAGTCCAGCTCTCTCCATTGGAACAAAGTTGAGCAATATTCATGGCAAAGGGGGCATCCCGATCATCTACCATAACGTCAATTGGGTTCTGCCCAACTGCTTCTGCAGCAGAGTACCCATAAACCTTTTCCGCCATAGCATTCCTGGAAACAATCATGTAATCGAACTGGAATTTGAAGACATAACATAGATATTGAACAATGCAAAAAAAGTATCCATGAAATCACTCTCTTGGTTCCAGAATCATAGCATCTGACTAAACATTTCCAAATAAAAAACCTATACCAATTAAGACGTGAACAATATAGGAAGGCCAATCACAAGGTCAAAGTACTCACCAAAAGATAATACGCATATTGAGATCGAAGGCATGAACAGATTGTGCCATGGACTGCAAAATATTGAGATACTGTTTATCAGTGAACTTCCAGGGCGATGGTCTCAAATTCATATAACCCTGGATACGACTCTCCTTCGGACGCGGATGCGATGGCTGCCTAAGCTCCGTGGATACCTTGAGCCGAGACATCTCCTGCATTAGATGCTCCTGACTTTGCTCTAGCTCTATCATTTTCTTCAGCAGCTCCTTGGTAGGTGGAAGCGGACCTTGAAGAAGCTTAACCATGATCGAAATTTCTTCTCAAAGGAAGAATCAAAATAGGGATTTGATTTTGACTGTCCCTAACCAAAGATACAAACTTTAGCTCTCTCCACTTTCCAAACGCTTCCTAAAACTCTCAACGTACGTATAGAGGAAAAAAAGGTAAAGAGAAGGTTGGCGACGGTTCTATTTATTATTGGTTAGGAGGCTTGTGCACAAAAGATCTAGTAATACGTAAGAAAAGATACTGTAGAGTGTGAGCAACTAATTCATTTGTTGAATTTTGAATCCATTGTTCTATTAACAATGTAACATTATCCTTTTGGTCAAACAAAATTATTGTAGAAATAGTGACAAGATTGAAAGAAAATTAATGTCAACTCGCTACAGCTGCCTCACCGCTTCAACTCCAATATTGCAAACGTTATCTAAGTCTGTCGGCCGGAATATCGGCAACTAACTCTCACCATATATATATATATATTTCTAAGATAAGTAAGTTGTCGATCGTGGGATGTGGTGACCTATTGGTTTAACAAAACATTATGATTCTTCTAAAATTGAACTTTCTTTTATTTTTAGAAGTATTGAGAGATCACAACAGAAAATTGTCAGAACAAATATAATTAAACAAATCCTAACTTAATGGGAGAGAATAATAATACGAAGAAGACTAAGACGATGGGAAGAAGTGAATGATGATATGATTACTTGGTGTACAAGACATCTTCCCACGGGTGTCGGTACAGTGGCTGCTTCAGTCTCTTCTGATCGAATGTGTGCCTGCAACAATTTATTCACGTTAATCCACATCAAAATTTAAATTGCTTCAAGAACAAGATTGATGTGTTCGGTTATGACAGTTACCCGATTAAACCAATGGATCGAGCGAGGACGAAGAGGCCGTTGAGATAACCGATCTGAACGATTTCGTCTATCTCTTGCTTAGTGAACATCCCACTTCCAGCGAGAAGGTCTAAGAAGAGAGATCCAATGGCTCCATCGACGTTCATTACGAGGTTGTTGGCTTTAGACAGTGTGTATGTCTCTACTTGGACCGCATATTCCATGTACTTAACTGCAGGGAAGTTCGACCGTGCAAATTTCTGAAGCAGCTCCACTCTTTTGTCTCTGTTGTCTCTGCTCTTTATCCTACAAAAATTCCAATCAGATGTAAGAAAACAAATCCCGTAAGAGTGTGTTCTGTTCCTGCTCTTACTAAAAAGGGATACTTTTTTTTTTTTTTTTTTTTTTTTTTTTTTTTTTTTTTTTTTTTTTCTAAAAAGGGATACTTGATTGTTATATAACGCCAATTTCTACATTTACATGTGAAAACAAACAGTCTTAAGTCTAAGCTGGTTTGTTCTTACCTGTGACCAATGCCAGGGACACGGATTCCCTTCTTCTTCATGCCTTCCACGAATTCATAAGGTGTGAGATTCTGAACAGGGGCACAACATTTTAGTACCATTTATATCTAAGTTTCAAGAAATGCTTGATGCAGTTGCAGTGAAGGAAAAAATGATTTTTACCCTGTCACAAGCGTCCTTGAAGTATCGTGCTGCATCATCAATGGCACCACCAAATCTAGGACCAATTGTTAATAGACCTGTTTGTTTGAAGGATTATCACTTATTATAAGCATAAGTTATTGTTGTATAGCAAACTTCGCTTAAAAGAGTTGATGGATTGGGATGTTAATTCACCTGAGACAAGACTTGAGACAAGGTCTTTTCCTGCTCTTGCTGTTACGATGCTGTTGTGAGCACCAGAGACGCATGGACCGTGGTCAGCGCACAACATTATGCATATCTGATCAAAGTTCAAAATGTCAGAAAACATATTCAGTTTCAGTAGCTAACAGTGTTCAATTTTTGTGTTAGTACATGGAAAGATGAGCAACCTCAATGAATTTGGTACAATAACGAGGAAGACTACGTTTGAACCATAGGAGAGAAATGACATCTCCCACGCCATAACCCTGTTCAATGATGGATGACATTGGCACACCAGCATAGCATGGTTCCTCCCCTGAAAATTCAGTGTGTGGAGATTTTTGTTTACAAAAAATGTTCTTGTTTAAAGAGAGAATTCTGGTTTAGTTTCAGAAGAATAGTACCTCTGTCATCAGAAATGGTGGAGATGATGTGAGTAGGAGCCCGTACTTTCCCACTCTTAATTGCAGAGCTGAGATCTTCAGGGATTTGTGGAGGAGTGACCTCCTTAATAGGAGAGACCTTTCCCTCTTCAACCTAGGAGGGCAGAAAAAAACATGAACATAAGATCACAACAGAAAGAATCCAAGCTAAGAGCGCATTTGATTGGAGACTGACCAATTTGTCAAAAGTTTCCTTGATTGCAGACTCTAGGGCTTCAAATGAAGTGGGTACAGTAGCTCCAGCGTCTTTTAGCGCTTGATTCTTGGCTTGTGCAGACTCCATCTCTCCACCACTTTTGGCCCCCTGATTCATATCATATCAAAGAATGATTAATATCGCAAGCAGATGAAAATTAGCGTCCAAAATTCTTTATTTCAGTTTCTGAGTGACACTTACTGCATGACCAAATTGTACTTCGGACTTGAAGAGACGTGCACAAGTCCCGCTGACCCAAGCAACCACTGGTTTGGTCACTTTTCCCTGTTTCATGGCTTCAACTAGAGAATACTCATCTCTTCCTCCAAGCTCTCCAAGTACAACCACCATCTTAATCTGCAATATTGAAAAAATGAAAACAAAACTTTGGAGTTAAAGACACTAGCTGAACAAGAGAGGGAAGGTAAGATGCGTTCTAAGTATAGCTTTTTTCATGGTTAAACAGTAGAAAAAATGGATAGGCATGATGATATCCCAGTGAGCAACAAAATTTTATAAGTCAAGAAGAATATACCTGTGGGATGTTGTTAAACCGCAGGATATGGTCAGATAAAGTTGAGCCCGGGAACACATCCCCACCAATAGCAATGCCTATGGCCATCCCAAATCATAAAGTCATCTTAAGAATCTTCAGAAATGATAAGTATGAGGAAACATATTCAATAGTAGATTCTGAACAGATAAATAGAAACTCACCTTCATAGATTCCATCTGTCACACGGGCAATGGTATTGTACATTTCATTAGACATGCCACCCTATAGAAAATAGAGCATGAGAAATAAATTCTCAGATTAAGATACAAAAGAGGATAATAATGAGCGTAGGTAGACTATAAAATGCAAAAAAAAAAAAAAAAAAAAAAAAAAAAAAAAAAAAATCCACAGCACATACAGATTTTGAGACAAAGCCAACAGATCCAGGTCTGTACAACTTGCACTGGATGATATTGTCAATAGTTCCAGCAGTGTCACCAATTTTAAAGGCTCCAGCTTGAACGCCTCCAACAGTAGCTGGTCCAATAATAACCTGTAATGACCAATCAGTAACAGAAGAATAACTCGGAAAGCTCACATCTGTATGAAAAGATCGATAACTAGTGTGTTCCAAGGAATAACGCATCATGAGGAATAAGTCAGTTCAGTGTTATAGCCCACCTTATTGTTAGCACGAGCATAAGCAATCAACTGCTTAGTGTCTGACTCCGGAACACCTTCTGCTATTATGGCCACTACTTTAATAGTTGGCTGCTTCAAAGCAGCCATGGATGAAGCAGCAGCACTAAATACAAGAGGAGAAGAAAACATTACAAGAGAATCACAAAGTAAGACAGGAAAACCGCATTCACAGAATAAAACTAAACTAACCTTCTAAACGATGCGAAGTTGATGAATACATCAGCTGTGGGATGCGCAGCGCATGCTGCCTCAATGCTGCAAGAACCAGAAAACTAAGTTAAATTTATCTGAACTATGTCTTTCTCTCTATCTTTCTCTTTCTTTATGAGATGGTATTTAACTTACGCTGCGTGGACAGGGATGGCGATCTCCTCCTGACCAAAAAATAGCTTTTGGAATCCCTCGGAACCTGGGTTAATGATACCAGCAACAGAAGGAGTTTCTCGCCCTGAAAAGAGTAAAGATAGTTAAAGAAACCAAATTTCTTACTTAACACCAATTTTAACAGTAAAGTCAAGTAACTCCAGAGAAAAACTGATTAAGACATTGAGACAGATACAAAAGAAGCTACACTTACCACATAGGAAATCAAAATCAAGCATCCGTTGAATGGGAAGCTGCTTATAGTTGTAGAACAACGCTTGTGTGTTGCGTGAAAATAGCTGTCCCGTAGCCATGTTATTGGCCCGAAAAGAACTGAGAATCAGAAAAAAGTAAACTTTAGAAGTCGTGAATAAAATATATTATTACATTCGAATCCAACATGAAAAAGCAAAAACTGAAACCAATCCAATATATCACCAACAAAAAGTTTTTCCCTTTTCATGATAAAACAACTATAAAGTTAATTCATTTGATCAAACCATGATCGAGAACTGAATCAAAGAAGAAGCTTTTTTTAGTCCAGTGATTCCGGATTAAAAGAGAACGATTTGGGATCGAAACCAGGGACCCACTACTACAAATCTCAACCACTGCATTACAGAATTCCATATAACTTAAAGATCTCAGTCTTGTATAAACGAAATCACTCCAGTATCGACTCATCACTATCCCTTTCTAGGCCCTAAAACCCAAACCGGATCGACAAGTTTTGTTTGAGATTAACCGGATCGGAATCGAAAGAAACACGGATCTGAGAATTGGAATCCTCCAATGAAAAGTTAGAGAAATAGGAAGACGAACCTGTGGTCACTTAGCCGAGTCGGAACCGAGCAATGTTAGGTGGAGAGTAGATTGTAGTTAGGAGGAAGGGAAGGGAATGGTTAAGAGGAAACCATTAAATGGGAGGGAAGAAACAAATAAGATCAGCTCAGCTACCACTGCCAGATAGAGAAGACAGTGTGTATTAAGGTGAAGTCACGTGGCCTGTGGTAGTTAGCTCACAAGTCACCCCACTCCGATCCAATCCTTTTTTTTCTTTTCTTTTGTTGTTGTTGTAATTTCCATTTTTTTTTTTGTGAAAGCATAAAGATGTCTTTCTATGGTTACAACTTACAACAACAAAAAAGAAAAGAAAAACAACAACAAGAAAAAAAGGAAAACAAATTTGAGTAATGGAAAGATACAACTATTAAGTAAAACAAAAAAAAGCAGAAAAATTATGAAGTTTTTTTTTTTATGCTGGATATCTACAGTATTTGCTAAATGTATTACCATAAATTATCTTCTTATAATTTTCCTTCATATTTCTAAAAATTTTATTTACATAATTTAAATTTTTTAAAACTATTTCATCAACGTTTTTAATTTTATTTTATATTAAAAGCATCTCACATTTTGTGTGACCACAACCACAAGCAGAAGAAAAAATTAATATTATTGTTGTAAGATAATAATAAAATTAATCGTGTTAGGGTTTAAGTTGTTTTCTGTCACTCCCAAATCTCTTTGGGGTTTATGCAACTGTCAAGTGTCAAGACTCTCGCTTTATGGAATAGAGTAGACATTTAAGTGTCAAATTCAGATTATTCATCGAGTTTCTTTTGAATGGATCCTACTGATGATGATTTCGGTGACTTGTACGTTGATGATGCCAAGGTTCAGGCGAGTGATGCTTTCGCCGGCGATGTTGGATTCGTAAAATCGTGCGAAGAATCGGAGTTTGCTACGAATTCCGGCGAGGATAAGGGTTTTGAAGGAACGGTAAAGCCTGATTCGGAAGGTGAAATGAAGAAATTTGATGTTGTTGCTAAGGATTCGAGTCCGTGTGACGACGATTGTGCTGTGAATCTGACTGAGGCCGATGAAGAATTGGAATTTAGTGACAGTGATAGTGATGATGATTTGAATATAGTGCTCAAAGACGACGATTCTAAAACCCTTCCTGCTGCTTGTGTGTTTAACACCAACTATGGCGGATACGAAGCATCCAAAGCTTGCTCGTTTCAGAGACGGTGGACTAGAAACGCTTCAACTAATAATGCTTGGTCCAGGTTAGTCACAGTGGTTAAATCTGTAGTTTAGATAATAAATGTGTGTTTAGGTTTATTGAATATGATTGACATGAACAATGGTTACTGAATGTGATATGTACAATGCTGTGTGTTTCTCTGATTCTCAGGACACCTTTTGACGTAAATTTCGATGTGTTTGAGAAGAAGCCATGGAGGAATCCTGGTACGGATACTAGTGACTTCTTTAATTTTGGGTTGAACGAGCAAAGCTGGAAAGATTACTGTAAACCGTTGGTAAGTAAACATGTTTTCGTTCTTGTTTTCCTATCCTTGTGGCAAGGGCGTAGTTGATTTGATCTTAATGAATTACTTACCTATTCAACTGAAGGGAAGAGCAATTGAGGTTGGAGGTGGAACTCTTGAGCGAATACCTTCTGCAGATTTGCGTCGTCCACGTGATTCAGACCCTGGCGTGGTGATACAGGTCAGAGATTGAATGATACTTGATTTGTTAGTTTTTCCTTCTCGTATCTCTCATTGCTGATTAAATGTATGAAACCAGATCCCAGTTACTAATTATGTTGAGGAGCTATCAGTCATGACACCAGAGAGAGCAAGGTGCATAACATCAAATGAAGCATCTGGAAGTGACGATTCTCATTCAAATGACAGGAAGGATTTGAATTCAGTCGATGATTCTCCAAAAGATGAAGCTTTTGTGGGCTGTCAAGAAAAAAACGCTGGAAGTTTCAGTGGCGAGAAATCTCCTCCAACAGAGAATTGCTGCAGTAGGGAAGTGACACCTAGTGATAAGGAAATGCTTGAGGAAGAGAAAGAAGAGAGTTTTTGCAATTCTGATGAGTCGGATCCATCCTCAGTGGAGAGGGAATCATCTCTTGGAGATCGCATTCGTTTGAGCCCTACCTCTTCTTGCTCTGCTGGTAAAATTGAGGAATCTGATGATTATGAAACACAGTCATTGAAAGACAGTGCTACTGATGACCAACGTGAAGTCAGTACCCCACCACAACAAGCTAGACTTGCAGAACATGAAGCAATTAGTATCAAAAGAGGGGGAAATAGTGGTACAATGCATTCTAGACCCAGAAGATCTCACGAAGATTCAAGCAAAAGGCACTGTGGGAGAGCTGGCTATGCTGGCTATGTTAAGGATGCATCGCCTACACCAGATCCTGGTTATGGCAAGAAAGTTCATTCTCGACATGGAAGTTTGTATCGTGATTCAAACAAAAACTGGCAGAATGGACCACGTGTTACATTAGAAAGGGATGAAACTGAAGGTAAAGGCGTTCATTACTATAGAGAAAATTGTCATGGTAGAATGTATTCATCTGTGGATCATGCCAAGCATAGAGAGCACAGGTTTGGTTGGCGCAACAACAAAGAATCATCACTGGGTCGAGGTTTTGATCATTCTAATAGTTACAAGTTTGGGGCGCATCCTAAAGAGTATACCTCACGTTCATCCTTCGATCTTAATCAGAGAAATTCTAGATCAAGTTTTAAAGAAGAGGATGATCGATATGGTTGGCATCATTGTGAAAGAAAATATGGTCATGAAAGAAGTCCTATCCGAGCCTACGAAAACTACAAAGAAAGAAATGGGTGCAATTGGCTAAGAGAACCTTATTATGAGGACTGTATACCGATTACTGACATGGATTATAGGTACCGGTCAGAGTACTCTTCTGCACATGCAATACACAACCTCAATCAGAGTCCAGAGAATGATTTTTATTGCAGACGAAGGGGTGGATACGATTATAATTTGCATCGTCATAGATATGAAGATGGAGTTCACAGGGCAGAAAGTAGAATTCCATTTGAGCTGGCTTACAGGGAGGTGCGTTCTTTTGCTGAAGTGGAAATGAGAGAATATCAAGGGTATAAAAGGCATGAGGAATTCTCTGAAATAGAGAAAAGACACCATTACACTCATGATTGGAATCTTGATAGATTTGTCTCGGAGAAAGATGATTGTAAGTATAGAACCCAAGATGGTTGGTCCTCACCGTCTTTATCTTTGAGAGATTCTTGGTATACCAAAGAAGCAAAAGGTGATTTCTGGAGAGATGATGCTAGAGACTTTAGAACAGCTGAAGCATATGACAACCAGAATAACCAGTTTCATAAGGCTGCACCGAGAGATGGTCGGACGCAGAATCTTGGTCGTAGCGATAATGTGAGCATAAAAGATAGACTAAAGTATGATGATGATTGGGTTCGTCCTGATAGAGGAAGATATAATACGGCAGATGACATTCAATGTTCAATGAGAGAAGTTACTTATTCTGAGCATCCATCGTATACTGATGAGATATTAGTCCGCGACCTAAGAATACCAACACATAATCGAATGGCTATCAAACAAAGGTCTGGATATTTTAAGAGCGATATTCGTGAAAATGATGAGAGACATCACGAATCCAAGAAGCTGAGAGGAGATGGGCATTCTTTCATCAAGCGTCAGGATCCAGTTGACTTAGCTGGTAGGCAAGGAAAGGTAAAGATTGGGAAACTAAATCTACATGCTTTTAAACCTATATATTTATGACGTATAAACGCCTTTCAGTTTTCCAGATTGAATTAGTTCTGACTTTCGTTCCGCTTATATATATATGCCTGGCTTTTCTGTGTTATTTCTGACTGTTTTATGTGGTCTGTCTTCTATACTTGAGATTCCTCTTTTGCTTTGATCTGTATATTTAGACATGAGTTAGTGTACAATGATGAATGGCCTTTCTCGTGTGATAGATATTTTTTTGTGTGTTTCAGCGCTCAAACCAATCAAACAAAAGATTTTCCAATGGCGAGCAACAAGATGTTCAAAAACCAAGAAAGTTAGTAGGCAAAAGCGAAGAGAAAGCTATGCAGACTCGAGATATAAATGACAAAGAAGAAGGCGAGATCATAGAAGAAGCGACGAACGTGAAAAGTGTAGAAATAGACAATGAGCGTATACAAGAGAGCCTGAAGAAGATGGAGAAACGGAGGGAGAGGTTCAAGGGAACCAAAATGGCGAGGACGGTAGAAGCCACATTCAAATCTGAAACCGAAAGGAGAGCTAAAACCGAGGTTACTAATCAACAGAGACCGGTTAGAAAGAGGAGATGGTGTGCAAGTTAGAAGATCATATTGGCTGGGCTGTTTCAGGTGAAGTCATAATAACGGTTTATTGATGGTAGGCTATGTCTAAACCGATCAATTAAAGTCGCTGTGTTTTAATCCGACAAAAGTCACAAAACCGAACAATTGACTGTAACCCGGTTTTCAAATGATCTTGCTTGTGCTTTTTGATCCCTTGTAAGTTTTAACTAGAAAGATTTAACTTTAATATTTACAGTTTTAAGTATGTGTGTATTGAGAAATTAAATGATGCAGCTAAGGATCGAACCGGTGACAATTAGGCCTAAAGCGTATGATTAACGTGATAACCACTAGACCAAAGTAAAATTATTTTGTTTTGAATTTAGAATCATTTTTCTTGGGTCAAATAATTGTATTTTTGATAACCACGTAATTTAATGAGAAAACCAGACCGAAGTATACGATTATTCAAAATTACATCAACTTTTGTTTTTTGGTTTTGGGAATAATTTTCGTCGGATATTGGTGAGGTGGACTCGTAGCCGTCGGATAAAACACGCGGCTGATCTGAAGCGTCTCTGTGCAAAAAGAAAGAGAATTCAAACCAGTTTCCATCGACGACGAAACGACCAATCTCCACGATTCCTCTCTTCTTTCTAACTTCCAGGTTCTTTTTTTTTCCATCTCCAAATTCGAATTTTCAAGGTCCTTCGAATTCATATATGATTTTACTTTCAAGTCTCCGGATTTCTATAGAAAGATCTGATTGGAACATGATAAGCTGCTCCGTTTCACATATCCACTTTTGTTAAATTTGATCGATAATTGGGAAAGTACTGGATCTGGTGTATCGGATGTTACTGGTCGAGCTATTTATGAACCCTTGTTATATGCGTTGATTCTATACAAATATATATATGTTAGATTCTGAATCTGGTCAATATGTAGTATTAGGGTTACTCGAGTTGGGAACTACTTGATCTTATGCAGTTTTAATTTTACCAACTTGAAATTGAATTATAGATACGACTTTGGACTTTTTGTCTAGTTTTTACTTGTTTTCTGTATTGCTTGTTACTTACTGTTGATTTATGGTTTGCAGAAGCAAGTTGTATTCGTCCTTTGCTACAAAATAAGGTGCAATGGCGAAGATAAAACCTCAGGCTCTTCTAAATCAAAGCAAGAAGAAGAAGGGTCCAAGTCGCATAAGTATTTCCACTATTATCGTCTGTAATCTTGTAGTTGCTGTAGTCATACTATCCTTGGTCACAACCTATCGCCATTGGTCCCAAAGGTTTGTTTCCATCTTTGAATTGTTACTTCTGTTATAGTAGATTCTCCTTTTACTATATGTTACTATCTATAAACTTAATAGTAAATTGGTTATCTCTTAGGTCAAGAAACACAATTGAACATGAAACTCAGAGTCAGAGATTTGAGGTACTGTTTTTGAGCATACGCTTTGAGTTTTGATCCTGATGAACTTCCGAGCACTTAGGTTTAGAGTTTAGGATATTTATATATGTCATCTGGCTTTGCTTTGTGCTTCAGGACACAAATACTGCATCAGAGCAAAAAACTTACGACCTTCCTGGCTATGCTGTAAGTTAATCTCCCTCTTTGCTTAATAAAGTTTCTTGTTTTAATCCTTGTATCATGATATTATGTTCTGTTTATCAGTTTTTGAGAGTTAAAAAATGTGATGTGTCTTATCTGGATATCCATTTTAATGATATCTTGCTTCTATTTTCTTACCTCATGTAGGATATAAACACATCAAAAGGACTTATAACTGTCGAACTCTTCAAAGAAGGTTCCCCTGAAGTTGTGGACAAGTTTCTAGATCTATGGTTAGTATCGGAATTCATTTGTTATCCTTTAAGTTAGATAGAAAAAGAAAAATAGAGGAACATGATTAAGCCAGATCATGACTTGTTCTTAAGTTGGAGTGCTACCTCTTGTTTGATAGGATTCTAGTAACTTCAGTTTCTATATTGATTGATTTTGATCCTTAAGTCTTGTTGTACTTTCTTGGTGATTGTGTTTGGAACATGAAACCTCATAAAAGAGAAAAGGGCTGAAACACTATGTGACGATATTGTAGCTTAATATGATAGTAGAATTTAAACATTGAGTATTGTTGCAGTCAAAAAGATCACTTCAAGGGAATGCCATTTCATCGGGTTATAAAGAACTACTTGGTACAAGCTGGTCACTCACCGAGCTCTATACCTGTAGAAGAATGGACAGCTAAAGGAAAGCTCCGAGGTCGCCTTCACATAGGGTAACTTGCTTGCTCTGCTTTTGGCTTTTAAGTGTAAATGTTTATCATCTCTCGTTGGTTTTTAAAAAAAAACTTCATATGTTCTGTTATTCAGCCCAAAACATGAGGCATTCATGTTGGGAACACCAAAAAACAAAGGGAACAACAAGGATTTTGAGCTTCTGATCACAACAGCGCCAATCCCGGATCTGAATGATCAGCTTATAGTGTTTGGAAGAGTCCTTAAGGGAGAGGATGTAGTACAGGTTTGATCCAACTAAACACCTTCTCTTTATAGCTTTTATGGTTTGTTTCATGTGTTAACGATTAAATCATATTATTACAGGAGATCGAAGAAGTGGATACGGATGAGCATTACCAACCGAAATCGCCAATAGGGATCACTGGTGTTGTACTGAAACGAGAGATATGAAATGAAAATTTCTCTTCCTTGCTTCCTCTGTAAATGAGGCTCACGCCAAATCTTTCTTCATACTAGCTTTTTGTATAAACCCTCTTTTGAGGTTTTTTCTTTCTTTCTATATTACAGTATTACAGTTTCTTGTTGTTTTGTAATTTTATTTGATTCTCGAGGAAATAGAATCTTTGTTTAATTATGCTTCTGATACTTAAGAAAATACATGAATTGATTTTATCTTCTGTTATGATATAAAAACTTTTATATTATATTTATACCCCTTAAGTATCTCAGAAAAATATTAATATTTATATTAAAAAAAAGTGAGATCTTTTAACTTTTTAAATAAAAATATTAGTATTTATTTATATGAGAAGATATGGAAAACAATCTGAAAACCCAGAAACAAATCCTTTAAGAATTCTTATAAAACTCTACAAAATTCTTTTAAGAACTCTTAAACAATTCTTAAGGAATTCTTAAATTATTCATAGAATACAATTACAAAATACTGTATTTTTGTTTTATGTAATCTTTAATAATTTGGAATAAGATATAGGACATACATCAAATTATGTATTTTAATACTATTTTGACTGAAACTAAAAAAAATTATAAACACATTTATAAATATGTTAAATAGTTGGTGTACTTTAATGTATTTTTCTCTAAAAACAATATCCAAATTGAAGACAAAATCTATATAAAAAAACAAACAAATAAAACTTTAAAATTTCAGATCTTAACATGCATTGCATCATTAACAATTTTGAAGAGTAGGAAATTTTGTTATAATATATTGTTTTTGAAAAGATAAAATCTTCATAATAATATTTTGCAACCGAAAGTTACAAACCATCGATCATCAAGAGGAAGATACAATCAATAAACTTGTACCAACCATCTGCTACATCTCTACCATATAAATCTATAACGACTAATACAAAATGAAAGTTCCGAATTCGGTCTTGTTGATTCCTCGTTTGCATAATTGCTAATTATCCTTAGAGAGAAACATGAGAGAAGACGAAGCCTGCATATGATTAATGTTACTTTGAATCCCACACCTTGTTTCTTGAATCTTAGCTTCAAATTCCTTGAGCTCCTCAAGAGTAAGCTCCTCAAGGGGCTTATTAAACCTATCTTGTTCAGCAGATTCTAGCCACTTGTGAAGATCTTCACCATGTTTCTTCTCAGCTTCAGCTTCTTCGATGATCGAGTTGAGGCGTTTACATATCTTCTTCTCTTGTCTAGCTCTCTTGCCTCTACTATAGCCTGATGTTTCACAGCTATCTGCTTCTTCTTCTTCTTCGAATTCATTCTTAAACCGTTCTGCAATCAAATCAAAATTCGGTTTCCCGAAGGAATAAGGTTTGTTTCCTGGAGAAAAGACAACAATACCAACCTCCGCGTTGCACAGAGTCGCAAGCTCACTCGCTTTCTTGAACAAACCCAGCCTACGTTTCGAGAAGGTAACTTGCTTTGTGTTTGTGTCTTGCACTTTCTCCATCTTAATCTTTCTCCTACCCATTTTTTTTTTGTGTGAAATGTTTTGAGTGATTGTAATCTATGTTTGTGTATATAAGATGAAGATTGATTTTTCCAAGTATTTCCTTATGTATTTATAGTAATGAATGTGGAGAAAGTTGTCATTGAACCTCATCATCATATATGTGTATTTTTAGTAAACTTTTGTTTTTGCATATATACATATTTAGTAACTCCACTTTGAAAATCTTGCATTACCTTATGAGAGCATTGAATAGTTTCTATGTATTTAATCAATATCCATAGATATTTAACTATTATTAGTATTATCTTACAATTGGACCTCTTATTAAATGGTTGTTTGAATTACAAGGAGAAATTTATCAAGTTAATAAAAAAAAATTCTTCTTTACCAAAATAGTTTATTTCCACCCAAAAACAATAAAAGTAGTTTGACAAATAATAAACACATATTTTTTAAAAAAAATTAACTTCTATGTATTAATGTAAATAATCTTATGTGTCATATTATATTTTCAAAAAAAATAGTATTATTTCTGGGTATAATTAATCATAAACGTCTTTTACATTTAAAAATTAAACAATTATTTATATTCAATTAAAATATAATTGTGGGTCACCATCTGCATTGGGTTTAACCCAATAAGCCTCTTTTATAGGTATAGTTAAATCGAAGCTCTATAAGGTCTAATTCGTCCCATGGCGGTCTAAGTCTACATGCATCTCCGAACACCTAATAAACCATTGACGTCCCTAAAAGACTAAAGCTAAGGTTACGTTAGCGGTTAAATATAAACCGAAACAAAACCAAAATAGTATCAAAACGAAACAAATAGCAATCTCAATCCGGTTCAACGTTTTCCTATCCATGTTTACTTTATAGTCGACACTCAGTGACACTTTACAATGTCTAGAAAGTTCAATATTTACGTTGTACTTACCAGACAACAATAACACTTCAAAACACTAAACGTCCATAAGACATCAAAGATTTGAAGAGACCAAACAACAGTTTCCTATTATAAGACAACGCAAAAGTGGATTTTCAAAAAAAAAAAAAAAAAAAAAAAAAAAAAAAAAAAAAAAAAAAAAAAAAAAAAAAAAAAAGTGGATTTTCAAATATTTCCGAGCAAAAAAAACGAGTCTTTCTTAGGCTTATATGTAAAACCCAAAATGCTCACTAATAACCAAAATTAGCTTTGCAATATCAGCAACTCAGCTGACGCATGTAAAGAGTAAAGGTTTCATGTGGACAGTGGACACCAAGTTTTCGTCATTAATCCTCAGTGGCTCTTTCTAGCTCTGCTCACGTTAGAGCTCTGATCAGTAAGGAACTTGAGGACATCGATTAGGGATCTTAGCCGGTCCCAAATGTTGAGTCCGTAAAGAGTTTCGACTAGCGCCTCCTGGAATTCAAATGCGTTTTCTGCTACCGGGTACTGTGATATGACCACCACAGAGAGATGTTAGGACATTAAGATATTCAGATTGGATTTTCAATGTCTGTTATTGTTTAGAAAACTTGCCTGAATAGGTTTTGGAATCTTGGTCTTGATGAGTGGCCAAAATCTATCTTCAACCACCGATTTCACAAGACAGCATGCTCTTAAACCTTCTATACCAGCAAACCGTCCAAACCCACTATCCTTTACACCTCCAAACGGGAGCGACTGCAAATTCAAAAGAGAAAAAAAAGTCTTACTCTTAATCATGGAAATGATGGCTAACCTTTTTTTTTTTTCCTTCTCTTTTCCAAAGGTAACATCCTAGAGTAAAGCCAGTGAGGAGTACCTGGCACATGTAATTTGAGGCAAAGTCATTGATTGCAGCAACACCGCACTGAATTTGAGAAGCTATTTGTTTGGCGCGATGCTTGCTTCCAGAGAAAACAGCACAGCCTAGCGCATAGCGTGAGTCATTTGCCAGCCTTATGACCTCTTCATCGGTGCTGAATTGCATGATTGGCATTATTGGTCCAAAAGCCTGATTCTCACACATTAATAAATATCTTAAGAACTCATGTGTAGTATTGTGTTATGCAACAACAAGCAGCAACAAAACCCAGACGAGCCAATAAAGGTAAGGCTACATACCTCTTCTTTCATTATTTTCATGTTGTGGTTTACATTGATGAGAACAGTTGGAGGGAAATATTGATCGACTGCATCTTCGCCCAGATGACCAAAGCTGCCACGGACTGCAATTTCTGCTCCTTTGTCTAAGGCGTCATTTACAAGGCTCTGTAGGTGTTCAGAGTGCTCTTGCAAACATATAGCACCCATGTCATACCTCCCGGTTAGAGGAGGACCCTAGTGTAAAATAAAAAGATTTTAATAAGAACATAGGAGAAAATTTGAGAAAGAGAAGACTAACCAAGAGAATTTTGTTTTTTTCAAACTTCCACATGACAAATCAGTTAACCTCCTATATGGCTTACATATACTAGGAAATATAGGAATAGGATTGAAGGGTGGTCAAAACAAGAGAATGGCTACTATGCCTGTTACAACATACTAATGAAGACGCTGGAGTGAAAGATGACAAACAAATCAGAAAACAAACATGAATTAAGGATTGCCTGAATTTCATGTTTGTATTAGGGATCAAACTAAATGGCATGCGAATTGTGAGCTACAGAGCACTTACAGCAGAAACTGACTTCACAATCTTGGTTACTTGGCTAATGAATGCAGTATAAATGTCTTTGTGAACATAAAATCTTTCAGCACCCGCACAGTTTTGCCCGCTGGACTGAAGAGTGCCCCTTACAGCCACTTGAGCAACCTAAATTGTACAATACAAGCATTAGTTTGATCAAAGGAACGCCTCTTTTTCCAATAATAAATCATAAGAACACAGAAGGGAGCATAACGACACAGAAAGAACACTTACATGTGAGACATCTGCGTCTTCACATATGATAAATGCATCTTTTCCACCAAGCTCAAGTGTGACAGGTGTCAATGTCTCGGCTGCATTTCTCATTATCTGCAACATATTGCATAAGTACAATTCATAGTGAACTGGATGAGAATGAAGAACCAAGTCTGAAGACTGTACCATTTTGCCAACAGCTGTGGATCCAACAAATATCATTTTATCAACAGATGAGACAAGTGCTTCTCCGGTCTCCGCAAACCTGAAAAGAATGCGTTAATTGAGGAAATCAATTTTATAACAGCATGCTAAGGAGAATTGCATAAATAAAATATACAGACCCTGTTATCACATCGACTAGATTTTCAGGTGCTCCAACAGCAGCTAAAGCTGCCTGGATTATGCGGAAGTAAAAGCATCCCGACCAGCTAGCGTGTTCTGAAACCTGTAGAGAAGGTGTTCCAACAATTAGAAACATATACAAAATCTCAAGAAGATATATGCCTTGAAGAAGACTAAACAACTTCCTCTCAATGGTCGCACTGCTCACAATGTTGACATCATATAAACAGCTAAGCTTATTCAGATATGGATAAAACCAAAAGTGTCAGCGAATATAGTAATAGAAAGAAAAAAAGACATTGCAGTTATACCTTAATAACAATGCCATTCCCCGAGAAGACTGCAGCCAGCATAGGATTGAAAATATTGTGGAAGGGATAATTCCATGGGACTATAGCTCCAATGACACCAAGGGGATGGAACTCTACTCTTGATACTTTATGAAGCATAGCTCTTCCTGAAGAACTGCGGACAAATAAGATTTGAATTGAAATCATCTCTATGTAAGAATCAAAGAGAACTACAATTCATACTGATAATTATATATGATGGAATTACCGAGATTCAGGCTTTAACCATCGTTCGCCCTCAGAAAGAAGCCAAGTAATTTTCTCACAAGTAGTCATTATTTCTCCCAGGGACGCATCTACCATAGTCTTTCCAGTATCACGTGAAGAGACTCTATATAACGGGAACATATCTTAGCATCATTTGAGAAAAATTTCCGAGGGAAAACAAAACCTGTGTATCAAACCACGCAGTTAACAGAAATGAATCCTTACTCGCATATAAGTTCTTGGTGTTCAATAATGTACTTGAGAAGAATCCGCAAGAACTGCCTTCTAAGCTTGAAGCTACTTTGAGCCCATGTCTTTTGAGCCTTCCTTGATAGTGTTACTCGCTCCTCAACCTGAAACACAAAAGTGTAAATCATATCTCAAGATAAGGTGGAATATCTTTGAGAGAAACCTTTGACTTTGAGTAAAGTAGCACCATTCCACAATTCCCTTCACAGCAAGGACATCAGCTACTAACCTCAGTAGGCGACAGAGCAGGGAAATATCCGAGATATTTCATTGTGGCAGGTTCATAGCATTGAACTTTTTTGTCTGACTGTTGGCTCCTGCCTCTCGGAGGAATCTAAAAGCCAATGTCACAGAGAACTTATGATTCAGTATGCTAATTTCACTAGAACAGCTGATCAAACAATTAAGTATCTATCATAATAAATCAACCATAGTGACAAATATGGAAATCAGAGTTAATTTTGTAACACTCAGATGGATTATTAAGGCCTAAGTCCTAAACCAAAACAACAGGGGAATATATAAGATCAACAGCTTAAATCTCCTACCACTTCAAAAATTTTAAGCACAATGTGGATGTAAATGAGAAAATGGTGCGATCTAAGAACTCACATAAATGAAGCTATTCTCCTCCGTATCTTTCCCATGAGCCAAGACTGTTTCAAAAATTCATTCCAAAAATCAAACATCGATAAGCTTGTTCTACGGGACAAAGACATAGACGACGAATCTAGGAGCTGATACAGATAGAGAAGAAAAGATACCATCGGATGCGTCTACGTCAATGGAAGGAACATTGGGAGGAATGAGCATAAGAAGGAACTTGCAGATCGCGTAAGCGAAGGCGAGAACGATCAGTGGCCACCAGAACGGCATTTCCACTTGTTCAGAGATTCTTCAGCTAGGGCTTTGAGAATCCGGCGAGAAAACAACGCCGATGAAGGATAAATCTCGGCGTCTCCGTCAATCGGAAAAATAGAAATAGGAATCAACGAAGAGCATATGGATTTAATTTTCTCTGCTTTGAATCGCCTTTTTTGTTTTCAAGTCCACTGGAACTGTGAGAATGGTACGGGTCGTAATTTTTGGCAACTTTAAGGGTAAATCCAAGCTGATTAAGATTAATCCACTAAAGTGTTGCGTCATTAAAACGAGCATCCACGTTGAAGCTACACGCCAAGAACATGAACACCAAACACTCGATGTATATTTGCGTATTTGCGTATTTGCGTATTTGCGTAATTGCGTTTGTAAAACCGTGTTAAAGTGTTAAACCAAAATTTTGAACCGACTGGTTCATATTGTTGTTTCAAACTAAACGAAATCGAAAGCTTGAAATCTGCTAAACAGATAAGTGTTAACGATGTCACTATGATTCCAATATTTCGGTCAAAAATAAGAGTGTAAGGCACACTATACATGTCTACTCTCAATTTGGTTACCTCAAATTACTGTCAAATTCAGAAACCTAAACATTGCTAAAGATATTAACATATTGACTTGACTATGAACAAAAAAGTCCTTGTTGGTCATGTTCCATAGATGATTATCCCCTGCTCTGGATCTTCAGTCAAATTGTCCACTCTTTCACCCACCAGATACCTTTCATTGAAGACCAACTGGTGAAGGTAGATAATGAGATCACGTGTTAGCTTGGCCATAAACCAGACTGTGATCAAAGCTAATAACGCCGGCCAAATACACCGTTCAACAGCTAAATTGATGCTTTGGGAGAATCCAAGCAACGGGAATAGACCCTTCGCAAGCAGGTAAGGGATGGAGAGTGTGGTTACAAGTGTGTTTATGATGGAACCAATCACATCTCGAATCAGCCACATTGAAGGAAGTCTATCGATTCCCACGTTTCTTATTCTCTCAAACTTCCCTCGCCATGCCTTGGTCGCAAAACAGCTGATAGGTGTGAGCATTGTCTATGAGAAAAAGCAAATACATTAGCTGCAAAAAATAACTCAGTCCTTGTTGAAATCACTATTTGATGATTCTCTTACCAGAAAGGTCCATATGTGAAGCACCACTACTCCAATTAACCAATCTTGGATCAAGAAATAAACCGGTGATTCATTTAGTGGCACTCGTGATGGTATGATGATCATAAGGTCGATGAGTAGACCAAGCAATCCGGGGATGACAGAGATCTGTTAATCAGAGATTGCAAAAGGTTTTAAAATCATATTTCCCAAGAGGTTTTGGTGGAAATGGAAGGTTTCATACCCAGATAGAGAAAAACAAGCCAATTCGTATACGTATCCAGATATATTTGAGAAGTAAATCGGTTCTTCCCCTCCAGATATGATCAAATGCAAAGCAAGTGCTGTCATAGATTGCTCGCAGGATATTACATCCAATCCAGAAAGCAAAAAGATCTACAATCACAAGATTTGCAAACACAGGCTTAAACGTAAGAAGCGTATAGAAGAAAAAGGTCATACAAAGCAAGATATGAAGAAACTACAACTAACCGTCATGTTTGATTCCAAATCTTAGCATGATGAAAGAGAGAGAGTCAGAGAATACTCTTCCCGCCAAAATTGGCAAAGCCATGAAGGCTGTACTCATGAGGAACAAACTCAAAGCAGCTAACACCAACATCAAGGCAATCTTTGGCAGAAACCTGAAATTGCAACTTATCACAAGAATTCTATGATTTCCTTATAATGTTGTATCTATATCAGTTAACTACCTGTAATCTCTTTGGTCTTGATTATCGTCTTCAGCATTCTGATATTCATCCATAATGACCACTGAGCCTTCAGCTATGGAATACAATAGAAACATTGGATTATCATCATATGGCCTTCTTGGTTGCATCATTGGTCTCACATTCTGATCAGTGCGGTGAAAGTCTTCTCCACGCGGAACTACCAGCATGAAATCACTCAGCTGAAGCCAAGCACTAACAGTGATAATCCAGTTGTGAACTATGAGTCTCATAGCTGGTATAGTATGTTTGAGTAACCATTGCGGGCCATATCTCAGTAGGTTGAAATAAATCGAGTATGCACCAGTAAAAGGCTTTTCGTGGTTAACCCTGCGTTTTGGTCAAGATACAAGAAATTAGAAACGATATAAGGTACTGTTCAGAGGGAAGCAAACGCACTAAGCTTACCATAAATCAAGAGGAAAAAAGGATGGGCTGATGCTTGTAATTGCTTTAATTGGTAAGTGAGTCAAAATCACCAACAATACCCCATGAAAAGCAATCACAAAGAGACTGTAACCAAGATTCAGTTTGGTGATCTTGTAGTCTGGATCTGTGACATCTAGGAGATACCAAAAGGCTCGTTTATGAATGATCTGTCAAAGAAGGAGAAAATGAGGAAAACTCTGATGAAAGAATAAGATTTCGTTGGGGTGAAACAGAAACTTAAACTATTACCTCCTGGATAAGTTCCCTATAAGAGTCGGCAATTATCAAGCAACAGAATCCTAAACACCAACGTAAGATCATCATGCCTGGGAAGTGTGAAAGAATCTCAAATCTCTGGGAATTTGTGGTTCCAAACAAAGGGGAGGTGCAGATTACGAGCCACCATCCAATTATCCAAGGCAGAACACCAATTTTAAGGCACAAGACAAAGGCATGCTTAATGAACGATAGTTTTTTGCAGGCTTTTACTGAGAAACCCCACAAGAGACACGGCAATTTCACTGTTATGAAGTGAAATCCGATCCACCGGGAGGTGCAGAATTCGAGCCAACATCCAGTTATCCGGGGCAGAACATCAATTTTAAAGCACGAGACGAAGGCATCCTCAATGACAGATATGTTTTTGCAGGCTTCTACTGAGAAAACCCACAAGAGAGACGGCAATTTCACTGTTAGGAAGTGAACTCCAAACGAAAACCACCGGACTATGGCTGGAAATGAGATATGACCAAGAGTGAAGAGGATTCCAAGGTAAGCAAATGAAAATGACAGAATCATCGTGTATCCAAGAATAACAGGCGAGTTTCCAGATAGATAGGTGCCTCCAACAGTTGCTAAAACAATCCATCCAACTGAAAATGGCAGAAGAACAAAGAGGAAAGGCACATATACGCTGATGGCAAGGCCCTGCAGGGAACAAAGACAACTAGTTACTCAACAATTTCCATTGTGGTAGGGTGCATAAAGGAAGAGAGTTGATGAACAAACAGAAATTTGGGAACTTACAGCAAAAGCATTGTCATCCAGAAAGAAAAGCAGCCTCCGGATAACCCCAAATTCATGAAGTGGCGCGTTTGGAGGAACATGTATTAGTCGACGAGGTGGCCCCAAGAAATAGACAAGTTTATGAAAATACCAATCACAAAGGATCTGCATATATTTCCATAAGAACTTCACAACTCCACCAATAACTCCATGTAGTAGGCCATTCCCGATAAAATTCTCAGCATTGAGATCTCCTACCTCCATCCTTATAGTAGTGAGAGTGCCCATGACACACGAGATGATAAGGCTGTATAACAGGCCAGCACACAAAGAAGCGAACTTGGGAGACATCCAAAACAAACTCTGGAACTCAGCAGCAAATTCTCGGCCCAAAGGATATAAGGAATTGCAGTATGTGTTGAAGAGAATCAGCAGAATCCAAGGAACAATCAATTTCATGTAACGTGCTACTCTCGATAATACTCCAATCAGAAATTCGTTACATGGAAGCTATTAGAATGTCCCACATTGCTTGGGATTAAGATCTTTGGGTAGTATATAAAGGATGTGGCAATCCTTAACTCTTGAGCTAGCTTTTGGGTTAAGTTAGGCCACATTCCTAATATGGTATCAGAGCCCAAGGTTGGCCCAACAAGCAAATTCCCACACAAAATGGTTTCCCACCTATGTGGCCCATATAAGTGGCATGTCTTGTTGTATTTCCGAGATGTTGGGCTTGGGCTGTTTCCCGTTGGACCGTTTCCCACCCACATCTCGAGGAGGCCTATTAGAATGTCCCACATTGCTTGGGATTAAGATCTTTGGGTAGTATATAAAGGATGTGGCAATCCTTAACTCTTGAGCTAGCTTTTGGGTTAAGTTAGGCCACATTCCTAATAGAAGCCTCTCCGGAGCATTCTCGGAATAAACAGGAACAATAGAGTAGCTACGCCCACAAACCTGCGGTGGAAACAGAGGGAATTTAGACATAGATGTTTCAAGATTCTTCCTAAAACCATCGAAATTGAGAGTAAAATCAAAACCACACACTACGAGATATCGTTAGACATAGATGTTTCAAGATTCTTCCGAAATAGAGAGTAAAATCAGCCAAGTCAAGAATGAGCCTTGCATTCAAAAGATTCTTCTTAGACTCACAGAAATAGAGAGAAAGTTGTTAAAGCCTAAAACCCTTAAACCCAGCAATGTCAAAATCTCTCAAATCCTTGTTAGAAAAAATGCTTCTTTGAAAAGGGAATGTAACAATAACCTCGCATTTCTTGTATCCGCGACGATTCAGCCAAAGACGAAGACAATCTTGATGAACATACTTGATCGACCCACGACACAAGCACGGATATCTCAATGGGTTTCCTGGTTCCTCCGCTGATCGACAAATCCGGCACAAATCTTCATCTTCGTCGTCTTCCGCGGGAACATTTTGGTCGCATATCGCCGGCGAAACGTCCATTTTTGGAAATGCAAAATTTTTCTCTCTTTCTAGTCTCTTCTTCTCAACTTCCTAAAGCGGCAAATGCATAGTGGTAACAAACCTTAAGAAAACAAGTAAATATATATATATCGAAAATTAATAATAATAAAATATGTGTTTTTGTCGTTTTTGATTCCTCTGTTGCTTTTTGACAGCTACAGTGAGCGTACAGTCTACAGAGTGAGTTTCGACGTTGCTTCCCATCTTATAATTACCACGGTAAAGTCAAACTTTTACCAGTGTAAAAGTCCATTTTTAGTGTAAGAAAGTAAAAAACAGTGAGTCTTTTGCGACTAAAATTTCAGCTTTAAAAAAAAATGTTTTTAAATTTATTTAAAACTCAACAAAGCCGATTTTTCATACATTAAATAAAGACAAAATTGCTGGTTTACAAAAATTAAAAAAAAAAAAAAAAAGAGAGAGACAAAATTGCTAAATAATCTCTGCTATTTCAACAACAATTTTGAAACCGTCACCACTCTTTATTTAAATTCTGACCGATATCAGTTTTCTTTCACAAACTTCATTCATAACATGTAGTTGACTAGCTTGTATACACTAACAAAATAACTTTTTTTTCCCTCTCCATCTGTATACATATTAAGTGATTACCAAATAACAATTTCTTTTAGTACTACATTTCTCTAAAAATAACTTTAGAGCAGAAACGCATACTAATAAAGGTCTACAAAGATCAAGGAAAAGGGAAGAAAAATTGAGAAAAAATGTGATGGTTTAAGGTAACAGATTTCTAGCTATACTTGGATTTAATTGAAGAATACAAAGGTTTTAAAGACAGCATACGTTAGTTTAATTGACGTGTTGACCTATTTTATCGCAAAACTTCACAATTACCATGTTTAAAGATAATGAATAATTACAGCTTGGAAAGTTGAATCGCCAATTACGTTCCACCGATCTCCGTAAACTCTTTTTTCTTCATCTGGTCCCTTTCATCTACCAGAAACCCATTTTTTTCTCAACGTAAGGGAAAAAAATGGAGTCAAATAAAACCTTTCGGATCATCGTGATCTTCACGGTTTCTATTTTGGTCACGATCTCTACGCCTGTAGAATCCAAATGTGCACCACCTTCCGAATCAGAGTCTCCATCTTCGGCACCAGCTCCGGGACCAGAACTTATGAAACCGACCACTAGTCCGGCAAATTCTCCGGCGGAGTTAGATATATACTCTCCCGCGGCGTCACCAGAAGCTCCCGCCGATTCAATTTCCCCAGCGAATGCTCCGGCGGAGATAGATATCGACTCTCCTGCAGCGTCACCAGAGGCTCCTGTCGTGTCACCAGAAGCTCCCGCCGAGTCTTCCTCTGCTGCACCATCTGGAATCAAAGCTTCGAGTTCGCCGAGAAGCCTTTTGAACCCGCCATTGTTATCTCCGGAGATCAAAACCATTTGCGGCAAAACCGATAACCCTCCGTTATGCGAATCTTCCGTTAGTCCTCTGTTAACGCCTCAACTGAAACCAGACACTTCCTCCGTCCTTATTCTCGCGATTCAAGCTTCGATTAACGCGACCAAGGCGGCTATGGCCACCGTCGAAAAAGCAGGCGCCTCCGATTGTCAGGAGTTGTACGATGACGCCGTTGTGAATTTGGAAGACGCGGTTAACGCTGTTAAGTCACGTGACATTGCCACCGTTAACACAAACTTGAGCGCCGCGATGACAGATTACAGCACGTGTAACGACGGTTTTGAAGAAGCGGGAGAGCCTAACCCGTTGGCTGACGTGGCCGATAAGCTTACGAAGATGGTTAGTAACTGTCTCGCCATCTCTACGTTGATCAAGTGAAATACGACAGCGTTTTGAATATATGAAGTGTTTTGTTTTCTTTAAATTTGGGACTTGGATGGGTTTGAACATGGTACTACGTCGTTTTCGAATATCCAAAATTCCAAGTATGTTCAAAGAACGTCAAATCTTTTTTAGGCTTATGTTGTAACGTTTACCCAAATATAGATTATGATGCTTCATGCATCTATCTCCTCGTTGTATTGTCATATGTGGATCTCTACTTCTTGTGAAACAAAGTGATATATATATCTACGTAAATGTATATGAAGAGACAGCGACTCGGTATCTTTTTGGATGTTGTCCATAGAATCTGGTACTACGGGTTAGTGGATAAAAAAATATTTAAAACTAAAGAGAAAAAGATGAGAAAAATCAATAAGAGAAAAAACAAGAGAGATTAATAGTTGAAAATTATCTAAAATATATATATGTATAACATAAAATAAAACTATCAAGAAAAAAATATTTATAAAGAAAAAACGCAAAAAAATTTGATAGTCGAATGAAAGATCGAAAACCATATTTATTTACAAACAAAAGAAGATATGCAAGTATCGTTGATTCTCTCTTAGTAATGCCATGAATGGATGCTGTTTTTTTTAATTTGGTTTCTGAATTTTGTTTTTAGTTTTTGGATTTTAGATTTTAGTTTTAGATCTTTTAATTAATTTTTTTTTTTAGAAATCCCAAAAAAATAGTTTTTGGTTTTTGAGTAAAATAAGAAGTAAAAACTAGATTCTCTAAATTATAGAAGACCTAAAAAAACTAAAATCTTGAATGAAAGATTACAACAAAAGTGTTTTCTTAAATTGTAGAGAAACCAAAATTTGAAAACTTGATTGGTATGAAATGAGCTTTTGAAAAACAAAAACTAATAACTCTTTCAAAAACTACAAACTTCAAACAATAACGTCGATTTTGCCTAAAGTGTAGGAAGAAGCATAGACTAATAATTGAAAAGCACACAACAACGTTTCAAGACCGCTGCTTATCTGTTCCATAAACACAACGAACAAAACAACCGTTATAAATCAAATTCAATATGTTAGTGGAAATCAATTAATACATAAAAGTCTTCAAGCAAAAGAAAAAGGACTTACAAGGACGTAAATATCAATTGTGTAGATCAAAGAATAAGCAGTCCAAATTCCAGCGTTGATGAAACTAACTAACGACAGCCAAAACGGCATGTATTTGAAGGTCTTAGTACTCTCCGGCATTTTGTCCTAATTGTTTCACGCATAAAAAACACTTATTCAAACCGGTAATTAATACTCCAGTTTACTTATCTATCCATCAAAAAATGTGTGTGTGTGTGTGTGTGTGTGTGAGAGAGAGAGAGAGAGAGAGAGAGAGCTTACTATGGTAAAGAAAAGATAGATGATACAAATGTTGTAAACGTTGCAAACAACACCAATGAATGTATGCTTGACGGAACTCTCAAATCCCCAAATAGTAATAATATAGACCACGGCCACAAAACAAAACTCAAACGTAAGACATATATACATGAGATCCTTCTGCACATCAACATAGACATCATCAAAATCAATATACAATATTAGACATATTTAAGCATTAAAGATGGAAACACCTACACGTGATTCTTCGTCGCAGTTGATCCAAAAGACAACCACGTAGATAACTTGGATAACGAAACCGACACCATTACTAGTAGTGACGAGAATATTGTCCTTGTGAACAACAGGGAGACCATACAAAACCCACAAACTACATTTAATCAACAGCACTAAATGAGGAGCAAGTTTAACTCCCTCCACTGATTTCTTCTTGTATGTTTGTATAAACTCTGGCCTGTGTATATATATGAAAATGCTTGTAACTCTTGACTACAACAATCCTTAATTATCTTTTTTTTTTGGGTAAGAAAACAACAATACTTATCTAAATCTGAAAACAATGATACTTATTGAGAAATAATGATCCTAGCTAGAGACCACTAAAAGAAGACATATAACACGCATTATTAACCCTAGCTCGTCAATGTAGAGATTTTGTTGGTGACAAACTAGAGAAGACAATAATTCAAAAGTTAACTTTCGTAATATAGTAGATATATAAACACAAACATACACAAAACGAATGTGAAAAAGAAAAAACAAGAGAAAGGAAATTAAAAAGGGTTATTACATATGTGAGAGGAAGATCGAAGTGGACAGAACATTCCCTGCATCAAGCCAGAGAAAAATTGTCAGTATATTTAGATATTGTGCTAATTAAATCAGTCCCTCTCTCTCTCCCTCTCTTTAATTATATTTACATCTATACAAACACACACAGGTAAAAATGTAAAATGAACAATGTAAGTATAATTATGATAAGCATCGATCATAACGACGCTTTAATTTATTGAGAGATCGGCCATTAGAGTTGTGCTCAACACAAAAGATGCTTGTATATATGGATAAACGATTGATTAGTTTTAGTTCCGTGAAAACATCTATAAAGGTTACACACGGCTATAACGCACAAGGACAAACAAATCGAGAGAGATGGCAGATGGTACCAATAATTCCGATGATCATACGAATATCTTTCTCGTTAATCATTGTGAAATCGACGGAGGGAGAGATAGATTGGTGAAGCAGACGAAGAGCAAAAGAAAGGATAATTCTGCGAGTAGGAGAGAATGATAGTTAGTGAAGGAGTCAATCAATTATATCTCTCGATTTTTCTCTTTGGCATATTTTCATGGAATTAGAAGATTTGTATTTGTAAATCCAAATATTTTTGTTTGCTACACTTAAATCGTTTCCTTGTTACTAGGTAGGTAGCTTCAGTATTAAAAAAATTAATAAACTTATTTTTTTGGGTAGAATCAGAAGTTTCGGTTCAGGCGGCTAGAAAGTAGAAACTGAATAATTTGCCTTAACCGAAGTCTAATAGAAATCACATATTTGATTTGGTTTAAGGTCATCTTTTTACGAGCCTTGAAACGATTGGGCCTGAATGTTAACGGCCCAACCCAAAAGTTGAATTGTCGATCGTCTTACTCATTATTAACTCCGACAAAGAGTTTCGCCGGAGATATTTAAACGGGACGGCATGGAAATGAAGACCCGAAAAAAAAGGAAAAAAAGAAAAAAAGAAGAAGGAGAGAAAATCAGAAAAATGGAGGAGATAAAGATTTTGGGCACTAAAAAGCACAAACCTCTCTTCCACATTTACCCTTCACTTAAAGCCAATCGAGAGACTTCTTCTTCTTCTTCTTCTCAACTCCATTATCTAATTCTAGGGTTTTTTCTCTCCTTCTTCTTCGCGCTTCTCTCTCCCGCCGCTTGCTTCTTCTTTCCCTCGAAAAACTGGTGTTACTGTGAGTTTCTCGTTTGAAATTTGGGGATTTCTTAAAGAATTCACTGAGAAGCATTAATTGAGAAGAAGGTTATAGAGGTGGGTTTAGTGTATGGTTTCTCGTTTTTTAGTTGTTGATATCACTCTACTTGAGTGATTTCTGAGAATTTGCTTTGGTGGCTTCTCTGGTTTCATTGGTTTTGTGAATGCTATGTGTCTAATTCAATTTGAGAAAGCTTGTAGTTCAATTTTAAACCTTCTTTAGAAATCTCTCTGGGGAAAACAGATTGTGAGGCTTAGTTTTGTTCATAAATTGCTTTAAGTAAACCTTTTTCATGCACTTGTTATAGTTCAGTTACATGTATATTGACTCTGTTTACTGTGTTCAGGTATTCTTGCTGCATCTACAATTGTCCTGAAATTTTATTATAATGGAGGGATGTGAAGCTTCTGCTTCTTCTTTAGCTGGCTTTACCGGTAGGAGAAGGAGAAGCGGTCTGCCTCGTCGACCCCGCCATATAAAAGGGAGCGCCCATAGTTTCAAGTTCTTCCCACTCTCAACACAGGCAAACACTGCTCTTAGCAATGAAGCTAACCCAAGTTCTAGGAACACCAATAGTCTCTGTGGGTCTGTGAGTGAGAACAAACTGAAACTGAAGCTTAAGCTTGGTGGTGGTGTTACTCGTACGTTGCAAACCAACTCTGAGGCGGGTGTTTATACCAAAGCTTTGGTAATAGTCTTATCTGTTAAAAGCTTTGATTTTATCCTTCATTATACTTATTGTTAGCTTTCTCTCTTTGCTGATATACGAGAGTAATGCAGGATAATGGACAAAAGCCATTTCAAAATAAGGTAAAAGGCAATGGACTTGAGCAGAGACATGTTCAGAAAACACTGTTTCTAGGAGATATCCATCAATCTAGAGGATATCCGTCTGTGACTGGGAACCGAATCTCCATGTCTGAGAAGAGCAAACGAGGTCTTAAGAAACGTGTATTGGATCCTGAACCAGACAGTGATGATGATGGAGATGAGGAAATCAGATACCTCGTAAAGTTAAAGTCTAAAAGGGTCAGGGACTCTCATGAAAGTAAAGAGAGTGAAGGAGGCACAAGGATACACAGCAATGGTCATGACTTGGAAGACAGAAAACATCTCTCATCAGACAAACTTGCTGTATCGGGAAGGAAAAAGCCGAAGATGGGAATGGTTGATCCGCTCCCAGCAGGAGCGACAAGCGGACAAATTCCTACTACACGTACTCGGGCTCTCCAATCTGGAACGGATCCACATTCTGTCATTGGGTCGGGGCCTCTTGAATTCCCTGATGGCTTACCTTGCCCCTCATCTAAAAGTGAGTTGCACCTTTTTTCCCTTTCTCAGAACAAATTGATGCCTGCAAATACTGAATCTCTAAAACTTGAACAATCCAGGACCAAAACAGAAGCTTTCTGAGGTAGAGCAACAATCCAAGAAGGCCGAAGCTGCACAGAGACGGCGAATGCAGTCTGAGAAGGCTGCCCAAGAAGCCGAGGTAAAGTTAATCCTCTTTTTTCCCGGTTAGTTTATAATGCCAACACAATCGGAATACAGAACAATTTAATCACTTCTTCTTTGTCTTCTTCACCAGGCTGAAGCTATCAGGAAAATACTTGGGCAAGATTCTGGGAGAAAGAAAAAAGAGGAGAAGATCAAAAAACAACAGGAAGAACGAGCTCAGGTAGATTTGATTGCAGATGTCATCTTAGAAACTCTCTCTCTCTCTGTGTTCTGACTTCATCTTTCCTCTTCTCAGGAGAGAGCTGCAAGATCAAGCACACTCGCATCAAACACTATCAGATTGGTGATTGGTCCAAGTGGAACAACTATGACATTTTCTGAAGACATTGGTCTTCCGGATATCTTCAAGCCAATCACGTATAGGTAAGCAAACATCTGAGGATATATAGAATCATATATATAACAGTATGTGGAATTGTGAGGTTTTTTTTATTGTGTTTCTATGGATCTGTCTTCAGTTATCCTCCTCCACGAGAGAAATGTGTGGGACCAAATTGCGAGAAAGCTTACAAGTACAGGGATTCAAAGTCGAAGCTGCCATTATGCAGTCTCGGATGTTACAAGGCCATTCAAGAGAAGATGGAACAAGCACTGATTCATTGCTAATTGCTTAAAAGGTTTTTGTTAAATATATTTATATAACACATAATTGTTGCTGAACATGAACCAAACTTTAGCCTCCTTTGTTTAACTCTTGTTCAAGGACGGAAGGACCTCGGACCTGGAATTTTGGTTGCTGAGCCCATAAGAATCGAATTGACCCTTAAATTTTCAGTTTACTTGATATTCATTTTTTCTAATATATACATATTGAACAAAGTCTTAAATCCAACAGGACGGTAAAAATCAAAAACAATACGAGTTTTGCTAGAAAATCAGTTTCTTTTTTCCAAGGCCAGCACAGTTTTTTATTTATCGACTGGTAACAGATTATGTAATCGAAGAGAATTTAGTCTTCCATTCGAAACAATGTTTCCATTTTTTTTGTTTTGTTAATTTATCGCAAGAGTTCTTGGGCCTAGCTTTATCCAGGCATTAAAAAAATTCTCTTTCAAATCTCATCCCGTTTAAAACAAAAAAAAAAAGAAAAAACTGTGGCTGCTGGGATTCGAGCCCAGGTCTCCACGGCCACAACGTGGAATTCTTACCACTAAACTACAGCCACTTTTGTTGGCAGCATTAGGAAAATAAAATAGATAAAACGTTTAAAATTGATTTAACCTTTTAAAATTGATTTTAACAGAAAAGTTTAAAATTGATTTTAACAGAAAACGAACCACTGTTTAGGTTTTTTTTTGACGCAGATGTTGTTATGTAACGGGAATTTATATGCTTTTGGGGAAACGTAACGTCGAAGAAGGGAGACATTCCCAAGCTTCTCAAAAGAATATGGAACTCATGTACAGTATAAAAGTAAAAGAAGACAATTAGGTTTGGACTTGGATCACGCATGTTAAGAATGTTGGAAGTTGCTGACTTAAGTATGGTAGTTATGTTGGATTATTTCATTAAGAACAACTTGTAACCAAAAGAACCTTTTCACGATACAAAACCAAATCCAATACCTGAATACAAAAATATCAAAAATCTTATATCTCATGTGTAACATCTAACTGTTAAAAAAAGAAAGAAAAATATAACACACTTTGGCTGCTGTAAAACCTAACACACAGCGAAGAGAGACGCATTTCCAGAAAAAACAAAAAGATTTAAATAAGGAAACCATTAGGAACTTGAATTAAGAAGAGTTAGTTGCTGATAGACCATGTCTTACAATATGCAATTGACCAGACCAGAGAGACTGCTAAGTTTTTTCAAAGATGAATATTATAAAATAAAAAACGGCTGCAAACACTACGGACGAAGAACCCGTTACCTCCTCTCAAATGGCGCTCACTATACATTTCTTCCTCCGTTGGTTGCCCAAAGCTTTCTTTTGCGGTTTCTCATGTCTCAGTCTGCACTCTGAAGGTTTTATTTGCACCCATGAGAGTGCCTTCCATCCCCAGCCACAACTAAAGAGTCCAGAGTGTTAAAATCTCAGGATCCATTTACAGCCATTTCAGGTGATGATTTTGGAGCTACTACCAGAGATTCTTCCCCATTTAGCTTTCCATTGTCTGATGTTTCCTGTTCAGAACTCGATACTCCATCATCCTTATGATTTTCATCATCTGAACTGCTGCTATTAGTCTCTTCACTACTTCTTGAGTCCTCCGCTCCCTTGGCCACTATTGACCGGGCTGCAGATCCTGCGGTGCCTGGACTTTTCTTACCCGTAAGCACTGCATGGCTCAGTGTCGAACATAACACAGCAAATACATTTTCCCTTTTCGAACTTTTCCCCAGCCGTGGTTTCTTGGACGGCTCTTGTTCTCTTTCTACGCAAGGGGATTTGCGTTTCAGTCTAAGGAGCTCGCCCTCCTCATCCTCAGAGGCTTCTGGCTGTTTCCGGGGAGGAGGTTTATAGTCTTCATCATCTTCATCGTCCTCATAATCAACCAAGCCTCCAGACCTCGGACTATAGAAGCAATAAATCCATTAAAACATAGATGTTGCATTATATATACATTTCACGAATTTCCATAGTGGAACTACTATACCTTGAAGAAGTAGGGCTTGAAGCCACTCCATTGGAAAGATGAGGCTTAGGTTGTTCTTTCTGTATATTAGAAGCAGGTTTTTCCTTTTGTGTGTTAGAAGCAGAGGCTGAATCTTCTTCATCGCTGTCAGTATTAAAAAAAAAGTGTGAGAAAAGGTGAAGCGTAAAAGAAATAAAAAAATCCAAGTTTTAACACCCAGTGGTAAACCTGTCTTCATTGAAATAATCTTCCTCCTCTTTCTCCAATGCACGCTCGTCAATTCTTCTTCTTGGATCAACCGCATCAGCAGTGCTTTTTGGTCCGGCACTTTCTAAACACTGAGGACACATTGTTACACAAAGATACAGACAAAATTTTCTGAAGTTTAATTCAAGACCCAGAAACAGTACCTGTTCATACTTAACCTTGAAAGCCTGGATGGAGGTCAAGCACTGAAATGGGGCCAACTGGTCCCAGAACGTATCAACTATGTATTTGAGCAACAGAGTTGCATTTCCCTACACAAAAAGAATAAAGGATAAGTAATACAATTAGAATCCCTACCTTACTAAATAAAAGGGAAAAAGGTGGAAAACAAAAACCTTGCGTATGTGCTCAAGCAGATCCAAGACTGCAGAGTTCAGCAGATTGTACCGGTTTCCATTGGCAATGAAGACATCTATGATCGGTTTCAGCATGTTGTTTTTAACGATGTAATTCTGGACATAATCATCCTGAAATAGAAATATATTTCAGCAATTACATAGCAGTCCTAGAAACATCCTGATGAGATATTTAGCAGTCATGATAGAGAATCAAAGGTAGCCCCAGTGCAGAAGAAAAGGTTGTCACAAGCAGTTTAATCCTTTACAGAAAGCCTACGATATGATACCTACTACTTGGAAAAATTTGGGCAGTAGGATAAGTTTATGTAACTATTTTAGCAAAAAACATGATTAGCTACATCAATATGCCTCAATTTTTTAGCTACAGGGAGCAATCAGGAACCATTTCAAATGACCAAAATATATCGTCTCAGGTTCAAACAATCTACTCACATGGACAGAGAGGAGAGTACGGACAAATCGTATAGCAGCGACCACTAGGTATTTTTCCTTTCTCCGTGTGAGATGCAAAACCTTTTCAGTCACATTGTTTTGGAGAAAACTGCATCTGCAGAAAAGAAGAAATTGCACAATAAAATGAATGCCAGCATGAGAATGAATCAGAGTTATACCAAACTAAGAATCATAATTACTTTGTTCTGGATGCATCTTGCATAATGCAAAAGCACAACAATTCACATATGTTCAACAGGACTTCAGGCTTTGTGAAAATCCTTCTTGTAGCACCTTCAGATGTGTTGCCCGACTTCTCAGGACATGAGGCAGTAATAACATCCACTAACTCAGGTAGATGCTTCTCGTAGAAGATATCCATGATATTCGCTCTCTGCTAAAACGGAATGCATCAAGTACACAATAGATATAAGAATGTCTATCTACAAGATTAGAGGAGACAAATGGGTAAGGGAACACAAAATTTTAGGGCCTTAAACATTCTAGCAGATATCATGATGCACACTGTATACAAAGTTTTAGTATCGCCAACATTTTAAAATAATACTCTTGAATATAGTCTCTTCTGCTTATTCAGGGACATGCAAGAATAACAAGTCCAGCTGGAAAGTAAGAGAAAGACTTGGAACTTATTCTTGTCAAGCTTAACTATGCACGGATTCAAAAAGGTACACAAATCAGGGGGAGAATACCACCCCGTTCCAATTATCAGAAAATAAGGTATTGAAAGGAAACAAGGATGCACCTGAGCCCCACCAGACAATGCATTTGCATCAAGTAAGGTTCGGATAATTTCTAGAAATTGGCAATGCATCTTATCGCCAAAGTCATCCATCATTCCCTTGACCTATTACCCAAAGAGCCAATTATTATTTCAGTCCTAAAAAACGAAAACAGGAATAGCCTTGCAACTGAAGAACAATCCAAAGGCTACCAAAGATCACAGAAAATTACCAGGAGACCGAGGAGGGGGTTTCCTTCTGTCCGAACAACATAAGAACGTAAAAGGTTGGGGTCTTGAGTCAAGAAAAGAATCAGGATATCTGTCCTGCATCCACAACAATAGTTATCTGGAGTATTCAGCTAGCAAATTACCACTGAGATTTCTTAAAGGTATAAGAAAATAGAAACAGAGCGACCACAATGAGCTTTTATGTCTAATAAAGTAATAATTAGTCAGTAAAATAGTATACCCAGTCAATACGAGTTTTTTGTCTGGAATCTGCAAGACATCTTCTATGACATGAAAAATGCCTTCATTAATAAGGTCCCTGAAAAAACATTGAAAAGACAGCCAGTTGAGAAAAAGATCATCAAAGAAGATTCTTAAAGAAGCACTTGACAAAGAACAGTCACGATACCATAATAGCTACTACAAATGTTCTGAAGCCAGTAACTGTTAAACACCAGTCGGATTTAGGTTCTGGTAAATACATACCTAAAAAGTCGCAGCTGCTGCACCACCTGGAGGCTCTTGCTTAAACTACAAAATTCGTGCAAGAAATATACCTATTTATAGAGAATGAAAACACATCAGTCTGACTAGCTCAATTGAACAGCCATATCATACTAACGAAGATCTATCGTTTCCATCTGTTGTCACATGTAGATCATCTCAACACAGAAAGGGGATCCCAAAAATAATCTCTTACTCCCAAAATAACTTTCATAAATGTTATTCACGAATACAAAACCATTGAGGCTTAAAATAAATAGCAAATGCCTCTTGAAGCCGGGAAATACCAAATTTTTCTTGGATTCCATAGATGTAGAAGGCGACCTCAACCTTGCAAATAACTCTTGAATAAAAGTGCTATCGTCCTTCAGCAATGAAACTACCTGGAGAAGATACACTTCAGATAAAGAAAGAACATGGAATGCAGGCTTGCAATGTCATGTATGTGATAGCATTTATATGGAAAACTTACAATTGCATTGTTCGCATGGATTACTGAATTCAAGTTTGCAACTATAGCATCATCTAGTACTCTAGCCAAAACAACATCCTGTAAAAGGTGACAGAAGGTGAGAGACCTAAAACCACAAGAAACAGGTCGTAAAGGTTTTTAGAAAAATTATGGGATCCAACCTTCAAGTAACCAATTCTGTACGTCTGGTGTATCTTCGACAGGACTAAGGGATCTTTAATTGGTATAGCCTACAAAGATAAAGGAAAAAAATCCAATCATCCTCATTTCTAAAAGCCAAAGAACGCTAATCCCAAAGTATCCATAGTGAGCATGCTCTTTTCTTACCAAAAAAATAAAAGAAATTGTGTTCTAGTCACAAGAAAAGTGTCAAATATTTCCTAAGTACAGTCTATGTTAACTGGTTCTGACCAACGTAAAATCAATAGCATAAGGCAAGATTGTGTTACCTCCTTAAAAACAACATGCTCCTTCAGAAAATTCCGGTGATGCTGAGAGTGAGGAACACCGGGATCATCTGTGAGGTGTAACAACATGCAGCGTCATTTATTGCTAAATATAGGCAACGGCCAAAATAAGAGCAAGAAACAAACTGGATATAATATACGCAGTCGCAAATGCAAACCCTTAAGAACATGGCTATATGATCCAGCAAGGAACTATTTACCTAATAACTAAAGAAACCTAAGTTTTTGGTGTCCATGAACAACTTAGGATATGAAACCAAAGGTACAATCCTCGACATCTATGGGCAAGAAAGTTCCAATATAAGTCTCAACAGAATCTAATTAGTATCTAGAAGGCCTATGCAACAGATATCCAACCGCTACATTCTGAGATAATGCCTGTCATTATTTTTACAACATTTACATCATTAACTTTGACCAATGACATCAAACTTACATTCAAGGCATCCGATAATCTCCATAATCAATTCATCTCCAAATATTTTCTCCAAGATCTGAGAACTGTTAAGCAAAACTGCGTATAAAAGATATAAGAAATAATGGACATCAAAAGATAATTCTGAAATATGTGGATGTAAGACATGATAATTATATGTTTGTGAATACTAACTGATTCCCTTGACAATGTTGAATATCATGTGAAGGCCATCAACATTTTCCAAGTCCTCACATATTTTAAATACACCCATCAGATTCCGGAAGAAATCATGCTGCACCAAGGGAAAAGGTAGATTAAGGAGGTTTCCAGAATCTCCTTCTAAAGAAATGATAACAGTATATAAAGTAACGAGCTGACACTGAAATCACAAACTTTAAGCACCTTAAAGATGAAAATACAAAGAAAATAGGGCTCAATGTTTCAATAATGATGTTTTTGCTAGAGCTTGTTTGTAAATATGAAAAACCATAAGTCTACTGACAGCATCAAAGAAGAACCTGAGAATGGTATAAGATTAATGGAAAGAATACAAGAATACTCAAGTACTCACATCCTTCAAAATAAGTTCAGTTAGCCGCATCTGATCTGTAATGCCACTCTCTGTAACAATCTGCAAGGAAGATGGAAATATATAATTAAATCTTTGGGAAAACAAATCCCAGGAAACAAATTCAGAGCATCAATAGACATTATTAGTAAACAAGAAACTTCCACAGATTGATAGCACATTCATGCACACTGAGAGGATAAATATAACAGTGAGAAAGACCATTCTAATTCTGGGAGTCACAAATGGATAAAAATAGATTTTTCAAATCATATTAATCCTCCAGACAGTAAAAAGTCCAATGATGACGGAAAAAAGGCACCGCAAAACATTCGAGAGGCGAAAACAATAAAATGATGCCGTCATAAATATTTTGCACTTTTCCGCAGACAAGAGATAGGTAAAGAATACTATCTTAATGAAATACAACATCAATACAGCATAGGGGCAGTGTAGAATTTTAAAACCTTCAGTATTAGGGGAAGAGTCGTAAGCTCTACAGCAGGAAGCTCCCTCAACTCACTATTCAAGCTGTGAAATGTTTCGCCTGTTCAATAACAGATGATTATATAATCAGTAAAACTCTCAAGTTACTTTTACAGTAAAATTGAAATGCAAACTTTGAATCTAATTAGGATACAGTTTCAAGATTAAGCATTTATATTAGATATTTTTAAAAAAGCCCAGTTAGTAGAAAGTTTAAATCACCATGCAAGCGCTAATAAATCTTTACATTCAAATATTCTCATATCCAAATACCCACGGATCAACAAACCTAGCTAAAGCCCTTGCATTACCATTACAAAAAACTGAAACACACTCCAAAATTCATTTAAGTGACACTATAAAATATATGGAATAAGCATATCTTAAATATATAATAAAAAGGCAAATAACGATCAACAAAGATGTTCTCAACTAATATAAATCCTCGAGAAGAAGTTTCTTACTGTTAAGAGAGCTGAAATGCAAATTTCGTTGCATAGTGCAGATTTGATCCCTGAATATTAAAAACACCATTTTTGCAGTCAAGAATATTGTAATATTTGTATAAATGAGGGGTGACAGGAAGAGGATAATAGGAAAACGGTCTTCACTCACCATACATAAGAGCACCCTGCAGTCTCTTGAAAGCTTAAAGCCAATTCTGTTGAGCGCTCTGGGTCTCTCCATGAGATTATTGTGTCTGTACATTGAAACAGATACCAATTATCTAAAAAACCAGAAAACCCCAAAATATCTTAGCTAATCAAACCACAATGCACAAAGGCTACCTTCTTGTTTCCTATAAATGTCCTCAGGGTTGATGGGATGAACAAGTAACGTCTCGTTATCTTCTTCATCAATTACGCATAGACTGAGTTCTTCAGATCGCTGCATCATATAGCATTTCCATTTAGCTACAAATTCTGGAAATATTTGTTACATAATAAGTGCTGCAGAATACCGGCAGCAGGAGTAATTCAGGAAGTCAATTAGAATCACAACAGACCTCCACAAAGTCGATGCTTACGTGCCCAGTTCCTCGATCATCCCATTTACCATCTTCATTCAAATGATAGACCTTCACTCTCTGAACAATGAATACAAGAGTAAGAAGGCAGTTCCCAGAGTGTATAGAAGAAAGAAAACAAACCCTTCATCTCAATTCAACACAATTCATCAAAACAACACAACTTCCTAGTGTATCAATAATTGAGATCCGTTTTATCTGAAGAAGTAAGGTCTACCACATGGTGGAATAGCTACTCCAGATTATCGGGTATGGTACACTGTTCAAAACAGGATAAACACCCACAGAAACTAGTGAGCCTACGCTAAACCCCTGGGAAACTAATAAAATCACAAACCATAGAAACGAGTCTAATTACAAATCTCATCTTCTGTGTGCTCTAAAAACTGAGACACCTATTGAATTGGACGGTAATTCCGTGAGTCACTATGAATTTCATCAATAAATAACACAGCTCAGAAGCAGGAGTGATTTAATATGAATACAGAAGCTCTACAAGAAATTCTACTAATCAAGACAAACCCAGCTCGAATCAAGTGAGCCAATAAAGTATAACAAAGAGAGAGCTAGAGACACACCTGCATCGAATTGGTATTAGATTGCGATTTCTCAGGGGCGCCCATCACTGATTTTCCCACCTCCAACACCAAATCGAGCCGAGAAAGTGGAAATAATGACCGACGGTAGTAAAGTTAGGGTTTTGGAGCAACGAGAGAGGATAGGAATTAGACGCCGTCGATATAGGCGGGAGATTCAGTTCTCGAAGGGGACGAAATCAAACAAAAAGAAACCCTAATTACCAAACGGAGCATCAAAAAAACTTTGACATTCTCTCTCTAGCTTTTTATTTTCTTCTGCGAAAGCTTTCCCCAACCTTCGAAACCCGAAAGAAGAGAGAAGAAAGAAGAAAAAAAAAAAAAAAATTAAAGCAGCAGAAAAATAATATAATTCTTCATACGTTATGAACCAAATTCCGTTAATACCCTCAGTATCCATTGTTATTCACTAAAAGGCCATCGAGCTATACCCACGCGCTCCTTTGCCGCGAGTTAGTTCGCTCTCTTTAAAAATGACAGCCTGTGACGTAGAAGAAATGACAAGCGGAAATGTTTTGTCTGTGTAAAAAGCACGTTACATCCAATGAAAATGCACCAGGTGGGACTTTGATAGTTGTTGCCGTGAGATTAGTGATGCTCTGAAGTGCATAGGCTTATGTGGTCAAAGAAATAACCACGTGGCATTAGGTAGTTGGTAGATCTATCCGAAGTGCGACTAAGAGGCGAGACAAGGGAATCGAAACCACGACACGAGCTTTGTATACTTCGTGTGCTTAAACAAGGGTTCTTTCGTCATCATCCACTTTATCAATTTTTATTTTCACTTTACTTCCATAGTCACCACATCCACGAAAAAAACATATAATTTTACAAATTGCCAAATTGTGTTCTAACGTTTTCATTCTCATAGTGAATAAGTTTTAACGTTTTTTTAAACAAATTCCCAATTATTTTTTCAGGTTGTTAATCAATATTGGCGATTTAAAACCAATGGGATGCAAAGCAGATGCACTATTTTCCACAAATGAAGTCTCAATTTGATAAACTGGATATTAAAACTCAGCTTGCACAGATCAAGCAACAGGAACGAAAGTATTGTCAATGATCACTCAAATAGCAAACCATAGAACGCAAAAGTGAACCATCAAATGGCGAAGCTACATGTGATTTAAAAGCCCCCAGTATAAACACGAAACCTCTAATTTGTAGATCAAATTCGGCTATCAGCTTTCAGGTCTACTACATATACATAAATGTGTAACCATCTAAGAATTGGCATCGAAACAAGAAACTTGCAGATAATAGAAGATAAATAGAAAACTGCTGATATTAAATTAAGTCCAGGAGAAGAGAGTACACAAACCACAATTGCGTAATCAAAAGAGCAAAGTAAATTCGTTCCTTTGTCTAAGAAAGTCTCAAACTCATAAAAAAACTTAAAAATGTCTCACAGAGAATCAAAATACTTATTCTTCAGCGCTAGCATTCTCGCCGGCCTTGATGTTGTGCTTCCTTGCGTACCTCTGGTTCCTCAGGAACTTAGGATCCATCTACAAACATTTCACAAAACACACAAAAATCAAACTCCGAAACTATAACCCGAATCTGAAATCATTGAGGTTTGAACTGTAAAAAGAGACTTACTCCTCTGGTTGGGGTGTGACGGTGCCTCCTTGGCTTCTTGATTCCGTTCTTGTGGGCTTTCGCCGACTGGTTATGCGCCGTGTGATTCTTCGACTTGGCCATCTCTGTGACAAGACCACAATACAACTATTCAATTCAATTACGAAGGAAAGAACTGAGAGAAATGAAGACTGGGATCGGCCGGAGATAAAAGCTAACCTGAGTAAGGGAGAGAGAGAGAGAGGTAGATCTGCTCGGCTAGGTTTGCTTTCTGAGATACAAATACGGCCTCTGCAACAAAAACCCTAATTTCTGGTTGGATTTATTGTGGACTTTAAATGACCAAAGTGCCCTAATAAATCATATATGGGCCTAGTTAATCTATCTCGTTGCTAAATCATATAAGCCCATAAAATGAGAATGTCTATCTACAAGATTAGAGGAGACAAATGGGTAAGGGAACACAAAATTTCAGGGCCTTAAACATTCTAGCAGATATCATGATGAACACTGTATACAAAGTTTTAGTATCGCCAACATTTTAATATATTCTCTTCTGCTTGTGTTTTGATGATTGCATAAATTAGATGATCAAATTTGATTGAGAAAATCATTTGCTTTTTGATGATATCTGGAATCTAGATGATCATATCTCTCAATATTGGATACATTTATCATGATCAGTTAAAAAACAGGAGCTAGAATTGGGGATAGTTTTATTTGGAGACTGTCCTGCATTCTCATTAGATCAATCTATGCTTCAAACATTGTTAGACTCTTTCTCAGTGATCTTGAGTTCTCAGTGATATTGGATTGTGATTAGATGCTAAATGCAGTCGATTATTCTAAGTTCTTATGGTTCAGACATTGTTACTCTCTGTCTCCTCTTATAATGGTGAAAAGATTTGCGAAGTTTTAGTATTTCTGTCATATAGAAGATACTAAAGACATTCCTGCATTCTCTTTGCGTATAATGATTTAGTTGGTGGTTAAGCTTTGTTAGATGCTATATGCAATCAATTAGTGCTTATGGTTCAAGACATTGTAACACTCTCACCTCACTTTGCCGCATCCTGCATCATCCAAAGAGGAGAAATGTTGACTTCAGAATATTTTTTTTTTGCTTTATTAACTTGCAAACTCCAATGAACAGATCTCAGTCATATCGGGATTGCTTGGTCTACTCGTTGACCTAATGATCATCATCCCATCACGAATGCCTGTAAACGAAAGATTGGTTAATCGGGGTAGTCGTTCTTCACATATGGACCTTTCTGGTAAGAGAATCATCAGGGGACTTTATACAAAGAATCGTTTTATTGCGGAGCAACTAATGAATCTGCTTTTTCCTGTATTCTCTTAGACAATGCTCACACCTATCAACTGTTTCGCGACAAAGGCATGGCGGGAAAAGTTCAAGAGAATCAGAGACGTGGGGGAATCAATAAGCTTCCTTCGATGTGGTTGCTTCAAGATGTGATTGGTTCGATCATAACCACACTTCTAAGCACACTCTGCATCCCTTACTTGCTCTTGAAGTCCTTATTCCCACTGCTTGGATTTTCCCATAGCGTCAATCCAGCTATTGAGCGGTTTATCTAGCCGGCGGTGTTAGCCTTGATTGCGGTCTGGTTCATGGCCAAGCAAACTTATGATCTCGTCAGTTACTTTCATAGGTTGGTCTTCTATGATCGGTATGTAGTCGTTGAAAGAGTGAACAATCTGACTGAGGATATCTAGAGAGAAATGACTAATCCATGTATGACAAACAACGACTTTTCTTTGGGTAGGAAAAAATGTATAAACACAAACGTAAATTCAAAACTCAAAAAGTTATAATAATCGAGGTCTATGTATGTTAACCTTAAGATAATCACAGTCCACTTGTAAGTCATGAAAACAAAAGGATCTTCAAATTCTTGAGATAAAAAGAATAATACATAAGATTGCCTCAAATAACAAAAGTAAGGATTAATTATGTAAATAACCTAATTGTGGACACTTATTTGCATAAAATAAATAGTGGCAAAGTTGTAAATAAGTAAATATTCTTTTCCTTTTTAGCAATTATAAATTGGTAACAAATATTAAAAAAAAAAAGTGCTTTCATTCTTTGGTTGCGCTGTTGTCAACTTGTCCCTCGCTGCCTCTGCTTCTTAACTCTTTATCACTTTTTCACTCCCAAATCAATTTTTAGGGTTTTTTTTTTAATTTAATTTGCTCTCCGCAGGATCTATATATACACAAACCACTCGTTGCGTGTGTCTGTGAGCATTCATTGATCGGGTTAATTTCTCTTTTATTGGATTTTCCTTGTCGAGCCAGAGCCATGTCGCTGAGACCCAACGCCAGGACGGAGGTTCGCCGGAACCGGTACAAAGTTGCAGTGGATGCGGAGGAAGGACGACGGAGGAGAGAGGACAACATGGTTGAGATCCGTAAAAGTAAGCGTGAGGAGAGTTTGATGAAGAAGAGACGTGAAGGTATGCAAGCTCTTCAGGATTTCCCTTCTGCTTCCGCCGCTCCTCATGCCGCCTCCGTCGATAAGAAGGTACAGTTCGATTGTACCCTGTAGTCGGTTTTCTAGGTTTTTGTTTGTGATTTCATGTCGGCTTAGTGAGGTTTTAGGGTTTCGTTTTAGGATTCTAGCTACGGTAATTGTCTTATAATTTGATTGGCTTGAAAATTTTTTGTAGTTGGAGAGTTTGCAGGATATGATCGCTGGGGTTTTGTCCGATGATCCTGCCTTGCAGCTTGAGTCCACTACTCAGTTCAGGAAGCTTCTCTCTATTGGTAATTCGTCGTATTCTTAAATCTCTTTAATTCGCGTTTTGATTTTATTTTGAGTGTCCCCTTTAACTTTTGTCTCCGTCTGTATTATATATATATGCATAGAGAGAAGTCCTCCAATCGAGGAAGTGATAGCTGCTGGTGTTGTTCCTCGGTTCGTTGAGTTTCTTAAGAAAGAAGATTACCCCGCGATTCAGGTGAGATAATGTCTGTCTCTTTCTTTTGATTCATTCTTCACTGTAATCTTCTCTTCTCATCTTTTTTGATTTTTTTTTTCTAGTTTGAGGCAGCTTGGGCTCTGACAAACATTGCATCTGGAACATCGGATCACACTAAGGTTGTAATCGATCACAATGCTGTTCCAATCTTTGTCCAGCTTCTTGCTTCCCCTAGCGATGATGTCCGTGAGCAGGTATGGAACTTCTGATGATTACAGAATGTGTTGTCATTTTTATTATGGGAGATTATGAAATGGAGAATTTGTAAAACCCTGATCTTAACATTACCCTCTAACCTGCAGGCTGTATGGGCTTTGGGTAACGTTGCTGGTGATTCACCACGGTGCCGTGATCTTGTTCTTGGATGTAGGGCACTGCTTCCGCTGCTCAATCAGCTTAATGAGCATGCCAAATTGTCCATGCTTCGAAATGCCACATGGACCTTGTCAAACTTCTGTCGTGGCAAGCCTCAGCCTCACTTTGACCAGGTCTTCTATTTTTTTCCCTCCAGACTTGTTTCTTCAATGTTTATGTCTAGTATTCTTTTAATATATGAAGCATGTTTAACAGGTGAAACCTGCTCTTCCGGCCCTTGAACGACTAATTCATTCAAATGATGAAGAAGTCTTGACAGATGCCTGTTGGGCTCTCTCATACCTCTCTGATGGGACCAATGACAAAATCCAGACTGTCATCGAGGCCGGTGTTGTCACAAGACTTGTTGAACTTCTCCTGTCAGTACCATTTTTTAATTCTCTTTATTTCATGTCCACTTCACACATGTCTTGACAAATAACTTGATACCTTGCTCTTGATTTTTCAGCCATCCTTCTCCATCTGTGCTAATTCCTGCACTTCGCACTGTCGGAAATATAGTTACTGGAGATGATTTACAGACACAGGTATGGATCTAAATGCTGTCTATTGAATTTCTCACAGTATTTATGTTGTGAACATCGTATATGAAGTTCCTATTGTATTTCTCATAGTCAACTCTGTGGAGAACCCTTTGGCCTTTAGGATAGTTCTGAAGATACCACTAGAACTTTTCATTAATTGAACCGATAGCAGAAACATGTTAAAGTTAGTGGTATACCATGCATATCATCTCAAGACTGGTAATGCGATCAAGTGTTGTCCCAATGTATGCTAGACCCTGTTGCTGTTATTCATATCCAACATATTATCAGAATAATGAGAGTATTGAATGCTTATCATTAGATCCTCCCTCTGATGCCACTCTGTCCATATTAGTAGATAGGATGCAGTTCATTTTTTGCTATATCTTGCTTGTGTTTGATTTTTGTTGCAATTAATTCTTGTTTTACGTTTTAAACCAACAACCATGCACAAACTTTTTGCTTGGTGAAATTTTGTTTTTTCATGAGTTTATCAAAGTTGACTTTTCTATATCTGAAATAGCTTACATAGTTTACTTGGAAATCTGATTCACTTTTTCTCCAGTGGGTGATCAATAGTGGTGCTCTACCTTGTCTTGCCAACCTGCTCACTCAAAACTATAAGAAAAGCATAAAGAAGGAAGCTTGCTGGACGATTTCAAACATCACAGCTGGCAACAAAGATCAGATCCAGGTAGGCAATTCCTACTGTTTCATCATATGTTTTGTACCGTTTCCCATCCAGACTTCTATAAACCTATTAATTAATAATTGTGTTGTTTCCCCCCCCCCCCCCCCCCAATGGTTGCAGACGGTAGTTGAGGCTAATTTGATTGCCCCGTTGGTGAGTCTGCTTCAAAATGCTGAATTTGACATTAAGAAAGAAGCTGCATGGGCAATTTCAAATGCAACTTCAGGTGGTTCTCATGATCAAATCAAGTATGTCACTGTCTTTTTTTGTTCCTCTTAACTTCCAGTTCCTTCTCTCGTATATATACTTTGGGTCTATATAGTAATATATTGATGTTCTGTTCCCGTTGGTTATACAGACACCTGGTGGAGCAAGGATGCATAAAACCATTATGCGATCTCCTAGTATGCCCAGATCCAAGAATCATAACGGTGTGCCTTGAAGGATTGGAAAACATTTTGAAGGTGGGAGAGGCAGAGAAGAACTTGGGTAACACAGGAGACATGAACTATTACGCTCAGCTGATTGATGATGCAGAAGGGCTAGAAAAGATTGAGAACCTTCAGAGCCATGACAACAATGAGATCTATGAGAAGGCTGTTAAAATTCTGGAGACATACTGGCTTGAAGAGGAAGATGATGAGACACAGCAACCTCCAGGTGTTGATGGTTCTCAGGCTGGGTTCCAGTTTGGAGGGAATCAAGCTCCAGTCCCATCCGGAGGATTCAACTTCAGCTGAAGGTAAAAAAAATGTACAAATTCTAACAACGTCTCTTGATGAAAACATGCAAAATCTGATATTTTAGATCTGAAACACAAACCCACAGGAATGGAATTGGAAGCTTGCAACTTGAGAATGGTGAAAGGTCAGAGTCAGTCAGAGTCTAGTTTCATTGCCAGGGTTATAGCCCTGGTCTGGTCTGGTCTGGTCTCAGAGGTCTGTACCGGGTGGTCGGTTTAAAAGTACAGAGTCTGAGAAAGTGTTTGGTTTCATTGTCCAGGGCTATTTTTTTGAAATGACTGGTACACCGGTCGTGGGTCGTGAGTCGACTTTTGTGTTGTTTTTAAATTGTTGAGGTTTATAAATTTTACACTGGAGTCTTTGTTTTTGTGTTCACAACAGTTTGTATGTCGGTTAAAAATGAAACCACAAACCCTTTTTGTCTTAATATGTTTGGTATCTGATAATGAATGTTTATTTGAATTATGAAGTAAGGCCAAGTATCTACATAAAAACAGAATTGATCAAATGAATTGACTTTACCTGAGCAGTAAATTGTAAAAAGACAAGAACTAATGAACTAGTTATTGTCGAAGTACAAAAGTTAAAACACTGTTGTTCAATTGCCTTATCGTCTAAAACCCGTCAAAAGCGATAACTGAAATCATTTTGCAGTAGTAATCGATTTCCGAAATGGCTCTTGTTCAATCCAGAACTCTTCCACACCTCAACCTCCCGTTGTCGCCTATTCTATCCTCCCTCCATGCTCCGGCTTCTCTCTTTCTCCGGAGGGAAATCCGACCGGTAGCCTCGCCGTTCTCCTCCTCCACCGCCGGAAACTTGCCCTTCTCGCCGTTGACGCGTCCGCGGAAGCTTCTCTGTCCTCCGCCTCGCGGCAAGTTTGTCAGAGAAGATTATCTTGTGGTACGGTCAATTTCTCGCTTTCTCTCTCGCTCTATCTCCAGATAGTCTTGTCGATTTCGAAATTTTCATGTTTGTTTTCGTTTTACGACTTCTTTTTCGTCTTTCAGGGAAATTAAGTTGGTTGGGCATAGATGTAGTTATATAAGAATGATATATGGTAGTTCTATCAAAGATTCGACCAATACACTGTTAAATGCTTCAGAATTGAGATTTTCTTAATTTGAATCGTATGAATGACTCTTGATACCATCAAGAGGGAGCCTCACTGATTGCTGGATGTTTTTTTTTTCCTTTTCTTATGGTTTGACAGAAGAAATTGTCAGCTCAAGAACTTCAAGAACTGGTGAAAGGAGATAGGAAGGTGCCCTTGATTGTTGATTTTTATGCGACATGGTGCGGACCTTGTATCTTGATGGCCCAGGAACTAGAAATGGTACCATGGATTCTCATAACTCATTTTTTTTTTACAAATTCTCCATTTCATTGGTTAATGTGTAGACTCTAGAATGCTTATATGTTTCCAAACATTGGCTATTGGAACCGGACCGGTTGTTCTTGTCACTTCTTGATATATTACTTGAGTCTTGAAATGTGATGGTTTATGATAAGGTTTTCTTGTTAAGTCTAGTGCAGTACTATTGTAACTAGCCTAGGAGTTGGGCTGTGAATTATAGCTTTGCTAGCTCAGCAACAAACCTTATAGTTTATTGAGATCTCAATGTTTAAAGAGGGGCTGTGAAAATTTATTGGGGGCACTGTGGAATTTTCTAATTTCTTGGTTTGGCAATGGACTAGAGTTAAAAGACTGCTCTCACTAATCAAGTCTCTTCTATGGTTTAGTTCTTTTGGTGAATTAGATAAAGCCAATCTTATCACTGTTTCTCCCATACTTTTTTGAAAGATTTATTTTTTCGCGTAGTTGGCATGTTTACATTTTCAATAGAAATGTTTTGAATTGTGAGATTGGAGAATCTCAGTATCTACTTCTTGCTTGGCTTTATCTTCTTGCTTTTCCACTCTGCAAATCTCATTATTTTAACTAGTTTTGGTCATTGTGAAACAGCTTGCAGTAGAGTATGAGAGCAATGCAATAATCGTGAAAGTCGATACAGATGATGAGTACGAGTTTGCACGCGACATGCAGGTAAACTGTAACTTGCAGCTTATGTTTTTTTTTTCATGAATCTCATCTCAGCATATCAATGTAATTTCTTACAATAACCAAATCTTGTTGTGATACAGGTTCGAGGCTTACCTACATTATTCTTCATCAGTCCTGATCCAAGCAAAGATGCAATCAGGACAGAAGGGCTAATTCCATTACAGATGATGCACGATATCATTGACAACGAGATGTGAAGTGTTTACTGAGGAAACACTTTCGTGCTTTATGATTGAATAGAATCACCGTAATTTAGGGTTGGTACCGAGTTGTTGCATTTGAGATGTGGTAAGAACGTCATCTAGGTTTCATAGATGAAGAATGTAATATTAAGACATTTCTTTATATGCAGTGTTAGTTTTTAGCCGTTGATCTGGCCGGATCGAAGTTATGTGGCACATCTAAATCACGGTCCGGTCCATGTAATATTGGTTACTAATAGCTTAAAAAGCCTTTTTCCATTTCTTGATTAACATTAAACCGATATTAAAGTATTGTTAAACACCATTATTAAAAAGCACCACGCCATTCGAAATGGCGCCCAAATTATGCGAAAATTTTCCCAAAGGGTTATGCGGAATATTTGGCGGGTGGCTCTATCCTGATATAAGAGGACGTATACATGGGTAATTTCGTCATTTAAAGCAATAAATTAAAGCTAGGGTTTAGCCGGACCAATTTCATTTATAATTGGGGCATTTGGTTTAGTTTTGTGCGGTATCTGTTGGGTCGTTTCGTTTCTTTGAAATTAAAAAAATATCTCTGTTTCCCTGACACTCTCTCTCTGTTTCTACTTTCAAGATTCAAATTTTTGTTTCCCCTGATCCACTCGTCTTTGAATTCATATCTGTTTCTTGCCACTCTGATCTCTATTTGAAACCCTAGATCCATATCTTCTCCACTTGACACTAGTTCACGATCTGCGGTTCTCGATCCCAAAACGAAGCTGGTAATGCTAGATTGCTAGATCCCACCGAGAAAACAGTGAGTGATCTGATTCCTTCTTCTTACTCTGATCTCTAGTTATCGGATTAATTAAGCTTAACGAGCTACTTCTGTGTTTAGGTTATCGATTTAGAAGCCATGGAAAGCAAACTCACATCAGTAGATGCGATCGAAGAACACAGCAGCAGTAGTAGCAGTAATGAAGGTATCAGCAACGAGAAGAAGAGTTGTGCCATTTGTGGTACTAGCAAAACCCCTCTTTGGCGAGGTGGTCCCGCCGGTCCCAAGGTTAGTCTCTTCTCGATCTTAATTTAACCTAATTGCTATCTGATTCGATCTGATCCGATCCGATCTGATTGCTTTTTGTGTAGTCGCTATGTAACGCATGCGGGATCAGAAACAGGAAGAAGAGAAGAACACTGATCTCAAATAGATCAGAAGATAAGAAGAAGAAGAATCAAAACAGAAATCCAAAGTTCGGTGACTCGTTGAAGCAGAGATTAATGGAATTGGGGAGAGAAGTGATGATGCAGCGATCAACGGCTGAGAATCAACGGCGGAAGAAGCTCGGCGAAGAAGAGCAAGCCGCTGTGTTACTCATGGCTCTCTCTTATGCTTCTTCCGTTTATGCTTAACGAATTTTCTGGATCTTAATCTTAAGTTTTAAGGTGAGATAATAATAATTAATTTTGTAGGATATGTAACGAATTAATGTGTAATTTTTTGTATGTGTTTTGTTGTGTTGTTTGAATTAACTAAATTTTGAAATTTTTGTATCTGGTTTATGTGATCTGGTGAAGAATGAATGAATGAAAGGTCAAGATGATTTTCTTCCGACAATTATATTTTATTGGAAAGTTTTGTCTTTATTAGGACAAGAATGGAGACTGCCTATCTGTCAAGCACATAGATTTTATTTTGAAACTTTTCACGAAAATTCTATTGTTCGAATTTGCCGCTTTTTTCCATTGAAACCTTAAAAAACAACCAAAATTTCTACTATGCTTTCCCTCGCTAATTCAATTTTTGTTTTTCGAAACAACTAATAATAAGAGAATCAATTCGATTTTGAAACTTTATTCTTTGGGCAGCAAAAACCAAGCCCATAGGATGAATAGTACTGCATGCAAAGGGATTTATAATATTCTATAATTTGATTTTGGTGCTGTTTGTTGTTTCCAATCAATTCGAAAATAAAAGGGAGTTCGAAAGATTGGTTATAAGTTATACAGATACAGTATTAAGATAATAATTAACAAAGATCTCTCAAGGAGGGGACAACAAACAGCTTGAACTCAATGTGAATGTTATGGGGTAATGACCATATGCAATAAATGTAGCATACGGTACACGGAATGTTGGCCTATAACCTTAGTTTGAACATATTACATCAAAGGTATCACGTGACTGGAGAGGATTGGACTACTGATCTCATTTTCGTATATATGTATTAAACTTGATATTGCTTTATAACAACAATCAACATTTAAAACGCAAAATGATGATATGTTTTTGTCATTGTTAAAGCTAAAGTGGGGTATATTTATTCAACAGTGGGATTATATGTGAAGTGGGCTGGCCACATGTGGCCCAACGTTGAATCGGTCGACAACTTTACCTTGATTTTTATTTCTGAAGTCCATGGAACTAACTTACTAACATAATAGACACACCATTGGATTGGATACCACGTATTTGAGGCATGTTCCTCGAATCTCTTCAAAGTTAATTATTTTCTTCACTCTATCGGCTTTCCTCTTGAATTCTCAAGAATCTAAACTTTTCACTTTATTATCAAAAAGTAAAACAAATAACTTGAGTTTATTCAACATATATGTGTTTCCCATCAATTTATCAAACAAATTTGTTAAACCTAGATTCATAATCCACAGGGCAAAAAAAAAAAAAAAAAAAGAACAACCACAGGGCAAGGAAAAGCATAAAAGGGCGGGGAAAAGCTTACAGATAAAAGGCAGATGCTACTACATAGTAAAGCCCAACTTAAAAGGGTCTTTGGTGAGCCTAGCCCAATCAATACAATTGACCGGTTCGGTATAACGATTTGATCTCGGTTACTCTCTCTCATTAGGCTTCTGAATTTATTTATTCCTTAAGGAACCAACTTTTTTTCTTTTTTTGTTAATTCTTAAGGAACCAACTTGTACACTCGTGTAGATTAAAACAAAAAAACTCACATACTATTGACCAGTTACTGACGTGGATTGATAATCCAATTGTCAACTAAAATTCAGTATTCCAATAATGCATATGAAGAACAACCAGTCAGATAGTGTACCGGATTATACCGAATTCGTGTTAGATCCGGCTTGGTGGGACCGTAACAACCCATTACTCGCACGTGCTGGCCAGCTAATATTTTTCACATTTTCTTTTAGAAAGTTAAAAGGCAATCTAAAAATTGAAAAGAAAAAGATGAAAAAAAAGAGAGAGGAAGAAGATACGATCACATGGCCAATGAGTAAGTCATGGCCGAAACTAGAGCTTTGGTGTTTGGTGGTTACTTAGAGAGGCACTTGATCTTTGTCATCAGAAGTCAGAATATGTAAGTTTTGAGGTTAATGCACTACTGGTAGGGTTATGAAGACTTTTTATTCACCAAACCACGTTGTATCGACCAACGTAAATTGTATTGCATCATAAACAAAAGTTTGACTAGAAACAAATTCATAACAAAGGAAATTAAAATGGCACGTTTTTATAAAAAAAGACGTAACCGTTTCTCTCCCAAAGCGATCAAGAAGGCGACTTTTTACAAAAGCAACTTTTCATTATCTTCTCCGGCCGGCGTCGACTCCGGCGTCGGCCGTACTTTCTTTTCTATTTTTGTTTCGTTTGTAGTTTTAAGTTTCTAAATAAAATCTCAATCAGAGACGTGTTTACTTGTGTGATCATCACCAAATCACCAATTACTATTGCTTGGCTTCTTCTCGCAGATGAAATGGCTTCATGTGGCAAAGTAAGAGATGGTTTTTCGGTGATGGGTTTGTCTGGTAGCGTAGGACATGGCGATCCGGATATGATGATGCCTTTGTTAACAAATCCATGGTTGGGTTTGTCTCAATTTTGGGTCTCCACATTGATAGCCGATGCCACTTTGATTCTCGCTCTCAGGGTTTTCTTTCCTCTTCACAGAGGCGTAATTGTCCGTGCGATGATGATGTGGTTCATTCACGGTGTTTTTTCGGGTATGCCTGACCTTCTCGGTTTGGTGACAATAGTTGCCGACGGCTTCTTAATGCAAATTTGCGGCCCTCGACGCATATGGAATCCCGGAATCACATCGGAGACATTTGTCGTGAAGCTCTTCAACGACGTCTTTGGTTTGAGATGTATAATAGGATGGGAATACACTAGTACCAAGCCAAACTTTCTAATGTGCACTATGACACCGATACGGACTAATTGGTATCGGATTGTCGGGATTTCAAAACTTATTCTAGGAACAACGGGCTTTTTACATGTGATGTGGAGTTTCAAACAAAGAATGCTAATACGGCATACATATCACATTCGAGTAGGATGGCTTATGAAGAAGGAACATAACATGTTTATCATGTTAGCGAGTAAGGCTTATCGAAAGGAAGCATCGTCAAATTCACTTTTTCACTTTCGTCATCTTCAATATATGGCACATAATTTTGCTTATGTAATAAATTGTTTTATGAAGTTTTGTAATGGCCTTGTACTTGTTGTAATACCAATTGTCTAATGAAAGTTTTTAGAAGGAAAAAAAAAAAAAAAATAAACAAAGGAAATTAAAATGTTGGGAGTTTGAAGCCAACAATATTAATTCTAGTTTAGATTGGGTGTATTTACGAGTTTCACTGGGTCTGGAAAGGATTTTTTAAAAGAAGGAAAACTTTTGTTTTATGAATAAAGTTAAGAAAAGGAAAAGGAAAAAATGTTTAGCAAAAGGATACAAAAATACTTGGAAAAAAACTGGCCGTCCAATATTTTTAACGATGTATGTCCAATCCAAGTTAACCACAATCATATCAAATGTCAAAAAATAAACCACTATTATGGTTAACTGTTACTAATTGAATAGTTTGCCAGTGAAAATGACGTGGATAAAATCATTGAATCATAATTCGTTGATTAACAGATAATCGAACCGACAAAATAGTGTAAGTGAACTCAACTACCTGACACAATAACTGAAGCTAGAATTTTTATTTTATTTGTCTTTCAACAACTGAAGCTCAATTTTGTGCCACAAACAAAGTTTTTTTTTAAACAAATTTATATACATATTATAGTTATACTAATATATAATCTGAACTCTCAAGATCATAGAACAACGAGTAGTTATAAATGTTCTTAATTAATCGAAAAGATATATTAAATACAAATTGTCAACGAAAATGTAAAAAAAGTTAAAAAGTAAAAAAGATATTTCAGTTGTACGCCGTACATTTCCCGGCTAAATACAGATAAATCTCCGTCACACAAAACAGAGCAGGACGGCGAACAGAGCAAAGAGGAGAGAATCCTGTAAACGAGCCGAGCCAGAATATCCCTGAGGAGGAGTGTGATAGTAAAACGGAAAATAAGGAACGATCGGATTCGGCGGTGGTGGCGTCCCGTAATTGCCGTAGTAAGGAGGCGGATAGTAGCCACCGTAGCCGTCGCCGCCGTACGGAGGCGGGTATTTAGCACCACCGGAGCTTGAAGGAGGAGGAGGAGAGTAATAATACGATCCACCGCTACCGGAGCTTGAAGGCGGAGGAGGAGGAGGAGAGTAAGAAGATGGGACAGGATTACATGGATTGTCGCAAGAGGAACACATTGTGCAAGAAACAGTTTGGTCCTTTGAAGTCACTAAAAGAGGCAGTGACATTAACAGTATAAGAAGGCCTGACATATTCGAGAATTTGACTGCTTCCATTGTCAGAAGTTTTGTTGTCTGATATAAATCAAGTGATAAGGAAGAGAGAAGAAGATGAAAGAAAGAGAGAGAGAGAAGAAAGAAGCACATTCAGAGGCTAGAATAGAAGTATTCCTCTCTTTATTGACGAATTTAAAATTTTTAAACTACAGTATTAAAATTTTATTTATTGAATAATAATTATATCATTTTTTTTTGTTAAAAGGATTATACATATCGTATTATTAATAAAAGGTTTTATTATTAATAAAGGTTATGCGCATTTGCCATATATATTCGTATACTTAGTCAGTATCTTAAAAATGTTAATTTCTACTTTAAATCGCTGTAAATTCATTTAAGATATAATTCTTTCTTTTTGTTGGAAAATATCATATGAAATCATTCATCAGCTAACAAATGAAATAACAAATTTTCAGGCACTAAAAAGTAAAAACACACGGAGCCAACACGTTTGACTTCTAGCCGAAGGTTTGTGTAATGAAAGCACCGAAAAAACGCGGTAAATGTCAAATGGTAATAACCGTAATATGTTCAACCGAAAGTTTGAGATCATCCTTCCTTCCTTTTTATATATTAAGTCGTATAGATTAAAAAGAAAAAACAAATGAAGTCGTATAGATAGATGAGTTTTAGTATAATCATAAGAAACTGAAATTGAATCGGAATTTCATTGTTTGCATTGTTTTGTTTCCGGCTCTTCTTCATCAAAATGGATATACCTGAGACTTGAGAGAACTAGCTGTACGATTTTTGGAACTAAATAAAAAATCGTATAATACAATGTTAGTTGCTACTTGCTAGACCTCTGGGCTCTAGGTAGGTGTCACCTTTGTTTTTGTTAGGTGAGGAAGAGTGTACACGTGGCACTTAAAGATTGGTGAGCAAAGAGAAGACACGTGGATATGAGAAAGCTGATGTCATTATCTCTTGTGGTGAGTAGTGAGTACGAGCTATCTAGAGATAAGATTTTTTGCGTCATTTCGTTGACACAAAAGCAGTGAACCTGAAAACCTTACTGGGATAAGAGCTAAAGAATCCAAGTCTATTGCATAACTAGAGAGAGTAATCATAATATATATCTCAATAAGCTCGCCATATGTGGGTGATTGTTGGTTCACCTCATAAAGCAAAGGAATGCGTATTTCTAGTGTGAACCTTAGCAATACATCAATTTTTCATATATATATATATATATATATATATATATATATATATATTTTGGTATCAATGTTTCATATTTTCGAAGAAGTCAGCGAGATTGTTACATTTTTAGAAGAATAATTCAGTGATTTCATTTTTACTTATATGTACTGTTGCTGAGGGTTTTCCGACGACAAAACATTATGCTTCAACATCGTTGTAAACTTGTAATCAGTGTTAACAACAGTTTCTCCGCATATTTCGGTCCAAAACAACTTTTGTTTACAATGTTTTTTTGTGTGACTCTCTTATCTATGTCTTATTATTCTTTCAAACTAATTTTTCATTGTGTTTTCACTCTTATTTGTTCTATCCAACAATGTCGACATATGTTTCATTTATTACTTGTATTAATTCATGCACAGATAAAGTAAAAACAAAGCGCCTCAAAAATTGGCTTCATTTTAAACAGTTTAGGAAATTCATTGAAAGTATATTAGAACACTTTAAATCTGTTTTATCCACGCTTCCAATTACTAGTTGTGTTTAAGAATCCGTTTGCAAAATTATGTATCGATAGATGCAATAAATCTTTCATACGTCTTTTGTTCTAGTGTGTGTGTATACATAACTGCATTGATGCAATAGGACCAGCCTCATCATCGATCATGAAACAAAAGTACCAATAGAATTTTTATTGCATTGAATGAAAAGTCTTCCAAATATGCATAAGTGATAGAGACAAAAAGAAAAATGTTGTCTGTGATTGTTTACATTTATGTACACCTAATGTGAATGAAAGTGGGGTGAAGTAAGGTGCACTATGAAAATGAAAGAAAGAGAGGATCAAACAAAATAACAAGGGGAAAAAGGAAAGAAAGCTCTATATTTGTTGGTTGCCAAACATTAATTGGATTCTTCCTTGTTTGTTGATAAAAGATATTAAATTCATACCACCACTTTATTCCCTTCCCTCACATGCAACTTCTTTTCTTCTTACAAATTGATATGACTCATGTCGCTCTCGAGTTTTTAATTATAATAAAAGAATAATTCGTACGTTAATCTGCGAATCATTTGTTACAATAATTAATAATACAATTTTCTTAAGCTAATTATTCTCCTTCAATCAAACAATTATCAACCAAACTACATAATGCTGATCATGACTTAGGAAGATATCAACTTGAAATCAATTGACTATAAGTAGACTGGCTCATATCCAAAGTATACATAATGATTGAAGGTTCCGCTTTTACAGAAATACCTTACGAAATTATATTACATGATCGATTTTGGATTGGATCAACCATACCAATTTAGTACGAAATAATAATTGTAGTAGTTTAGACTTTAGATTCCCAAAATTGATGAACAAAAAAAAAAGAAGATTCCTAAAATTAATTAGAAATAAATGCGGGGAGTTTCATTTCTCAGGCAGGCAGGGACTTGTGGTAGACCAACGTTACACGTGTGAAACATTACAACGAAACCTCTTCCTGTGTTCGGTCCAATCGAAACCAAACCGCGTCATCGACTGAATAATAAAGGGGCAAAAGTATAAATAAACACAAAACTCGAGGGTATAACGGGTAAAAATAAAACGTTGTCTTTGTTTTGTCTTCTTGTGTCCTTGTCCGAAGTTGTAGTTCGGTAACAAGTCTTTCGCTTCCCACTCTCTCTCCATCTCCTTCCATTTCTTCTTCCCCTATCTCTCTCCCTCTCTCTCTACCGTCCTTCTAGGGTTTCTTTGATCACATTCAAATTTGTCTCCTTTAATCTCAATCCTGTAACAATCAAAGGATATGGATTCCAATTGGATCAATTGTCCCTCTGTTTTCTCTTCATCATCTTCTTCTTCGAGACGGTGTCAATCCCGATCAGGTTCGCGCGTCTTTTTCCTTTTTATTGGTGGAATCTCGTGTTTTGTTCTTAGGCTATTGGTCATGAGATTAATATTTGAAAGTTTTGGTGGCAGATTTGTATTTAGGAGGAGGGTACGAGGATCTTGAAGGAGAAGACGATTTGAAGGCAGAGTTCATATGCCCCTTTTGCGCTGAAGATTTTGACATTGTTGGGCTTTGTTGTCACATTGATGAAGAACATCCTGTTGAAGCCAAGAACGGGGTAATTATAATGATCATCTTTCAACCCTTCTTTAGCTTTAGGATATCTTGATGATGTGTTTGATTCTTAGATTGATCAGTTCTTTGCCTTAGTTATGATCCGATGCTGCAAAATTTGGTTTCTAGTTAGAAAATTGAAAATGTTGGTATATTTTTTTTTGCTCTTTGTGATAATGAAATGTTCTCTGGCTACCTGTTGTTTCTTCTTATCAGATGAGCACTGTAATCCATTTAGCAGCCTTGTGAATCCAATCTTGGAATATTTCGTTTATTCGGTCGGTAAAATTAGTGATCTTTTTATGATCCAGATTGCTACTTTTTTGAGCTACATCTCTGTTTGCTCTTAAACGTAGACTTAAAAATGTGTTCTTTGTTTTTCCAGGTCTGTCCTGTATGCACAAAGAGGGTGGGATTGGATATCGTTGGCCATATTACGACGCAACATGCGAACTTTTTTAAGATATCCTTTCAACTTTTTATATTTTGATCTCTTGTTATTTCCAATATATGATGCTTAGTCTGTTAATAGCTTGGTTCTCTATAGTACACAATCATGTTGGTAGACTTGTTTATTCCTTGATGAGAGGTTTTACGTACAGCGAAGGAGAAGGTTGCGGAGAGGAGGATATAGCTCTACCTATCTCGCCTTGAAAAAGGAACTCCGAGAAGCAAACTTACAGTCTCTTCTTGGTGGATCATCAAGTTTCACTTCTTCAACCAATATCGATTCTGATCCGTTGCTGTCATCCTTTATGTTTAATTCTCCTTCAGTGAATGAGTCTGCAAACAAATCTGCTACACCTGTGAGTGTAGGAAACGCGGCTACGAAAGTCTCGATTAAGGAATCTCTCAAAAGGTATAATGCGTCTATTGATCCTCTGGTGCCAAGAAAGCTATCATAGAGCTTGTTTCTAACTTGGTATCTGGCTTTCTTTTGTGCAGAGACATTCAAGAAGCTCCACTTTCAGGTGAAGATCAAGAGAAGGCGAAAAAGAGTGAGTTTGTGCGAGGTTTGTTGTTGTCAACCATGCTTGGAGACGATTTCTAAATTTCCCGTTAAATCCCTTGCCTTGTTGTGGTTGATGCATGAGACGTAAGGAATCTGAGGTTGGAATTGTTAGGAGTGGTCTCAATGTATGATGCAAAACCTTGTAAGTTATAAGGGGATGCAGAGTTGCATCCATATATTATTGTCATTTGTACCTTGGAACCTTTATGTGCATAAGCGGAAACAGAGTACTTTCCTTTCACTGAGACTTCATATATTCAAAATACTAGTTTCTATTGATTCAAATAAAAAGTTAATACGTTTTGGTAAGAGAGAAAGTAAATTCTGTTTTCTTTGGATTATTTTTGGTCTGCTTTTAGTTTACAGAGCAGAAATGTTTGGAACAATGATAACCAAGAGATTAAGCTTTGAAGCTTGACAACAGAATGAATGTTCAAATAAATTTTCTGGAAAAATGAAACTATCTCTGCCTTTTTTTTTTTATTAATCACGGCATGTGGAAAACTGCTCAAACAAAATTTCTTTGTTTACACAAGAATGAAGAAATAAACCTGTACAGATTTCTTATCTCACAATATGCAAACAAGATAAAATAAAAATAATAAACTAGAGTAACCAAAAGTAACATGTATGATCTAAAGACAATGTGGTTTGCTTGAGGAAAGAATCTGACCTTTTCTAACTCCAGAAAATATGAATTGATGGATGAATTGAATCTTATGAAAGAATCTCTTGGGTTTTTTTTTGCAGTCTGTTTCATTAGACTGCAGCTCTAGCGTAAGCATCATCATCTCTCGTCAGCTCGGGACACGGTTCAGGAATGACTGACTCTGAGGACCCGTAAACGTAGGAGCATTGCCAAGAAACTGAAGAACCTGAGCTCATCGACAAAGAGATATTCGACAAAGCCACTGAGCTAAAGGGAGATTCTTTGATCCCAAACAGTTTCCCTGCAATGCCGATGTTTTCTCCAGAAATGTTGCTTAATCTGATGTGACTCACAAGAGGGAGAGCATTTACGTCATATTTATCATCCGGGTGAGATCCAAAGCTACCATTAGCCACAATGGCAGTACCTATTCTCGACATATCGATGTTTGATATATCGATCTCTTTGATGTAACCACCTCTGCCTTTTGTGGTTCTAAAAGCAATGCCCGTTAACGAGTTGTGTATATGGGCGTTATCGACCACGACATCAGATATTCCACCAGACATTTCACTGCCAAAGGAGATAGACGAACCAGAAGCTCCTCGAAGGTACACATTTCTTATATGAACATTTTGAGTGGGACGAGAATAGGCAATTCCATATTCATCCCAACCGCTTTTGAGGGAAATCGCATCATAACCCACGTTAATGGTAGAGTTTTGGATGCAGACGTAATCAGAAGAATCTGAGAAACATAACAAAACAAAAGACATTTCATTTTTTATGCTTATACACAACAAAAAGGGTTTTTAGTCTAGAAGAAGCAGAGACAACTAACCTGGTACAATACCGATAGTATAAGGAGATTCGGGAGAAGAATGAGCCAATATCTTATGAATATATACATGGCTGCATAAGGACAGTAGTTAGAGTCAAGACTTGACATTCAAAACAAAAGAAAAAAGGTTTAGGCCTTAATGATGTTAAACCATCTCTTACCTAGAGTAGATTGAATGGATTGTATAAGCAGGAGAATTCAAGAACGTAAGATTGGAGACAATTACATTTTCAGAAGAAAGAAACTCGATGAGGTGAGGACGGTTATACTTTAAGGAATGAGAAGTAAACCGATCCCACCAAACCAAGCCTTGACCATCTATGGTTCCATTATCACCTAACCATGGAAAAATATGGAGTAACCTGTTATCAATCATATATTATAACAAGTGAAAATGAGATAAAAGTATATCAAGCATTGTTTGTTACCTGTTACAACAACATCGTGTAGCATGTTACCGTTGATCAAACTCTTGTATCGCTTTCCAGGCAAATCAATTCCCCGTCCATACGAAGGTAACGGATCAACAAGTTCCCAATGCGATGGATCCTTTTGAAGTAAAAATTTGGGTTTTCTGGATAAATTTAAAAGTTTGGGATAAATGTGAGAATGGGAAAGAAACATTGTAATATACCTGAGAGGCGACTATAACGGCGCCGTTTTCAAGAAAGAGAGTGAGATGGCTGGTGAGGCTGAAACTTCCGGTGAGCCAATTTCCCGGTGGGACATAGAGCTGAGCCCCACCTTTGTCGGCGAAAGACATAAGATAGAAAACGGCGTTTTGAAACGCAAGAGTGTTGAGCGTTTTGCCATCTCCTACTGCTCCGAAATCTGTAATGGAGACACTGTGTGGTCTTGTACTCAATGATATCCGGCCAAGTTCGTCGCATATTTTGCCTGCGCCGTGAACTTTCGCGTAAATCGGAATAAGCCTGGTTAATGCCAGTATCAAGACTATTACCACCTGCTACACCAGAAAAATCTGGAGTTACAATTACAGATCCAATTTTGTCAAACATACGAATGAAAATAACGAAGTTGGATCTAACGGGATGATGAAAAACAGAGAAGTAAGTAGTTAAAGAAAGGATAAAGAAGAGCAATCCGAGAAAGGGACAAGCCAGAAAGAAGGAGGTATGTAATGTAATTAAGAGAGAAACAAAAAGAGAGAACGCACTTACTGACATCTTTATTTGTAACGAAGCTGTCGGATAATAAAAGATAAAAGCTATAAAGTGAAGAACTTTTCGCGCCAAATGTAACCAGACACTGAGAGAGAGAGAAAGAGAAGAAGAGAAAGAATAAGAAGAAGAAGAAGAAGAAGGAGAAGAGTTCTTTCTTCGTAACCACACCACACAAAACAGAGAAGCTTTTTTTTATAATTATTCTGAGACAAAACGGTATGATTGACAGAAAAGACGAATTTTCATTTACAGAAACATAAAAAAAAATAGAAAAAATAAGGAAGGAAGAAGATTGACGCCGAAATGACAGCCTTATATGCGCAAATAAATTGATTTTGTTAATGTTAAAAAGGAAAATAAAATATGAATATAGAGAAACAAATGGACAGTGGGAAAGAGAGAAAATGGTAATCATTAATGTATAATCAATATTCACTATTTAAGCAATTAATATCGAATATGTCTTCATATTGATTAATGGGATCTGGTAACGTATTATCGCCGACAAATCTTCTTGGCATTGGGGAGAGAAGACGAGAGTGTGAGCAAGAAAAAACCAAGAGATAAATAAATATGGCTGTTTTAAGTTGTGCCTGGCCAACAAAATAATAATAAGAAAATTGTATTGTAGTTTTGTTTAGACAAGGCATGTGTTTCATATTTTATTTTTTTGTTTTTATGTTCTTTTCTCAATTACTTTTTTTATTGAGTTTAAGATTTTTATATAGATTGTTATTAAGTTTTGAATTTTATAATATATATATATATATATATATGTCTCTGCCTGTTTTCCCCTTATCTTTGTTTTAGATTTATTACCGTTCGAACATTACTATTCTAAATTAGTCAATAATATGTATATATTTATCTTAAATTTTGAAGGGAAAATAAGACCCATATATTTTTGGGGAGAAATAAGACCCATATGTGTATAAGTTAACTGGATATTCATATTTACTAATGAGAACATTCTATTAAGTCTTTTTTTTGTCATCCGAAATTAACATTCTATTAAATCGTGAAAAAAAAATTAGGCAAATTCTAGGATCTTTTACATTTTTTTATCTATACTACTACTTTATATAGGTTTTTAGGAACCAATTATTACTTATATAGTTACATTGGAAAAATATATGAAATTTGGAAAAAAAGCTCAGATACAATGAAATTAAAAATTAATTTGAGTAGGAAAATAGAACATTCGACTTGAAAAAAAAAAGATTGAAGGAAGCAGTAAATGTGAAGAAGACGAGTAGAGAGGAGCATGTGGACTGACAGGGCGTGAATGGGTCCCACTCCAATCATACGTTAATTTGCCAGCCTGGCACTCTTTTTTTTTTTTTTTGTGCTTCCCTTCATGTTTGTACTTTGTATCCATTAATTAATCAATCAAAGTTAATAAAATTAAGCAATCCAAACAGTTATAAATTTAGCAAGTCAATGTTGGATCCAATAAGTATGCGAATGTTTGGTCCAATAAGGTATTGTTCCAACTTAAACGGGCTCAGGGCCCAATATATCTGGGAATTGGCTTTTTGCTTTTTGTGCAACTGAGATTGTAATATCTGCTTTTGAAGCTTTAGATTAACTCTGAACTTTACTGTATATTGGATGGTTAACAAACGTTTCAATTCTTCATCACCCCAAACGATTGGATCCGAGTATAATTTTTTTGACCCATCTCTCTGCCAATGGAATTAGCAGTACAAGTTCCCTTGGAAACAAGATCCAAGAGCACTTATTCAGATGTTTTGGTAAATTTCGTTTTAGTTTTTTTTTTACTATAATCATTTTTTCGCTAATTAATTATAGAAAATTTTTGAAGAACATTTATAAATATAAAGTTATTGGTTTAAGAAAGAGAACTAACAAAACGATTTGAGTTGATTGTTGTTGTGGTAAATCTTCAAAATGTCACTACCCGTGAGTTTTGATCTAACTTTGTAATGAAAAGTGGTCAATGTACCACTGGACCAAGATTTTTGATTGTAGTCCAAAGATTTTCCAGTTTGAATAATGATAGAATACAATGAAGCTAAAAAAAATCAATAGATATTTTCTCACTTATTTAAACTAAATGGAAAAAAATAAATAAAAAGTAAATATTTAAAAACCGAAAGCTAAATCATCACGATGAGTGAACACAAGTGGATCTGCTTCTCGTGAACATATTCCAATCCGACGACAAGTTGTAGTCGAACACCCGATTTCTCACATGTGGATAACCCCATAACCTGTAATCCGATGGATTAAAAACAGGCGACTCCTTCTTTAACCGGTTTTGGTTTGGTATACCATAAACCGGTGTTTCCTTGGTTCGGTTCCCCATGAAGATTGCACTATTGGTTTTTAGACACCTCTCTATCACCTTGTTCTCTTCTCTGAACTTGTCCCTAATGTCCTTGAGGGTTTGGCAGAACCGGCTCGGTTTAGAATCGTTACGGTTCTCTTTGGTTTTGTGTGAGACTCGGCTGCATTTTAGACAAATGTTCTTTCGTCGATCTGTGTTGAAGCTTATTCTCTTTGTTTCGTCTGAAAGACATAAATAAGCCTACATGGGACGCCAAAACCGGTTAAAAGGATCATCCCTAGTATATTTTTGTATTGGTAAAATTAATGAATTCATAGTTAACACATGCAGATGATGCTATAGTTAAGCGTACGATTCATGTCCACACACACATTTTATATATTATCATAATGTATTATTGTCTCTCACGAGAAAATGATAAATATATTCACGTTAATATTGCTAGGATTTAAAAAAAAAAATGAGATGAGAAAAAAAAAAGCTGACCTCGTGGATGAGCTTAAAAGCAATATCTGCATTTGGGTGATTGTTTTTATCCGGATGAACTTTCAAAGCTGATCAAAGTAGCCATTTATCTCATAAATATACCATAACCAAAATTATTTAAACTCTAGCAATGTTTAGCTAATCAAAATCAAATTTGTAAGAAACTGAAATAGAACCGGACCTAATTTGTGATATCTTTTACGTATGACCTTGACCTCTGCATCTTCCTGGATCTGTTTTTTACCAAAATCAATCCGAGTTTTTGTTTTTAATCATTATTTTCTTACTTGAATAAAAATAGCTAGTCCAATCTATTTAGATAAATTGAGAAAAGAAAAAGAAAGAACATACATACACCGAGAATGAGATACCAGTCGATGAAACATGAACCGGATGAGATGCGATTGATGTGAATGCAAGAGATTGGTGATCTTGATAGGGATAAAATTTCTGAGACCAATGCCGCTTTTGGATCCGGTCCGGGTCGGATCTTACCCATCGCAACCAAAGTTTCCAGAAAAATGGAGGTGAAGGCAAAAAAAAAAGATGGAAGGAGTGAGTAGAACAGAAAGAGAGAGAGAAGACGTTAAGAGAAGGCAGGCAGACTTTGCGGGATAGACCCATTTTAAATTGGAAGAGAGAGAGATTGAGAGAAACTTAAATTAATCCATTTATGATAATTAAATCTTCAAATAATATTTACTGTAAAAATCAAAACGGAGAACGAGTAAAACTATTAAGGTAAAGAAAATTACCGTAGATTTAGCCGTTTATCCACATTGTAACTCGTTTTTACTGCAAATATTATATAAATCCCAAGAGAATTGAGTAAGATATAAAATAAGATAAAATCCAACTTCAGTTGTTGTGATTTGTAAATTGAATAAAACGGCTATATCATTATTTTCTACCGACATAAATGTCGATTAGTTTGTTTTATTTGGCGTTGTTAAACAAAATAAATATAACGGTAATTACATAGTCATTTCAACGACGGAATATAATAGTTATTTAGAGTTTTTTTGGTTGATGGTGATCAACTAAACTTACATATTTTTCTCAGAAAATATATTAGTTACCAAAATATTTAAGAAGGTTACATGTTGTTTTTTGTTTTTTGTTTTTGTTTTTGTTTTTTTTTTTTTTTTGTGCAAAAGTAGATTGTCATGTAATGATTAGGTGAAGTTTTATATGATGAAGAATTTTTATTTTTAAAAAAGTAGTACTTCATAAATCATCTACGACGTTAGGTAGCTGTTAAATGTAGAGAATTTAATAGTGAAACACGAAACTTGTGATATGCACATAGAAGAGAAGTATAAACAGACACTTTATGCCTTTATTTGACATCAAATGACAAAGGTGAAACAATCAAAGTAGATGAACGCGGACTACTCAAACCCAACTATTCTTCTCTTTTTACAGTTTACATGAAACATTTTTTTTTCCTTATATGATAATCGTTTACATGAAACATTTTTTTTTCCTTATATGATAATCGTTTACATGAAACATTGAAGCAGCGAGAATTTTATTTTGGATTCTTAGCACAATATTTTGCATGGATTGAATCAAAAACCTCGGAAGTCTAATACTCCCTCTGTCCCATTTTATTAGATGTTTGAACTAAAAGCACAAATATTAAGAAACAATAAATATATTCTCATTTTATGAAAATTCAACCAATAGAAGAAGATACTGCATAATTAAAATAATTAAAAACTATTAAACTAATATAAATCATGCATTGAAAGTAGAGAAAATCTTATATAGTGGAACAAATAAAAAGACCTAAAACATCTTATATATTGGGACAGAGGGAGTAGTATATATAGGAGTATGTATTTGTCTACATAAAAAAATATGTAAAACATTATTGCTTTGAAAATTGGATTCCAATCGGATTTCGTGATTTGTTTTCTGGTGTTTGATGTTTGACTATAACTTGAGACAACAAAAACAGTATAGTATATGACAATGCCGTTGGACATAAGCGAAGTATTTATGTACCAAATGTATTACATGCGCGTTGATCTATAAGAAAAAAAAAACTCAAAAACACTTAAGTACTTTATGTCATGGAAATTAATATTTGAACTACAGGTTTTAACTGTGATTGACTTTTCTAATGAAGCCAAACACAATATATTCGAAACCTAATTCATTCATACTGCTCAAAATCAGTATTAAGTCAAACATAGCGGTTGTAATTGGTCACCCGAAAGTAATAATCACATGGGAATGCTAACGTCTGGATTATCAATTAAAATTGCCAATTTACTTCCTGAATTTATATTAAATATAGGTACTTAACTTTATTTTTAATAAATATAACCAATGTTTTTCATAGTGATATATATCCAACAATGTATATGCTTGGAAATTAATTTGTGCTTAAAAAAAAATCGAAAAACTAATCTAAAGTCGTTATTAACTTATGACTACTGGTTAGTGTTTTTTTTTTTTGTCAAAGACTGGTTAGTGGTTATCTCATCAGAATCTTTATTTATTTTTATGGATCTCTACTGGGAGAAATATTTCTGAAACATATTTGACGAAGGTTAAGAGATGTGAAAAAAAAAAAAAATTGGAAGCTAAGGATTCTGAAAAACCAAGTGTCAGTGAGCACGTTAGATTTGTCATAAAATGTGTCGCTGATGAATTTGCAGAAGGATTAGTGTATGGACCGACAATAAATGTTTAGCCATTGTGCTATAAAATTTAATTCAAAATTTTTTTGTATGTTTTCAGAGAAGGCATACCAACCAACGGAAATGCCATCGAATATTTTATAGGAAATGACATATAATTTAAATCTACGTTGTTATGAACCCTCGATTTACTCTATGTACAAAAATTTCCTTGAGAAATGATCAAATGAACAAGAACCCGCATATTTTCAGAATGATACGAAACTAACTCTTCAATGAATTATAGCCCACCCACACCTTTGGGCTTTAACGTTTTAATGGACCCTTCTTGCGTGCCAGTCACGTGTGAATACAAGACACGTGGCTTCTCTATTCAACGCGCAAATCAGTTACGTGTACAATTTATCCGCCTCCTTCGGATCCGAATCAGGTTCCTGATTTATTTCCCGTCATTACCCGAATTCGCCGGCAATGTTGTAAAATCCCTAATCCAAAACTATTTCGTGGATTTGGGGAAATTTTTTTATTCGAAAAAGGTAGTCGTCGTCGGATTTGTAGATCATCATGGAGTTCTCTTTGATCGCCGATACAGTCACAGTTTGCACGGCTAAGCAAGGTATCGCGTTTGGGAAATCTCTTCTTCAAAGGTTGGATTTGGCCAATCACATTTCTTTCGCCGATTCTGTTGTTGATCATCAATCTCCCGGTGGAGGAATCGTTCAAGCATCGGCGATTATCTTTCCCGTTGATGCAATTGCTCCTCCACCTGTCAGATCTAGCTCTTATAAGACAATTCGCCGGATCCGTAAAAAGCGGCGAACCAGGCGAGTATCGTTTGGCGGTGATGGAGACAACGGAGGAGATTTTGGTCGTTTTCTGTTAGAAGGTGATTTCGGTGGTAACGATGGTCCATTCGGATTTGGAGGCGGAGGAAACGATGGAGGCGGAAAGGGATGGAACTACGGCGGCGGCGGTGGTGGTGGTTTCGGGAGGGATAATTGGGATGGGTCTTCGTTTTCGTCGTGGTCAGATCCAGCAATGGAATTCGTGTACGAAGTGATTTGCTGGATCGCGTTGTCTAATTGTGTGCACTTCGCGTTCAAGAGGATAGTGAGGATTGTGACCGACGGTGAAAGGGAGAAGTTGGACATTACATTATCTCCGGTGTGCTGACAAATTCGTTGTCGTAGTGATTCCTGGTTAAAGATATTCTTAATTTCAGTTCCAATTATATCATATGATCTCTCGTGTGTATATATTTTTATATTACATTGTACATATATATTTAATTTCCTTTGCAATTCACTTTAGATTTCTATAATTTGTTCTGTTTAGAGGTGTGTTTAGAGACAGTAATGATGATTGATCCAGTGGATAAAATTGGAAAGTCTCTTACATGGTGTTTGAGACAAGCATGTAATACCATAATCCTAATAAACTCCATCCATTACATATTATGCGAGACTTGTTCATGTTTTATATTAAGCACTGGGCTTGTTGAACTCTCCCGGATATGCTGGAGCTTGATGACCCATGGATGGCTCTCTCCTCTCCACCTGCATTGTCTCACGTCGCCTATCATACCTTGGCCTAGAACGGTTCCTAGTCTGACGCTGTTCCGTGAACCTGTACTGTGGTCTGGGTATGACCTCTCCTTCAATGTACAAGTCACCTGAACATGAGAGCCAAAGACATGCTATCAATAAGAACCATATCTCATAACCGAATCATTCATACAAAAATCTAGAAAAGTTACACACCTCCATAGTCTTTGTTTGGTACATCGAGATAGGAATCCGGCAGCACCCAGAGAACACCAGGCAATTCTAATGAATCACAACTCTGGATCAGATTTCTGACAGTATAATTATGCGCTCATGATCGGACTAGGACAGAAAATAAACTGAGGTAAAACAAAGATCAAGAGAAGTTTCCTCCTAGCAGTTGAACAGAGCAGTACCAAATTACGATAAAGCTTACCATAAGTAAACAACCAGAAAAGCTATCTCAGAGCAAAGAAGACTTAAAACCTAATTGAAAAAATGGAGAAGTTGATACCTTTGACTTGGCAAGAAAGCTCTTCAGAGATCAAAGCACCAAAGCCAGTGTAGGTCGAAGTACTAACCGAGTAAATCTTCTTCTTGGCCTCTTCCTCACTACAATTAATCATAACACAGAAATGCAAATCCGTCAAACCCCAAATGTACAACAAAACAATTGAGAAACAAAAAAAGTTTCAGATCAAATGATAAGGAACTTGCCTCCCAAGGACGGAAGTTAAGGTTTTGACATAAGAATTGATCATCTCTTCTTCAGTGGGTTTAGGATCAGTGAACTCCATGACGATGAGCCAGTGCTCATAATCGCACCCATCAAGAAGAATCGTCTCCTTCGGTGGACGATTGCTCCAATTCGGCGAAGGATCATTCAGCGGCGAGTATCCGGACCCGGATGTCTTGAGTCGGGTCGATATGTAACACGGGCCCAGTCCGGTTCGGGCAGAGGAAACCTTTTCAATTAGAGGCACGGCGAATCGAGAGCGAGAAGAGAGCGTAGAAAATGAAGAAGAAGATGAAGAAGAGGAAGAGAGCGTTTTGCTTAGAAGTGTCGCTACTGTTCGCCGTGCGTTGATAAGAGCCATCGCCGGTGAGGGTTTCGGCTTCTGTTCTTCTTCAGCGTATCTCCTTCCTTTCTCTTCGGTCTTTGCCAGATCCTTTGCGAAACTATATGGGCTTAGTGGGCCTTCAATTTATATTTTTAGATGGGCTATTCAGTTTTCAATTATCGCTTATCAAATTGTCGTTCATCGATCTTAAAGTGTTATTAGAAAGAAAATTTCGTCTTTGTAGATTAAAACGTATTCATTTTGTATTAGCTTTCTTAATGTGAATATGACGTCCTGAGTCAAATCACCTAATCTAAATTCTAATTTGAGTTGGCAAACACTGTATATCCGTTACTTCATGGATAACTTTTCCTACCAATATATGGTTATTATCAAAATCAGTTTACTGTATTTATAAATAAGAAAACATAGAAGTATCTCTCCTAAAATAAGAAAAGTAGATAAATATTTCTTAAATTGCTATACGGTCAAAGTAAATAAAATTATCCAAAGGAAAGGTTATGCGACTTTCCGGAAATGGAATTGTTTGTATGAATGCGTGTATATTTGTGTTAGAGAGCTATTCTTGTTGATGAATCTCTTTGTTTTGTTGCAACTCTGAGCGAGATAGAGAGTGTGAAGGAACATCATGGGAAGCAGCACCGGCGATCTGGTGACACGTGTTCAATCAGCTCACCGGTTCGATCACGATGCCTTGTTTCGTTTTGCCGCCGACAACGTCTCCGGTTTTCCGACCAACCCATCCCAATTCAAAGTCTCACAGGTATCTTTTCCAATTCCCGAGGTTTTCTCCGGTAAGAAAGAAGCTTTATCTGATTTTGTTTGTTGGGTTTACACAGTTCGGACATGGGCAGTCGAATCCGACGTTTCTGATTGAGGTTGGCTCAGGGAGTTCCTTGAAACGATACGTTTTGAGAAAGAAGCCTCCTGGGAAGCTCCTTCAATCTGCTCATGCTGTTGATAGAGAGTTTCAGGTATCAATCAATCTTTACCTCTGGACAAATTCCTAAATCATGTCAATTTTGTATTACTACTTTTGAGTTTCGAATTAGGATCATTTTTTGTAGTACCGTTTTGAACTGTTTTTGAATGCAGAATCATTGTTCGTGATACTGCTTATATAATAGATACGGTATCAAATAAAGGTAGATGCTTTTTTGCTTAATACTTTGATGGTGGTTGGTTATGTAGGTGCTTCGGGCTTTAGGTGAACATACACAGGTTCCTGTTCCTAAAGTCTTCTGCTTATGCACTGACCCTACTGTCATTGGGACTGCTTTTTACATTATGGAGTTTATGGAAGGACGTATTTTCATTGACCCAAAGTTGCCGGTAAGACATTCTCTGTTATGTGAATGTGTATGTACGGTTTTGTAGCTTGAGATGTAACTCATCGTGAAGTGAACGATAGGCGTAACTTGTGTCTGTTTTTATTGGTTTTGACTTAGAATGTAGCACCTGAAAAGAGAAATGCGATCTATCGTGCAACCGCCAAAGCCTTGGCATCTCTTCACTCTGCTGATGTAGATGCCATTGGTCTTGAGAAATATGGTCGGCGAGGCAATTACTGCCAAAGACAGGTTTGTTCTTTACTTGGGGCTGGGGAATTTCCACATCACTACTCACTAGTTAGTTGTTCTCTTAATGCTCTTACTTAAGTTTTTTTTTTTTTTTTTTGGATATCTCCATTTCAGATAGATAGGTGGTTCAAACAATATTTGGCTTCAACAAGTGAAGGTAAACCTGAAAGTAATCCAAAGATGTTTGAGCTTGTTGATTGGTTACGCAAAAACATACCTGCGGAAGATTCAACAGGAGCAACTTCAGGCCTTGTCCATGGAGACTTCCGCATTGACAATCTCGTGTTTCATCCTTCTGAGGTCTGAATACTTTCAAGATCTTTTTTTTTCTGATCCTTGAATACTCTCGGAGACCTTGCTAAAAAATTTCTTAAGCTGCAGGATCGAGTTATTGGAATAATTGACTGGGAATTGTCCACGCTTGGGAACCAAATGTGTGATGTTGCATACAGCTGTATGGTAATAAGCTATTCTTGTTTCTTATATTGTATTCCCAAAGAAGTTTTCTTTGCTTCCTGCTCTCATATACAGTTCATGGTGTTGGCAGCATTACATTGTGAATGTTCAGCTCGATAAGGAGCATGTTAGTGAAGGTCTTGAAACTACTGGGCTTCCAGAAGGAATACTTACGATGCCAGAATTTCTCTTAGAATACTGTTCTGCATCGGTATTGTCCTGCAACAACATGTAGTCTTGAAAAGGAACCAAGTCAGATGTTCCTTGTAAATTGCCTATATTTCTCAAATTTCGATTGTAGTGACATATTGGCAAATGAACTTTAGGGAAAACCATGGCCTGCTGCAAACTGGAAGTTCTACGTAGCGTTCTCTTTATTTCGGGCGGCTTCAATCTACACAGGGGTGTACAACAGATGGTTAATGGTAATCCCCGGGGATATCTTTTTATTCTAGATTTTTTGTTATGCAGTTGTGGAGCCATTGACGTTGTGTTGATCATGCAGGGGAATGCTTCTGCCGGTGAACGAGCTCGAAATACAGGGGTTCAAGCTAATGAGCTTGTAGAGTCTGCCTTGGGTTATATTGCACGTGAAAATGTTCTTCCAGAACACCCTCCATCTGGTAATTGACCTCTTTGAGATTCAAGTTTTGTTAAGGATAACTGTTTATTTTACATTATACGGATAAACTGTAATTTGATCGCTACTCTACTTTCCTCGTTTGAGATGCAGTTCAAAGAGATTTGTCCCCGTCCTATGAAAGCCTTTTGGATGGAAGCGGGAGATTCATCCCCAACAGAAAAGTATTGGAGTTAAGGCAGAAGTTGATCAAGTTTATGGAAACTCACATCTATCCAATGGAAAACGAGTTCTCCAAACTTGCTCAATCAGATATGCGATGGACAGTTCACCCCCAGGAGGAAAAGTTAAAGGAAATGGCAAAGAGAGAAGGCCTATGGAACTTATTTGTTCCTGTATGCATCTTTTTCTCTACAAATCTCTTATTGCTTTTACCCTGTTTGAGACTGTACTTATGGATTCTTGGTTCTTGCAGGTAGATAGTGCTGCTAGAGCCAGAAGAGAACTGGCGGCTACCGAGAATAAACATAATCTCTCGAGCAAGTCTTTTGATCAATTGTTTGGTGAGGGCCTCACGAACCTGGAGTATGGTTACCTTTGTGAGATCATGGGTCGTTCTGTTTGGGCTCCACAGGTGTTTAACTGTGGTGCACCAGATACTGGAAACATGGAGGTATAAAAGCCTGATTTTGTTTACCGGTCCAGGTGTTGTCTCATTCCTTGTTACTTGTATTTATATAATCTGTACTATCTTGTAGGTGATACTGCGGTATGGTAACAAAGAACAAATTTCTGAATGGCTTATTCCGTTGCTCGAGGGAAGAATTCGTTCTGGATTTGCTATGACTGAGCCACAAGTTGCATCGTCTGATGCAACCAATATTGAGTGCTCTATCCGAAGGTAAGAGATTTTCTTTGATTCTCTTTATGTTGACATCTACTTTCATTCGAATACTCAACTGAACAAAAAAGCGAAAACATTTGAAAGATATGTCATCTTCAATATTTCTACTGGTAATTCCCAAAAACTGAGATTCAGTCCACATTATTCCTTATAGCTAATTCTGATGTTGATATAGACAAGGTGATTCATACGTCATTAATGGCACAAAATGGTGGACAAGTGGAGCTATGGATCCCAGGTGCAGAGTCCTTATTCTCATGGTTAGTCCTCTTTCCTTGTTCTATTCTCTCTCAATCTATCTATCTATATATGTAAACACACACGCATGAATGCATATCTGTGCTATACAGGGCAAAACTGATTTCAACGCCCCAAAACATAAGCAGCAGTCTATGATATTAGTGGACATGCGGACTCCAGGTATACGTGTGAAGAGGCCTCTCACAGTGTTTGGTTTTGATGACGCACCTCATGGACATGCTGAAATTTCTTTTGAAAATGTGATTGTCCCGGCAAAGAACATTCTTCTTGGAGAAGGCCGAGGATTCGAAATTGCTCAGGTAATACTACAAAAGATTCACAGATTCAGCGTTTGCAGTAACAGAGAGTGTAAGGATTGTATTTATCGGTTGCTTGCGTTGTTGTTTGTTATGTTGTTGTTTGTTATATCAGGGTAGGTTAGGCCCTGGAAGACTGCACCATTGCATGAGACTAATAGGTGCAGCAGAGCGTGGAATGGAGCTAATGGCTCAAAGAGCTCTTAGTAGGAAAACTTTTGGGAAGTTCATTGCGCAGCACGGTTCTTTTGTCTCTGATCTTGCAAAGGTAAACGACACTATGCTTTAATCACCCAAATGCTTCTTATGAGTTCTTCTTATATGAGTGATTATCTGATACAGTTACGGGTAGAGCTAGAAGGAACCCGATTGTTGGTTCTAGAAGCTGCTGATCATCTTGATAAATTTGGAAACAAAAAAGCTCGAGGAATTCTCGCAATGGCCAAGGTAAAAGCTGTTGTATTTTGGTTTGTTTCCGCCAGAAATCGACCAATACAGATCTTGAAGAAGCAAAATCATTTTGGTACTCAGGTTGCAGCTCCAAACATGGCATTGAAGGTACTGGACACAGCAATACAAGTTCATGGAGCAGCCGGTGTATCCTCGGACACAGTTTTAGCGCATCTGTGGGCTACAGCTAGAACACTGAGGATTGCTGATGGACCTGATGAGGTTCATCTTGGGACCATTGGCAAGTTAGAACTGCAAAGAGCTTCAAAGCTTTAAGCGTTTTCGGATCTGCGAATTCGATTCTCAGAATAAGAAATGAGTCTTACTATATTTACATCATGAATAAATCTGTTCTTGGGTATTTTTTTAAAACAAAGCAGTATAGTAATTCTGAATAAATTTACTACAAGATCTTCTCATCTGTTTCATAATGTTAATACTTAATAAGGGATGTTGTGGTGGGTAAAAAAGTCCACTCCGACCAGAACCCGAAATGAGCCCGTCCACCAAAAGCCCGAATTTGAAAACCCCGGATGGGTTTCAAGTATTGTGGGTAAACCCGAAAAAAAAACCGATTGGTTCCAAGACTACATGTGGGTACCCGTGTTGTTTTTTTCTTTTACCTTTAAAGTTTATGCTTAGCTTCTAGTATACTATTTATATCATATGTATTTATATCTCTTCTTTATTTTGCATATAATCATGTATTTATATCTTGTATTTTGCATATAATCATATATTTATATTCAGTATTTTGCATACAATCATGATTTATATCTTGTACTTAGTGTGATCATGGTCTCTAATAAAATATAAGCAAATGTATGGGAAATGTATGTAATTCCACAAAAAAGCAAACAAAAACATAGTCTGTGTATCAAAAGCCAAACGCATAGACGAGTATCAAAACCAAAAACAAAGACGCGAACGAAGTATCTGAAACTAAAGCCACAAAAACAATAATTTTCTTCTCATTCTTCTTCTTCTGGTTCTTCCAAAACTTGATCAGAATCTAAACAACAACAAAGCGATGGAGTTTGGTCAAAATGATACAATTGTAAGAAAACAAATGTCCAAATAGAAACATACACAAAGAGGACGTGTGCCTTTTAGTCGCAGATCTTTCTACGATCTTCTTCTGCTTCGGCTGCCAGAACCGTGAACCAGACGAGATGGCCCCCCGCTTGTCTCTGGTCCTTTAAGTTTCTGTGCTTCGAAAACCTCAGCTTCATCCATCAGCATTGCTAACTGCATAACACACAACAGGTTTTAGACCCAACCAAAATAAGCATCATCCATGAGAGAGCTTTATTTATGAGGAGACACATACCCGGATCTTGTTCTCCTTCAGCCTATCTTGAAGTGCGTTAATGGCAGGACTCAAGCTGCAAAAGCTTGAAGTTCATATAACGAATGACAAAACCACGTGTCAAATGTTTTAACACGCTTCACTAACCAGTATTCGATCAACTTGCACATGGAAGCTTGATATGTTGATGTGTTGTGAAAGAAAGCAAGAGGATGAACTCGCCCGTCTCTAGAGAAGAAACAGAAGGAGCTTTTGCACTAAAATCTCTATGATTAGGGTATGAATAAGATGTATGAAAAAGATTAATTGAAAACCTCATGATTTGCTGCACCGATTGGTGGTACGCTGCTCGTTCCTCCTCGTAGAGTACTCGTTGCAGGCTTTTAAAAGATGCTAAAGGTGAATTGAGTTGAAGAAGGGATGAAGTTGGCAAAACATGAAGTGGGACTTCTTTTCTAACATACTCTACACCACTGCACGTAAAATCCTTAGCTTAAGTAATTACGTAAATGGACGGTGCAGTGTTGAGAAGCCCAGAAGTGTATGTTGAGAAATACCTGGTTTCTAACTTTGAACGGAGCATTGCCTCTTGCATACTTTCAGACATGTCCATCGAGTCAATATCTATAGGTGCGCTGCTGAGATTGCCTGAGCTGTAATTTCCACTAGTTCCATCTCTGCCAGTAATGTTGGCCTCAGCATTGTTAACAAAGAAAGCCCCAAAATCTGAAACCCGTCCTCCACCCTACACAGCCACACACACATACAAGGCTCAAACATCAATGTGTATATACATATCAGCCAATGGTTCAGTCTGAAATACCATGATTGTCTTGAGAATTAGAATAATGAGTTGTATTATGCAGAAATTATAATTCGTCAACTTTCATTAAGCTCGAGTAAAATGCTATAGCTTTTGGAAAAAGAGACCTTATATCCGGAAGTTGTAGCAGTATCACTTGTGTCTAGCTCGGGATTGTCTCCCCGAGCAGAAGAGGATCTCTGGTATATCGAGTCCGAAGAACTAAATGAAGATTCTAAATCGATGACAGAATCCTTATTAGCAAGAACCAGGCTCATTGATTTAGGAATACTATTCGGCTTTCCATCAGAAGACTGGAAAGCGATAACTTGGATTCTACCAACCTGGAAACATCAACTAAGCCAGTTCAGCTATGTGTCAAAGCAGGAGAACTATTCCTGAAAAGTTTCAACTTGCTAATCCACTCATAGCAAATACCAACCTTGTTAGCATCTTCACTAAAACAGGAAAATATGAGGCCAATAAAACCAGAATCTAAAAGCTGATACATAGCTTGTGTGCGAACATCTGCAAGGCAGAAACAGGAGATAAATATGAGGAACAAGATAAAAACATCATAAAAAGATCCAAAAGTTACAATGATGATACATACCGACATGGGAAGGAAGAACGGTAATATGAGGATGGGAGTGGTACCATCCAATCACCCGTGTAGTTCTGCCCGTTGATATCGTCATTCTGTGTCAGAGGCTAGTTAAGGAAGACTACAAAACACTCTTTGTTTTAACCAAACCATATCTACAAGACACAAGAAGCACCACACAACCACACATAGACCATCAATTCTGAAAATAGCAACTTTATAAAAAGGATATATCAGCCTGAGCAGAAGCAGCAGCCAATTGTTCAGGATTGGTTTCAACTCGATCCTTCTGCCGATCAGACCGTGACTGAGGCGATGCTCCCCAGATCATAGCTGTGGCTCTTTCACCGTTCTTTGAGTACTAGTCAATTTCCAAAACCACAGCGAAGAGTTTATACATAAACACAACATGATTTGAAACTCAGTGATTGATTTGATTGTCTGGGAATTGTTCAAGCCCTAAATACCATCAAAAACAGAGATTGTAGAGAGGCAAAAGCCCAACTTTTGGACTGAATTGAGATAGATTCAAATAAAACCAAGAGAATCTGAAGCAATATCGAATCCAAGAAAGATGAAACATTCGCTGTAGAGTAAAGACTAAAGGAAGAAATCAGAATTACCTCGATGTCGCCGAGAAGGAGACCCATGATTTCTTCGGTCTCGGTGGATAATGCGTGAGTGAGGCAAGTCAACCAGACATCCTCGGACATATTAACGCATGTCAGAGACATTACTTCTTCGGAAGAGAGAAACTTTGATGCAGATGTTATTTGCTTCTTCAGATTTATCGGACGAAACTGGGGATTGGGGAAAGCAGAAGAAAGAATCGTACCATTAAAAAAACAAAAAAAAATCGTACATTAATAATGTGAACTTGTAATTTAGCAGAGTTTCCATGGCGCGAGATCGTGTTTCAAAGTTTCACTCAAATGATAGATTAGGGTTGTGTTTGTGATTTGGGGGAAGAAATAGACTTCGTCGTTTTACAAATAGAGACTTCAAAACAAAAATGATGATTTGCACTGTGACATTCAACAGACAAAGGAACTAACCCTTAAGAGATTCCTCTCATGCGTCGTTTAGTGACTTAGTCGTTACTCTTACTCTTCATCTCTAAATTAATTTCCCCATTTAGTAAGAATCATTCGAATCACAGATTCTCTAAAGAAAAATCATCAAGATTACGTTTAATATGTATCTCACACTTCATCCCACAAATTCATGACCATACTTACTATTCATAGGCTATCATAAAATCCGGAAACCAAATCCTTTTAGATGGAGAAAAAGACAATCTTACTAAAGACAGAAAATGTAACATAGCCTCATGTTCTTCCCTAAAACCCCACAAATAGAATTACAACTCCTCTCTATATTAACCCCGTCGATCTTTCTATCCATTAGTTCTAAGCATTGTATATACCAAACGCGAAAAGATCCCTTTCCCCTACAAAAACAAAAAAATTCAGAGCTAGAAGGGGCCTTTTAGTTATAGCCTCAGTTACAGGCCCCATCTGCTCCATTTTTAACATGTGTAGAAAATCATATTAGAAAAGTAGGAAAAAAATACTTGAAAACTACAGCAAAGATACCTTTTTCGACCTTTAGAATTTTTGTGAATATAGGAAACAGAAAAAATGGGTTCTGATGGTGACAAGAAAAAGAAATTCATCATCGCCGGTAGTGTCTCGGGTTTCCTAGTCATCATGGTTGTCTCTGTAGCCGTTGTAACGTCTAAACACTCTCCCAAAGCCGATGAAAATCATATCAAGAAAACCTCCAAAGCGGTTCAAGCAGTTTGTGCACCCACTGACTTTAAAGACACTTGTGTTAACAGCTTAATGGGTGCTTCTCCCAATTCCGCTGAGCCTCTCGATCTCATCAAACTCGGCTTCAACGTCACTATCAAATCCATCAACGAAAGCCTCAAAAAGGCCTCCGGAGATGTCAAAGCCAAGGCTGACAAAAACCCAGAAGCAAAGGATGCTTTCGAGCTGTGTGAGAAGCTAATGATTGATGCTATTGATGACTTGAAGAAGTGTATGGATCATGGATTCTCGGTTGATCGGATTGAGGTCTTTGTTGAGGATCTACGGGTTTGGCTAAGTGGCTCCATCGCATTCCAGCAAACATGTATGGATTCCTTTGGGGAAATTAAGTCCAATCTTATGCAAGACATGCTCAAGATCTTCCAAACATCAAGAGAGCTTAGTAGCAATAGCCTTGCCATGGTTACTAGCATCTCCACTCTTCTCCCAAACTCCAACATTACAGGTATCTTTTCAATTTTCTAAAGAGATCTCCAATCCATTACCAACCAGTCAGAATCAATGGACAGTAATGTGATGGTTGATACCAGGACTAACCGGAGCTTTAGCAAACTACGCGAGAAAGCTTCTGTCTACAGAAGATGGTATCCCAAATTGGGTTGGACCAGAGGCACGACGGCTCATGGCGGCACAAGGAGGAGGACCTGGACCTGTGAAGGCTAATGCCGTGGTAGCTCAAGACGGAAGTGGCCAGTTCAAGACTATCACCGATGCTCTAAATGCTGTGCCTAAAGGCAACACAGTGCCATTCGTCATTCACATCAAAGAAGGTATCTACAAGGAGAAAGTTATGGTCACCAAGAAAATGCCTTACGTCACTTTCATCGGCGATGGACCAAACAAGACCGTAGTCACCGGTAGTCTCAATTTCGGTATCGGCAAGGTCAAGACCTTCCTAACAGCCACCATCAGTGAGTTTCAATCTCCACTGCTCAAAACTCTAAAAATTCACAAAAGACAGATTCTAAACATTACCAAATTCTGTTTCGCAGCAATCGAAGGCGACCACTTCACAGCGAAGAACATCGGAATCGAGAACACAGCTGGACCAGAAGGAGGACAAGCGGTGGCGTTAAGAGTCTCGGCGGATTACGCCGTATTCCACAGCTGTCAAATCGACGGGCACCAAGACACATTATACGTTCACTCTCACCGGCAATTCTACCGTGACTGCACAGTTTCCGGCACCGTCGATTTCATCTTCGGAGACGCGAAATGCATCCTCCAGAACTGTAAAATCGTCGTCCGAAAACCTAACAAAGGTCAATCGTGTATGGTTACAGCTCAGGGACGAAGCAACGTCCGTGAATCGACCGGACTGGTGCTTCATGGCTGCCATATAACGGGAGATCCGGCGTATATTCCGATGAAAACTGTGAACAAAGCTTACCTAGGAAGGCCGTGGAAGGAGTTCTCGAGGACGATCATCATGAAGACGACGATTGATGACGTCATTGATCCGGCGGGATGGCTTCCTTGGAGTGGAGATTTTGCGCTCAAGACGCTATACTACGCCGAGCATATGAATACTGGGCCTGGATCGAATCAGGCCCAAAGAGTTAAATGGCCCGGAATTAAGAAACTAACGCCCCAAGATGCTCTTTTGTACACTGGCGACAGATTCTTACGTGGCGATACGTGGATCCCACAAACACAAGTTCCGTATACCGCTAACATTTAGGAGATTCCAAATTTTGTAAAATGATTTAATTTGTAAATGTTTTTTAAAACTGAAATTGTTTGAAGAATGATTAATTTGGTTATTAATTTTTTTTTTTTTTGGTAAAAGGTTAAATTTAATTTGGTTATTAATTGCTTATGTTATCGTGTGAAAGCTGATCAAAACCCTGGCTATAGAATAGAAATGAGTTGTTAGGCCTATCGATATCAATGTTAGACACTTAGACACGATACTTGTTCTTCAGCTACTTGAGTGAATTATTGAAATATATATAGTTTGTGTCCGAATAAGTCACTTTTTTCTTCTTTTTGATAAATCCGACTAAGTCACTTACGATTACTTATAATATTTGAATGCCTTTTAAATTGGATAAGATAAATAAATACAGACGAATTTTTAATTAATTAAACATTGAAGAGATGCATGTGTTATAGAGATTCACGTGATGCTCATGCACATGTATCGTCCTTCGAGATTGAGAGTGCCTGGCTACATCCAATATTGTTCCGTTCGTCTTTGAACGGTGAAAACAATAACATTCCCTGCTTCGGTAAACTAAAACCACGACTTTGTTGCGTACGATGCAATAAGTACCACTTACGTGTCTTTTTCTGCTTATTGTTATATGGAGTATTAGAATGTCCCACATTGCTTGGGATTAAGATCTTTGTGTAGTATATAAAGGATGTGGCAATCCTTAACTCTTGAGCTAGCTTTTGGGTTAAGTTAGGCCATATTCCTAATATGGTATCAGAGCCCAAGGTTGGCCCAACAAGCAAATTCCCACAAGATTGGTTTCCCACCTATGTGGCCCATATAAGTGGCATGTCTTGTTGTATTTCCGAGATGTTGGGCTTGGGCTGTTTCCCGTTGGACCGTTTCCCACCCACATCTCGAGGAGGCCTATTAGAATGTCCCACATTGCTTGGGATTAAGATCTTTGTGTAGTATATAAAGGATGTGGCAATCCTTAACTCTTGAGCTAGCTTTTGGGCTAAGTTAGGCCACATTCCTAATATGGAGAATAGTTACTTTCGCATTGTGAGTATAGACGTATAGTTACTTAGTTTTTAGTTTGGTACTCGAAAATGATATGATTGATTTATTTTTATTTTTGTGGTATGAAATATAAGGAAGAATAATAAAATTGTAATGACTAAAAAAGGAATTGAAAAAGAGATAAATAATCATGTATGGCCGTTTATAAAACTAAAAAAAACAGAAAAATACAGAGGAAAGAGGGTTGTTTGAAAATGACACAATAGACGACTCTCGTTGCATTGAATTTGAGTGAACCCCACACTCTCCCAACGGCCATCTCCATTCTCTTCTATCTCTTCACAAACTCTTTCACCCATTTTTTTCCTCCATTAAAGAACCTTAAACGACAAACGACCTCGGAAGAAAAATGTCCAACATTTCCCCAATCTTCACCATCTCCAACTCTCAACATCTCAGCGACTATGGCTTCGATCCCCAGCTCCACTACTTTCAGGTATTTTTACGTTTTTGCTATGGTTTGTTTCGTTTCAAATCAACAAAACTCAAAAGGAATGGATCTGGCTCTGCATTTGCATTCTGCTTTTGAGTGAATTTGCTCTGTTAAAGATTCTGTTTCTGATGTTTTTATGGTTTTCGTTCATAGGTTATGGAAGAAGCGAGGAAGCATAAGAGAGAAACGTCATCAAAATCATACATGAACGGTCTTCAATTCAAGATCCAGAAACCCATATCAAAAGACAACCCGACCCGGTCCACAATGCACAACGACAAGAAGAAGAAACGGTGTTGGTGGAAGAAAGCTTTGCCTTTCTTCAAATGGCGGAAATGGCCAAACTCCACCGTCGGCGTAAACGAAGATCGTAGAGCCAGAAACTTTCGCACCGTAACCGGGTCGATGTCAATGTCGGGTCCGATTTACGCAACGGAGAGTCTGAGCGGGTCAAGCACACCGTACCGTACGACGACGACGAGTAAACCTTCGTCGGGACCTATAGCGGGAACATTGACGCCGGCGAGGAGAGGTGACGTGGCGAACCCATATCTGAGCTTACGAGAGCTAAACATGGACCAGCCACAGAGGATTTCTATCTCTTCTTCGCCCATTTACTTGGTCACGTAAAAAGTTAACAACCCCTTACAAAAAAGAATAATTTAACTTTTCTTTTTGGTCGGGGGAAAAAATTCAATAGGAAAATGTGATGTTTCATCTATCTTTTTGCAACTGGTGAAAGCTGCAACAAAGTTTCATCTATCTCACGTGAATCAATCTAGTTGCCTCTTTTTTAATCTATAGATTATAGATATAAACCTCTTTGTATGCTTGTATTTAACATCTTCTGAATTATAATTAATTAAAATTTTCAAATCGTGATGGTTGAAACTTGAAAGTGACTGGAACCGGTAAGAGTGGATATTCCTTTGTCTTTGTACGACTTCTTTATTATTATTAATGTTTGGAAAAGTGAGCGTTAGTACACAGATTCGAACGTTGATCCTTTTCAGAAATTAGCGCGTCTTCTTCATAAATATTTTTCGTTATTTGCAAAATGTTCCATGCAGACTAATTTATGAGGTTAGCTAGTGTTTATATGTTGCAGTTTTGTGTTGCTCGTTGTGGAGTTATTTTAGTATTTTAGATATGACTTTTATTTTCTTGTTTAGTTTACAACTGCTAGCTCAGTTCTTGATCTTATTCGAACATGAAGGTTTCATACATAATGATTCACCAAGAGACATGAACCTTTCCTTCTTATCTCATTTGAAGCATCAGCAACTCCGGTTTCTCGATATACTCTTTCCACTGGCAGCAAAACCGAGCTACTGTTGCTCCGTCTAGAACTCTATGATCCGCAGCAATGTTAACCTGAGTCATAAACCCGATTCATAATCAGACTTTGGTTACTAACAACAATTCTTGTAACTAAGAAATGAATGAACAAGAAAAGTTTTTACCATCATTATTGATGCAGGATAAACAGTTCCTTCTTTTGAGAATTTTGGAACTTTCTCGATTCTTCCAAGAGCGATGATTGCAACTTCGGGTAAGTTTAAAAGAGGGGATCCGAATTTCCCACCGATTGCTCCAATGTTACTCAGAGTTATGGTTCCACCCGTTACATCCTCGGGGTTAAGTTTGTTGTTTGTTGCCAAATGTTGTAACCGCGACAGCTCTTTGGTTATCTCTAGTAGAGATAATGACTGAACATTCTTTATATTAGGAACGACAAGGCCATGTTCAGTGGCCATTGCAACTCCAATGTTATGTGAACCTGCAATAAACCAAGAATATATCGATATCTAATAATCCAAGGATATTAAGCTCAAAATCAAAATAACAATAAGAAGTTCCTATAAAATAAATACCTTTGAGAATGATCTCGAGAGATTCTGCGTTGAAGCAACTATTCACAAAGGGGTATTTGGTTAGAGCCATTGACAGTGACTTGATTAAAGTAGGAAGGAAAGTGTGTTTGATGGTGGAATCTGTATTGTTCTGTTTAAAGAATTGCTTGAGCTCCACAAGTGCGTCGCAGTTTATCTCTTCAACGAAATGAAAATGTGGTACACTTGTAGCCATAGTCATTGTCTTGACCATTGCTCGGCTGAATCCCCTGAGAATAACGAAAGCTTCAGGGGTTAACTAAGACACAAGATTGGTTCATTTACAAAGATAACCAGCCACAAGTGGCCAACAAAACGCGTACCTTAGAGGAACTTTTTTATCTTCAAAGTCACTAGCTTTAGTGGAAACCGAGTCTCCTCCTATAACAGCATGCTCAGAAGAAACTGAATCTGTTACAAATCCTTTCTGGTCACTAAACCGGAGAACATCTTCTTTCAAAACTCTTCCATCTTTACCAGTTCCAGTTATAACATTGATATCTATGCCAAGGTCTTTTGCAAGGTTACGAACCGCAGGCGTTGAGAGAGCTCCAACAAGATTGTCTGTTCTCTGCTTTGAACCGCCCAGATTTATAATTTCTGAACTATCAGAGGTTAGAAGAAGCGAATCCTGCGAGTCTTCAACCGCCAGCCTAACCAGAGTCTCTCCAACCTTGCATCAATAGATTTTGTCGCATATAAGTACTTATAAAAAATGATACATTTGATACCTGATCTATCAGAAGCTTTAAACATATATATATATATATATATATAGATAACACAAAAGAACAACATGTCAATAATCCACTATCGCTTATTGTTCATGGTTTACATGAGCGTAACATGCTCAAACTTAGCCTCTAACACCATAAAGAAAGAAAAAGTATAGATTCTTTTTTCATTGAGTATGGCTCTAACCTTAATAATGTCACCTGGAGAATGTGAAATCAGAGCCACTTTGCCCTTAAAACGACTTGTGATCTCTATTGTTGCTTTATCGCTCTGAACTTCACAGAGTGGCTGAAACTCTTCTACCGGATCTCCCTGCACAAGGAAAAACACCAAAATGGCTGATTCATAACGAAACGAAACAGAACAATTCCAAAAAAAAAAGAATGAAACTTTGAGCGGAGAAACCAAGAACCTCATTGACAAACCACTTGAGAAGCTCACATTCAGCAATACCTTCCCCAGTTTGTGCTAGTGGCACATCAATTAACCCTGAATTTGAATCAATGGCCATGGCTTCGTTAGAAAACCAGCTTCTACTTCCTCCACACCATTTCATCAACTGCGAAAAATGTGACAAACTTGTTTGATCTTCTGTCCAAAAATTACCAGAAATCCAAACATTCTTAGCAAACTTTAAGTCCCTCTGGTAATTTTATTTTCTTTCTAAATTTATACAGTTTCGATGTGAGAAGAAACTTACAGTGGGAGGGTGAACAAAGAATGGGCGCGACGCCGGAGAGGAAGACGACTGAGAAAGATACTCCGGTACCCGGAACGGCGGAGAGCAAACAGATGACGAGCTGAATGGGCGGAGAAACCGGTGGCTCCGCCAGATCCGTCGCGCGATCATTGTTGTTAACGGTTGGGGTCTTTGGTAAAAAAAAAAAAACAGTAAAAGGGAGAAGAAATAGAGAAACACAGATGGAATTGAAGAGAGATGTTTCTAATAAGAGAATTTAAAAAGATAAATGTTACGTACCCGTGTGTTTCTGTTCGAATGAATATCCGGATTAAGACTAAAGTACTAATAAATAACTATCGGATTGGTTTATCTATGCCACATCAGCAATATCACGGAGAGGATCAACGGTACACGCGTATCCTCATGTACATCACCTTTTTTTGTTTTTTCTTTCTGTCAACAGATGATGGGCTCTATATATATCGACTTCAAAAAAGCCTTTTACAAGCACTTCCCTTAAAGACGAAAAAAGAAAGCCAAAAGGCCAGAACTAGGCTACAACACCAAACCCAAAAAAATAGAGACAAGACCATTTTTTTTTTTTAGACAGACTTAACAAAGTGGACAAACTTTTCTCATAGACAGAATTCCTTAAACCAAGAAAGATAACCTTAAGATTGCAGTTTGAACAAATGAACAAACAAATTAGAGATGCGAATGTGAGGCTACTTCCAAAATACAATCTATTTCATCACTAAATGCCTAACATTATCTTTGGAAAGTAAGCTACCTACCAACCCAAAATTACATATAAGTCACATCTTCTTTCTTTTGAGTTTAAGTTTTAAACAAATTCATCATTATTCTAGTGAAGTTTTAAGTTTTAGACGTTTTAGTACTGTTATGGTTAATTGTATGAAAGTTGATACTTAGTCATGTGAATAAATATTTCACCAGACCAGACCATACATAGAGATTTTTAAAAAAACAAGATATGGGTTGAATACTTGTCTAAAACTATTGATTTCATTTACATTTTTGTTTCTAATCTGATTATACGAAAAAATGGATGTCATGATAGAATTAACATATACAAACTTATAAGAAATAATATTTAGCATGATCTATTATATCATAAATAAATAGGAAAAAAAACAAGAAAAACAATAATGTGCAAAATGAGATATTGTTTCTAGTAAATTTTATTTACAACTGTAAAATCCTATATAGGGTCGCTTTATTAATTATTATTACAAATCCGTAGTATTAAGATAAGATCCGCCAAGTTTGGTAGTCGCAGGACTATGACCAGCCAAACACATATTTTTAGGGTCCGTTCGTTTCATCATTTACCATTTCCATCCAAATGATCCATTTAAATGTTCCATCCAAATGCTCCATCTGAATGTTGTTCGTTTCAATTTTTGGATGTTCATTTGGATGGAACATTTGAATGAATTTTTGTTTGTTTGTTTAATTTTTTACAAATCTTTATCTCCATCTAAATGACTTTAACAAGAAAATGACTAAAATACCCATACTTTAATTTACTTATATTTTAAATCTTAATCTAAGCTATATTAATTTAATTATTGCTCTAAAATATATTTTCATCTAAATAATTTTTAAATTATTATTTAAACATATAAATTAAGTTTACGGTTTTGACGAAAAAAGATAATTTTACGGTTTAGGCGGAAAACATAATTTTGTGATTTTGGCGGGAAAACATAATTTTGCAATTTTTGGCGGGAAAATGTTATTTTGCGGTTTTGGCGGGAAAACATGATTTTGCGATTTTGGTGAGAAAAAATGATTCCGCAATTTTGGCGGAAAACATAATTTTCAATTTTGGCGGGAAAATATGATTCCGCAACTTAGGCGGGAAAACATAATTTTTACAATTTTTTGGTGGAAAATTTAGTTTTGTGATTTTGGCGGAAAAATATAATTTTACGGTTTTGGCAAGAAAACACAATTCCTCAATTTTTTCGGTTTTGGCGGGAAGACAGAATTCCGTAATTTTCCCGCCAAAATCGTGATTTTATAGTTTTGGCGGGAAAATATGATTTTGCACTTTTTGCGAGAAAATATGATTTTGCGGTTTTGATTTATTCCATAATTTTCTATCAAAAATCACGATTTCACTTTTTGGCGGGAAAAAACACAATTCCGCGATTTTATGATTTTGGCGAAAAATGATAATCATTGATTTTACGATTTTTAGAGATTTTATTTGGTGCAAATATGTAATTTTTAGAATATAAAATGAAAAATCTATGGAAAATAAACATTATTTGATTTATGATTATAAATGAGGGTATATTTGTCATTGGTTATTTTTGACTGAATCATCTCCATCCAAATGCTCCAATCATGTTCATCCAGATGAGTTTGAAAAATTTGCCTAAAATTATAAACTCATTCAGATGATCCATCCAACTAATTCATCCAAATGATCTGTTAAATTGTAAAAAACGAACATCATTTTTCATCTCCATCCAGATGATCCATCTGAATGGAGAAACGAACAGGGCCTTAGTAAGAAATCCGCAGAGTTTAATTGCAAATATTTAGTTCCTAATTCTCGATTAATTCCATCCATTTATACATTAAAAGGATAAGAAAAACAAATAAAAATCACATATCGAAAACATTATCAAAGTACCGTTGCTTTGAGGAGTGTGCCACTCTACCATATTATCAGACGTCACGTCATCATCTTTTGCAATTATATAATAATCTGATTTCTCACGTCTCCTCTCTTATTCATCAATTCCGAATTTTTGACTCGCAATCTCAACGAAGCTCGAAAAATGGATTCACGAACCAAGGGGAAGACGGTGATGGAAGTTGGTGGCGATGGCGTTGCCGTCATAACACTCATCAATCCTCCCGTCAATTCTCTATCTTTCGACGGTAAGTACTCTCAGATTTATTTTTATGTTATGATCCGGAATTTATTGAATTTCGTCTCTTCAGATTTAGGTCAATTTCGCTTCGTGATTTGGTTTTGTAAATCTCCCCGATTGCAATTGAGCTTCCGATCGAAATTATGATCTGATATATATATGTGAATTTCTTTGTATGTGACTCTGTTTTTGTATATTTGTGTACAGTGCTATACAACCTCAAAAGTAATTACGAGGAGGCCTTGAGCAGGATTGATGTTAAAGCTATTGTTATTACTGGTATTGATGGAGATCATTCTCTTCCTTGCCAAAGAACTTTTTTTATGAAAACTTTGGAGATGATCTGGTAATGGCTTTTGTGTTCCTTTTTATGTAACTACAGGTGCAAAGGGGAGGTTCTCTGGTGGCTTTGATATATCTGGTTTTGGTGAAATGCAGAAGGGGACTAGTATGTTTATGTGTCTTTTATATCTTTGGTTATTGAATCAGTGTGTTATGTGTTGATCTAGTTAGTAACGTATACTGGTGTTTTTTATTTTCTCAGTGAAAGAGCCAAAGGCTGGATACATTTCGATTGACATCATAACCGACTTGCTTGAAGGTGATCTTTCTACTTAACCCACTTTATTTGATTTATGGGATGCTTGTGATGATGTGTTGCTGAGGGATTAATTTCTTTCATTGGATTTAGCTGCAAGGAAACCGTCTGTCGCTGCCATTGATGGGCTTGCCTTGGGAGGAGGATTAGAACTTGCCATGGTATGAGTTTCTATGTTATTTATTACCTTTCCGAGAAATCCTTTTGAGGATGAAGGATGGTGATTGAGTTGTATGGTTTGTTTCCAGGCTTGTCATGCTAGGATATCAGCTCCTGCTGCACAGTTAGGCTTGCCTGAGCTGCAACTCGGTGTTATTCCTGGTTTTGGAGGTACGTATTCAACTCTGTTGACTGTAAAGTCCTTGACTCCTCTGACCAACATATGGTTTAAAACTCGTGGACAAGTCAAGGCATTCTCAATGCATAATACTGAGCTGAGGATGGGAAGAGGATCTTTGTTTCATTTTTTTTTTGTTGAATGAGTCAAGTCACTTTCTTTTATATTACTAATTATACTCCTTTGGATTGACGTAGGAACGCAGCGTCTTCCGCGTCTTGTTGGTCTCACGAAAGCCCTTGAAATGATTTTGGTATGTCAGTGTCTTATTCTTATGGTAGCATTAGTGTGCCTTGGTTAAAGTGTAATAGCATCTCTTTTGTTGTAACATAGACATCTAAGCCAGTTAAAGCTGAAGAAGGTCATTCTTTGGGTCTTATTGATGCTGTGGTGCCACCTGCGGAGTTACTAACCACTGCTCGTCGCTGGGCCCTTGACATAGTTGAGAGGAGAAAACCATGGGTTTCTAGTGTTTCCAAGACTGATAAGTTACCTTCTCTTGGAGAGGCTAGGGAAATACTGAAGTTTGCCAGGGGACAGACACAGAAGCGAGCCCCCAATATGAAACACCCTTTGATGTGCCTTGACGCTATTGAAGTAGGTATTGTTTCTGGTCCAAGGGCTGGTTTAGAAAAGGTATAGTACCTATCTTTCTTCGCTTCATTGTGTGTCAGTTCTTTAACCTTTTCTCTCCGACTAATGACCAATATGAATTTCCACCACATTGTTACTTACAGGAAGCTGAAGTCGCCTCACAAGTGGTAAAACTGGATACCACCAAAAGCTTGATCCACGTCTTTTTTTCTCAGCGAGGAACTGCTAAGGTCTGTGAGTCTTTATGCAGTCATGTAATTTGGACTGATGTGCCACTAAACCTCTGTTTTTTTTCTTTTTCTTTACAAGGATTTAACTATTAGCATGAAAGCTTTCCCTCTTTTCTGATTTCCTCCAATCTATTGTATGGACAGGTTCCTGGAGTTACTGATCGTGGGTTGGCGCCAAGGAAGATTAAGAAGGTAGCCATAATTGGAGGCGGGTTGATGGGATCTGGAATAGCCACTGCGTTGATCCTAAGTAACTATCCAGTGATTCTCAAGGAGGTAAATGAGAAATTCCTGGAGGCTGGAATTGGCAGAGTCAAAGGTGAGGATGGAATTCCATACATTGCGTACCAATGAATTGCAATAGCTTGATCTGACTAATTTCATAATTGGATCAGCTAATCTCCAGAGTCGTGTAAGGAAGGGAAGCATGTCTCAGGAAAAGTTTGAGAAAACCATGTCTCTCCTTAAGGGTTCTCTTGATTATGAAAGCTTTAGAGATGTGGACATGGTCATTGAGGTAATGATGAACATAACCAAGCCGAAGTTGTTTATTTATTGGGTTACATGGTCTAAGTGAATTGATTTTTTATGATGTCTTTTTGGTGGCTTGAACAGGCTGTTATTGAGAATATATCTTTGAAGCAACAAATTTTTGCTGATCTGGAGAAGTACTGTCCTCAGCATTGTATCCTCGCTAGCAACACATCGACCATTGACTTGAACTTAATTGGGGAGCGGACCAAGTCTCAGGATCGGATTGTTGGAGCACATTTTTTCAGGTGATTACATATCCTTTGGAGTTTGGATGAATTTCAGTGAAAATCTTATGCCCAGCGTGTTTTGGCTCACTCTACACAAATCATGTACCTTCATTTTTCTGATGCAGTCCAGCACATATCATGCCGCTACTTGAAATAGTTCGGACCAATCATACCTCTGCCCAAGTAATTGTTGACCTGTTAGATGTTGGGAAGAAGATTAAGAAAACACCAGTCGTGGTGGGAAACTGCACAGGGTTTGCAGTGAATAGGATGTTCTTCCCTTACACACAGGCAGCTATGTTCCTTGTTGAGTGTGGAGCAGATCCATATCTAATCGACAGGGCAATCAGCAAGTTTGGAATGCCAATGGGTCCCTTCAGGTATATCGCATTGTAAAAATCCATGTCATTCACATACACCATCTGTTAACTATACTTTTGTCACTTATATGAACGAGCAGATTGTGTGACCTGGTTGGATTTGGTGTGGCGATTGCAACCGCAACGCAATTCATCGAGAACTTCTCAGAACGGACATACAAATCAATGATTATCCCACTTATGCAAGAGGACAAGAGAGCTGGTATGTGTGAAATGAAACGAGAGCTAGCTACTGTTTATTGATTTAACATTTCTTCTAAATTATGTGGGATTTCCTGTTGATTTCAGGTGAAGCCACTCGCAAAGGTTTCTATTTGTATGATGATAAGCGCAAGGCTAAACCTGATCCTGAGCTAAAGAAATATATCGAAAAGGCAAGAAGCATATCTGGAGTAAAGCTTGACCCTAAGGTATCCCTCTGTCCAAAAATTTAGCAAAGTTTGTCATTTGCATTTGAGAGGGACTCACTATTCTGTTCTTACTCTAACTATTTGTTGTGCATGCAGTTGGCGAATTTGTCGGAGAAGGAAATTATTGAAATGACATTTTTCCCAGTAGTAAACGAGGCGTGTAGGGTTTTTGCTGAAGGCATTGCTGTCAAAGCAGCAGACCTTGACATTGCTGGCATAATGGGAATGGGTTTTCCACCTTATAGGTCAGTGTTGTCATCAAATAAATGCTGCAACTCCGAGATCCTTATCAAATTCTCTTTTACTCATTTTGGTTTCAATCTAAATCTCTTGTGGAACAGAGGAGGAATCATGTTCTGGGCTGATTCCATCGGATCGAAATACATATACTCGAGGCTGGAGGAGTGGTCAAAGACTTATGGTGAATTCTTCAAGCCTTGTGCTTTTTTGGCTGAAAGGGGGTCTAAAGGAGTTCCACTGGTGAGTTTTTCTTTGCTCTGTTTGGCTTGTAATTTTCAGTTTTTTATAGAGCAGTTTTTTTTTTTTGGATTGCTATAAACATAATCTACTTCAGCCTGGTTTATATTACATGACTATTCCTAATCAAGATACTAGCGTGACTAATCTTGCCCAGTTTAGCTCTCATAGTTTACTCAATTGTCACTCAGATTCTTGATTGTTCTTCCATTTTGTGTTACAGAGCGCTCCAGTGAAACAAGCCAGTTCACGGTTGTAAGGTCAGCGTTTCAGCGGAACTATTTCTCCATTGGTGCATCTTCTGTGTTTTCTTTATGTCCAGCATTTTACTTAGCCGGAAAAGTGGATCTTTTGGCCTCAGAAGCTTTTAAATAAAGTCTCATCTCAGACATATGAATCTGGGAGAAAGTAGGGGATTAAGTTGTAGTAGCAATAAGATTTGTTTTATGTTATGCTTTGTCACTTTGTCATACAACAAAGTTGTCAGATACATTTGTTGTTATAAAGCTATATGGAGTTAAGTTCTATGATTTATTGATAATGTTGTCATATGACAATCAGTTAAAATTAAATTAGTGAATCAATATGGAATTATGGCAGGTTATGATATACTGTTTGTGAGTAGCCTTTAGAAACAATTAACTAGTGATGATTAAAACATGACAGAAATGGAAGGGGACCCTAAATAGAAGAAGAATTGCAGAAAGAAAAGATAAGACAAAATATGTATTTATGAATTTTAGAAAAGACACGAATACTCAATTTTCTTGGACCACTTTTTGTTTTTCTCTACGTTTGCATCTTCGTATATAAACTTCTGGTTTATCGTTTTGGTTATACATGCTGGTATATTTTTCATATGTTTATTCTCAAAAATCTGGTTTTCATAAGTGTAATATAAAAAGATAGGGTTGTTACTTGTTAATAGTAAATGACTTTGGCTGTAAATGGTAACATTTTTATGTGGAATTGTTGAGGAATTCTTGTGGAAGATATTAATGTTACATCATTTGTATCCGTGGAATTATTGTTGAACTTTTGTTGTTCTGTCATAAGGGTCCTACTTATTCTATTTATTTAATTAATCAAACCTTCAACAGATGCATTTCATTTGTTAATTTTCATATGTATTTTTGAATAATGTATTTTGAAGTTTGTTTTTTGGAACAAAAAATATTTTTGTGGATTTTTAAAGAACTAATAATTTTAATATTTTTTGATATTATGATTTCACTATGGATGATAGCGGATAGTCTTGGATGTTTGGGTCTTTAGCTCGGTGTCGGTTTTATAATTTTTAATATTTTCCGGTTCGTGTTTTATTATTTGGAATTTTTTTAATTATTCGGTATTAAAGTAACTAATATTTTGGATATATAAGTGTACTTTGGTTTCATATAAGTATCTAAAATATTTTGGTTCCGGTTTTTTCGGTAATGAAGTTTAAGATCCATTCGGTTATTTCGTCGGTTTCAGTTCGGTTTCGGTGAAACAATTTTCTAGTTATTTTTTAAAAGTTTATTTGATTAGTTATTAAAAAAAAATTCAGCCAGATTCCGCAGTTACCATTTGAAGTTTAAATTATTCAGCCAGATTCCACAGAAAAACACAAATATATTCAGCTAGATTCAGCAATTCAGCCAGATTCAGCTAGATTTCTCGGTTACCATTTACACCCTTTGTTTGCTTGGTTGGCCCTATAAGGAGGAAGCCGGTGAATTTCTTAATTAACAAAACAAAAGGATAAGTGATATTTAATAGACTAACATGGGACCGGACTTGTATAAAATGACTAACATGGGAAACAACTAGGGTATTTGCATAGTAAATGTATTTATTTTTTCTTGTCAACATTTAATGTTTATTGATGCATGTTAACTAATTTATCATAAAACTTCAATGATGAGGATAGTCGACGACCAACATGATGATCATTAAACTTTCATTTTTCCCATAATCGATTTAAAAAAAATTAGTAATGAAATAAACCCATGGATATATAGACAGAGGCAGTAAAAATATTAGGATCTTCTGGACCATATCTTATCATATTAGACTTGAGAATTTTGCTATCCTATCAGAAATTCGGATCTGTATGACTGTATTAGATCAAATGGTATTCTTTGTTCATCAATTATTCTGAATCAGATTCAAACTAAATTAGTTTATCCTAAAATAGTTTAAGATGTCTTCTTTATTTTAGTTTAAACATTGAAACCAAAGGAAATAGTTTAAACTAAAATAACATGATTTATCCACTCGATGAAACTAGTTGATCGGATTAACCTAATATTTAATCCCACAGCTCCTACTGTAATAATCAAAGTGGTAATCTTAGAACGGTCACTTAAGACACATGTAGTTAGTGTTTTTATAAAGCTAAACAATGGACACGTGGACATCGGGTGAATTAATGGACCCAGAAAAGAGAGATTAGAATTGGAGACACACATCACAACACAAGTTCAAAGATCTGAAACCAAAAAAAAGAAAACAAAGCAAACAATTGAAAAAAGAGAAAGAGAGAGCTCGAGAGAGTACAGGTCAGGTCAGAACTCCCACGTGCACTTGGGGAACTCAACGCCTTTCTCTTTCTCTACAAACTCTCCACACACACCTCTCTCTCTATCCACCCTCACAACAATCAATCTCTCTCTCTCTCTCAAAAGAAGCTGAATTCTTTCTTCGTTAGATGCCGTGAATCACAAACAGAAACAGAGGAACAAAGAGAGAACTTCAACATCTTGATTCTTTCTTCTTCTTGTTTCCTTCTTTATTTTACAATGGTGGAGCTCAAAGATCAAGACATGGGAGAAGGTATGCAATGCATAAGACATCCTTACACAAAGAACCCAGGTGGGATCTGTGCTTTATGTCTCCAGGAAAAGCTTGGTAAGCTCGTCACTTCCTCTTTCCCTGTTCCAAAACCCAACCATCTCTCTTCTTCTTCTTCTCCTAAATCCTTCACTCCTTCCACCACTTCTCTCGCTCTGTCTCTCTCATCGGGAAGCAATGGCAGAGACTCCACTAACAACAACAATCTCCCGTTTCTTCTGGCGAAGAAGAAGAAGAACATGCTCGCAGCTTCTTCTTCATCTTCTTCTTCTTCCTCTTCGTCTTCTTCGGCTAATCTTATCTACAAGAGAAGCAAATCGACTGCTGCTGCTTACGGTGAGAGTTTCAGCCAAAGGAAACGAAGTGGGTTCTGGTCGTTTCTTCATCTCTACTCTTCAAAACATCAGATCAGCAACACCACCAAAAAAGTCGATAACTTTAGCCATTCAAGGAGGAACCAAAGAACAGAGTCAACAACAGAGACTTCTTCGAAGAGGGTCGGTGTTGGTGGAGGCATTGATGTGATAGTTGAGGAAGAAGATGAGAGTCCTCCTAACAAAGTGGTTTCAGAAACGCCAACGAATGGTGGTGGTTCGTCTTTTGGGAGGAAAGTGTTGAGATCTAGATCTGTTGGTTGTGGAAGTAGAAGCTTCTCTGGTGATTTCTTTGAGAGGATCTCTAATGGGTTTGGTGATTGTGCCTTGAGAAGGATTGAGTCACAGAGAGAAGCCACCAAGGTCATTAGTAATGGTGGTGGTGGTGAAGCAGCAAATGCGATGAATGAAATGGTCAAATGTGGTGGCATCTTTGGTGGGTTTATGATAATGACACCATCATCTACATCATCATCAACAACATCATCAACGGTTGATCATCATCATAATCATAAGATGGGGAACAGAAACTGGGGATGGGCTTTTGCAAGTCCAATGAGAGCCAAAGCTACTACTACTCATAGAGGTCGTACCATTACAGAGTCTTCAGCTGACAACAAGAACACATCTCCAAATTTGGACTCAATTCCTTCATTGTTGGCTTTGAAAAGCTGAAGCGAGAGATGCATTACTAAGTATTTCTAAATTTAGATATTTCATTCATGTGTTTTTAGTTAGGCTGTTCTTTCGTTCTTTGGACATTGGCTTGATCTTTTAATGTAATGTCACACTATTTTCTTGGTCATTTCTATGTTTGGCACCTTGGTTATATGTTGGTTGTTCATTATCACACAAGCTTGAAACCTTTAGGAGAATGTGCTTAGGATACTTGCTGCTTTGTCTTTTACTCTTCTATGATTGTTTTCTTATTCAATGGATTATAATTTAATACACATTGTCACAAGATTATTTTGTCTTATGGTGTCACTGTGATGGTAAACCAGATGTGTTACTTGATAGTACTATAATAATAGTAACAAAACCCACTTGAAAAAGCAGTCAGTCAACAGGTTTTAGGGGGTTTTAAGTATTAAATGAGTGGAATCAAAAGGCACATGCCTTTGCACATGCATTATGATGCCAATAGTCATTAGTTTTATCTTCTTTGTTTTTGAGCCCCACAATCTTTAAGTAAGACATGCAACAAACAAGAAGTCAACAACATCTTCTAAAAACCATCATCATCATGATCAATTCTTCATCACCAACCAGCTAATCTCTATAATAAATTACATGTATGCAAGCCAAAATATTGAGTTTGCTGTCCGACCAAACCACAGGTTATGTATTTGCTTCACATTGATACGTCAAGTCGGATCAAGACATAACAAATTTGTTTCTCTGTTTTTTTTTTTGTTAAAGTATTTGTTTCTCTGTTTTCCCTCCTAGACATAACAAATCTTTTATGATTTTATGATACATATAGTATATTCATATATATAACAGAATTGTTATGATAAAATAATAAATTCAGATTGATAATCAGATGATATATTGTGTGGAAGAGATGGTCGGGACAAGGACATCAAAAGGGGTCCACGAGCTGAAATAAAGACTAACAATCCTGCAAGGAGACAGAAGAGAAAAAGAGGCTGCCTTCTGACTTAACCCTATTCATATAAATTAAATTATTTGTTCTGTTAAAAACAAAAAAAAAAGTTATGGGGACCAAGTTTGGACTTCTCATGCATATTCCAAAAATCTGCATAAATAGATTCTTCAGACGTGACCATGTGAATACTATCAATTTTCCGTTGTGAAAATATATATGAAGCATCTTTAGATCAAATGTAGGACCTCTTGAGATCTCTGATAACTTTTACTCCTTAGTCTCATTCCATTCCACAGTAATTATTGTCTTTCGTGTTACTAATAATGTCATTGTGTACTTTGTTGAAGCATGATCTTATTGATAATAAATACTTTTGCAAAATCACTATCTACACAGAAGTGAAATAGACTACTCAACGACATTTTAAATATTATGCTATGTAACACATGTACAAGTATCACATAGGGCTGCAGCTTCACTTCACTCTAGTTTAAGCCTGTGTATTTACTTCTTCACTGTGATATGAACATGAGTCTTCATGTATCATAGCTTTGAGCTGATTGTTGAAATTGTAGTGGTTACCTCATACACTTGTCCTTTGTGCTATAACGGAATCCATCCCTGTTTTGTCATAAGAAAATTAGTGTCGGTCTAAGTTCTTATATAACATCATTTTAAAATGATGGTTTAAACAACTTTATAGCATGTGTGTATTATTCACCTTAATGACTCCAGCTTCTGTACCACAAAAAACAATATCATTAGCAGTAAGGAGGCTTGTGATCTTGCTTCCTGCTGATAATCTTCCCACTTTTTGTTGTGTCCTTCTCAACCAAATCTTGTTTTCACAAACCAAATGATCTTTACTTTAATATCAAATAGAATGGTGTTTGGTCTAGGAAGTGTTTTAGTTTTGCAGAAAAAGATTACCTGAAGAGTGTTTGCCGATGAACTTCGATTCAGGTAGATGAAGTCTTCAACCACACCCATTGCTACTATATTAGACCCCTTTTCTGCTGTTATTGACATTTGGGGCTCATAATTCCTTCTCAAATCCTGTAAGACATTTTTATTCAAGTCACTAATTTCTTTAGTCTATCGCATTGTGAAAAATGTTAATGTAGTTTTTTACCTTTATATTAGACATCTCAACATGTGTGCTTGAGCTATATAACATATCTTTGTACACAACCACTGAATTGATAGGCTTGTTTTGAATTCTCCAGCTCCTAGTTGGTGCTTTGATCTCTTTCTCCCGTTTATTTGCAACGATTAATTCCTGAACAACAATGTTAATTACTTTGTATCTTACATAATTCAGTATCATTTGGATGAAAGGCAAGGGATATATGGTCATACATACCTGTATGCTTGTATCTATGCATCCTATATAAATCTTTCCTTGAGCTGCTACCATACTCTTCACACCTTTACCTTTGAAGACACTTTGAGATGTTCTTAATGAATCAAGCAGCTGCAGAAGATTACTTTGAGATGTTATTCTTATATGATATTACAATGTAATAGTCTCTGCCTTGTTGTGGCATAATGAGAGATATCTACCTTCATCTTGTGCCCTTTGGTTATGACAAAGATCATATTTCCGAATGCTTCCAGTTTCCTTATTGAATCTTTTGTTTTTATGACTTCAGCACATTCCAGTTTTCCTTTAACTATCTGCCATACCTATATTAAAGAAGGTGAAACATATACATATACATTAAAAAAAACTTCAGTTTTGTCCTGATTCTAGTGATGTTTCCTGTAAACAGAGAGTTGAATCATTATCATACCCTGATAGTTTTATCTGCAGATCCACTTAAGACACTCTCTCCTGCTTCAGAGAGTGAAAAGCATGTTACTGTGCTTTTGTGCTCCTTGATGTCCCATAAAAGCGTAGCTAATTTCTTATTCACATTCCACACCTGCAGATATATAATTTTGCATGCTCAAAGTAAGGTTTCTTTTAAACATTTGTCTTCCTATTCAATTTTATTAAATGTATGATACATACCCTGATTGAACCATCTGAATATCCACTAAAGAGCAAGCCTTTATGGTAGATGAGTGCTGTTACAGCTCCACTTCCAGATTGATGCATCTCTATGGTTTGTGTATGAACACAAGATATGCGTTGGTCCTACCAATATTGAAATGGTCAGACTTATGAGTTCATGTGTGACCACTACAAGACTTGACTATGATTCTGTTACATGGTTGGTTTAAGTTGTGACAATGATAGAGATTGTACTAATCTTTATGCAGGTGAAGAAAAACTTACAGATTTGCTGAATAGATAATATGTTGCTTTATGCAATTCGTCTGCCATCCAAGTCACATGCGAAAGACGTCTCAAAGACTCTCTAACTCCTTCCGAAAAATTGACTAGTTTGTGGATTCCTGTGTCAAAACTACACTTTAGCATAAAACTCACAGTCACATGCTTTAGTTTGGTATGAACCATTATATCACTTCAAAGTTAGGATATTTACCTTTGCCAGAGCTAAAATTGTAGATGCATATACAAGCAAGAAGTCTTTCTTCAAGCTCCAAACCAGGGTGTAGAAATTGTGCTATCTCATCAAGTAAGACTTCACATGCTGAGTACTTTAAACTATTTGGACCTTTTGAAATCTCTATACTGAGCCATGCAATGGCTATAAGACATGCTTTTGAAACACTCTTGTTCTGACTCTTTAGCCCTTCTTGTAAACCACAAAACGTGGCTTTGCCTGTATCAATAATTCTTCTTGCTATTTTACAACACCATCCATCTATTCCTGGATCCTGCAAAAATTATGAAGTTTTCGATAATGATCACTCTTTCTGGCTTGGCTTGTTAGTTATTACTAATATGTTAAAAGGTACCTGTAAGCATTCATCTGACCAGTTAATGTTTCTTATCATATTCATATGTGACACAGAAGTTAGTCCTCCTCTTTTCATTAACCAAGCAGCAGTGTAAGGTTCTCCTGTCCATGAATAAGTTCCACCGATATTCGAAAGAATGAATGTTGATAAAACCTGCATATTTGAACCTTCACTATATGTAACTGCATCAAGTAGAGCTCTGGTAGCTTCATTTCTGTACTTTTTGTTCTCAGGTGGGGAATCCTGAAGAGAATTTCGATACGAAATTATTTACTTAGAGATGGAATCAACAAGATATGGGTTTTTAAATGTTTAGAATTCTAACCAGTGCATTTAACTGAAGCAATATATCTGCAGCAAAGAGTTTGTGATCACCCTGTAATTGTTTGATACACTGCAATAATGTATCCTTAATGTCAAAACTTCCTTCTTTCTTTATCTGCTGCAGAATCTTAATCGCTGACGACCTGAAATTACAAGTATATCATATGAAAAAGTGTGACTGGTAGTCTAAAAGAGAAGTTTTTTTGCTGAGATATGTATACCTTGGTATCTTCAGGACTTCATGAAGAAATTGAAGAGCGATGCACATTTCTTCTTGGTCTTTGCTCTGCAGGAGATGCGCGAAAGGAGCCACTCGAGTATGCTGATAGATATACTTCCTGTTAAGTCCATCAAATTGCATGCATTTTACTAAAATACTGGCCAAGGAGATGAATTCCCCTGAGTTTCCACTCTTTGCAACGTCAAGAAGTCCACAAAGGACAGAAGGAGAACTGATTGCAGCCAAGTGCATTGTGTTTGTAGCATGATCAAAAGCAGTAATAAGCACTTCAATTATCATCAATGATGCCGCAGGCGGCGTCAAAAGAGGCGGTGAAGGTCTAAATGCGTAACAAGAAGGGGAAGAAGAAGTGGATGCAACAACATCTACAAGAGCTGGTAAAAGCTCAAGACTCTTTATTTCTGTTGGAGATGGCTGTATCAGGTAGATGAGAATAGCTGCTTCTTGCACATTTTGTTTCAGAGCATTTGCTAAATGACTTAGATTTAAACCTTTCCTCTTGACCTCCTCTAGAGCTGTTCTATTGACTGATATGATCTTGGTAAGTGCGGTCATCGATGCCTTAATCACGGTTTTCTCCTCGGAACTAGAAATAGCCGTGAACAGCTGATCCAGTATGACATCTTTTAGCATGCTGTATTTGAATCCTTGTTTTCTGTTCAGCATTTGATAAATCATTGTGACCTCTGAGACATATTTCTCATCTGCATTCCCTAACACTTCCTTTATCAAGCTCTGAAGGTTCTTCCATAAATCCATTGTTGGAGCTCTTCTAGAATGCGTCTCAAGTCCATTTCCTCTTTTTTTGGTATGCAAATTTCTTCTCATTCCTTCAAAAGTTATGGACCCTTTGTGTCCAAATACTGATATATCTTCCAACTCTAAGTGTCTCAAAGAAGAGGCATCTTCTAAGTGGGTATACAAATTTGTCATTGATTGTTGAGCCTGAATATCAAAGATGGAACGGTTAAAATTACCGATAAAACTGTGGGATCTGTTGGCTAATGTGTCCTCATTATATGCTTTGTTTGCTTCCTTGTGAGCTTGTTGTTGGGAAACACAGAAGATGTTTGCTAATGTGTCCTGATTCACAATAGAGTTTGTGGAAGATGTTAATTTTTAATTCTTTATTTTTCTCTGAACTTTGAAGCAATGAAAGTGTTTGGTTAGCGAAATTTACCGTGCCAACGTCTTCTCTAGTATCAAAAATTGAACTTGACGTATCTAGCTGAGACTCGTTCAAGAATTCATTAAGGCATCTGACTCTTGTACTTTTTCCAAGCTCTGGATTGTAATCTTCCTGCAGGTTCCGATCCAAACATTGAGAACCTTCCAAGTTATTTACAGATGTTTCAATCTTTCTTGATGCTTTGATTTTGTTGAAGATGTCATTAAGTTCCTCCTCTTGCAAATCAACACTGTGGAAGTCCTGGTACTGCAATAACTTCTTCAACATGGAAACCAAGAAGTTAAAGAAGGTAAATGTTACTTTTTGCCCCATGTTGATGATTACATAACACTGAGAATCTTCAAAAGCATGTCTTGTCATTAGTAAAAACCTACCTCACAGGTTTCTGACAACTCTAGCTTCTCTGCAACTGAATGTGCATTAGCCGCAAATATTTCTTGCCTGTTCATGCGAGTAGAGGTTAATATTTAGGAACATTGGATTTTCTCTGTTTCAGGAAGCAAACATAAAGAGAAACAGAACCAATCTAATTTGACTATAAGCTTTGAATGCTTACCCATATTTCTCCTGCCTTCTAAGAGGTTTCTCGGTACATTCACGTGGCGGCTGATGAGTCTCTCCATACGACATAACCTGGTAATAAGTTGCTCTGTATTTATACTTTCTTGCAATCTCTCTGATCTCTTCATCTGACTTGTACACACCAGGAGTGAAGAAAATGCTCTCGCAGAGTTCAGGGGCAATGACGGTTCTTACAATCTCCGGCGAGACCAAAACCGACTGGAGAAAATGCAATGTGGACTGCAAGGAATCACCTTGTAGATAGCTTACAATGGAGAGGTAAAAGTAAGAGAAAGAAACCAAGATTGTGTTTGGGACACCAGAAGTGGTGGTCCCTTGTTCATCAAGCAACGCAGGCATTTGAAGCATTCTCTCTGAGTTTCTCAGACGAGAGGTCTTCTCTTCTGAGCATTCGGGATGTATAGAAGCTTCGATGCTATCGATTCCCCAATAGAGATTCGAGAGAGCAGAGTGTTCAGAAGAGAAATCATTAAACAGAGTGTTATCTTCTTCAATGCTGAGCAATGTGATGCATTTCTGCTTAAGCGAAATCCATGCTTCAGGGTCTGATATGATGCTGAGAATGTAGTCGTTGATCGAAACTAGAATCGAATCAAGAGATGAATTCTCATTACATGAGATAAAACTCGATTGAGAAGATGAAAGGTAAGCCATTTTTCACGTACTTTGTTGCAGACAAGTTTAGATGGTTTTATCTATGGGATAAGGTGAGAGAGGAAGTGAAGTTAGAGATTAGAGATGAGAGAGGGTGTGTGTGTATGAGAACAATGTAGTCTCGTGAAGGAACCAGCCAAACTCCAGAACAAAAGAAAATGATTGGTCCTACACTCCTACTTTGTAATCTTTTGCTGTCACAAGGACACAACTAACAAAAGTCAAGAGTGTTGCGTGTGTTTGAGGAAAACGCAAGAGAAAGATCCTAACTAGCTTTTTAATCATATGATTCATTTTTAATCACAGCTTACACCGTGAGGTTTTGTTTTCTAATGTTATTAGCTTAGTGGATAAGAAAATGCTGGCTTATAAGTTATATACGCTAAGTTTGATGAAGGAATGAATCTATTTTGTCCCAAACACATTTTTTGCTTAAATTGATTAGGTTAATGGCTTTGGGGTTGGTTATAGGAGAATATTGTTACAAATGGTTAAAAATTTGGGCCCCATGAAAAAGAAGGGAATTTGAGAATTTTCTGTCACGGGGAAACGAAAATATTATGATCGTTGGCAAATAAAAGAAAGGACAAATATAACAAAATACAAAAATGGTCAAAGAGATCATTTCCCTCCCATTTCTCGCAATCCAACAAATTGATCTTATGTCCTTTGTGTTTGTGTTAATCGTAATCGATGAAAGCTGTGGGATTGAATCTTGTTTAACTTCGTATATCTTATGTTCGGTTTAGATTCAAATGTAGTTAAGATGATAGGTTTATCATATTTACCCATATATATTCTTGGTGAAATTATTTGTCATATACACAAAAAGATGATCCAACTAATAGTCACAATCTTAATCGTATACAAAAAATTCAAAAACTTTAATTAATACTGATCCAACTAATAGTCACATATTCTTATTAAGAGTGTGATTGACTGATTGGTGAGATTATTAACATTATATAACATTTGTAATAGATTTAATCTAAAGATGACTTATGGTCTATATACCTTCCACCTAAATTTTACAATGCTACAACAAGCTTGTTTTTTGTTCATTGAATTGTTTCTGTTTGTTTATAAAGTTACAATATCATAATATATACTAAGAATTTGGTATCACATTAAAAAAATTAAAATCTAAACATGTGATATCTACATACACAACCTAAATACCTAATTCTGATCGTTTGTTAATCTTAAGCTTTAAATTATATAAATAGATGTTGAAAATAAATATATATATAAATAGACAATATCTTTACAAGTCAAGTTTTGGTCAGCCAAAGATTTTTTAACTTCTCATAATAATAATATTGTAAATGACGTAGAAATTTCGAAGAAAATTAAACAAAATATATAAAAAAAAACGCATGGGAAATGCTTTTAACTTTTTCAAAAGACAAACGCGTCCCTCGTTCCCCTATAATTTTAAAAAGCAACAAACGAAAAAACAATTCTCGAATCAACTGTTAACCAAAGAAAAGAGAAAAGCAAAAAAAAAACAGTCTCTGTGATTCACACTAAGTATCAATGTATCAAGATCGGCAAGGCGTTGTAGGAGGCGGAGGCGGTGGCGGATCTGCGCCACACGGAATCATACTCGCCGTCGTTGTTGCATTGGTAGTGCTTGTTCCGTTCTTCATCGGAGACGGTGGTGAAGCCATTACAGATGCGATCGCAGAGCTTCTTAGTCCGGTGGGACTTCTCTTACTTCCCATCATCCTCCTCCTCACTATCCAGTTCCTCTCGTCGGAGCGTGGTTCCTTTGTCTCGGCCATTTTCTCCACCGGAGAACCCGAATCGATCCACAGGGTTAGCGGATCTCCCGTCGGTGTCGCTTTGTTCCTCGTACTGATCTTGTTCTTACTCTACTACCGCTTCTCCATCTTCGGCGGAGATGATGGTTCCGATGACTGATGCGACGTCGTATTTTCAGATCTAGTTTTTTCCCTCTTTTTCTTTTTTGGGAATTAACAATATATATTTATGTCTTTCTTTATTCGATTTTTTTGTTTTGGTTTTTCGTTTTATTTTATTTTGTGTGACAGTTGAAGTCAAAATATACAGCAGTTTCATTTCATGTAGGTACGCACGTGAGTCACGTGACATTGCTGATGAGTGCACTGAGGTTGTATAAATTACGTAAACATGTGATTACGATTAATTAATCCCAAAATTTTAATTAGCTCTCTGGTTCTGGATTTCAAAAATAAGTATGCCAATGCGTTTAAGCATAATCTCAAATGCTGAAGATTTTAGTGTAATCAAATTAAAATAGATTATTGAGGTCTGTTAGAAAATTGATAAGAAAAACAAATTGAAAGTTTTATTGTAATAAAATGGTGAGATATATGAGGAGTATATTTGATGGGGGACACATTGGAGTTTCGGACTCGTAGTCGTACCCACATGACCACGTGAGAACTGATGATAGTTGAGACATTTTTCTGTTTTCTCATTGGCAAAATCCTATAGAAATAGAATAATAATTTCATATACCTTTTATTCGTACCGTTCATGTTACTAGTTACACGGAAAATTCTCTAAGACAATTTTTTTTTATATTCTAAACAACTCTAAAAGTACAAAAATAATATTTAAAATAAAAATCAAAGTATATTTGAAAGTGAAAAATTGAAATTTTGAAACAACAATCCAATTTTCACTATCAGGCCTCGTCATCGATAATACACTCACATTTATAGTTTTTGGTAATATACCAAACAAAGAGACGTCCCAAAAATTCTACCTCTTACAAGTTTTTCTAAATTCCAAAAACAAAAATATTAAGACTAGAATATTGTAGGGCTTTACCCCAAAGGGAGCCCTTCCAGAAATTCTCGAGGGCCCAAGACAAGCCTAGGCCCAGGAGGGGGTTTGGAAATAGTTTTCAACCAGCAATAGACGCGCCTCGGTTAGTACCTCATTAGCTGCGTCATTGCCCCAAGCGCAAAGATGACTTTCTCACTAACACAGACCGTCTTAATTTATACCCGAACAAAAGCAATCATCATAAAAGTTTCTTCCGATGTGGGACTCTCGCTAGTTATATTGTTCTAGAAACCTAAATAAATTAGTCTCGCAGCCGCATGCCAGAGTAAGCATATAATCTTTAAGTACACAGACCAGACACTTTAATGTGGTTCTCTACTACAAATTCCTTTAATTTAAAATATAATATCAAAATTCAAAATCAGAGTATCTGATAGTGAAAATAGAATCTTTAACAATGATTCGATTTTCACTATCAAGCCTCATCATCAGAGAACCACACTGTTACCCTTTTATATGTACATCAAAATATCAAACACGTAAGTGCATCTAACTTTCTCAACACTATCTACATACAGAAGAAGACCTTTCAAAACTATTCTCTAAGAGTTTCCTTATTTTGCTGACATCACTCGGCTTTCAGTTGCAGAATCTCCTTCGCTGTCCTATCCCGGAAATATGGCATTTGTTCCTGTGGAGATCACACAAACAGTTTCTACTTTAAGCACTCTTAAGTCTTTCAAAATGACACTGACCTACTTACTAAAGACAATGGCAGGTTTAGTAACTTTCTGCTATTTTACCTGAGTGAAACAAAGATCCAGACCTCTGCTGTAGAAGTCGATGTATTTCACCATAAACATTCCACAATCGAATCTACAAAATGCAGAGACAAAGTTACTATGAATGTATCAACTAGTAGTAGCTGACATCTTTATTAGGAAGACGGTACCCATTTCTCTGCATCGGAAGGTCCTGGACAAATTCTTGTCCCCATCGACTTACATCAAGGTCTACTTCACTCTTGTCCCTCACTTCATCGACAAAGTATCTAGCCTGACAAATGAAAAACTACAGAATCAGGATATATATGTTATGATACAAAACATGGTTTCCTTACTCAAATATTACCAGTGCATCGAGAATTTTAGGCTCCCTTCCTTTGAATGAGTCAAGATACTGGAATTTCCGGTCCTTTATATTAATTACAGCCAAAGTCCAGTGGATGTTCATATGGATAGGGATAAATATCTGACAACAAACAAGGTCTCTTAGATGGTAAAATGAAAAAAAAAAGTTTTAATATCTCAAAAAGGAGTGTAATATAGAGAGTGATCTCAGAAGAAGCACACAACAAGTTTACCTTGTCACAGTCTTTGAGATGATAGCCCAACCTCTTCATTGATGTCCATCTTCTGACTGCGCTGTAGTTGTATCCAGTCCCCGAATTAAATAACTGAGGTGTGGTTAAAGGTTATGTCTTCTTGTTATAATTCATGAGCATATATAGGGGCAAGAATCTAAAATTCATTAGCAATAGAAATGGGTATTACCTTAGTGAAGAAAAATGTATTGAAAAAATGGCATTTAAGAAACTTCTTTGGTTCTCTAGCTTCCCTTTCTTTCAGCAATACCAGATATAGATTAATGACCTACATAGAACAAAGCCCAAGGTTTTACCAAATCATAGAGGTTCTAATCAGACAAAAAATTTCTATCCAATCTCTAAGAAGAACTCACGTGAGATTTAAATTCGTTGACTAACCTCATCGTTCAACCATTCACCTGGTTTAAGGCACCTTAGGATTTTCCCTGTAATTTCAATATTTGAATTCTTATGTGCAACCAAGATGTTCCTGCAGACGTTCATAAAATTACATCACAAAAATAAATATGAATCCTCAGAGCAAGTAAACAAGAGAGCAAAAATCAAAATCATACGAGTCATTAGCGGAGAATGCACGGTTGACTGCTGTCTCCTCCTCTCTAGAAAGAGTTAGAAATGCCTCACGTTGTACATCCTGATAATCATTTAAAAAAAAAATGAGGCAACCTGATTTTACAAAATCAAAAGAAACCAACCGATTCATATCACGAAGCATAAACGCTTAAACTCTAGCCACAACTATAAAGATAAAGGAAAGGAGCCAAACCTCTACTGGTTCTTTATCTTGTTTCCAAAAAGAAAAAGAAAACAGGCTTCGCAGTAAAGCACGACCTCTTTCTTTCAAAATATCACCAAAGCCTCTGTCTTTCAGTTTCGAAGTCCGGTTCTCAGCACTCTGGAGAACCTTTCTGTATGCTTCAAAACTCGTGACATCGGTCACAGGGCGATTCACAACGAGTGAACTACTATTAGCTTGAGAACATTCATCCACCCTCAAGCTCCCAATTTTCATACTAACAACCTCAGAAAACAATCCATTTCCCATATCTGCTTTCTCTTCCACCTCGTCCACCTCCATAGCCACGTTTTCGAGACCCTCCCTACTTGTATCATCAGATATCATTTCCACATCTCCAAGCTCATCGTCAACATCAATTACTTCTCTATCCGTTCTATAGCGTAAAGACAAATCAAGTGCATTTCTTTTCCACATGTCATCGTTCCTTGTGAGAAAAGTTCCCAACACATTACCAGAACCTTGCCGTGTGCTACGATCTCGACCGCTCTTGAGGGTCCGCGAAGGCGCATGAACTTGTCTCCGTAACGGAGCTTTCACTTCTGGGTAACGGTAATTTCCTGGAGCCATGGCTCTTGATGAATGTGAGAAACTGGAGTTTTTACAAGGGTTTAAACCGGAACTGCGTTTGTGGTAACTACTCATGCCATCCATTGGTCTGAAACACAAGGAACCATAACCTTAGAAATTCAAAATTCGATCCCACAAAACTGAAAGGTCAAAATCCCCCAATTCAGAGTTCAAAACCCTAGATTGATTTTCATGAAATAACTCTCGGAAGCAAGCAAGTTTCAATTTTTCATTAAACTCACTGGCGTTTCCAATTTGCGACGCTCCCAATACACAGATTCCGACCCGGACACTCGGACCCGGGCGGGTTTTGTTTTGGAAGAGAGATAGGTCAAACTCAAATCTGTTGACTTTTCTCATACCCTCTAGCCGTAAAGGAGGTTTCTGGGTCATGTTGTTTCTTATTCGGCTAAACCTATGTTTTTCTTCTCGTTAAACCCTCTACTCTCTTCTCCTGAAAGCTGGGCTTTTTTCTTTCACTTCAGAATTTCGTTGAAAATAAAGCTTTGATTTTTAAAAATTGAAATCTTCTTCAGTCGATCGTGTTGAACTTTGAGATAATAGGCGGTTTGGAACAGGAAGATGCGGATGCTATTAAGACCAGGTAATCTGTGTATGAACATTTCAGTTTTTGAAAATTTTCAGTGTTTGATCTGCTAGATTTTGAGCTGAATTCTGGTCGTTTCTTTATTGTATTGTAGCTTATATATTGATGAATCCTATATGAACTACTCTATAGTGGGATTCGCAAGAACAAAATTAGTTTTTGTTTCTTCGCTCATTAGTAGTATAAATTAGTTTGATCCTGATTTGCGTTATTCTTGTCTTGCACTGCAGGAATTATATTCCATACAGTTACAAAGTCATCTCGTGTTGTCGCAGTTTGTAAGCACTTATCATCTTTGTCTGATAATGGCGAAAATCATGAGAAACCATATACATTTGAGGGTAATAGGCAAATTGTTAATGATATTTGCAATGTTTTGGAGACTGGTGCATGGGGTCCTTCAGCTGAGAATGCTCTATCTGCTCTAAACTTTAAACCACAACCAGAATTTGTCATTGGGGTTTTACGGAGGCTGAAAGATGTTAATCGGGCGATTGAGTATTTCCGTTGGTATGAGAGAAGAACCGAGCTACCTCATTGTCCCGAATCATACAACTCCTTGCTTTTGGTGATGGCTCGTTGTAGGAATTTTGATGCTTTGGACCAGATTCTTGGAGAAATGAGTGTTGCAGGATTTGGCCCTTCTGTTAACACTTGTATTGAGATGGTTTTGAGCTGCGTTAAGGCTAATAAGCTTAGGGAAGGTTTTGATGTTGTGCAGAATATGAGGAAATTCAAGTTCCGACCTGCTTTTTCAGCTTACACAACTCTTATCGGTGCTTTCTCAGCAGTTAATCATTCTGATATGATGTTGACACTCTTTCAGCAAATGCAGGAGTTAGGATATGAGCCAACCGTTCATCTTTTTACAACATTGATTCGGGGCTTTGCCAAAGAGGGTCGAGTTGATTCTGCTCTATCTTTGCTTGATGAGATGAAGAGCAGCTCTCTTGATGCCGACATTGTTCTTTATAATGTATGTATAGATAGCTTTGGTAAAGTGGGCAAGGTTGATATGGCATGGAAATTTTTTCATGAGATTGAAGCGAATGGTTTAAAGCCTGATGAAGTCACTTATACCAGCATGATAGGAGTCCTGTGCAAGGCAAACAGATTGGATGAAGCTGTAGAGATGTTTGAGCATTTAGAGAAGAATAGACGGGTCCCTTGCACTTATGCTTACAACACGATGATTATGGGTTATGGTTCGGCTGGAAAATTCGATGAAGCATACAGTCTCCTAGAGAGGCAAAGGGCAAAAGGGTCTATACCAAGTGTGATTGCATATAATTGCATTCTTACATGCTTAAGGAAAATGGGAAAAGTAGACGAAGCTTTGAGAGTATTCGAGGAGATGAAAAAAGACGCTGCTCCAAATCTTTCAACCTATAATATTCTCATTGACATGCTGTGTAGAGCTGGTAAACTTGACTGTGCCTTTGAGCTACGCGATTCTATGCAGAAGGCTGGTCTGTTTCCTAATGTTAGGACTGTGAACATAATGGTTGATCGGCTGTGTAAATCCCAAAAACTTGATGAAGCATGTGCTATATTTGAGGAGATGGATTATAAGGTTTGTACCCCAGATGAGATTACATTTTGCTCCCTCATAGATGGCTTAGGAAAGGTCGGAAGAGTTGATGACGCTTACAAAATCTATGAGAAGATGTTGGATTCTGATTGTCGTACTAACTCCATTGTTTACACATCCCTCATAAAAAACTTCTTCAACCACGGTAGAAAAGAAGATGGACACAAGATATACAAGGACATGGTTAATCAAAACTGTTCTCCTGATTTACAGCTTCTTAATACGTACATGGATTGCATGTTCAAGGCTGGAGAACCAGAAAAAGGAAGGGCGATGTTTGAAGAAATAAAAGCCTGTCGGTTTGTCCCAGATGCTCGAAGCTACTCGATTTTAATTCATGGACTAATAAAAGCAGGATTTGCAAATGAAACTTATGAGTTGTTTTATTCCATGAAAGAGCAAGGCTGTGTCTTGGACACCCGTGCTTACAATATTGTCATTGACGGTTTCTGCAAGTGCGGAAAAGTGAACAAAGCTTATCAGCTGCTGGAGGAAATGAAGACAAAAGGTTTTGAGCCAACTGTCGTTACGTATGGTTCAGTCATTGACGGGCTTGCGAAAATAGATCGGCTTGATGAAGCTTATATGCTCTTTGAGGAAGCAAAATCAAAGAGAATAGAGCTAAACGTGGTAATTTACAGTAGTCTAATTGATGGGTTTGGAAAAGTTGGTAGGATAGACGAAGCTTACCTTATCTTGGAAGAGCTTATGCAGAAAGGATTAACACCTAATGTTTATACATGGAACTCATTGCTTGATGCATTGGTCAAAGCTGAGGAAATCAACGAAGCGCTTGTCTGTTTTCAGTCGATGAAAGAATTGAAATGCACGCCAAACCAAGTTACTTATGGTATCCTAATAAATGGTCTTTGTAAGGTCAGGAAGTTCAATAAAGCCTTTGTCTTTTGGCAAGAGATGCAGAAACAGGGGATGAAACCTAGCACTATTTCTTACACCACCATGATATCGGGACTTGCAAAGGCTGGGAATATTGCAGAGGCTGGGGCGCTCTTTGATCGGTTTAAGGCAAACGGTGGTGTTCCAGACTCTCCTTGTTATAATGCCATGATCGAAGGTCTAAGTAACGGAAACAGGGCAATGGATGCTTTTTCTCTTTTTGAGGAAACACGTCGAAGAGGATTACATATCCATAACAAAACCTGTGTTGTTCTTTTGGATACGTTGCATAAGAATGATTGTCTTGAGCAAGCAGCTATTGTTGGAGCTGTTTTAAGGGAAACAGGAAAGGCACGGCATGCTGCACGATCTTGGTAGACAGTTATCATAATCTCGTTTCTTGTATAGGACAACCAAACAGAGACATTTTAGGTTATGTCTGATTTCAGTCAAGTGAGCATTCTGAATCACAAGGCTCCCAAGTTTCTGGAGAGGGCAATGTTTGTTTGACATCTGTCAGTGTTCACAGATCGAGAAAAATAGGTGATCTTCACTGGAAACATGCTTAAATCTGTGGAAAAAGGATCAATAAACACCAGATAATTACTTCTATTTCCCTTCTTCGTTTGCATCATTTACCAAAATCTTCATGGTAACTTCCCCACCCAGATGCATCTTCTGCGTTCTTCCTTACGTAGAACCTGCACATTCAGATTATTATCATTGCCATTTATGCAGGATTTGATTGGAGAGTATTGCTCGGTCTATAAGTCGACTTCGGTATGAGCTCTTATTCATCACCAAGGTTGTAGTTTCTCTGACTCAAGAGCCAGCTCCTTATGCAGTGTACGAAGCAGGAATCTTCAGAAGACTGTGATATGAAGTGAATTTCATTAGAAAGTGTCTGTGTTGGTCTGTCTTATACTGCCTTATAACAGTGCACCAGTTTGATCTTTTATCAAACTATGTTACGGTTGTGAAAGCCTTTTTCTTTTGAACTTATTGTATTACTTTGGTAGATCTGCAGCTTTTGCTGGAGACGATATAAAGTATAAACCTCCTTCATATTCATTTTTTACTCACTTTTTTTTTACTCCATTGATAAAGGTCTCTTACGATTCTTGCTTGAGTGAAATTAAAATTATCATTTTATAAAACCATAAAACTCAATTTAGAAAAGACTATTATGTTTTTTCTGATAAAAGAACTCGATTCTTGTTTCATTGTTTACATTGCGTGTGGATGTTAAAGATAACTTAAATAATTGATAAGTTGGGTGTGAAAAGAAGAGCACAAAGAAGCATAAACTTTTACATGGAAGCAATGGGAATGATAAGATCTTTCCATGCTCCTCATTTTGATAGAACCATACCAAAACTCATAAAGACACCAGAAACACTTTTTACCTTTTTGACGTTACAAACAGAAATCCCAAGTTCAAATATGACTGAGATTCAAAGATGATATTATCATCTTATCACCTTCATTTCACTTATAAGCTTTTAGAGCTGGGCGCTCGGGTTCTGTGGCGGTTGTTGCAGTAACTCTTCTTCTAATTCTTCGTTTGGTGTTTGTATGTCCTGCTAACAGTAAATGCATATATATCGATACACATATAAAAAGAAAGCAACCATACCTATTCTAATTGCTGAATGCATTTTTACCTGTGTATTTAGCTCTGGTTGTGGTTGTAGAGGTAGTTCTTGTGCAACAGGGTATGCTTGTGGCTGAGACATTCTATAATAAGGTTCTTTCAGATCGAATCTGCATGTCGAAGATTGGAGAATTCCGCCTTGACTTGCACCAGGACCCCACATTTTGGCTGTTAAAAACCCAATACTTTTGTTATCAGATCAGGAAAAGAAGTTGAAAGTTGGATGATGGTGCTTTCATAGGACGATAAAAAAAAAAAGAAGAAGCAAACTGGACCTGATAAAGTTAGATCTATGGTGTAACTTTGAGCACTGTGGGCTATCAAATGAAGTCTACCAGTGATCTCTTGACCTGCCATTACGTAAATAGGCTGTGAGAGAACACATCTGATTTGGTACCAATGCGTTGTAGGTGCACCAGGAGCAGTTGTGAGCCATCTTTGGACCGTGCTGTTGGAAATAGAGTAAAAACGAGTTTGAAATATAAATCTTCAATTGCAAAGATATACATGGAGATGAAAAGTTTTGAATGAAGAAAAATAAGAAGCAAAGTTACCTCCCGTCGAAGAGAACGTCGAACCAGCAGGCAAGTCCATGCACTCTGGTGCACATGGAAGCAGTGAACTTCAACGGGATATCAATCTCGTAAAAATCTTCTTCCTATGGAAACGAATTCAGGGGTAAAATGAGATTGGAAGTCATTCACCCCACCATGACAATTTCTTGACATAATGGAACACTGAGGAACAGTCTTAACTAGCGTATGTATACCTTCATTTGAGTGAAATCTATCATGTGGAACATCGGAGAGGCCACTAATAATCTCGGATCAAATGCATCAACCACGGGCTGTAAAATCCATAGATATGATTCATCAATACTAGTTATGATGAGAGTAACCAAATATGTTAGTTGGTGACAAATACATATTTACAATAATGCTGGGTGTGAATATACCTGAGAAAAATAACCTTGGTGTGCTGATCCATATAGAGGTGTCAGATCAACTCCATAATAGTTCTGCTGCTGCCAAAACATAGCCTGCATAGAGGAGGAATGTGTATTATTGAATGCTTAAGACTGCATACCAAAATTAAACTAACCCAGCATATTTTGGAAAATTTTATGGGAAATAATTCTTAGAATAACCAGTGGCGTTCCGTACCTTATTTGCCATCTCAATAAATAAGAATTCATCAGAAAAAGGTGCCATGTGAATCCTACAGTGACAAGAGTGCATGAGAGTGAAGACATAGTAAGAAATTAAAAAAGGAAAGGCTCTCAGAGGTTGCCTTTACCTTCCGACAGTGGGAAACATTTTTCCCTTTGGAGACATAAAACGATCCCTAGCAATTACATACGATTCTAACATTCTCTCGTTGACCAGTAAGGTGCCTGATTCAACGATAAAACATGTCACTCGAATGATTAATGGAACTTTAAATTACTAGTAATGTTTTTACACGTATTTTTCTCTGACCAAGGTTTTTTCTGGTCTAAAGATTCCAAGTTTGTAACTTTCAAGGAAAAAGACGCATTAAAAGTCTGTGTCTGAGATACATACCCATCGGTTCAGAGATCAAAATATCTGCTTTCTCAGGCAACTCGATATCCTCAACTTTACCCTTGATGACCTACACTTGTGCAAGCTTCAACAACATCAGACAAATGCATATAACATAACATATATACTGATCAAATTGAATTATAAGTCTTACTGTGATCCGTTCAGCGAATAATGGGTTTCCAGCAATCAGCTTACGAGCATACTCCGCCATTTCTGATGCTTCAACCGCATACACATGTTTGGCACCAGCCTAATTTAGCAGAGAATAAAGATATGAATGAAGAAGCCGAAGCAAAAATGCACAAGTTCCATAACCACCTGATAGCTATGATAGCCGCTGTCACCGAGACATAACTAGAGAATAGTTCACATTTACTTTGGCATTACTGTCTTTTGCTTTTATGGATCACCAATTCTATTGGGTGGATTAAGGCAAGGACAGGTTCGAATCGGAGATGTATTTGTAAAAATATAGTGAGGATTCGCAATAAACAAGTCCTCTTTATTCATATTCTAGCTTTACAGATAAAAGTTCTGCCTATCTATCAACCTATTCTTGTTTGACCATAGCAAAGTCTTAGTTCTGTAACCTATAGCCTAAATATTGCATACCTGGGCAGCAAACATTGACAAAATGCCACTCCCAGCACCCACATCGACCACAACACGACCAGCAAAATCTGAACGATTCTCCATGACTGCGGCATAATATGTACCTGAAGACATGAATGAGGTTCATAAAGAGCTATTCCAGGACAAACAGCGGTGAGAAGAAAACAAAAGAGATTCGTATGATGAATCTGCATCATATAAAACAAGAAAACTGGAACAGTTCTGAAACAAACAACACATTGAGGCCAGATATTTTACCTGTCCTCACATAATCTTGTAGCATATTTTGCTGATGTAGAAGCTGTCCATAATAATGGAAATACATTTTGGCCGATGACGCCTCTATCTTATTGTCGAACTTGCTTTTATTAGCTGAAACTGTTCCATTTTGCAAGGATGATCCTATAAACGGAAAAGAGAGTAAAGGAGTATGCAAAAATATTATGCATATATTTTGAAATGGGCAATGATAGTGAATGCACAAGTAGCCACAGAGAGAAATTGGTTATTCTAGTCACGAACAAACATTTATTCTCATATAACAATTGTATAATGGGGCTTCAATACTTTCTGAAGTAAAAGCCAGAAGAAAAGCAAACATAAGGCATCCATGCTATAACATGTCGAAGAAAATTGATATAAAGGCAAACCTTGAACAACAGCATCCTTTCTCCACTCTTGAAAGGACTCACAAAAATCCTTGCTATCCTTGTCATTTTTAAATTTTATATTGACTCCTTGGGAGAATGATTTCTGTTTCAAAAAATCATTTAATCATGAAGAAACGTAAACCAAGGATTAATCAAGAAGGTGAGACAAGATATTCACTTTCAAGAATAACAATTAGAAATTGATCTCACAAGTACTCAAACATAACGTACCTCCTCTGAAGAACCTGAACTATCAGATACACAGATGAAATGCACTGGCCCCAACTTGAATAACTGAGAGAAAAAAACATAAACAATACGATCAATGCATGCATTCTCAGATATAACAATACCCAATATGATTATAAACAAGCTTTACCAAAAATTCAATTAAAATATATATCAACAATTGAAAAATTAGTATGAAAACCATCTCAAGTCTCAGTCAAATTGTGAAGCAACAATGTGGAACAAAGTAATCTGTAAAAATAACAGATTTTTTGTTTCTTACAAAAGTCATCTACATGTTACCAAACAAACGTTTTAAACGAGATAGAAAAAAATGAAAACCGATAAGAACCAGAGGAACAGTAACATAAGCATGTGAATCGACATTCACCTGAGCGGAAGCGAGATCAAAATTGAAACAATGGATCGAATCCGATTGCAGAAATCGGAGCTCCGTGACTCCATCAACGCAGGAAAACGTAGCTACAGCTGGAGAGGACGACGAAGCGGAAGAGGAAGAGAGATCAGTGACCGAGTCTAAAGAGAACTCCAGCTGCTCAAGCTTTTTCACAGAAGAGACCTCCATTTTTACAATACGCTGCGAATGTACAGATACAGAGTCTCGCGAAGCTAAAGACTTTAGGGTTTTTCTGCTGAGAGTTTCGGAGCTCCCTGAGAGTTAAAGCCGCCAAAAGGAGTAATGAAACGGTGGCATTTTCGTAATTTAATCAAAGAAAGACCTTAATATGGGACAAAAACGAAATTGACATTTGCTATTTAAACCAATTTCATAGATCAAAAAGTTCGAATGTGAATGTCATACATCAACAAGAAGTTCGGCGGAAAAAAAAAAAAGAAGCTCGCTTTGGTCTGAAAACGAACGAGATCTTTATTCTTCATCACACAAGAAGAGAAGAGATCCAAAATCATCTACTTTAAACTAACCAAAACAATCCTAACAACTAAGTAGCTTTGCAGGTCTTCTTGTTATGTCCTAGTCCCTTGCACTTGCTACACTGTAGCTGACGTTTTATCATGTCCAACGGCTCAATCTTCTTCATCTTCGGTCTCCCCGGTGTCCTCCTTGTCGGTGGAGGAGTCACGCAAACTAACCCCTCGGGCGGATCATCCAGCATCATCCTGTCCATGTTTGGGACTGGTTGAATCGACTCTGCATACATTAACCGCTGACTCTCAACTGTTAAGTATGTTGAGCAATACTCATACGGGCTTTTCTCTATGCATCCAATCACAGCAATTGCATGGCTACAAGGTAACCCAGTTAGCCGCCAGATCTTGCAGTCACAATCACACTGATTGATATCAACTAAGCTGACAGAAGATTCTCCTCCATTAACCTGGAATAAGCTACCTTCTGGCGATGAAACCTGGAGTGATTGCGCAAGTTCTATTTCTTTCTGTAACTTTTCTTCGTTAGATGGTGTTAGAGTTGTGACCCATTCCCGGGATTCAACCTGCCTGGTATAAATAGATTGCATCATCTTTGCTCGAAATTCGTCAATCATTTGGGTTATGGGGAACTCATGTGTTTCAGAAACCCAGCTGTAGAAGTCTTGCCCAAAGTTTGAGTTCATCTTGTTATATCTCTCTCCTTGGAACAGCGCATTTGCCCAATGGTGTGGTTCACTTTCTATAACCCAGTTGTAAGCATCAGGAGATATACTTTTTATATTCTCCAAGGCACTGTAATAACCCTCGGGTGTTGTTGCATATGCCACAGAGTAGAAATCGTTGAGCATATACCGTCTTGCTTCATGAGAAAACTGCCCCTTCAAGTCCACATTTAATTTTTCAGCAAGCTGGCGTAGACAGTACGCGTGATGTGCGTCTTTTTCAAAGACCTGCGCTATTGCATTCTTCAGACCATTCTGGAAATCTGCAACAAATGTGATTATTCGCGACTCAGACAACGCAGTTTTGAGTTGTTCCAAGAACCAAAGCCAGTTCTCCTCTGTCTCTGAATCCACAATAGCAAAGGCTACTGGAAATATGCCATCTTCAGCGTCAGAAGCTGTTGCGACGAGCATAACCCCTTGATATTTTGAGTTTAAGATGGCGTTGTCAAGGAAAAGGAGAGGGCGGGAACCTTGTTTAAACCCAGATATTGAAGCATAGAACGATATGAAAAGACGATGGAAGCTTGAATCTTCTTTTGTCGTGAAAGTGGCAATACTGCCAGGATTTGTCTCCTTGATCTTCTCACAGATTAAGGGAAGTTGACTATACGCCTCTTTATAAGAACCTTGGAGCTGCTCTCGGGCAATCTCTTTTGCCCTCCATGCCTGTGAGTAATTCAATTGGATACCATACTCTTTCTTTATGTCCTCAGCGATATCCTTGGGCTTGTAGTCTGGGAAGGCTTTTAACTTCTCTTTCAAGATGGTTCTTACCCATCCTCTAGTTGCACGGTAACCAGGTTTGATGACTGCTCTCTCACAAGTGTGCCTCGGGTTCATTTTCTTGATACATATTAACTGAGTCGTTGATAGCCTCGATGCAGTGATACGCCATGGACAACCTTGAGCTTTGCATTTGACAGACACTCGATGGCTGTCATTTTTCTTGTATTTGTAAGCAAACCCATGGGCGACCGAATACTTGTGTAATGCATCTCGGAATTCAATAAAGGTATTAAACCGTTGATCAACACCTGTGATGACGTTTTCCCACTGCTGTATTGCTGTGTGATGCCTTTGATCAACCAAAACAAAATTGCACGGCAACGGACTATCATCTGGCATCGCCATTTCTATTTGAAAATCATTTGTCATATCCTCCTCGACACCATCTCCTGCAGCACAAATTGCAGGTACCACCCCTTCTGATGCCGTTGTCCAACTTGACCTGTAGTAGCAATTCACACATTAGTTACTTTCTTTTACCTGATTCACAGATGACATGATTTTTTATGAGTAAGAAGAAACTGACACTGCACTTCATTAATTTATAGCAATAGTTTTGGCGATTAATGACAGATCTCATAGAATAACCCCGTACAATTCTTACTATGATCAGCTCAGTAAACCAACACAAATTCTAACATTGGACACTATTAGACCAAGGCAATAAAAATGTGTCAAAGAAGTAGAACAAAGCAAAAGAAACATCTACCTACTGGCTGGCAAGATGGAGAGATTTTTGGCAGCAGCTTCCTCTGGAATGACGAAGATCTCGACAGTCCCTGCATCTGAAGAAAAGTTGACCATGCGTATGAAATCTTTGTCCTTAGAGATGGTAATAAGGGTCTTCTTGTTTCCAGGGAGAAAGTACTTAAGGGTCATTGTCTCCAAACCAAACCCAAAATTTTCAGCCAACTCAGACTTGAAATCAGTCATTGACGTATTCTGATCAATGTCAATTGCAAAAGCATCCCCACCAGAATACGATAACGATCCATCTTTGATAGTCACAAATTCCCCTCCTGACTGACATATAGCTATGACTTTGTTGGTGGCCATGACCAAACAAAACCTATAAAACCAAATCAGACTCTATATCACACCTCTTGCATACAACATGAATCCTCAAATGTACACAATTTTATCAAATTCAGTAAACGCCATGGCCACTGTACGAAATCTAAAAACTTTTATAAAGTTATGAACCCTAATTTCCAAAAACGAATCCGAAATTGAATAATAGATCACAATTCTGACATCAGAAATGAGGATCAGAAGAGGGGGAAAACAAACCCTACTAACGAATTGAACCGCTTAAATCATACAGTTAGAGAGAAGACATTCGAGTACCGTTTATTACGCCAGCCTAAAAAAGAAAGCTCAAGAATTTGGATTCTCTGTTCTGAAAAAAATATGAAATTGCCGAGCTTTTTTCTTCTGCAGACCGAGAGAGAGAGAGAGAGAAGAGATGGTGAGAGTTTGAAACTTCCACGTACGGCCTCAAGAGAAAAGGGTGACATCAAAACGCTGCGTTTTACAAAGAACCTAAGAATTAGATTAGCATTAAACCAAACCAATCTAATAACCATTGGTCCGGTCTGACCAATTTACTGCTCCCTAACTAACCGTATACGCACCGTTTTAAAGTCCTTCCCAGCCTAATCAGAATCTTGAGATTACACAGATAGAGACAGAGCAGCAAAAAAAGAAGAAGAAGAAGAGGAGGATGAGTTGCGTTACACCAGCACTTCCTCCTTCACTCATTACCAATGGGTCTCTTTCGTCTCCTCAGAATATCTCCGTAAGCGCCACAAAAACAATCTCTTCTTCTCATCTGCCTTGGAATTGCCAAGAAAGTTTTTTTGGTGATGTAATCTGAATTTTTGTTTTTTTTTTTGCAGATGGCCAACTTGAACAGTTTGGTAAAGGTTAGTGATTCTGGTGCTTATAAATGGCGCCTTGTGATAGCTTACGATGGCACCCGTTTTGCAGGTTCGTCTTCTGACAAAACTGGTGGTCTTAAGTTTTGATGCATCTATCAATCTTGTTTCCTTATACCGGCGCATTTGGTTTCTCAGGTTGGCAGTATCAGGAGTCACCACCAACTATCCAATCAATGTTAGAGAAAGCCTTAATTCAGATAACGGAGCTTGAAAGAAAAGAGCTTCATCTAATTGGAGCAGGCAGGACCGATGCAGGAGTTCACGCTTGGGGTCAGGTTTGACTAAAATCACATATCTCTCTTTCTCAACTTTCAAGAAATTTCAATCTCAACACTAACTAAATCATCCGTTATCCTTCAGGTAGCTCATTTTGTCACTCCTTTCAATTATACTAGTTTGGATAGCTTTCACGCAGCTTTAAACGGTCTTCTTCCTAAAGATATCCGTGTCAGAGAGCTGAGTGCAGCGGTTCCTGAGTTCCATGCTCGGTTTTCTGCCCATAGCAAGGTTTACCGCTACCAGATTTACAACGACACTTTCATGGACCCGTTCCAGCGTCATTGGGCATACCACTGTGCTTATAAACTGAATGCTTCTAAAATGCGGGAAGCTGCAAATCTTTTTGTTGGAATGCATGATTTCTCTGCATTTGCTAACGCTACACGGGAAGATGGACTACCTGATCCTTTGAAAACTATATCTCGCTTCGATGTCATTCAAATGGTAACGAAAAAACTTAGTTCTGGAGAAGTTAGGAAAAGGATCAGACTTTGACCTTGCTTTGTTTTGGTGTTTAGGGATCTCTTCTACAGCTTGAGGTTGAAGGTTCAGGCTTTTTGTACAGACAAGTCAGAAACATGGTTAGTTCTACACTCTCTTTTACATGCTTGACATGGCGAAATAATGTTTTTTAGTCTGCTGAGTCCTTACATATGCAGGTAGCTTTGTTGATTCAGATTGGAAAAGAAGCACTGGATTCAGACATTGTCCCAATGATTCTGGAAACCAAAGACAGGAGGGTGCTTGCAAAGTATACTAGTTTGCCTGCGCCGCCTCATGGTCTTTGTCTTGTGTCTGTTAAGTATAAGGAAGATCATTTAAAGCTTCCATTGGATTGTCCTGTAACTAGTTTTGGTAGACATCACACTATAACAAAATGTAAACTTCCCTTCTATTGAATCATTCTTCTGTTTAACATCAGAAACTGAAAAATTATAATATTGTCTATTTACTTTTCTGCAAGACTACAATCTTAACAGGATCAAGCTTGATATTTTGAGTCGAAAAAATCCTGATACTATGTCTCAAAGAAACGAAGCTCAACCATGAACTCTTTCTGTTTTGGGGAGTACCAAGCAACAGCCTTGGCAGAAAGAAGCACTTGTAGAGCATATTCAATAGCAAATACTGTCTTATCTATAGTCACAGGGTTAGCTCCGTTCTTCAGATCAATCTGAATTCCAGACTCCACTTTGAAACTAAACGGTCCAACAATCTGCAAAATCCGTAGAAGATTATTATGAATCAAGTAGCGGAAACTATGAATTTGAGAATTTCTGTTTCTCTGGTAGACTATTTGCTCAGAGCAGAATATCGTGTCTTTTACCTGTTGCTGTAGAGAAACTAATACTTCAGGGCAGATTTTCTGAAATGCTTCTAAACTAGGCTGCCGAGAATTTAAAAGATCTTGTGCGACGCTAGTGGCACCGGTAAGAAACCTCAAACCATGCGGATAGTCTAATCTAGCATGGAAACGGGTGAGATCAAAGAAGGTCTTCTGGAAGTTTCCATATTGAGCTGTGAGTGATGCCCGCCCTAAGGCATCAGCCATGAATCCGGAATTTACAGATGGAAAATGAAGAGAGAACCCTCCAACACCCTCAGAATCATTCTCAGATTTTGATCTGATTGAATTTTCACCAAATGCTGCGGTCATCACAGAGCCTGTGAGATTAATGAAATTTATTAGTAACACCAAACAGATCATCAAAAAGACCAGTGCTTCCTAGCTGAAGGCTCACTCAAAAATAAAACTGTCAACCAGAGGAAAACAAAGTAGCTATTCAATAGCTGAAAAAAACCAAAAGATCCCACAAATTCACCATTTCTATCACTAGTTCTGTAACATCAGATATTAGAGTTGCAGAATTCAGATGATTAGAGTTGCACAAATATTATTAGAGAAATCACAAAACTTTCAGTCTTGACAATAAAAATGCTTCTGAAAATAAGTCGAAGAAACTTATCATACCGATAATCCCAGATACTGCGACATGAGGACTACTGAGGAAGACGTCATAGGGCTTGCAAGTTTCGAGCTTTGGAGTGGTACCCCTCCAGAGATCCATGTTTGTCCTATAAGACACTGCGGATTTCACAGACAAACCAGGAAGCAGTGACGGTGGAGGCACTTCCATAGTATCAGAATTTAACTTCTTGGGTGATCCGCTGTTATGGTGTAAACATAAATGGTAACTTGGACCCGACTCAGCAGGAAGAGATGCTAGATCAATAGCCATTGAGAGTGGCACATCCCAATATTCACCATGTTTATCCACAAAAAGTCCAGGCCAAGCCGCTTCTGCTGTCAGATTGTGAAGCGGAAACTGAAACCCATAAAAAATAGAGACGTGAATCAGAACAAAGTGTTTCGGACTTCATTACCTCAGCAACCCAAACTACATAATCCAGACCAATAATGCAGCCTAGGTTATTATTCCACCCACATTGGAATTTAACAGAGATAGCAAAGCAAAAGTTGTTATTTTCTATTCTGTGAATTGTGTTCTTCAGAGAGATGTGAAATAAAACAATAAAATCACAAGTCTAGTTAGATAGCTTGATAGGAGTAAAGAACCTAGCAGACTTCTTCATCTCAGTAAACCAATTGTCATGATCCAAATCAACAATGAATCACATTTCCAACCAAAGCACGAAATATTAATAGAGTCAAGAAATTGAAAAGAGGGTAACAGAGAAATTGCCTCGTGATTGAAGATAGCCTTAGCCCGAGGATTCTTTTCAAGATCACATTTGTAAGTATCATAGCTAAGAAGCAAAGTATCATCTGGTGATAACAAGAACTCAGAACAAAAACCCAATGCGTACAAAGATTTATCCTTCAAATGCTTGCCAATTGTGTTTAAACGAGAAGCTACTGTAGACGAAGACCCTCGACCAAAAGTTTTAGTCTTTTCTATCTCCGATACGAATCTCTGAACATCGAATTGGCCCAGAAGAGACACAAGCCTTGGGATTCACAAAAACAAAACAATTATTGAGCTTTCACCGAAAGTATCAGAAAAAAAAAAGTTAGGATTTTGAATTTGGTGAGGTATACCAGTTGTTGGAGAAAGGAAGAGTGAGGACTCTTTGAAGAGAGAATCCACCAGAGCCTCCATCTCCGGTGTTGGGACGGATAGGGGAGAAGGAAGGGATGAGAGGTGAGGTCATGAAGCGGTGGAAGAACTCAACTTGCTTAGGGCGAGAGAGACGAGTGCCTCTAGAGAGACCTAGAGGAAGAGGATCGTCGGGAACAGCTCGTGCGATACCCTCGAGTGTTGCCGGAGTTGACATGTCGAGGTCCCAGATGTCTCCCTCTCCGACCCATCTCAGTCTGTTCATTGCCGTCGTCTCCGCCGCCGTCGCTCGATTTCTACACCCAGCTGACCTCGAGATGACCAAACACACTCTTACTCTGGATTTTGTTTGATAAACACCTTGCCGTTTTTGGTTTTCATAAGAAGAATGCTTCCCGTTTTTATTAAACCGGCTTAAAAAACAAAGAAGGCGTCTAATGAATGGTTCAAAGAAACGGTTTACTTCGGTTATGAATAGAACTTTTCGGTTTAAATAAAAACTATAGTATTTCTTCATCTTCCACCCATAACTTAATTTGTGTGAATGACAAAACGCAAATGCACACGATTTCAATTGTCAAATGACTCAACTTTTATTTATACAAATGTAGTTAGAACGTTACTCCAATATATATACATATATATTTGTTGTGACGAAGAGAAAATAGATAAATGAATGCATAAATGTTTATAAATTTGCCACAAAATTAAAGCTTCAAATTCAAAGTTTGCTATAGAAACTGTAAAAAAAAAAAAAAAAACTCGATTTGCCTATGTAATGGTTAAAATAACTGCAGCTAGCGACAAATAATCTCTCGATACTTTATTTTAGTGTTTATTCTTTGTGAATATAAAAATGTTTAGAAGTGAAAAGTTCTTTTTCAATGGTTGGTGGGGGGTGTTTCGTGCATGGTTCCTTTAGGATTCCAACTTGGCCAGCCATTATATATAAAGGGACCTTGAGTTTTGAACCCTAAACCATCAGACTCACCTTCCTTCACATGCTTCTGTATCTTTAGATATATACACACACGCAAAATACTTCCCTCTCTCTCTCTCTCTAAAGGATCATAATGGGAGGTTCTTGGCGTTTCTTCTTTAGCTTCTTCGGCAGTTTCAAAGCGTGGTGGCGACGGAGACAAAGATCGAACCAGGCAGGAACGGACGACGAGATGTATGGTGAAGATAGTGAAGCCAACTTCTATAACTGGTACCTCGTGGAACCAGCTATTAACCGGAGATCCACTGATTTTATCAAAAGGTTCCACGAGACTCGTGACTGATTAGTGATTCCATCACCTTCTTATTCTTCTTCAGCTCTTGGACGTAGTAGTTTGGAAGAAAATTTGTTTGTTTTTTTTTGGTTTTCGTCTCTCTATGTGATTTCAATAAATATAATCCTCATTGGTCAAGTCTATCGAGTTGATTGTGTTTTTCTCTACATACGTTATTAATGCATTCGATAATGATATATCAACCGCTGGTTTGTGTTATATATATCAAAGAAACACAAAAACAGTGGATGTTTCTTGTAATATGTTAAATAAATAATTAAGGTTTTACATTAGTTTACCTTATTCCAAAATGAATCTCAAACAAACAAATGCATAATCAATGATGTTTTACCTTAAAAAAACAATTTAGTAACTTCTCATGGGCTTACATAAAAGATGTTTACGAGAGGATTGATTGTCATGCTTGTATACGTAGCGTAGAGAGGAATTTAGTCCGTATCTGATTGGTCAAATCTTAAACCAAAAGTGTGAATATTAGATATGATAATCGGTTTTCTTTTTAAAATAAAAGTGTCTTGGAAGGCGAGAAGATTGTTCTCCAGGTTAAACCCAAACATGGGATAGAATTTTTCAGTTGTCTATATAAATTACTCTCGTGTATTGTTGTTATACATTAACTATTTACATTTATTATGATTTTTGGATATTTTATTACTTCACTAGAGAAAGTTGAGAGGAGGTGTCTAAATCATAAGTTCGCCAAATAATGAGTCTGTTCTTATTATATGACGATCTGCTCCAAATAATCGAAACCAAAACTCACTTCTTTATAAAAAACTTTTGGAAAAGACAAACGAATATATGTTAGAAAGAAGAAGCTTTTGTAGGCAGGAATCGAAACAAAAGCATTGAAAGAATCAGTCAGAGCTCGATATGCTTAATTCTAATCGAGAAGAAGAAAGAAGATACTATTTGTTATTCTAGTATTTTGTGTCCAAACTTTAAGACAGCTTGAAAGCACTGCTTGGTGGTTAAGTATCAACATTCTATATATAGGCTCAGTCACTTTGTTACCTTTCTAAATTCTTACCTTCTCTGAAGCTTCTCACCTTTGGTTTTTTTGAACTTTTGAGAACATGTCCTACGCCTTTTACTTTACCTTTCTCTTTGTTTATATGATGAGAAATGTGTTTTTGTTTTGTTAATTATCCAAGTAAAGTTGGTATTTCGTATACGCTTAAATCACACGACCCTAATTCTATATAGTATTTTTTGTTTTGCTTGATATGAATTGTACATATCATATATACAGTGTTTGTAGGTAAAGCTCAATTTTTTTTTATCTTAGTTGATGATTTATGTCGTCTTGTTGCTTGCGTTGCGTCTCACAATAATTCATAATCTATATTTGTTAGATGATATTTAACATATGTGGGAATAAGTGCTCACGTTTCTATTATAACTTGAGATGGATATATATGAGTTTAGTTCTGCGATTAATTGGAAAGATAAAGAAAAGATAAGAGTGTTTATCACAAAATTATAATAAACAGAGAAAAAAAAAAGATGTTGGTTCTAACTATAGCTAATAGAAGAAAAAAAAAGTTTGAGTGTATGCAAATGAAGTTTTGTTTCTCTTGTCTTATCACCATCGTTGTTTTATAGTGTGTCTTCAGCTACTTCGACATCTTCGTCTTGATGTGTAACCTCTATTCCATTATCAAGGACCTCTTTTGTAACATCTTCATCTTGATTGGTGTCATGTATTTGTTCACCTCATACATATAAAAATTTTCGATGTCTTCGATCGCTGCATATACCGCTTGCTTCCTGTCATATTCTTGTCCATTGATCTTTCCTTCTTGATTCCTTGCATCTTGCTTGATGTCACCGTCTTTTCCAATGTTATCTCCTGCTTGATCGGTTGCCCTTTGTTGATCAACATCACTATCTGGTATTGTAACCACCTCTTTATTGTCATCATCCGCAATGAGTTCTTGATTAATTTGGCTAATGCTTTCAGTTCGAACCGATGAGTTTGGAGGCACATCTCTTTGATCAATTTCATTAATGATGTGACGTGGAACCGATGATCTTTGAGGCGCAGAAATAACGACAGGTTTTCTGTTTGTCTGACGCGAATTCGGTTGCGTTATGCATGTATAATTGTAACTGTAATCGCCCTGAACAAATATCCAGTAAAATTTAATATGTTAACTAAAACGTATTAAAATTAATTAAAACACAAGAATATGAAACATATATAAAAATACTAACCATTTGTGTGGGGAAATTATAACATGGATTGTTATACACGTAACGATATTGTCCCGAAACCGAATCCCTAAAGATTTAAAAAAAAATTCAAAGAAATTATATGAAAATAATATTCAACTTTAGTTTCAAACAAATTTATATAGAACTTACCAAATGACTCGACTACAATATGGAATTACATGTTGAAGACTTGGTTGATATTGATGTGGGGGTCTCACCTGATTCAGTAATCCTGCAATTTTAAATTTATGACGAACAAAAGTTGTTTAGGAAAGTTTTTTAAAAGAAAGTATAAAAATTAAAACCGGAATTATATAAAAAAAAATTAGAAGAAACCGTTTTTGTGAGGTTGGTTCATGTTTTTCTTTACACCGATACTAGCCAAATTGCAGTTGGTTGTTCTTCCATCAATAACCGGTCTCGGATTTTCAAGACCTCTAGCTGCAGAAACAGCGTCTTTAAAAGTAACCTAAAAAATCCAGTTCCATAACAAAATAAAAAAAATGTTAATAGGTGTTTATCGATTAATTCTAATAACACACAATGCGAAATTTTTGAAAAAGTTTAGTTATATAATACATAAACACATGACGATAAAAGATAAATTAGAAATAAACATGAGAAGAGATATACAAGAAATTCTAGTTATGAGAACAAATACAGATTAATTATATTCAAATTAATAAAAAAAAATTAAAAAAAATTAAGAACTCGGTATAAATGATTGGATACAAGCAAACCCTAATAATATCTCTAGTAGTCTATCTAAAAAGCAACTGGAACAACAATTTACAAGAAGCATGACAATTCGTTTACTGTATAGGGTTTATAGCAATTGCAACTTATTATAAACAACAAAAATTACGTATGTAACTGAATTAAAGAAAAAAAAAAAAGTACTTACAAAACCATAGCCTTTGGATCGTCCTGGATAAGTTTCACAGACGATATTAGCATCGATCACTTCTCCGAATTGTCCGAAGAATCTTCTCAAATCATCTGCTGTTGTTTTCCATGCTAAATTTCCCACAAAAATCTTCCTAGATGCAGTATCATGATTATTGTTCTCACTCGTTTGAGACATAACTAGTAATTTTTGAAAACCAAAATCTAAAGAAGAAACTCTCCCAAGCAAAGGAAAAGAGAAAAGCAAATAAACAGAACTGCGACAGAGTTTAAGATTTTAGGAGTCTATATATATAAGATTTGATGAGATGATTATCAAAAAAGAAAAAAAAAAAGATTTGATGAGATAAGGTAGAAAAAGAAATTAGTTGAGATTTATTATGCCATGGAATGACATATTTCCTTTTTTTTTTTTTAATATTTTGATAATTGTTGTTGATTTGTTATTATCTTTTCTTTTTTTCAAAAATAAATAAATCTCATCGTCTCTCTTATCTCTCTTTTCTCACTGTGAAAAAGTTAGTGTAGACCAAAAGAAGACGACGATACTTGGGGAGATGTTGGCCAGAGCTCCACCACCGTATTTTAACTTTCCGGCGAGGAGTAATATCTGTAATCGGAGGGAGATTGTGCGTCTATTTCGTAACGGCGGAAGCGGAGGAGTAGTAGCGAGAGCCGGTTTCGTTCGGCGGCCACTGGAAACTTCGAGTTCGTACGACGATTCCACCGATGACGGATTCATTATCATCAGTTCGGCGGATAAGGAGAATGAATTCTCTCCTCCGCCTACTCCCGATTTACTCTCTTCGATTCCGTCAGGTATTTAGTAGCTCTCCGTCAGGTTTTGGTTTGATTATTTTGTCTCCCTCCTCGAATTGAAACTGTAGTGGTTTTGGGGCATTGTCTTGATGATTTGGTGCTTGATATGGTATTGTAGAATCTACGAGAAGAAATGGTTCGCGGTCGAGAGGAGTAACTGCGAGTTTTGGAAGGCTAAAGGCACAGAAAGTGAAAGCTCTTGTTGGGAAGGTAACGCAGAAGAAGCAGCATATGAGTCACAATGAGGAAGAAGACGAGGATGACGCCTCTGATGCAGAGGATTATTCTGCGGATGAAGGGTTTGGTTCATCATCAATTCTGGATTTGATGAGGAAGAAGCTGGCTATGAAGGCTATTCCTAGATCAGGAACATCATCTATAGAGAGAAAGGAGGTGAAAAGAGTTGGCAAAGTGCGGGAATCTAGAGAGTCAAGAAGAGATTTAGATAGATTGGAAGGAGATGATGAAGATGTTGATGAGGTTTCAAATCCTGACAGGTTTACTGATAATGAGAGAGCAGGGTCGCGGAGTTCATATTCAAAAGGTTATGCTGCTAACTCCAGGGGTAAGGGCGATAGGCTTTCGGTTGCAAGAGATTTAGATTCATTTGAAGAACATGATAGAGCTATTGATGAGGTTTCAAACCCTCGAAAGTTTAATGATAACGAGAGAGCAGGATCGCGGAGTTCATATTCAAGAGACTCTTCCGCTAACTCCAGGGGTAGAGAAGATAGGCGTTTTGTTGCCAAGGAGTTAAATACATTTCAGGGACGTGATAAAGCTTATGATGAGGTTTATAATCCTCGAAGATTCACTGATAATGAGAGAGGAGGATCACATTCATCATATTCAAAAGGCTCTGATACTAACTCCAAGGGTTGGGGCGATAGGCGTTCTGTTGTATATGCAAGAGATATGGATGATTGGAGAGAGAATAGGAATAAAACCAATGCTACTAGAGAGACTGGCTTTTTTAGCCGGAAAACTTTTGCAGAAATTGGATGTAGTGAAGATATGATGAAGGCCTTAAAGGAACAGAATTTTGACCGCCCGGCACATATTCAGGTTCAGACTTTATTTTCCCTCTTGATGAATCATCTAGATGCATGTGTATGTAAACAAATTTTCCGACTGTTATCATTTTACCATTTTTGTTTATTTGACGCAGGCTATGGCTTTTTCACCAGTTATTGATGGAAAGAGTTGTATCATAGCTGACCAAAGTGGATCAGGCAAGACACTGGCATATCTTGTCCCTGCTATTCAGCGTCTCAGAGAAGAAGAACTTAAAGGACAGAGCAAATCGTCTTCTGGGTGTCCTCGTGTTATTGTTCTGGTACCGACTGCAGAGTTGGCTTCCCAGGTTGATTTCTTTATATGTGAATGATCTTCCTAGGTTGATTCAATACTTATTTTGTATCTGAATGTTTTATCAGGACCAAATTGTTTGATTCATTTGAAATCCTTGGCAGGTTCTTGCTAACTGTAGATCAATATCAAAGTCTGGGGTCCCGTTCCGTTCCATGGTAGTGACGGGTGGCTTCAGACAACGAACCCAGCTAGAAAATTTAGAGCAAGGTGTTGACGTTTTGATTGCAACACCTGGGCGTTTCATGTACCTAATGAACGAAGGAATATTGGGGTTGTCAAATTTAAGATGGTACTTTAAATCTTTCAACAAAGTAAACTTTGCCTACTCTTTTGAATAAAGAGCAGATTTGATGAGATGAAAGACTTTCACCAACTTTTGTGTGAAAATCGAAAATTGATGGGTTACTCTTTTGCAGTGCCATCTTGGATGAGGTGGATATACTCTTTGGCGACGATGAATTTGAGGCAGCGCTGCAAAGTTTGATAAACTCTTCTCCTGTTACTGCACAGTATCTATTTGTTACAGCAACCTTGCCACTTGAGATATACAACAAACTTGTTGAAGTATTCCCTGATTGTGAAGTTGTAATGGGACCTCGAGTGCACCGTGTTAGTAATGCTCTCGAAGAGGTTGGTATTAACATAAGTGATTGGAAATATATAATAGGATCAACATATAGCAGATTTTTTGTTTTGCTGATTTGGTTGCTGCATATTCTTTTTTTTTATCATCCGTGACCAATGTTGAGTTGCACTCTGCAGTTTCTTGTCGACTGTAGTGGAGATGATAATGCAGAGAAAACTCCTGAGACTGCTTTTCAGAACAAGAAAACTGCTCTCCTTCAGATTATGGAGGAAAACCCTGTTTCCAAAACTATTATCTTCTGCAATAAGGTACCATGGTCCCCAACCTACTGCTTTTCGCTACTAGTTGAAAACTTTTTGGACATCTCAGTCTCATATCTACCCTCTTATATGCAGATTGAGACATGTAGGAAAGTTGAGAATATATTTAAGCGGGTTGATAGAAAGGAAAGACAGTTGCACGTCTTACCTTTTCATGCTGCACTCTCACAAGAATCAAGGCTTACAAACATGCAAGAATTCACATCATCGCAGCCCGAAGAAAATTCACTGTTTCTGGTTTGCACGGATAGGTACTTCATTTTGGGTTACTAGTATCGTTTTTATGATGCTATGTTGCCTGAACTTTGAAGATGTTAATTTTTGTTTCTTCCTTTTTCTTTCCGAAACAATGGCAGAGCCTCCCGTGGGATAGATTTCTCTGGTGTTGATCATGTTGTGCTCTTTGACTTCCCACGTGACCCGAGTGAATACGTGAGACGTGTTGGAAGAACAGCAAGAGGGGCTAGAGGAGAAGGAAAAGCTTTCATCTTTGTGGTGGGGAAGCAAGTAGGGTTGGCACGGAGGATAATTGAGCGAAATCAGAAAGGTCACCCAGTTCATGATGTCCCAAACGCTTACGAGTTCACAACCTAAGTAACTCTTATCACCTTCTCCTTCTCCTTACTGCAATCTGTGTGTTGAAAGTTTCACTCTGTTAGAAGGTAAACATACGTAGAGAAGCCAAGTCCAAATTTTGCCCCTTAATCGATCTGTTGTAATGTTGTTAATGCTACTTTACCTCCAAGCTCATGGAGTTTGCACTGAATTGATGCCCCAAATCAAGATCATATCCAATTAGAGTACAAAGTTATCTGAAGGAAATAAACAGTTTTATGGAAGATTTGGAAATAAACAGTCATTGTCATCAAGTCTTCGTGGGTGATGTTTGGGTTTGGTTTTTTAAGAAGCAGACGAAGTGAAGAAGATGAAGAAGAAGCTCTTTTTTTTTTTCTTTTTTGTAATGGAGTTTTAATTCTCAAATCCGGTTTAGTATCATATTTAGGTGGTTATCAGTTATTTGGTAAACAACAAAGTTTCGAAATTTCGATTTGGGGGGCTATATGTATAAACTTTTTTTTTGGTAGGAGAAATAGACACATGATCAAAGATTGGGTGGGAACTTGTGCTATGTGAAAATTTTCGAAGGAGAAATAAATCGTCAGCCCAAATTTGTCGCATGACAAAAAATGACTTCGCTATATAAAAAGCATAACTCAGAATCGGTTTTCCAATGGATGACAAATTAATCCAAGAAATTTGATCAGGTAGTTTTTAATCTTTTATAGAAGTGTGTCATGACATGCTTTAGTATTTCTTGCATGTAAAAGGATTGAATTTGAGGGAATCCAAATTCTCTTTAGATTAACACAATTCAGATTTTGAAATTACACTATCTATATCAGTATATCCTATACTATATATAAATAAACATAAATATCCTTGGATTGACAAAAAAAATTCCTAGTCAATGAAAACTAATTCACATAACTTGACATTTTTTACCAAAAAAAAAAAAAAAAAAAAACTAATTCACATCAGATTTTGTTTGAGTGGCAAAACACCTATAAAAAGAGATCTCATTATAAGAACAGATATAAAAGTAAAAAGTGATATATTGGCAACAACGAAAATGAATTGCAAGATTGGATTCATGAGCTTCTTGGTGATCTCTTCAATAGTCATCCTATTTCTCTTGGTTTCAGGTTAGTCTCTTCGTGTCTGTTTAATAGCAAACTATGAGAAAGATTAATAGTATATGAAAAAATGGTATTTGATGAAAAGTAGGGAAAGTTGAAGCTGGAGAACAATGCATTGGACCATGTGACGTGCTTTTTGACTGTGCGACCGCTTGCAACAACAAGGGATACTTAACTGGCCAATTCGATTTCTCGACAAGTCCCAATGTCTGTTGTTGCAACAATTAATTGTTTCGTATCTCTCATGTATTCAAAATTATCAACAATAGTAATAGTAATACTAATAAACAAGCGTGTGAGTTGTTGGTAATTGATAACTTTGCTTTACTCAAATACTGAACCATTTCATTAACAATTATTAATATTGTATCATAGTGTATACAGACACACAATCCATTTCACAAAAACAAAGAACATTGTCCCTAGTAAAAAAATACTCCTAGGGAAGCCAAGTCCAAATTTTGACCATATTATTCTGTTTTAATGTTGTTAATGCCAGTTAACCTCCAATTAAGCTCATGGAGTTTGCACTGAATTAATGTCCCAAATCAAGATCATACACAATTAGGTTACAAAGTTTGACGATTCAAAATTGACAATACTCTAGCAATTTTCATATCTCGTTACCTGTCTGTGGAAGAAGTGACGGAATGGGCACAACCAGTTGAAGCCACTAGCCAATCTCAACGACTCCGTTCTTGGCAACATATATGCACACTCCTTGGTTTGTGGAGAAAAGGACGGTCCACTTAATTAAAACCAAAAAAAACACACAACAATCGTATAAACAAAAATATGTAATGATTAAGAGCAAGAAAATAATAGAAAAAGAGTATGTGTAGGAATAACTTGTTAAGAGTGTATTTTCGTATTGTAACCCTAATGAATACATGCATGGTCGAAATTCAGCAATAAACCCTAGCTAAAGGGGGAGGCTTTCGAAACCCTAAATTCCCATCTCTATTTTCTTGGTTGGACCAACCGGCTCCCTCTCTGTCTTGTCATTTTATCATCAACTTAGAGACGGCCGCCGGAGGTTAGTCATACTATGCATGTACCCTTTGTTGTTTAGTCGCCGGCTTAATTAGATCTCTCTCTCTCTCTCTCTCCTTTTCACATCATTTATCTGCGATTTCTCGATCGTATTGATTGATTTTAGTTTTGCATTGTAATATATGAATCTCTGGTGGAGTCACTCTTAACTTAGGGTTTTTTTTAGATATAGTGGTGAAGATTGGTAAATTCTTTTGTTAATTCTAAATCGTTTTTTCTTGCATATAGCCATGAGTTTTGTGCAAGGGCGTCGTTTGCTTGCATCGCTTGGCAGAAGGTTTCGTCCTCGGCAACCTAAACCTACAGAGCAGCCAGAGCGGCCTCCAATTCGATTGCGGCCGGGAGATCCGTATGGTAGGCCCCGTCCTCGTCCCTTCGTCATGGAGATGATAAAGGGTATGAAACTACTTACTGCGGATGAAAAGTTGAAATTTGGCTATATATTCAGTGAGCTGCTGGGTCTTCCAAAACCTCCTGAGATAAAAAGCAATGATAAAAAGTTTGCTGTGAAGTTGGTCAAGTATGACCCTGATAAAAGGTCCAAAGTGCTTAAAGAGGTTGCATGGATCAAATCTACAGTAGTAGTGATCAAACATTTGGCCGAGTTGGGTCTGCAACCATCGCTCCAATGTGTGCAGGACGTCCCCTACTCCCTCATTAAAGATGATGTCACAAAGGAAGAAGCTAATGAAATCATTGCCAAGATCCAAGCTGCTGGTGGAGTCGCTGTTATGGAGCCAATGGAGTGATCATCTTTGGGTTTTTTTTTTTTTCCTTTTTGCAATGGATGACAATTTAATCCAAAAAAAAAATTGATTAATTAGGTAGTTTTTATAGAACTGTGTGATCATGACATGATTTAGTATTTATTGCATGTAAAAGATTGAGGGAATCAAAACCTCTTTATATTTGCAATAAAGTTTTTGAAATATGCCAGTTTATTAATAAAAAATTTAATACAAATCAGATTTTGAAGTTGCACTATCTATATATAAATTAAAAACATAAATATATTTGGATTGGCAAAAAATAGTTAAATGTCCTAGTCACTGAAAACTAATTCACATCAGATTTTGTTTGAGTGGCAAAAACCCTATAAAAAGAGCTCATAAGAACAGATATAAAAGCACAACTAATATATTAGCAACAACGAAAATGATTTGCAAGATTGGATTCATGAGCTTCGTGGTGATTACTTCAATAGTCCTCGTATTTCTCTTGGTTTCAGGTTAGTCTCATCGTGTCTATTTTAATAGCAACGTATGAGAAATATTAATAATGTGTTCTTCTATCTCAAGTCTTTCTTTTTAATTTTTTTTTTGTATTGGGTGAAAAGCAGGGAAAGTTGAAGCTGAACCCCAATGCATTGGAACATGTGAAATGCTTTTTGACTGTAACACGGCTTGCATCAAGATGGGATACTTATTTGGCCAATGCGTTGGCTGGAAAAGTCCCAATTTATGTTGTTTTTTTTTTTTTTTTTTTTTTTTTTTTTTTTTTTTTTTTTTTTGATAAACCCTATCGGCTGATCCGGTCGGTCTCGGTAGGAACGCACCGAGGTGCTATAGAGTGGACTTCTCCCGATCCAGGTAGAATTGGGCCACCACACTGCCTGATCCGAGTTTGGAATACCTTCCGACTAATGCCAGGGGGTAGTCAGGCCGCCTGCATTTCTGACTACCAGGTAAACCAATTGGGCCAAGGCCCAACTGACAGACTTCCCAAACAAATGTGCTTTTGTTTCCAGGGAGAATCGAACTCGGGTCTGGGAGTTTCACCCTTCACCAAAGCTTCCTCTGCCACTAGACCACAGAGACTTGGGCAATTTATGTTGTTGCAACCATTAAATGTTTCGTATCTTAAATGTATTAAAAATCATCAACAAAAACTCTTAAATATCTTGATTAGTAATACTAGTACTATATAACAATTAACAAGCGTGTGAGTTTTTGACAACTTTGCTTAACTTAAAAACTGAAAAAATAAGAAAAAAACAAACTTTTGCATTTCATTAACAGTTAATTATATAATGTATCATAGTGTATACAATTTATTTGACAAAACTTTTTTTAAACATTAATATTACGACCACTACTAACCAATTTATTAAGACATGGATCCGAAGAATACGGCTAAGGAATAAAGGATCCATGTGCGCCTTGATGTTTCTCGATCCGTATCATATTTTTGAAATGATCGCCGCTAGCTTCATATATATATATATATATATATAAAAAAAACAATGTGAATAAAAAAAAAAAAAAAATTAAACAATGTGAAACACTAAAAAAAGTAATGTTTATGGGTAGATCAATTTTATAAATTCAACAAATATAATAACACGACAAAATGGCCTATTGATAATTAATAAATAATGTTGCAATCTGCACGAAGCACGATGATGAGCTGGTTTTGTCGGTAAAGTCAATGACTATCGGTAATACTAAAATAATGCTGTATATGACTTGACAATCAGGTCACTGGTTACACAATTTTTGTATAACTCAAAAGGGACACAAATAAAAATGAGTTAGCAAGGAGGTATTGCCCACCCACTCATGAAAAAAGTACAAACTTGTGCCTTCCCTTTGATATTCAATCTTTCGACTTCACCCAACAAAAATGGAGCCGATCCCAGACCAACCAATGGACCAACCAAAGCAAAAGATGAAGATTCCCTGCAATCATATGTTAATCTACATATATTTGACGCAATCATATAGTTATTGTGCAGTATGCGATGGAGATTATGGCATGTGCTATTACTGTCCAAGCTGCAAATTTCATGCGCATTCGGAATGCATCGAGTGGCCAGACACCATCGACCACCCGTGTCACTCCAGACATCCTCTCAAGAAAGTCTCCCCCGGGACAATAATTGACTATACAGATGGCAAATGCCATTTTTGTAGAGAAGAACTTGTTGATCCGACGTATCATTGTTCTTTATGTAACTTCAGCGTAGATGTGCGTTGTTGGAGGTTTCCACCAGAGCGTACTATTTATCAACCAAAGAGCCACGACCATACATTCACCCTCATGCCGAGAAAGATCACCTTCACTTGTAATGCATGTGGGATGCTTGGTGACTGCAATCCTTACTTTTGTTTTGAATGTGCTTTCATGCTGCACAAAGACTGCATCGATTTGCCCCGAGTTATAAACATTAACCGTCATGACCACCGTATTTCTCGCACTTATCATCTCGGCCACGGCGGTTGGGATTCATGTGGAGTTTGTCGCAAAGAGATAGATTGGATGTTTGGAGCTTTCACTTGCAAGCGTTGTCCTAATTATGCTGTTCATTCAAAGTGTGCGACAAGGGAAGATGTGTGGGATGGAAAAGAACTGGAAGATGAGCCTGAAGAAGAAGAAGAAATTGAAGATCCATACAAGGTAATAAATGATAAAGAAATCATTCATTTTAGTCATGAAGAACATAATCTAAGACTTGGTGATGATAATGTTATCGGTTATGAAAAGATGCGGTGCGACGCTTGCATCACTCCCATCAGTTGTGATCCATTCTTCAAATGTGTGCAATGCGAGTTCTTCCTTCATAAAGTATGTGCCAGTCTTCCTCGGAGGAAACGAAGTATCATGCACACCGAGAAGCTTGATCTACAGGTTACGAACAAGGCTGGCGAGTATAATGGGTGTAGATCTTGTAACAAATTATTCGATGGCTTCCGGTACTGTTCAAGGTTTGAAAAGTTTGATGTGCGGTGCGGCTCCGTTTCCGAGCCTTTTCACCATGAACTGCATCCCCATCCCTTATACCACATATTGTCACCAACCGGAAGACTTAAGCTTTGTGGAGCATGTGGTAAATATTTACACTATGTCTTAAGTTGTACTGTTTGTGAGTATAATTTAGGCATGGATTGTGCCACTTTACCAAGAAAAGTGAAACACAGATGCGACGATCATGATTTATCGTTGCATCATGTTCCTGGGAAATCGAAAGGTCAACTATGGTGTGATATTTGTGAGGGAAAGGTAGATCCGAGCGTTTGGTTTTATGGTTGTGATGATTGTGGGTCAACTCTCCATATCAACTGTGTACTTGGAGACTTTAGTTACTTAAAGCCAGGGAACAAATACGGCGAAGCTGAACTAGTTGCCAACGATGGTATGACTAGACCTTTTTGCATATGCTGTAAAAAACGTTGCAGGTTCCCTTCCTTCCTTAAGGCTACTTGTCCAAATATAGTGTGTGAACAACGTTGGGGGTTCCCTTCCTTCCTTAAGGCTGCTTCTCCAGATTCAACTGTTTTGTTCGCTTGTTCAATGGACTGTACGTGCATACGATAAATACTTCATGGTGTGGTTTTATGAGGATTTTGATTATTGAGTATGTCTCAAAGGCCAACGCAAGGCATAAAAATGCGCCAAGACGGGATTACCATCCTTCTAGAATCTGATAAATTTGTATCCCGTTCCTATTTGGAACTTGTGTGAGGATAATATGAATCATATTATATGATCTATTCGCTTCCATGTAATGCACTTTTTTTATAAATGATCCAAAAATGTGTGAGTTGTTGACAATTTTAATTGTCTTGTTTTGGTCTCCGAAACTAAGAAAACCAAAAGTAAATTTGTTTTATATTTTGTTTGTGGTTAACTAAGTAATTTTGTTATATAAAAAGTAAAACTCGTTGACAAAAAAAAAAAATATACGTAAAGATGAAGTCAGAATCGGTTATCATGAATTGGAGAGTCAACGATTGATCACAGCTTCAACGGAGTTCTATTTGGTTGTTAGGAAGCAGCGAGGCGTGACAACATGATAGAGAACGAAATTTAGGTTATTTTGGAATTGGACAATTTTCTCAACTTTTTAATTTACTAAAAGTATTATATGTGATATATGGATGAGAGTAAAAATAAGGAGTACTTAAATGTCGTCCAATGTTTGAGTACGTCTTGCATGCAAAAGGATTGAGAGAATCAAAGTCTCCTTACATTGGCAATAAAATAACTAAATTATACAGTCAACGAAAACAAAGTTCTTAGCAAAAAAAAAAACAAAGTAATTTTTTTTTTTGGTAATTTTTATTTTTGGGTTAAACCAGTCAAGAGAAATAAGTCACATTCTAAATTCGTAATATCAATAGAAAGAACATTTTAAGTGCCCCTAGAATGGTAATGTGCTAGTCAATGAAAACGAACACCAATTAAATCCCGCTCGAGTCTGAATATCTCTATAAAACAGATTTTGAGACTACAGTGATATTGATAATACAACGAAAATGAATTACAAGATTGGATTCATGAGCTTGCTTGTGATTACTTCAATAATCTTCCTCTTTCTGGTTCCAGGTTCTACCTTCTGTGAGCTGCACATCTCATTTTGTCTATACTAAAAGCAAATTATGAGAAATATTAAAATTGTATTCTGATATTTCAGTTTTTTTTTTTGAGTGAATTGTAGATAAAGTAGAAGCGCAAAAAGAATGCATTGCACCATGTACATTGGTTGGGGACTGTACGGCCGCTTGCATCAGCAAAGGATACACTGTTGGTCAATGTGTTGGCTGGAAGGATAAAGATCCCTTTATATGTTGTTGCAACTAATTGACTTCATATCTAGTCATTGCATATCTAAATGTTTCGAAATCATCAAAACCAATTAATAATATGTATCTTATTTTACCATCAATAATTCAATATCAGTACCAAATAATAGGGAATAATGAGCTATCGGTGTGGAATCATGGAGAATATAATTAGTTCAAATCGGGTTGTAATGGAGGAGAAGCATTGACATGATCGTTGGCCAAACATCACATGACTCAAAAAGAGACTTTTCTTCTTTAAAGCACATTTCCATCTTTGCAATCTCATGTGCTTCTTGTCTCTCCTCTGTTTCCTTTTTTAAGTTCCCACAAGCACCCACCACATTCACTTCATTTCTCAATCCATTCACTATTGATTGATTCCTTTTGAAGCAGCCCACCAAAGTACATTTAGAGGCCAGTAAAGCAAGATAACGACTCATGAAACAACTTTATATCAATGGACGTGAAAAGAATTAATCATACAACTTTATATTACAGTTGAAGCCGTTTAAATTAGGCTTCCACATCCAATAGGAAGCATATATCGCAAGAGACCCCAAGAGTGAAAAAAAAAAAAAAAGTAAAAAGGAAAAAAAACAGAGGGCCTGATATGGGTAAACTTGTCGACTACTTCCTGATTCTTGATCAATTAACATCGACGACCAGCTCTGCAGTTAAGAGCACCTGAGTAAGAGGTCATGGTGCCAACGAGTGAGGATGATTTGGCTGATAAACTCGAAGCTCTGGCATAGTTGGATCCAGCTCCAGCTCCAGAACGTGTGAAAAATGCTCCGTTTAAGAAAAGATCTCCTTCTGATCTCCAATTCCAGTGCTTCCATTTCGATTCTCCTGTGTACTCTCTCTTAGTCACCTGCCATATTCCAAAATTTTCACCAATCATCAATCTCATTGCAATAATCATGTTAGAAAGACCAATGACACAGTTTGTGTTTGGGATCATGACATAGAATAAATGTAAAAAAACTATAAAGATCGATCCGTTGAATCAAGTGATACCTCCTTAGCAAATGGGTTTGTTGGAGCAAGAAATCGATTGCCCTGACTGTTGATGGTGGGACCAGCACTACCACCAATTGCATACATTTCCCAATGCGTGTAGTCATTGTTAACTACATGAAAATATCCATGCCTACACCTGCAAAGACCAAACGTTTCTTATAGTCTACACAACTTCTCTAATCACACAACTAACAGAGCTTGAGATCTTCTGAGGAATGTTAGATCGTTTTGTTCAGGTAAGTTAGTACCTTGGCATTCTCTGGATTAAACCTTCACCAAAATGGTTGTAAGCAATTGTGACTTGCATCACCTTGTCTCTTGTGTATGAGTCACTATGCCCCAACAACATAACCTAGTAAACACATTCTCTAATCAATTTACTGCTAAAAAACCCTAATTCCAATTCCAATCCACAAACAGAGAAATCAATCATCCCAATTATGATTTAGGTTTTACCTCATTGTGGTGGGTGAAGAAATTGTTTGAGACAGTAATGGCGGTGGAGCTCATAACAGCGTCAACAAGCCCATCAGCACAATTAGAAAGCGAATTGTGATCAATCCAGATATGACTCGACCCAAAAATCGAGATGGCGTCACCATCAGCCATCGATCTAAACCCATAATGCGACGGAGAGCTTCTAACCATAGCATTACCAGTAGGTACACAGTCATGAATATGAATCCCATGGACAATAATGTTCGTAACGTATTGAATCGTGAGACAAGCTCCATTAGCGATGTGAACATTGACACCACGACCATCGATGGTTTTGAAGCTGTTCATGATCAGCTCTTGCTTCAAGGTTATGACCATGTCGCGTTTGAAGATGATCCAGAGTGGCTCGTCTTGGATCACGGCGTGACGGAGTGTTCCCGGAATCGGATTAACCGGATTGTCGTCTCCTGGGTCGGTTACGACGTAGAAACGACCGTCGCGGCCTCCGATTGCGTTGCGGCCAAATCCGATAGAGCAGTCGGCTAAACGTTTGCGACGGAGCTGCCATTTGCGGTCGCAACGCCAGCAATCGTCGATTGGATTGCCGGTGGCGCAGGAGAAGTAACCTAATCTTCGCCGCTCTGTGCTGTTTCGAATGCTCCTGTTTCATCATCATTATATGTTGAACCAAATTAAGTACTGGAAAATTGGAAATTGTATGACATTCCATAATTTTACTTAATCACATTATATGCTATATGAAATTTCTAATTTTTTATATAAACAAAAACTCGAAGTCGAATAAGAGAGGCCTGAATTGCTAATTTAGGGAGTTCTTTTTTTTTTTTTTTTTTGTTAAAGTGCTAATTTAGGAGTTCAACAATGAATTGATTAATCCAACATATTACCACAAATTTATCTGTAAATCATTTAACCTTACTACCTTAGCTAAGGTTAGCTAACATTTTAAGATATCTTACATATACCACTAAATTTTAAAACCAAATGTATAATAGAATTACATGAAAAATCCGATCTTTCCAAAATTGTACTATAATGTATAATAGTTTTATTTATCAGAACCGAAAAACAAATTCATGCAAACATTCCGCACAAGACACCGTCAAGCTCTCTCTCTCTATAGAGCAGAAAATGAACCTTTGAAGGGGATAATTCCATAGTTTTTTTCTTTGATAAACAAAAAGTGACATTGATCATAGACTTCATAGTTGGAGTTAAATGATCTTTTTTTGTTTGATTTTTTTTTTTTTTTTTGAGTTAAATGATCTTACATATAGGACTTTTCAAAATACTTAACTATTGTTATCTTTTGTGTGAAAAACGCCAAAATAGTTATGTTTGTGGTTTTGTACTGAAGAAAATCAAAAACAAGTTATATAACGTATTGTCGAAACTCTTTTTCGTACTGCAAAACTAAAAACTCAAGACATGGTATATCATGAAAATAAAATTATGTAAGACTAATGAAAATTCCAAGTCCAACGAATTGTTGATTTTTTTTTTTTTTAAAAACATGTTATGAGGAGTACGTGTCACTGCATGTGACAAGAGCATGTGCATGGGCTGGCAAATCATTGTTTCAAAGATTAGTACTGAAACATTTACACATGTTCTCGAGACTGGACCAATGCCTCTCAATAATACCACAAAACATTTTTCACTATCAAAGTTTATTTTAAAATATATTTGTATGATCAAAATGCATTATTGCCTTTAATGAAGAAGCTACCGAATACTTGCTTACATGTGAGCAGTAGGAGAATAAGCATAAAGTATCTCTCACTCACCACGATTAGTAATCGAAATGACATAAATATACATATACAAATCCGGATTTGTTTTCTTTTTGGTTAATTCGGAAATGAACTTTCTGTAGTTATAGCATGTCGGTGTCACTAGGATCTATAAATCAAAAACCAACTTATACAAATCTATGTTAACCGTTTAACCAAAAGAAAAAGTATCTAAAATAGTTTCATTGTATTAAGAAAACAGAGGTTATATTTGATGAAAAAACTAGTAAGCTATCTAACAAAATCATTATTTAGTTTATTTATGATAATGGAAAAGGAAAAAGAAAAGGGAATAGTCAGAGGAATGTGGCTTTGGGTTGGACCCATTTTGACTAGAATATGAAAGTGATGTTTCAAGAGAACTTCATGTGAGCTCTCTGCTTTGTCATAAATTCTACTTACCTGTTTTTTTTTCTCGATTAAAAGAAATATCACGAGATGATATATACCCTGGAAGTAAGAGTTTTATTTTCTTTTTTGATTAATGCATGGTAGTAAGACTTGAGTTATTTTTAAGTTTTTAATAGCCTAAAAAAATACTTATAATTAGCTAATTTAAATACAAGAAATGAGGTAGTTGTTAATTATAGTAAAGTTATAGACATATATATTCGTGGAATATCTTTTGTTTTTTTTAGAGAAACTCACATGTCCACCATGGCAGCTACTTCGTCTGGGTTCTCAACTGCATGTTCATGCCATGTTTCATTGGACCTGAAAAAACATTAATTATACAATCTAACCGTTATTGTCTCATTTATGATCGATAAAAATTTATCTTTTTAGAAAACCCATCTATCGTCACCTACAAAAAAACTCTTAATTAGGTGTTATGCTGAACTATTTAAGCTCAATGACTCGGTTGCATGAACAAGAAAAACGTAGAATTAAGTTTCATTGAACTTGAAATTAATCTGCAATGGATGTCTTATGCATGCCTAAAACCAATGTACAATAGAATGACAATAATGTGATGATAAGTGGTTACCTGGATGAATTAACGCCGATAAAGAGAGTTGTTAGAAGTAATGCAGAAGCAAAGAGAATAAGTGTTGTGACAGCCATTGTTATGGCTGTAGTGTTCTTGCTCTGTTCTGTTTAGCTGTCTCTATCTGAGGCAGAGGCTTTTCTCGAAGAAAAAAAACAAGAAAAAGGAGGAATAGGAGAAGAAGAGTAGAAGAAAAGGCTACGGGAGAGAGAAGTTAATATAAGAAGAAGATTGTCTGACCATTCCCATTATCTTATTGGCCTAATTTCATAGACAATAAAATATATAAAGAAAAAAAATCTAAAAGTATATAAATATATACAATTTGTTTACTCCGCAGAGTCATGAATCTAGGTTGTGATTGCTTATCGATCTGGACGATGATTAAATCATTCACCCATTATGTATGGTTTTATCTATTAAAAAGTTTATGCGAACTAAATGTGCTTTATTCATCATTTCCCTGAATTTATAGTAAGTTTTACAGTTAATAAAAAATATATTTAACGATTATATTATTTGATTCCATATTCATTTTCTTTTTCATTTTTCATCAGAAAGCCTTTATACCTCTATACATATTTATTTTGAACAATAATTAAGTAGGTTACAAAAACTATATATTTGACTGTTTTCATAAGTCATCTTTCATGCATTATACCCGACCGACAGATTTAATCTAGGGTGTTAGGTATATCTCTAAACAATTCTAAAAAATATTGTTCCTACGAAAAAAGCAAGTGCTAAAACTTGTTATATGTGTACTTATATATAACTAATAAGCTTTCAATCAGAATTTATAACCTTTCAAGTATAAAGAAGGGCCGGGTTTAGATATCTATAGCAATTATTATTTTTGTTTCTATAGAAAATGAAAACACATGTGCATGTGTACTTGTATAATATAATCGTACAGTGATAAACAATAATGAGTTTGGCCAACAAACGGTATCATGTCATGTGATTGGTATTCCTCATCCCTCTCTTCTTTCTCACAACTCTCGAGTCATTGGATAATGATTTGTAAAAGACAATTAAAAAGGAAAAACAAAACTATAAATAATTTAAACCATATAAAATTATATAGCTAGGACAGCTAACTGAAACTTGTAGGTCTCATATTGTTCCGGATAATTTTATTTCCTTAATTCGGCACTATTGACTTTCCCCATGTGACTATTGTATCTTATGTTCATTACAAAGTTAATCATTCAATTTTTTAACCGCTAATAATGTTATAATTATGCAATAATCAACTAATCATCGTTTGATAAGCGGACAATAATTTTGTTGTTAAGTAACTAAGTTAATGTAGGCTCCCACTTGTTGATTGTCGGCAACAACGTTTAATGACCAAACAAGCACTTTCATTGGTCATGAAATTTACGAGTATAACTAGACAACAAACAATACAAATGACAAAAGAAGAGATCAACAAAAATAGCTCACCACATTTGGAAATTCATTTATCGGCGGCCGTAACAATTATACCACATCAACAAGCAATCAAGCATGCTCTTACATAGATCAATTAATGATCATAAAAAAAAGCAACAAATTCATAGAAAAATAGAGATTTGTTGTTTCTGTACAACACTATTCAATAGAAGTTGCAGCTCAAGACACAAACAAAATATGTCATAACATTAAAAATCGATCCCACAATATTCACTACTCTGCGCATCTTCAGAAATTTTAATATATTTTTTTTGCTGCTTATGACAATTTTAAATTATATGCATCCCCTAAAACATCGAATTTCCCAAGCACTTCTTCACAAATGTTAAACTTTTCCTAAGCGAGTTGTTGTAAAGCCAAAACCGAAGAAGAAAACAGGACATACAAGAGACAACAATACAAAAGAGAAAAGAGGAGATTCTGGAGGGAGAGAGAGTTACGAACAGCCAAAGCATTTTCTGAAAGAGAGAAATCCAGAAGGTTCTGGGATCTGATCCGGAAGATTCTGTTTCGCACTTGGAAGATGTTTAAAGAAGGCCTTCACGGCTCCAGCCACACCATCTTCGTCCTTCATCGCTTTTGCTAGCGTCTCTGCACTGCTCTTCACCTGCTCACACTTAGATGCTTAGACTGCAACCAAACCAAAACTTGTTAAAAACCAGATTGGTTTTGAAAATACTATTTACCTTATCGTCGAGCATGAAATTTATGGCATCTTCAAGCTTATGAAGTGAGAATTCATCCACTGGGATTGGTGCAGGACCTACACCTCTAGCATGCACTCGTTCTCCCCAAAAAGGTTGGTCTCCAAAGAAAGGCACGATTGTAGTTGGGCACTGTGTTCAAGGAAAAAAGCAAAACACTTTCATATTATCAACTTAAGTCCTATCTCAAGACACAGACTTTAGCTTACACTCATATTAAACTTACCGAGGCTTTAAGACCTGCAGCAGTTGTTCCAGCACCACCATGATGAACCTGAAAACAGAGGAGCAACAATTTCAGGTTTAAAGATGAGACTCATAAACTTACTAATCCAGATAAGTAAAATGTGACTAAAAATTTCCAGAACCAAATAAAGAAACAAGATAATCAAGGCTAAACTACGAGAATTCCAGAATATTAGATATACCACAGCCTTGCATCTCGGGAATAGCCAGTCATGTGGGACATTATCCAACAAGTAAACGAAGTCCTTCGGTTCTTTCACTGTATGAAAACCACACCAAGCACATATTATAGTACCATATACCAAACATAAAAACATCCAATGATCTAATAGTGGAAAGGTAATATGGTTTGAAGAACCTACAGTTTCCAAGGCCACCCCAGCCTTTGTTGATGATTCCTCTCTGTTTAGTTCTTTGAAGTGCTTCTACAATGATTTCTGTCATTTTCTCTGGTTCTTGCACAGGCTTTACCACATTTAAACAGAACGGGAGATACATTATTTTCAATTTCTCATAACTTTATTTCAATTTCTCAGAGAAACCTATAGAAATAAAATTAAAAAAAAAAAAAAGACTCACGAGACTACCAAAGCCGATATATATGGGCTTGTCACCAGCTTCTAGCCATTCCACAAGCTCTGCAGGAGGTTCATAGTTGGATGCAAGATCAAGAAAGCAAAATCCCACTACATCAATTTGAGGCCCCCAGTCTGAGAGAAAAAAAGAGAGGAGAGTAAGGATCAAAAAATAAAAACATCACTATTTCATCAGTAAGCTAATGAGTCATACTACCTTTTGGCTTTGGGACAAGGTGAGGACTCCACATATATCCATGTGGGATATTAGATCCAGATCCTTGTGTTCCACTTAGATATGTAACAGGCCGTAGTTTCAATTTCTTTTTCCTAAGGTCATTTACCATATCTCTTATTCCAAGCCATATCAATGAGTCGACGATTTGATACGAAAGCTGAAATTGCATGATGTCAATTATGAACAAAGAAGTCAAGTTTAAAAGCAAACAACAATCAGATGATATGTCAATAAACAAGTCTCACCCTGTATCCCGCTGGTTGTTTGACACGTGATAATGGGTGAGGAAATTCACTTGTTGGCCTGAATCATTATTTAATAAGCCCAAAAAGATAGTGAGTAATTCAGAACAAAAGAAGAAAAAATGTGTTTAAAGTACAACTCGTAAGACCATAATCTGTTGCAAATACAAGACTTACGTCCATGGCATGGTGAAAAATACGTGAATCGGTATCTTCAGAGCTTCTGCCACATGGGTATGTCCTGAAATGACGATTTCCAAGTGAATTGCTATTGAGGCGAATCTATAATAAGTTGGGAAGCTAGAAAAACAAAGCATCTCAAAGTATAGCATCATTGCATGTATTTGCTACAACAATCTAGGCATGCAAATGGTTGTGTCCTCGATGGTGCACACACCAAGATGTGATAAAATAGTAGCCATTAAAACAAATGTTGCTGAAACTAACCATATGCTGGAGGGTTGGCAATAATTGCATCAGCTTTAAAGGAAATCCCAGAATCTGGATCAGGTTCTTTGCATGCTGGAAGTAGGGAATATATAATGTCCTTCATTTGGTTTCGTTGAATTGGAATCTCTGAAGGGCCTGATGGCAAAAATCCCTTGTTCTTAACCATATCTGTACACAACATAGCAAGGAAACCAGTGAATTGCTGATACCTTCCAAAGATAGAATTGATAATACTAACAAGGATGAAGAAAGAAAGGGAATGTTTGGTAGATACATACAACCGGCGAGCACTTTTGGATCTCCACCTAAAGGATAGAACTCCAATCCAGCAGTCAAAACAAACTCTTTAAAATTTGCATGAGTTGCAAGTCGAACTCGATGCCCATAATCCTGCATAATCGAAACAGTCAGTAACTTTCTCCCAGCCAATTTATCAATATTGTACAAAAGAAGATATCAGGCAACCTGAAGCCGTTTGGCTATTGCAACAAAAGGTTGAACATCACCGCGTGTTCCAACAATTAACATCACGATTTGCATAGGAGGGATATACTGAAGGTCAACCCCATCAATAGACTCATCAGCGCAAACACCGTTTTTGGATTCTTCACGGTCAACAACAATAGGTTGGGGGATAGCATCTGCTGGAACTTCAAATTCAACTGTCCCATCATGTTTCACAGTAGCTATACGGTTCAGCAATTTAAGCTGCAAAATATGACATTTATATATATATATAAAAAAAAGACTAGTGTCACGGAGAGTAACATTGTCCATAAAAGTAGGAATCATAAAAAGAAAGTGATATACACGATTCAAAGTCAAAGAGATTTCATATATATAACAGAAAACTAAAAATAGAACAACGACAAGAGAAAAACAAACCAAAAATAGAAGTGGTACCTTCTTCCCTGCAGAGATTTTGTCATCGAAAATCTTAGCAGCATCCTCAGCAAGAATGTGAGTAACTTTTTGCTGCCTCTCAGTCTTTGATTTATCTAACCTAGGTTGGTTTGTTGATGATGATTCAGCCCTATCACTACTCGATGAACCCTCCAATGGCATTGTCCATACTCGAGAAAAGCTTTTATTGCCAGAAGCTGAAAACAAGAACCCAATTACGAAACTTCAATATCATTCAAACCAAACAAAGGAATCAACAATTAACCAAACTGTTTCCAATTGAATTCAATTTGCAGGGAGAAACGAAACCTGAAGATTCAGCCACAGTTTCATCAGCAATGGAGGCAACAACAGTTTTGGGATTGGTATCTTCAGCCACAGTTTCATCAGCAATGGAGGCAACAACAGTTTTGGGATTGGTATCTTCAGCCACAGTTTCATCAGCAATGGAGGCAACAACAGTTTTGGGATTGGTATCTTCAGCCACAGTTTCATCAGCAATGGAGGCAACAACAGTTTTGGGATGGGTCTCAAGTTCTTCAGAGCCAATGACGACGCCAGCAGCACCGCCGCTTTCAATCTCCTCGATTTTCACCGACGCTCGGCCGGAACTTGAGGAAGATGATGAAGAAGAAGACGAAGAAACCCTGGCGAGCTCAGCCGGAGATATTTCCGGCATCGTGAATCTCTCTCTCTCTCCACCAGCAGAAACGATCTGGATCCACGCCTTTTAAATACGACAAATCCTTTCTTCGTGTATCTTGAATTTGCGTATGCGTGTTTCGAATCCGAGAAAGTGAAGGCAAAAGATAATTATTCTTTTCTTGCAATTCTTTGATAATAGGAAAAAAAAAAGGTTCGATTGTATCGGCACGTTCGAACGAAGTGGGTCGAAGACGCGTCTGGTGGCTACGTGATGGGTTCGCTCCGGTTCAGCCGGGGGACTTGGTAATTAACTGTCGGAGTGATGGATAATTTGGTCAATTTATAATCAAAAATCAAACTGCCCGAAAATTAATATTCTTCAAACGCTGTCGTATGCTTTGACAGCGAATCTTCTCTTCTGTCTGTCATTTCGTATTTTACGTCATTGTCGCCTTTTCCCTTCCACCTGATTATGTTATTATTAATATATCTTCTTCAAGCAAATTTACAAATAAGATACTTCCAAATTTTTGACCAAATAAAATATCTAAGAAGAGTAATTATTGTTTTACGATTTTTCTTCTTCATATTTTCACATGTTATATACTGCTCCGTCGCTCTCTTCTTTGATATTATTTTTGGGAAAGCCTATTAATGCATTTTTTGCATAATTTAATTCCTGGATTAATTGCCACTTATTCGTATTATCATCCTTGAACATCATTTTATTGTCAGCTGGTGCTGTGGTGTAGTGGTTATCACGTTTGCCTTACACGCAAAAGGTCTCCAGTTCGATCCTGGGCAGCACCATTTTTTACATCGGACATTAAAATCCAATTTTCATTTATCCTGCCAACTCTTAGACATCCAAAATATTTTAGTGCATCTAAACTTATTCAACTTTTTCTCAAAGAAAGGACTAAAATAATATTAAGAGTGAATGAAGATGCAATCAATAGGGAGTGCAGCTAAGTTTGGCTGTCTCTTTTTGTTTTTTTACTCCATCCAATATTGCACTAAATCTTTTCTCCCTTTAGAAAGCATTTATTAATTTGATTTCCTCACAATATACTATAAGACACGTTATAGAGAAATTTAGACATACCAAAAAAAGATAGCCATAATTAATTACAAGATGCAACATAAGCTGATTTTGTACTTAGCTAAATTTGTGCAGAAGAAAGGTAAAGAGAACAAAACAAAACCCCTTCCTTGAACTCCCTTAGGCTTGGATATGGAAATTACCAAAAGGGAGTTTTACAGAACCGTCCTCCGAAGATCACATACTTTAACCATAACCTTTTAAAAACATATCAAAACCCTTGGGAGTGGTCGGTAGATTGTGCTAAGAATTTTAAGGGTCTTTTAGGCAACGGAAAAATAAGCAGCAAATCACCCATATAGCTTAGAAAATGGGATATCAAAACAGCTTAGGCTTCGTTTTGGTTACTAGCACCACCCCTTGAACGACCACCAGTACCCATCCTTCCACGTCCACGACCATATCCACCTCTACCTCCACGGTATCCGCCTCGGCCACCTCCATAACCATCACCTCTGCTGCCACCATACCCATCACCTCGGCCACCTCCATAATCATCACCTCTGCCGCCACCTCCATAACCATCACCTCTGCCGCCACCATACCCGTCACCTCGGCCTCCACCTCTACCACCATACCCATCACCTCTTCCTCCACCATACCCGTCACCTCGGCCTCCACCTCTACCACCATACCCACCTCGGCCTCCACCATATCCTTCATCTCTGCCTCCACCACGACCGCCTCGAAATCCGCCTCTTCTTCCCCCATACCCATCATTTCTGCCTCCACCATATCCATCATCTCTCCCTCCACCATACCCGTCGTTTCTGCCTCCACCATACCCATCGTTTCTCCCTCCACCATACCCGTCGTCCCTTCCGCCACCATACCTATCATTTCTCCCTCCGCCATATCCGTCATCTCTCCCTCCCCCATACCCGCCATCTCTCCCATCACCATATCCGCCATCTCTCCCACCACCATACCCGCCTCTGCCACCCTGATATCCAGTACCTAAAACCAATCAAGTGGAGCAAGTTAAATCCAAAAACTGTATTTCAAACAAAACGTAAAGATTCAAACAAAAAGGATATCACTTGATTAAGCAGGGTTTAAAGCTAAGTGACAAACAAATGCACTACCCAGTGTTGATCTAGATTATAGTCTCATCACCCTCACACATTATAATTATGCAGAGTTTTACTAATTGACAATGTTCAGACTTACCACGATGGCCATAGCTTCGTCCACCACGTCCACGGCCTCTACCCCAGTTTGGATACCCGCCTTCATTATCTAATTATACCAAAATAAAGCTACGAGTCAGTTACAAACTAAACAAACAGTAACATATATTTATCATTAGACTAATGTCGTCAATAAATACCAATATCAGAATCTCAGAAACACTAGATAGCCAAAAGATTCCCAATATAAGGAAACAGAATGAACTTCTTCTATGGCATAACATACCTTGATAATCTTCTTGATAGTTCCCTTGATCTTTTCCTTCATATCCCCCTTGGTAGTTTCCATATCCACCTCTTCCCCTGCCTCTCCCTCTGCCACGACCTCTCCCTCGACCATTAGAATCTACATTCAAATTTTTCAAAAAGTGTTATAGTATATAACCAACCAACATTGACAGCTTCAAGTTCTCAAGAAAGTTTCAGGCATTACCTTCACCATAAGCATTGTATGGCAGGCGGGCTTGTCTCCCTTGTTGGGGCTGATATTGAGGCTTAGACTGATCTGTTTGTGCTGGAGCTTGATACCTGAACACAATTAGAAGCCTTTATTGTCGCTGTATCTTAAGAACCGAGGATACCATGTGAAGTAAAATTCGATAATAATACGAGTCTGAGATGATTCTTTTGAGCAAAAATAATTTAAAGCAAACGATCTGTATGAATCAAGACTTCCCAAGTTCCAAGAGAAAAAAAAAGTAAAACTCACCCAGGAGAATCTTTATTTAGCTCAGTCAATGACAATGTGATTGAAATCATGGAAACATGGCGAGTCAACTCCACCCTGCATCATATGTAAATTCACTTGAGGCTACACAAAAACAAAAGCAAGGAACAGAGTAGTGCAAGATCAAGACACATACGGAAAAAGACCCTCCTCAGTAGGCTCCCAGAGATCAGTAATGCTCATAGAACTGATTGCAATATCTTGATGCAAACCTGGAATTTTATTCTGCAGTATGGATTACAAAGTCAGCTACTTGCATATATCAGAAAACCCCAATTCGATGATATATACTTCACAAAGTTAATAAAAAAAAGAGAGCACAGACCTTTAGTATCTCAGAGATGGCCACCGTCTTGCTGATTGCCTGCCCCATTGCCTTCAACACAATGTCTTTCACATTTTTCTCCTGAAAGCAAAAGAAACAGATCATCATTATTCCAATTCAATCATATAGCAAAGTAAAAATGGTGCATGATGACACATTTGAAACCTAAATGATCCCAAAGAGAAATTGCCCCCCAAAAAGCCTTACAACAGACCAGCGAACACACACAAATCCAATGAACATTTCACACTCCAGTGAGAACTGAAGCACGATTTTAGCGAAGGACTTGAAAAAAGTTAGAAGAGAAAGAGAGAGAGAGAGAGTACCTGAAGAAGAGTGGTGGCATAACTGATGTAGTTTCGGATAAGGCCTTTACTGGTGATACGGATCTCATTCTCGTTAATCGGAGACTCTGGTTTCGGTTTAACGACTCTCTCGTATCTATCCATTACACAAGAAGATGGAAAATCGAAAACCCTAAGTTTTAGAGAGAATAGTGAACGAAGCTCTGGAAAAGAACAAAGATAGTGAAATGGACTGAGAAACCCTTAGTAAACCCTAGAAGGAGAAGGAGGAGGATTTTCGAGTTTCAAGATGAAGAAGAAAGAAAGAGCATCGGAAAAGGCCGAGAGTAATAATACCAAGGGACACCAAAGAGCCTCGACTTAATTTTTATTATTGACTTGGCCCAAAACGGTCTTTTGGAAAATTGAAAATCAAACCGCTTCAAAACGGGTCAGCTAATTTCGGATCCGGATCCGATTTTCGGGGAGGTTAGTATGTCTTTTACGCGCTTTAGTTTCGCGTGGGTAACACGAATGGTCAGATATCGATATAATCTCCATCTTAACCGCCGTGGATCGTTGATAACAAGATTTTTTACTTTCTTTTTTCAATATTTTAAAACTTTTCGAACAGTTTTGGATCGTAAGAGGATGAATTAAAAATGGAATGACGCATTTTGGAATGTTTTCTCGTAGTAGTATAGTATTTAGTCCAAATATCTAGTTACATCGAATAGTAAAGGTCCTAACTTTTTGGGATTGTGAATGAACCACTTTAATTCAGAAAGACTAATCCTATACTATTATTTGGGGAGTACACTTTATAAGATACCCTTAACTAACCTTCCCTTTTGTAAGAATTTACTTAAGAATGCCATTAGAAATAAAATTTTATAGAGTAAATTAATTCAACTCATTAAGGATAAACAAGTCAAATACTATTTTATGCAATTTAATTAATTTAATTTAATTATAAAAACGAAAATCTATTATTAATTTCTTTAAAAAAATGACCAATCAAAATGAACATATAAGATTTGATATCTAACTTACCATATTAATTTGTTATTAATCATTATACTTCACCTCTCATCTTTATATGATTTTATTTCTATAAATAAATAAATCATTATATCATCTATGTAATAAAAAAAAAGTAAATTTTTTTCCGCATATACCAAGATTTGAATTTTTTAAAACGAATATAAATTATTCAATGTATGAAAGAACAAATTTAACGGGTCAAAAATTCATATTTGAGTAATATATTCTTTTTTTTTAATATCATCAATACTTAATAGATCAAAAATTTATGAAGTATAAATACCCTAATTTGATTTTTTGAAACAAATATTTATAATAGGCGGCGGGTTAAATATAATATATTATATGATGAAATGAGTTATGATCCTTATAACTATTTGAATATTTATATTTAATTTCATATCATTTTATTTTTAAAATTCATAATTTTACATACTACAATAAAAGATTTTAAAGATTTTGATTTGGAACATTTTAAAAAAGTTTAATTTAATATATTAAAGAATATCATAAATATTTAATAGATTAAAAAGATAAAAAAAATTATAAATACATTAATTTGATTTTCTAAAAAGATATGTTTAAAATATTTATAGTAGACGGCGGGTTAAATGTAATGTATTATATGGTAGAAAGTTATGATCCTTATATCAGACGGTATTTTAAGATTTTATGATGAGATGAGTTAAATAAGGTTTGACATTTTTAAATATTTGAAATTTTGATTCTGCAAGCAATTTTGAAAATAATAAATAATAGATTGTGCCGCAATATTTTCATAGGGATTGTAAAATGAAAATATAGACTCCACACACGGATTGAATTTGGTATTATTATATACCAAATATATGTTCATAACATATTTGATTATGTGAATAATTGGTAAATTCCGTAATTAGCTCAAACAAATCTCTATTTCAACAACCAATGAATCAGAATTTGAAAAAATAATTTCCTAAATTAATTCAAAATAATAGCTTTAAGTAATTCAAAATAATCTACGTTTTAGATGCGATTCATTTATGATATTTTGATTTTTGATCTAACTAAATTATATGCACTCTCATTTTGTGGTTGTTAACATAAATTAACTCATTGTTCAAACAATATTAATTTTTTAAAAAAATAATCTTATTTTCCGTTTTCATATCTTAAAAAAAATATCCATAATTGAATACTATAGAAAAAGGAAAATATATTCATTCTAATATTATATATAGGGATTGACAAAAAAATATTATTTTTTCACTTACTATATATCACAACTAACAACTTTATTTTAAAACATAAAATTTATTAATTTTGTAATAAATGAAATTCAACCCGTACTGTAGTACGGGTGATGATCTAGTAAGGTTTTATTTGAGTTTCGGCTTCAAACAGAATTACATAACAAATAGCTGACCATATTAAATTAAACCAACTTAATGGATCTCGAAAACAAAGCAGTGGAAGTTAGCTGTTTGGTAAACTCATGACCTTTAGTATATAGGATTGCTGATTTTCACCGTGCAATGTGCAGTATCTTGTATGATGAAGCTTGCCTTGGCCACTCAAGATGAGAGGCTCACATAGAAAGAGCCATTATCAGTTCTGAAATAATGCTTAATCGCAGGAATGTGTTTAACCCTTGACCGGTCTACACTTCCATCTCCGCTAATCCCCTCCACCAACTGATTAGAAACATGAATCAAATGCAGTTCTTGAAGATTTATAAGATTCTCAATTCCTTTCGGTACCGACTCTAACCCTCTACAAGCCCTGATATAAAGCTTCTGAAGCTCAAACATTGCACCATCTTCTATAACAACTTCTGTCAGATGTTTCATCTGAACTATCTCTAGAATCTTCAGATTCTGAAATCCTTGTGCAAAACACAACCTAGGCCCCATGTATGCATTGTAAAACGAAAGCCATACCAATCTAGGAAGCGTTTGGATAGAGAGAATGGCGTTTTCTTGCAACTGAGATCCACGCAAACCCAAATAGGTACGGTTTTGAAGAGTGTTGAACCAAATTGGTACCCTCTCCAGTTTCCCAGCAAGAAAGAGCTTCTCAATGCTTGCAGTTGCTATTAGGTCATCTATCTCTAACGGTTCTTCTTCATGAATCGACGTTAAAGATAAGAATCGAAGTCTTCTAATCTTATTCAGTGAATCGCATAAGTCTCTTCCATGTTCTCTCCTAACCATGACAAGACTTATTCTTGTGAGTTGAGTCATATTCCCAAGGTTTTTGATAAGCTCAGCTTCTGCGTTGAAGCAGTCCATGACTTGCAAATCCTTCAACTGCCAGATTTTAGGAACAACCCTTGTACCTAAAACATAGTTCCAATTGGAATCATGCCCATCATTGCGGCGAAAAGTAATGAGATAACGCAACTTCTGCAACTTCCACATCCCTAGAGGAAGTTCCTCAATCTTGGAGTGCTTTGTGTTCAATGTCTCCAAATTGATGAGTTTATGGAAGTCTTTTGGCAGTTCTTTTACCTGTGTCTTCGACAAATTCAAGTACTTTAGGTTGAACATAGTTACTAAACAATCTGGTAACTTGCTGATGTCAGAATCTTCAAGGTCTAAGGCTCTCAGAAGTTTCAGACTTGGAATTAAGTCCATCTTGTGTTTAGCAGAAGAGCAAACCAAAAGAGAGTGAAGGTTTGTTGCACGTATACTATCTGGTGTCATCTCTTTCTGAATGCATAAATGGCGACTACCATAATTCTCGATTGTCTCTGCAGCATCATCACCATCACTGTCATCATTATATACATCACAAAACCTCTCAAGTTTGGATACAGATAGAGCAATCTCCCATATCACGTCATGCATCTTGAACGCCTTGGGTCGTCCAAAAGGATTCCACAAGATAACTTGAAGCATATTTCTGTAAACAAGTTCATTGAGGTAACTATCAGCCACTTCTTCTGCTTTCACTCCTCTGATCGGTTCCACAAACCTTTGTGCCATCCACATCCTAACGAGCCTCTTTCTTTTCATCCGATAGTTGACAGGGAAAAGAGAACAATATAAGAAACAACGTTTAAGCGGGTATGGCAAATCGTTGAAACTAAGCAACAAAATGCTTCGAACAATCTTGAGTTCAAGATTGTTGTTCAATTCCCAATTCAAAGTACTGTAGACTTTCTTCCATTCTGATTCAAACTTCTTGGTTGACATCATGCTCCCCAAAGAAGCAATAGCTAATGGCAAACCCTGACATCTCTCGAGTAATTTCCGTGCTATCGGCTCCAAATTCTGCATTCTGCATTGCTCAAGACTTCCCGGAAAAGCTTTGTTGGAGAAAAGCACCCAAGCTTCGTCTTCTTTTAAGAGCTCAATCTCGTGCTTTCCGCTCCCGATTCCATATGGGAAAGAAGCCACGTTCATGTATCGAGTGGTTATCATAACACGACTTCCGTAAATACCATCTGGTAGAGCGATACTTATCTCCCTCCATAGACCAGTGGTCCATACATCATCAAGCACAACAATGTACCTCTTTGACTGCAAATACTCCACAAGTTTTTCCACCAACTCTCTGTAGCCTAAGGAGTATAATTCAGCTGGAATCTGTGTTTCCGCTTCTTTGTAGAATTCCTTGATCATGGTCCTAAACACATCTTCGATCACATAAGATTTCGAGATTGTAACCCAAGCGTAACACTCAAAATGCCTCCGCACGCTCTGGGACTTGAAGATATTCGCTGAGAGTGTAGTCTTCCCTGAACCGCCCATCCCAACCACCGCGACAACAATCCGCTGAGGTTCCGGACTTAGAAGCCGTCCGATGAGCTTTCCCTTGGGTGCATCAATCCCTACAAGACTATTTTCACTAAAGAAAAGAGATGACTCACTGATGTTGTTCACCCACTTTGCATCCCCATCATCACTAGGCGATAATAATGCTGCTTGATAGTTTTCTGAATGATAGTACCTTTTCATGGAATCAGAAATGGATTGAATCATGACATTCACCACTCCTAGCTTCTGAGCTATTGAGTGCCTCGCCCACATATACCTCGGGAAATGAAACGCACGCCAAAGTTTGGCGCAGCTACGATAACCGTGGATGTGATAGCCAAACTCGTCAAGAATGTCTTCGATTTGGTAAGCCAAATCTCTCGTGTTTGCCACAAAAGTTTGGAAGAGTTGAGTTGTTGTCGTTATGGATCCATTTCCACCATGTTTATGGGTGTCCTCAAGAAAAGACTTCATGATCAGCAACTCCTTCATTTTATCAATCTCACCATGGACTCCTGACAATAACAAGGTCTCGTTTTCCAGGACACTAAGAATCCGTCCGATCCTAAAATCAACAGTAGCCGAAGCCATCTTCCTCACAGTCTCGCTTGAACCTTTTTTCCTTCACTGATTTAGTTTCTCTTGGTGAACTTGTTGAATTTGAGCAAAGCCAAGCTTTCGATTCACACCTTACATGCCTGCCACATAACATTTTGATCAATTATCCTTCAACAAGGACCTCAACAAAGTCAACGTCCTTTACTTGTTTTAAAGTCATCACGGGTTTAAACTGCTTTCACATTTGCAACTTGGAATTGAATTTGATATTATGGTTTCCTACATTAATGCACTTACAAGGAAAAAAACTCGAGCCAAGCAGAATTGGAATAAAAGCAAGGTTAATTGTAGAAATCAAAATCGCTTCAGTATTACTAATTGTTCATGAAGCACATATATATCAAAAAGTTTAACCGACCAAATCATAAACGCAAAATACAAAAAACAACTAGTTTCCAATCTCATTCTTCAGGCAAAAGTCCAGCCATTGGGATTTTAGCCTCAATCTGGAATTCTTCGTCTTCTCCATCCTTCTTCTTCCTATAATCCACTTTGAAATCATAATCTCCGTCCATCAGATCCTCCTCACCAGCTCCTGCTTTCTTTGCTTTCTTCCTCTTCTTCTTCTCTGCTTTCTGTTTTTTTGTATTCAACATGTTTTCCGCTGCGTATAGCTTCACGTTCTGCTTTCCCGTCTCTGATTTCTCCTTCAACTTTTCTGCCTCTTCCTCCTCGTCCCCTCCCATAGACTCATCATCATCACTGTCATGCTCAGGCTCTTCTTCTGTCTGAGTCTTTGACTCATCCTGTTATTTTATTTTTTTGTGATATACGTAAACCAAGATTAACCCAGACTGAACCTTTTACAAGCAAATGAAAAATCACGAGAGAATTACTAACCTCGATCATAGTTTCATCGAAATTGAGAGGACCATTTGAAGGAACTTCAACAGGGTTGAATTCGTTAACCGTCTTCAAGCTCCCAATGAAAGAGGATTCACCACTGTAAACCTCATCGATGTTGAAATCCTTGGCCAGCTCGCTCACAATCTTTGACTCTGCATGTCCACCTTGGTCCCTCTTTGGCGGCATTGTATAGTATGGGATTTTACCTGCACAACCATTCATATTAGACAATGATGAGTTAGAAACTGGTTTTAAAATATTCTTGATGCTTCTAGTTTAGAAGGAACTAATAGACAAACCGCACCTTCATTCCAGTCATGCAAAACAATTCTGGCAGCAGCTTCAATATCCACAAGACCACCCTTTTTAAGCTTACCCCTTACAGTGGCGACTTTGTAAAGAAAATCATCAACTGCCTCGAAGCTCGGTATTTTGTAGAGAGTCACCAGCATTTGTGTTGGACAAAGCTTGAGAATTTCCTTCACTATTTTTTTCACAAAGAAAAAGATTTCCAAGTTAGGTCACTCAGATTTATAACCTTTAAAAGGCAGCACAAAAAGAAGTGTGATTCTATCTTGAGCTTATATCCAATTACCTGGACTAACTGGGTCATCCAACTTCTCGATTCTTTTACAATTTCGGAGAGCTATAGAAGCATCATTTCCTGATGATTTGAGCATCACAACTCCAGGACAATCCAGCAACTTCACGTTTTTGTCTAAATGAACCTCTTGCAGAGACCTTGTAAGTCCAGGAGTGGCACCAACATTGACAACATGCGCTCTCTTCAAACTGTTGATAAGACTACTCTTGCCGACATTAGGCAGTCCAATAATACCAACTGTAATAGATTTTTTTAACTGCGAAAGAACAACAAAGGAAGATTTAATTGAAACTGAATAATATAACTTCATGCCACGGTAGGTTGATTAAAGTGTAAATTATGAAAACCAACCTCATGACTTCTTGAGTAGTTTTTCAACAATTTGATAAGAGTGTCTGCTCCAAGACAATCACTCGTCTGCAACATATTGCTTGGTTTTGATGCCTTAGATGATTTCCAACCCAAGTTTGATCTCTGTTCCTGGGTGCTACACTTGAATGCAACAGCTGGAAATTCTTCCCTAAGGTACTTAAGCCATTTCTCAGCAGCCTCTCGGGGAACAAGATCTGGAAAGAGTGAATCGGTTACAAAAAGTAATTACCCCACCCGGAGTAAACAAACAACTTTTTATGTCCACGAGCAAAGACTTATATAAGAACTTACCAATCTTGTTCAGCAGCAACACAAGATGCTTATTGGGACCGGCTTGCATTACCATCCTCTCCATGTCGGTACAACGAGTGCCAAGAGGATCACGGGCATCAAGAACCTCCAAAATGACATCAGACAATTCAATAACTTTAACTAGCTCCTTGTAGAAAGCCCTCTCCGAGTTATCTGTGAAACAAAAGACATTAGTGCATCTTAAGGCAGAGAGAAATCACATCAACGGGTGGAGAAGGTATCCAATCCAAAACAACTCACCTCGAACATTGACAACTTTAGGTAAGCCCTCTATGGTCTCTTCTTCTGTCTTGGTATCCTCATCATCAACCAAACCAAGTTTCCTCTTTTTGGCCTGAATATATATTTATTAAGAGAGATCAGAACACAAACACCACTTCATAATACGAGTAAATCAAACAGCAAGCCATGAAAAATGCTATCTTTTATCAATCAATTAAAACCCACAACACAAAGGAAATATCTTTAACAAGTGCGACCTGAATTCGAAGTTATATGATTATCAGAACAGTAGTATAGCTATGAATGACAAAGTTAAAAGAATGAGGATACCCTTTCTTTGCGGGCTTCTTTCTTCTGTTCAATCTCTTCGAGAGCACGGGCACGTCTAACTTCAAGGGCCTTAAGCTCTTGTTCCTTGAAAGGCCAGTCATTGGGGATACCTGGGTCCTTCTCTACTCTTGGCTTACGGTGGAGCCCAAGCTTTTTAGCATCCTTTGCCTTCTTCTTGTGGTGCTCCTTCACCTTTCTCAGGACCTTATGCTTCTGCTTCAAGGTCACCCTCTTACTCTTACTCTCTGCAAAAAAACCCCATCAAGTAATCAATAAAGACCCAATAAAATCCTGAACTGAACAATTGATTCAATTCATCATCGACAAAGACAGATCCAGAATATAATTTAGATTGAAGAATTAATCTTACTTTTACTCCGTTTCACCATCTTTCTCGCCTGCGGAAGAGAGCGACGCAAAAAGAAAAACTGAGTAGGTTAGAAGAAAAGGGTTTATGGAGAAGGAAGATGGAGATATCGGCGCCAAATTAGGGTTTTGCTATTAGATGGATTTGGATCATGACCCGACCCGGTATAATTGACCCGAATCTGTCTTGACATAACTTAAAAATAAAAATAAAATAATGGGGTGAGAGAGGCTCGAACTCTCGACCTCAGGATTACTCAGATAGCTATGAGACCTACGCGCTAGCCAACTGCGCCACCACCCCGATGTTCATTTAATTTACGAAATATCTAATTAACTTTAATTTAAATTCGTTGTCCAAGTCATAACCTTGACTTCGACCGGTCGCCTGAAAGTCTGAGTTTTTTTCCCTTAAGATCCCGCCGGGCTCCGGTGGTGGCGGTTAAACCCTTCCAAAACCTGACTTCTGCTGAAATTCGATAACCGTCCACGATACAGGAATGTCTAACAGAAGCCTCCATTTGAAGAAAATTCCATGGCTTTCTTCTCGGATTCTCTCAGGTTTCGAATAAATGTCATGGCTTTCTTAGATTCGAGCTATCTGGGTTTAAGCTTTCTTAACGATCTTTTTGGTTGTCTTTTTTCTCACTAGACAATGTGCACGGTCGATTTCGCCGACCAATTACTACTCCAGCCACTTGTTTAGTTCCTTCACTCGATGGAGACATCAACATTGGGTCCAAGACATTGGTCGAACAATGTTTCTCTCGCGGGTAAATTCAATTTACAACCTTTATTACTTCGAGTAGTGTATTCATGGTCTCTTTCTAATTTGTCCTGGACAGTCTCTTTCAGATTTGCATCAGTACGACGAGTATCTCGAGCTTCTTCTTCTTCTTCTCCTTCCTCTCCACATGTTGATTTACTCTCTTATATTAAAGCTTCACTTGATAAACTTGCAGGTAAACTGATTGTTATACTGAATCTTACATATTTTTATAATTGGCGTGAAACATCTATTTGTGTTGTAAACAAAGTTTGGAAATGAACTCTTAGGTCCTACCCATCATTGGTTGAATCGAGACATTGGGAATAAACAGCTTTTCAAGGACAAAGGAACTTATGTAGTTCTCGCTGGACATTTGCTAAACGAGACAAGTGATCTGAGTGGTTTCTTTGAGAAACTTAAGTTGCTTCAGCAGAGGTTTAAGAAAGCTTTTGTTTTTGTTAAACCAAAGAATCATGGCAACTTAACTGGAATTATGGCTAAGTATTTGTTTTCTGTGGTCTTTTAAGGTCTCCGGGTGTCTGTTTCATGTGCATTCACTTCAGTGATCAAGCTCGAATTGCTGATGATCAAACTGCTTTAGCTGAGTTGATTGTGAAGGAATACCTCACTTTTCCTGTACTACTTTCTGAAAAAGAATTTCCCAAGGTATATATTGTATTTCCAAGAAATGTCGCTGTAGATTACTTCTTTGTATATCATTCTCTCAAGTTATATGTATATACCTCGATATCAATTGAAGGTGTAATGTTTTTTACTTGTATCAGACTACTGGGGAAATACGTTACATCGTGTTTAAAGATTTTAAGAATCCTTTAATCTACGAAGAGAAGGATCTCGATATTGCTTCTGTAGCTAAAGGTATGCATACTTTATCATCTTATCCACTACAAATATTCTCTACAATGTCATACCTATTGTTCCATGTTCACCTTAACAGAAAAAACAAATTCAGTATGCTGCTTTTAGCTTGTGAATATTCTTCGTTTCAGACCTTCAACCTTCCGCAGCATCTAAGAAGGCGAAAGCATATAATAGTTCTCGTGATTTGTGTGCTTAATTTCATATTCTGGTTTCTTCTTCTTGCGCTTTGTTGCAGCTCTTGACAGCCTCACTCAAGATACTGAGAAATCCAAGTCTGTCAGAATTTTCACGAACACTTGGTCAAAACAAGCTGAGGCTATCAAGGAATCACATTTCCCTTCTTTCTTTCAGGATTTGTTACTCTACTTTCCAGGTACATCTTTAATTTTCTTTCTTTTTTAGTCTTTTTGAGTTTTATCAGGAATTTTCATTTTTGTCTTTCACGCTACTGTCTAATATTTTGTTCACAATTATTGATGTTTTATTTAACAATAGTATTCTCTCTGTGACAGGTTGTATCTCTTCAGACGAAGTTGGAGAACGTCTGTTTCTTTCTGATACCAACCATCATCGTATAATTATGTTCGAAAACAGTGGGAAGATTTTAGACAGTGTAAGTGAACTGAATCACATTTGGGGAATTATAATCTTTATAGAGTTTCTTTGCTCAATCCCCTTAGAAGGGCATTCTTAGAGAGAAAAGTGCATTTGAAGCTCCTTGTTTAACAAAACTAAAGTTCAAGACAATGTTTTTATTTCAGATTGGTTGTTTCCCAGGTTTTGAGGATGGAGAATTTGAATCTGCAAAGATGTTACGTCCTACAGGGACCCTTTATGACGAAGAGGAGGATTGCCTCTACATTGTAGATTCTGAGGTATGACTCCTAGAAGAAGATACATAATTATGATTATTGATTGTGCCATTGAATGTTTTCATGTTAAGATTGTTTTTCCTCTTTGTTTCCTTTCTTTTTCCCCATTCTTTGGGTTAAGAATCACGCCATTAGAAGAGCAAATATAAATAGCCGGGTCCTGGAAACAGTATATCCAAAGGTTATTAAGAAAAGTGGTGGCATATGGTCTTGGGTAATGGAGAAAATGGGTCTTGGAAAAGAGGATGATATAACAGTTGATGCTGATGCCAAATCAGAAGAATTTGATGCTCGCTCTCTGTTGTTTCCATGGCATATACTGAAGCGTGATGATGAGAGTCTTTTAGTCCTTAACAAAAGGTAAAAAGACTAGTTGAAGGGATTGCCTTTTTATAGTAGTGATAGCTCGGTCTCTCTTTCCTTCTTTTGCTACCCTTTTACATTCGTAACCAAATAGGTTTCTCATATCTTTCAGCTTTTCGAAGTTATGGATAATAAATTTAGCTTCAGGAGAGATCGAAGAAGTCGTGGAAGGTTACATATAAGAATCGGCATCTTCTTTTATCTGTATATATTATTTGGCTTCTTAACTCATTGTATCTAACGTATATTCATCAAAATTTTAAGGGTTTTCGAAGATAATGGAGATCTGCGGGCAATCAATCACAGAGAAGCTATCAGTGTTGGAACATATGCCTTCTAACTGGTTGCAACAGCAAACGGAGGCTATCACCTCATTTAAGGAGCAGCCAAGTGCTTCCCTTTTGTCTTCTTTTGCTAAACTTGGAGACGACATTGTCATGACAGATATAGGTAAACGACATCTACGCAACTTTGATTACATCTTTTTCATATCTATGCATCGACTAACTCAGTTTGCCTTATATATTAAGCTTGTCAGAGGGTGTTGAAGCTAAATAGAGATTCTGGAGCATGCTCTAGTATTCAGTTCTCAAACATTGGGATTCTTGGGTTGCCATATTGGTTGTTCATTCCACTGGAGAGAGTTTTCAATCTGTTAGTGATTTCTCATTTATTATCTTATCCATTAACAACACTTCTCTTGTTCTGAAACTTACTAATTGATGTTGTGATACTCGGCTAAATTATAACAGAGCTAATGGTGTTCAGGAAGCACATCTCAGTCATACTCAGGAACTCCGGTTATTGCCAGGTGCGATTTGCTAAACAGACCCTAATTTTTTGCTCGTTCGCTTATGCTAGGCTTGATGTTAGAAGTTCATCACCCCAGTCCCAATTAGCTGCAGGATGAAGATGGTTTCAACATTGGTTCTAGCCGGAAATCTAGATATTTGGTTTGATTTAACTGCTACTTTTTCATTTAACAGGTAAAATTAGCTTACGGTTGAACATAGAGATTCCTCCATGCGCGGAGCTTGTTGAACCGATACAAGAAAGCTGCATATGGCGACAGACAAGAGGCGCAATCAGTGAAGTCTCGAGTGCTGGAAGTGCAGTTGAACCTTCCGAAAAGGTTAATTAAGGGAATTGCATTCCTGACATTTGCTCTGGTTTCAATCCGAGGTAGCTCAGAAATTTTGTTTTCATGACTTGCAGGTTGGAGTTTCACAACAATGGTATGATGAATTAGACAGCCTCGCCAAAGAAATAGCCAACCCCGAAGCAGTTGAGGAAGATGAGGAGGAAGATGTTAACCCCTCTGAGGTTGAAAGAGAAGAAGATGGACGTATTCACATTGATTGTACTGTCAAAACCAGTCCTGGCTCAAGTGAGGTACGCCTAAAATCTTCTCTCAAGTCTCTTTTATGAACAAAAGCCAAACTTTACTATAAAACGAAGTATAACTTGGTCGCCTCGGGTTTGTGCAGCTTATTGTTTATGCAGCTTTATATTTAAGACTGGCGAGAAACGAAGAGACAGAAAATGCGAGTCAGGAAGAACTGGCCAGAAAAATTGCAGAGATTTTAAAGCCAGTACGGAACATTACGACTATGAAGGAAGATTTGTTTGTGAAACTGTTGTCCAAGTCAAAGAGAGAATTGAGAGACATTGTCTTCTTGAAGCCGATGCATGTGCGGATAAGGTTAGACTCGATGGATCATCCAAAAGCCGATAACTCAAGAGACGTAATCTTGACTGACTCCTCTGTTGAGGTTGATGTCTCTCTTTGACGACGATTAGAACGTGGGCCAATAACGATGTGTTGCTCCATTCTTTCTCATACGGCTACTCTAATTCTTTTTGATGTGGTAAAAATGAGCTCAATAAGACTTGTATAAGTTTATGACATTATACAGAATAATGATTTGGTCGGTTCATTACTTCATTATATGAAATGGTTCACAGTTTGTTAAGATGGTCCAAGTCTCTGAATAGTCCAAGTTGATTGGATTTCTCTCTTTTAGTGATTCTTTTCATTTCGGTTAAATTTTGAAAATATCAATGAAATTCGAAAAAAAAAATCTTGGTGCCATTAGTAGATAACAAAATTAAGTGTGAAAATAAGAATATTTGGAAAAATGAATACAAAAAAAAACTAAAAAAACAGCTGTCAAACTCTTTTCTTTTTCTGTTAAAAACCAAACAATTTCTGACCGAAATCCAAACTAACTTTTGAAATATGTGGAACAACCAAAATTTTTAACATGTTATTTTCCTAATAATTACTTACTGGTTTGCTTGAAGAACTTATTTGTTTATACAATTTGTTAATATTTCAACTTATTACATATGTGTGTGAATTGATACGTACTTGTATCATCCAAATGGTTATCTCAATAGTATTTGCAAGAGCCTCTCATGGAGAAGATTGTTGACTTCGTCATTACACAGTCATGTATCAGGTCTCCTGCTTCTAATGCCTGCCTTTTCTTCTGATTTGTTCGCAATTTTTAAATAGATTTTGGGAATAACAATAATCTTACAATTATTCGCATTTGATTTTAAAGATATATAGTTCGTGCAACCATCAACATAACATGAAACCCTTTTGTTGCATTTATTTTATTCACTTCATGGTCTCCATGTTATTTCTCTCTTTTCCTATTTCCAATTCTCTTTCTTCTCATTATTTCCCATTTCTTCAAACCTTACGATATTAATCACTTTTATAATCTGTTTAAAATCTCTAATACATATTTGGTGGAAGGTTTAGCTTACTCTTTAAATTAAAAATTGCACATTAAATAAAACTCTTAGAGAAATGTGAGGCACACAAACATGAGAGCAATGAGATATGGACTCCATTTTGCATATAAAATTATTAAGTAAAAGAGTAGTTTAATTGTCTATATTAAGAGAAATTCAGAAACCTAAACCTGAAAAAAAATCCAGTTTTCTCCCTCCAATTTTTTAGGAGACTCTTCCGCGCTCGGATCCCGACGGTTTTGGTGTTGATTTTTCTTGATCTGGGTTTTGTTATATCTTTGACGAAAAAAAACATATCAACGTGGAGAGAAAGGGAAAACCCCATGGGTTTCTTGTGAAAGGGGCAACCATTGTTTGTGAAGGATTCTAAGGTTTGTTCGTTGTTCTGCTTTTTTTAACCAATCCACTTTTTTTTTTCCTGATATTTATCTGAAAATGTGTTTTTTTCCTTGTCAACGCAGGCATTTATTGAACAAAACGATTCGAACAAGACCCATTTTTTGGTCTTAATTTGTGGTCCTCAGACTCTGTTTTGTATAAGTTTCTTCGGAGTTTGAATCAAATTCTGCAGAATTGCCGTGGTTTGAAACAATTTTATGTCCATATAATCTCTAATCACAAGAAAATACAAAAAAAAAAAAAAAGGGAGAGAGATTGGGGTTCTTTGCAAGGGAAAATAGAAGAAATGAATTGCTTTTCATGTTTTTATTTCCATGAAAAGAAAAAGGTTCCGAGAGATTCAGACAACAGCTACCGGAGAAATGGTGAGTTGACCGGTAGAGACAACAACAAAACACACCCTGGTAAGCTCAAAGAATCTATATTAATATTACAGATATGTCTTATATATATGTTTTAGGGTTTATAAGACTAGATTCAGTAATCTTTGTGATGTTTACAGAGAATCCAAAGACTGTAAATGAGCAGAACAAGAACAATGATGAAGACAAAGAAGTGACAAACAACATCGCTGCGCAAACATTCACCTTCAGGGAGCTAGCTACTGCAACCAAGAATTTCAGACAAGAATGTCTCATCGGTGAAGGCGGGTTTGGAAGGGTTTACAAGGGCAAACTCGAGAAAACCGGCATGGTTAGAACTAAATCATTTTACTATTCTCTCTTATGGAAAACATAAAAGTCTATACTTTTAAAACATGAATATCGTACATGATATATAGCAGTAATGGTCTCTGCTACCACATTTCTATACAACAAATCTCTTAAGCTTTTTCAAATGGTTATTTTGGGTTCAGATTGTGGCAGTGAAGCAATTAGATAGAAATGGGCTTCAAGGGAACAAAGAGTTCATCGTGGAGGTCTTGATGTTAAGTCTGTTGCATCACAAGCATCTTGTGAATCTCATTGGGTATTGTGCTGATGGAGATCAGAGACTTCTCGTCTATGAGTACATGCCTCGCGGTTCACTCGAAGATCATCTCCTCGGTAAATAACAAAACTAAGGATCGTATAGACAAACTTTGGATTATTCCAATTGCGTAACTGTTTCTTGAATTGCTTACAGATCTAACGCCGGACCAAGTACCATTGGATTGGGACACGAGGATTAGAATCGCTCTAGGAGCCGCAAAGGGTCTTGAATACTTGCATGACAAGGCAAATCCTCCAGTGATCTACAGAGATCTCAAGGCAGCTAATATCCTTCTAGACGGTGAATTCAATGCCAAGTTATCCGATTTTGGTCTGGCAAAGCTAGGCCCTGTCGGGGACAAACAACATGTGTCTTCCAGAGTTATGGGAACTTACGGATATTGTGCTCCAGAGTATCAGAGAACCGGTCAGTTAACTACTAAATCCGATGTTTATAGCTTCGGAGTTGTGTTGTTGGAGTTGATAACTGGACGAAGAGTTATTGACACTACCAGACCCAAAGATGAACAGAATCTAGTAACTTGGGTGAGTTTCTCTTTTTTTGGATTACATGAATACCTTTTTGGCTTCAATTGTTTAAAACATCTAAACTTTGCATTGGTACTTTGTTTTAGGCACAACCGGTGTTCAAAGAACCGAGTAGATTCCCAGAGTTAGCGGATCCGAGTCTGGAGGGAGTGTTCCCGGAGAAAGCTCTGAATCAGGCGGTGGCAGTCGCAGCAATGTGTTTACAAGAAGAGGCAACGGTACGGCCACTGATGAGCGACGTTGTAACCGCTCTAGGTTTCTTAGGAACCGCTCCTGACGGCTCTATCTCTGTTCCACACTACGATGATCCTCCTCAGCCGTCGGATGAAACGTCCGTTGAAGATTCAGTGGCAGCGGAAGAACGGGAAAGAGCCGTGGCTGAGGCAATGGAGTGGGGAGTTGCTTCAAGAGCACATTCCCGGAACCCGAGTGCTTCTTGATTTTCATTTTTTACATCTTTTTGTCTTCTTGATTTTAATTTTGGGTTTGGTCGTTGTTTCCTTTGTTATCTTTTTTGGCTTTCAATTTCAGTTTCAGAAATATAGTGATAGAATATTGTTACCGTTTCTCTCTTTGTTATGTTCTGTTTTGTTTGAATGTGTATATTCCAGCTGGGTTTTTCATAGCTCGAGAATGCAATCTGTTCTTATTCTTGGTTTTGAGCTTCACATAAAAAAGATTATGATTAACTTTGTGTTTAGTCAAAATGATTCAGAATTATAGCTCTGGTGTTCCATGCAAGAGCACAGAGAGCAGCTAAATAGCAACACCAGAGCAACACTACCAACACATAAATCTAGCCATATCTTCATGAAATTCATGGATATAAAAGAGATTTGTTGCCAGTTTGATTGTTTTTTTTTTTCGTTTTCTATCAAGAACTATATTTATCATGAACAAATAGACATGCGCGAGTTGTAGTTAAACATAAATTACTCAGATAATAAATAAAAACCTGAATCACAAATTAAGAATTTAATAACAAATCCATTAAGAAAATCCATTGAACATTAAAGAAAAAACCTTAGGTCAAACCCGGAAAAAGAAAAGAAAACGTGCAATGCAAGAGATAGAATAACGCTACATCACCATAGGCTAAGAACTGATATAGCGGCGGTGGAGCCAGAATCCCGGTCCCAACCTCTACCAGAAAACCCTCCATCTGTAAATGGATTGCAACTTACTACTCTCCTCCGTCTTATTCGTGCTTTTCGGTTATTTCGCCTCCAGCATTCAACAAACTTAGCCTTCCAATCAACAAAATCATCTCGAAATTCTGTTTCTTCAATCACAAAATCAGCAAACTCTTCCAAGCACTTTTGCTTCCACAAGTCATTGTCTGATTCCGAAACTCTGAATCAACACAAGAAACCCTAGCAAGACCGACTCCAGGAAGTGACTCTAGTATCTTCATCTTTAGCTCTGTTGGTAGTGAATGAATCAAGTTTTTACGAACTAGGGTTCCTTGTATGTCTCGAGCCTGTCGAAGACTGATCCAATCATTAGCCGGAGCTATGTTTTGACGAGGCAGCATGATGATCAATATTGAAGAGAGAGCGTGTCTCTTGACTAAGACTAAGCAAAACTACAACAATTCCTAATAGAAAGCTGAATCCAATAGAAAACAAAAACAAGAAGAAAGTCCTTATATGAGTTTTGTATCAGCAAATTCAGGTTTTAGGGTTTCTCTCGTCTCGTGAGTATTAAACATAATTGGGCTACAAATGCGTTTAGCGTTATTGGGCTGATAAGAAAGCCCATATTCATACTCAAATCCGCCAATCTCTCTTCTCTATCGCTCTCTCATTGGCGCTGTTTATCTGAATTCGATACCTTTTTTTGTTTTCTCTTTGGTAAATAGATATCTGATTTCGCTTTTGAATCGACATTGATTGAACAGTCTGACGCCGATCTCAATTTCTGTAGCTGTGAAGGTATTAATCTTCACGCAGTGTCCTGTTTTTCTCGATCAATTGGTTTGGTGAGATCTTTCTCGTTTACGCTTTTTGTTCTCCTTGGGAAAATTTTCGTTGCAAGAGAGATTTTTGATTCATGGGTATTGAAGCATTTGCGGTAAAACGTATCCTTGATCTTAATCAGTGAGATCGGTGAGCTCAAGTTCTGATTTTTAATTGGAATTCAAAGAGATATGTCAACAAAGTTATGGAGATGGGTATTAGGGTTGATATACCTATTTGCCGTTGCCACGATTTGGATTGCAGCCAGTTTTGTAGTCCAGTCTGTGGTGGAAGCTGGTGTTTCTCCGTTCTTGATCACTTTCATTTGTAATTCATTGTTCGTTGTTTATCTTCCTCTATTTGAGATTGGTCGATATCTCGAAGATGCATATGGTAGTTTATTGTTTTGGAGAAGCAAAAGGTCGCATTTAATGGAATTGGTCGAATCAGAGAAGGCTGTTTTGCTTGGACAAGATGTTTCAGGTGTTAAATCAGATGCTACTGAGAGTTCAGGGCTTGTTGTGAGAGAGGAGGAGGGAGGTAATGGAATTGAATCTGAATTGGAAAATATAGAACTTGAGATTGATGCTAGTGTCAATGTTAGTGATGGAGCCAGTGGTATTTCTAATAAAGGATTAGATGAGAAGGGACGTTGGACAAGGATGCGAGTTGCTAAAGTTAGTCTTGTGATTTGCCCGTTTTGGTTTTTAGCACAGCTTACTTTTAATGTCTCTCTCAAGTACACGACTGTTACGGTAAGAACTTATTGGAGAAACCTCATCTTGTCGCTCATTCTGAATCTACTTTTATGGTTGGCTGAAGTTTTTTCATTTTTGTGAATTGCAGTCAAATACCATCTTAAGCAGTGCATCAAGCCTTTTCACTTTTCTTGTTTCACTAATATTCTTGGGCGAGAAGTTCACGTGGTTGAAACTCTTCAGCGTTCTTCTTTGTATGTCTGGGACCATCATTGTAAGTATGGGTGACTCAGAGTCCAACTCAAATGCAGTAGCTAAAAACCCTCTTTTGGGAGATATTCTTTCACTGGTCTCAGCTGCGCTATATGCTGTCTACATCACTCTTATACGCAAAAAGCTTCCGGATGATGATGAAAGAAACGGTCGTGTCAGTATGGCTCAGTTCCTCGGTTTTCTGGGTCTCTTCAATTTCTTCATTTTCCTTCCTCCTGCTCTAATACTCAACTTCACAAAGCGAGAACGCTTTAACACACTAACCTTGAAACAATTTGGTCTAGTTGTTGGCAAAGGTATGATCCCTTGTTTCCGTCATTGTGTCATTTCCGTTGAATCTATGGTCAATCAATCTCAACTATTCATAAACGCGGGATTTGATGGCGCAAGCAGTAAATTAGGATTTGATGTAGAAATGCTTGTGTTTCATCACAATTGTAGGTTTGTTAGATAATGTGCTTAGTGACTATCTGTGGGCAAAGGCAGTCCTACTGACAACAACCACTGTGGCTACAGCTGGGCTAACCATTCAGGTTCCACTGGCAGCCATTGTAGACAGCTTATCAGGGAACAAACCAAGCTTCACCGACTACATTGGTGCTGCAGCTGTTATGGTTGGCTTTGCAGGAATCAATATTCCCTCAGAGATGTTTTGCAGATCCAAAGAGACTGCTATAGAGTTAGAACCTGGGACTTCGTTCACAGATCCTCCTCAGAGCGTGCCAGGTAGTATAAGAGTAGATTCTTCATTGACTGTAGTATAATCCTAATTGTTCACAATTCAAAAGGCACAATTTTCTATAACTTTCTTTCTTTTGTTCTCTTCTCTTTTCCTCTTTTGTGATTAATTTGTAGATTGTCGAACATATTATACGAAATATAGCTGAAGGCAATAGTGTAATGAAATCGTTCAAGATTCTGGACTCAGTTTTCAATACAGTAAAAATAAAGGGTTTCATTTTGCACTAAGCATTTACATTGAGATGTCCATACTTTTGCATGACTCTTTTAGTCGCCATAGCTGCTGCTTCACTTGCTCGTAATGTGCCTTGTGCCATGAGAGCTGCAAATTCAGATGTAATCTCTTCCTGAATCTTGGCCCTAGCATCACCCAACGGGTCCTCCTTCACCTTCTCTTTACTAGCTGATGGTTGAACAACAGGCGGCACTTTCTCAGTTGCAGCTGAGGCTTTTGCTGCCTCAGGCTTAGAGGCTTTCTCAATTTTTGGACCATCATCTTTGCTAAAAGCTCCAAAAGGTTGTGGCTGTGGCCTAAACTGTGGAACTTGAGGAACAGCACCAGCTTTTAGAGTTGTTTCGAGGCCTTGTAACATAGGCACTGCATATGGGGATACGAAATTACATCAGTAATAGAGCAGAGCAAAAGGGGTCCAAGGAGGGTGTCGCAAGTTATCAGAGACTTACTTATAAGACCACCCATGGGGCTGTTTAGAACATCATTGGGAAGCTGAAGAATGTAGTCAGGAATCCCTTTACCAACCAAAAACTGAGCAACCTCGTTGCTGAAGTTGTTGCAATTGTGAGTAAGTAGATTGTAAGATTCAGCGGTGTAACGAGGACTGATTTCTTCCAAATACATCTCGAATACATCTTTAGGAACATGTGATAGACCCAACTCTATCGTTCGAATTGGTGTTCCATATGGAGTTCGTCCAACTGGCAAATGCTGTATTCCTCCTCCAAAAAAGTACTCATTTCCATAGACAACTATTCCTGTATGCCTGAGAAACGGATACACAACTCACATGTTATTTTACTGGTAATAACATCCAGGTATATACGACAAAGCAGAAGATTCTTATCCTAGAAGAATACAAAGCGAAACAATTTAAGAATAAACAGGTTCATCCATATTGCTCAAGGAAAAAACATACTCTGGTTGATATTAAAAGCAGAAGCTTAGACACATTCAACTACTCTATAATTCTTAACGCATACATAGAACCGGTCATGCCAATATCTACATTGGGTTAATCGCAACCATGTTCAACAGTTAAAACAATATCAAACCCTATGAATGTGGCACTACCCAGAACAAAAGTTGAAAACAAATTTGGCCTATAGAAGATAATGCAGCACGTAACAGATCAGATACGAACATGTCCCAGAAATTTTACTCACCATACACCTTCGATAACCTTTCCCAAGAGTGATTGCGAGAGCTGGCGTGCCAAGCCTTGGCTTAGGTCATAGACATTCAACGTTACCTTATGCGCTTCCTGCCATACCACATATTTCACCATTTTCAATCAAACTAACAACGAGGCAATGCAATTTACTACAAACCAGATATGAAAAAAGAGATCGTACCTCAGCCATTTTCGAGTACACAATAAAAGTCCTTGAAACACGTGAACTACCTGAAAAAAAAACAAATCAAAATCAAAATTCTCGCACAACAAGATTTACTATCGAACAGATCTAAGACCTCAGCTACAAGAATGATTCCGAACAAACAATAAGACGTTAAAAAGAGTTTCCCCGAACAAGAATTCGAAAATCATAAAGACCAAATCCAGAATCGATTTCGTACAAAACTAGTATCCGCAAATAGAAAATCCAAATCTAGAAACCACGATCAATTGATAAAATTGATAGCGATAAATGAGGGAGATTGATCACATACGTAAAATCGCCGCCGTACTTTGTATCTCCAGCAAGCTCGGAAAATTGTCGATATGCGCAAATCTGGAAGATTTCTTGGACAGCAATGGTTCATAGAGAGGTTTATAAAGGCACGAGCGATTGGGAAATTCGAAGATTCTTCTACGACGTCGTATAAGCAACTTTGACCCCTATACCGACGACCATCTTTATTCTGTAACGTTCTAGAATGTACCACCCAATAAGAAATTAACACGTTTCTTCTCCATCTCAAACCGTCCCGGTTCAACCGACCAGAATCTTTGAATCAGAATTATAGCTGTTTCTTCGCTTTTTTCCCGCATTTAAATAAAGTCTAGTTGCTTAAGCACAAAGCCAAAAAGTATTCGGTCAAAGTTCATCCTTAATTATAAAAATGAATTATTTCGATTACCTCATAAAAGCTAGAAGGCACCCCAAATGTAGAAAGATAACAGATAGTATAATTCGTATTAATATATATCCAAATGCTGAGTTTCATCCAAATGAAAAGTTTTCACAACATTAAAGTTTTCATAAGAATATATTAAATTTTAACAGAAGCCATTTTCATGTTAATAACCCTAATTACGACAGATTCATGAACTGTAACTCCCAAAATAAATCTAGTACAGACGCACAACAACAAAAAATCGAAAGAGAACCAAAAAAAAGGCAACAAAAGATTAAAAAACGACTAATCTTATGGGACAAAACCATTCTGGTTAGGCAAATAAAAGCCTAGACTTGAGGAAAAGGTCTACAGAAAATAAATGAAGAAAAATTAAAATAGCACTTCTTTTTTCCAAAACAACACATTAAGGCCCAAGGAAGCAGGCCGCCATGATCCTGCTTAAGTAGAAGATTTTTGAGTTCAAGAGTTCTTCAATGGTAACAAAGAGGTGCATCCTGGCATCCAAGGGTTGTCTGAAAATAAAACCGCTTCATAAGATGCATTGAACATGATTGGGTACTCTAAGCATGTATTGGAAGTGTTATGATGGTTTTTTTTCCTTACCATTGTGAGCTATCTTAGTTTTGTTGAACTTGGCGGTGAAGTTGTAGAATCCAATCAACATAACCACTCGAACCGCCCATCTGGTCCTCAATGAGATTTCTGAGGAGAAGGAAGCCTTCTCGGGGTTGTTCTCCTTGTCTCACTAGAAAACACATGGGGTGATATGAAGGATCACTCTCCCTCAGTTTCTTTACCAACCTCATTAGCTTCTTCGACATCCCATTCTCTTGCTCTTGAAAGGTAACCTAAGAGACCCAACACGAAGAAAGATAAGGGATTCATACAGAATATGATGTTTCAAAGACAGAAACAAAATCAAGGAACCAACATCATGAAAAATACTAATGATGCATATACATCATCGAATGTAACGCCTGTTCATATATTCATATGTAAGGATATATGTGGATAAAAATACATACCCTTGAGAGCTCTGCTGCAAAGTCGCCCCCAAGAAGATTTTTAGCAATGTCAGGTGAAAGCATCCGGCCAAACCACAAAACTAATCGAAAACCATCATCATATACGTAAAGGCCTCTAGAATCCAAACTCTCTGCAGCCAGAGGCAATCTCCTTAATACGTCCTTAAAGTCATCGTGGTCTGTTGATGGCTGCAAGCATGTGAATTCACAAATTAATTACAATTTTTCTTGAACATTGATGTTTGATAATGGGACAATGAGATACAAATACACAAACCTTTAAGAGCCATTCGTCAACACGGAATAAATTGGGATATAAAAGCTTCAATAGCTTTTTGACAGGCAGAGCCATCATGGTGAAGCCTGCAGCACAGCGCTCATCAAGAGAAGTATCAGCAGGCCCACCTAGAAGAGGAGTGGACTTAGTAATTGCCAATCCGTACAATGGCAAGAACTTCAGAGACTCTGGGTATATTAATCTGGACCCCAAGCGATGCTGCACCGCGTGAAGATTACGATATTCTTTGAGGGCTTTAACAATCTTTTGCTGTATTGCATTCCGTGCATCATCCAATTTTGCGGACAAAGATTTCTCAATTGCTGCAGAATTTTAAATTTTCATTATTAGTATCAAAAGTAGCATATGAAAAAAAATTGAATGTAGCTTACCTAATCTAGCATATAAAGACACAATGGAACCAGTGTCTGCTTGTCTATACATCTCCCCAAGATCTGTAACCACTGGTGCAACAGATGTGTGTACCCTTATACGTCTCTCTCCGCAAGAGGCAGTATATCTTAGTTCTGTTAAGGATTACTAAAAGCCACATGATGCGTTGTACCAGCTGAAAATTAAACTTCAAACTCAAGTATGTTTAAAAAATCAACTATTCAAGGATACAGCAAAGCCACTTGGAAATATACAGTCTGGGATGTTAGCAATGTCTCCTCAAGAGATAGCTGCATTGCATACGCTTTGTCACAGTCAACAGCAGGAAGAGCAAGCAGGTCAGTAGACCTTAGCATGAAGTTCCCATGGTAGGACGAGAAACGAATTCCTGCATGCAAAAATATATAAGATCACAAGTAGCATACCAATGCATTTAGCAAATATTGACATAGCAGGCAGCAAAAACGAATATACTATCATAAACTATTAAACCTTTTCCACATCTTATTCGCATAACCGCCTCCCACGCAGTTTCCCTTGTAAGGTCTCTAGCCAGCTCGTGTCTTAACTTATCTCCATGAACAGATGATTGGAAACCTGGATAATAGTACACCTGTCCTCCAGTGTATTTTGCCAGAGTCCCTTCAAGAAACAAAGAATTGTAATTACAGGCTCATCTTTTAAAATAACAATATTCATGGGAGTAAATAGCACCACTAACTATCACCCATGACTCCAAACACCTGAAATAAACATCAACTGATAACCTTAACGTTCACATACCTAAGGAGGCAATATCAGTGTACTTATCACTGAATGCATAAACATTAATTCCTATCTGGAACTTGGTACAATCGGCAGCCATTTGCTTGTAGAAGGGATCTTCAGCTACCCTTAATGCATATTCTTTGTCAGTTCCATAGACACGAGGATCATCTCCCCGCAACTTTAACCGCCCAGCACCAAGAGAAGGTAACGAGTTCTGGAAAATTAGCAACTTGCCCCCAAGTTGGTTCTGAAATAGAGAGAGAAACAAAGTCAACAAACTGATCCAAATTTCAGATGAGGATTCAAATACGACACCTAACATCAAATGTATTATATGATACTTATTTTCTATGGCAGGATAGTAACTAACCATAACCATAAATGCCGCTCTGAGAGCTGGGCCAAAAGCCGATTCCACATTGACATTATCTTGAAACATCAAAGGTAGACTGTCCAAAAAGGCTTCCACCACAGTTCTAGATTCAGATAGATTGACAAGGAGATCATCTGGCAATGGGACAAATATATCATCTAGATCCGATACAACCATCATCTGCGGCTGGCTCAAAGATGACTGCATTGCCAAAGTCCACAAATATTAAATGATGGAGGCTAAAGAATTTCAAAACAAAAGTTCCTGTGTGTTCCAAATTCTCTTACCTTCATGTTGTAAAAATGTAACGTGCTGTCATAAGTAATAAATCCAATTTGAGTTCTGGGATAACCAGGCAGGTTATCCAAACAAGACTTAATCGTTTGGGCAACAACCTGCAAAAGGAGCAAAAAGGTGAGTGTAAGATCTATATTTTAGGAAAGCTTCCATCTAAAAGAGAGAGAGCCTCTAAGCTAGACAAAGAAACAAGAACAGTCTAGATGATCCATTAATAGTTTAATACGTAGTATATTCAGATAAAATCACACAAGAATTAGCACTTACTAATTATGGCACAATAATGCCCATATCCAGCAAAAATTACAAAGTGGAATATTCAAATCAATCATGCTTACCTCAAGCATCCCACTTTTAGTAGCTGAAATCGAAACATCAATGAGGAAGAAGTAGATAGGTGGCATCGGAGGCCGGACCATGTATTCAGTTGGAGCAATGATTTCAACACTGCCCTTAGTCAGCTCAGGTCGTTGATCCATATCCATTCTTCGGCCAGTAGCATCCAAATGTGAGAAGTATTCACCAGGTACTGAAAAAGAAATTTAACCCATAACTATGAATAATCATCTTATAAACATATGCCTGAAAGTATTGAAGTTATAGCATCATCGATCAAATGATTTATGGAAGAAGAAATTTTGGAAAAATTACCATCATTAAGCATAGAACATATATTACACCGCCACTTTCTTCCAGAATCTGTGAAAGTCACATAAGGATTCACATAGGTACGGCATCTTCTGCAGCGGATGATGCCGGTTGAGCCAAAATCAATAAGTGGTACCTCCTCCTGAACAGATAAAATGACAATTTGCAAAGAAAGGCAAAGTTATAGGTGGCACTAGAAGAGTCCCAGATAATCAAAACATGAAAGAATCCAGAAGACATTCTTGTTTAACAATAACAGAAACTAACCCCTTCAGGAGTCTCGGCAAGTGGACAAACCACAGCTCCTAGAGGTAAATGCCACCTCGAAGCCAGAGACTGGGAATTTGGTATAGCACTAGTCGTCAGTCGTAGATATCTAGAATGGCAATTCATTGGGTACATTTCAGCAAATGAACTTGGCTCCACATCACCATCCAATGGCCTTGGGAATGATTTATGATCAAGTCCTGGTTCCAGCGATCCAGGAATAGATGAAAGAGATAGCGAGTTAAAATCTTCAGTCAAGCCTTGTACGTTACTGGGAGGAGGTGCATAGCTTGGATGTAGATTCTGCTGTGCTACCATATTTGGGCGCTGAGCAAAACCTCCTGTGTGAGGAGGATATGATGAGACTGGAGGGGGTCCCGGGGGACCTTGAGATGTCTGGAATGGCATCGGAGCCTGCTGCTTGCTGGGATAACCAGGAAAAGATGGCTGTGAACCGCCCACGCCAGGATAAGACGGAGTAACTGGAGGCATCGACTGTTGAAAACCAGGCCTGGCAGGCATATGATAATCTGTAGCAGGGGGAGAAGCATTTGCTCCAGGTAGCCCAGAAGTCATACTTTGTGGAGGAGGTCCCATTGTTACAGGTGCCATTGGTTGCTGTGGGCGAAGAGACGGTGGAGGAGATAAGTGACCTGCAAGAGTTTGAGGTGGTGGTGGACCCTGAGGAGGGTTTTGTGTAGTCGGGAATTGCGGGGATGGATAACGCTGAAAAGAGGCACCACCAGGAGGACCATATGCTGTAGAAGGAAATGAATTCGATGATGGCGGTGGAGGTCTACTCCCTGGAATCTGAGAAACAAAAGGAGAAGGCTGGCCAGGCCTCATCGCACCCACTGGTGGAGCCGGAGGAGGACCAGAAGCTGTGAAAGGTCTTGTAGGTTGGGATGCAGATGGTGTAAAAGGTCTAAAGCCAACCGCATCTGATCCAGTGGGTGGTCCACCGGATTGAGGAGGAATCCCCGGTGGCGGAGCAGATGCGAATGGAGAGGAGGCAGGTCTAGCAGGAAAATTTGGATAGCCCTGATTCTCCGTACCCATTATTGATCACAACTTATCACCTACAACACTTGTCAAAGTTATAGCGAAACAGGAAGCAAAGGGACCAGATCAATACAATCCCAGATTCTCTTCAATGAGTACCTAGAATCAGATTCGTTCAAGGAAGCTTCATATCCTCTGGAAAAAAAACTAGTGTAGTTCTCTTTCACAGTGCCGACCTGGACAGATCCGCCTCTGTAAATCCGTAGCTTTCTCAAGTGATCTAATCAAAATTGGTAACTTCTGAAACACTGTTTCGTCCTTCGGATCAACAACAGATATTTGAGACGATCTTCTACGATGGTTTAGATCTCTTCAAAAACTAAGCCTCTCCGATTCACAGTTTCTTGATTCAATACCTAAGCTTTTCAATTATTTTCGAGTAAGACGATCTTACCAGGTGATAGATAATCCAGTGAGAATCGTCTACGAAAAAGTCCCTCTCCGTAAGTGAATTTCCTTCTGAAAGATCTGGATCAAATCACCATTAAATATCAGCTAAAATTCAACATTAACATCAATCTAACATGGTTAGGGCGCGAAGACTACCTTAAGTGAGAGGAAACTGGAGAAACTGCGCAGCACGAAACTGATTCTACAGCGATCGGCTTCAGATCGTCTGACCTGAAGAAGATTTTCGATACGGAATTGGAGAACCACCAAGTGCAGCGAAAGAGACGATGTGATATATTATGGGCCAGGAAGTGTGGCTATCACTTTTATATCTCTGCAGCCCATTTAACAGTTTCGTCCTATCACTATTTTTTTTTATAAATATCCTATTTTTTTCCTTTTTGATAAGAATAAATATATAAATATCATTTCATCAATATCTTTTCTATAATTTATTATAAGCCAAAAAAAAAGAAATTAATACTAACAGTTAAACAAAACTAATACTAACTCTTTCTGATTATGTTTTTTGGAATTAATTAATAAATTTCTACAAATATATATTATCAATTCTATTATGAAAAAGTTATAGTTGTACTTGTACAATAAAAAAAAAAAAACTTTTTTAAAAATTAATGAGGAATTCATTGATAAACTCTGCCAAAGATTTTATCGATCTATTGTGCATACAGATCATGCTAAAATTATCCGAAAAATCAGTATGAGTATAGTGCATGACTAAAACCAATTCTGCATATATTTGAAGGAATTATGGTAATGCCACTTCCATACAAAAAAATTGATTAAAAACTTCCATAATTGATTTTATGATTTATATGATGTCTTCTTATACAGAACAATAATACAGAGAGAGATAAAAAGCAAATAATATTAACCATAGTCCACAGATATCTTGATTGCCCCCAAACCACAAATCGATTTTCATGGAAATGATGGAGTCTTGATGTAGAATCGAACACCAAGAGCCAAACCTAAGATGAGAAGAGGAACAAGAAACTGAAAGAGCTTAATCAACAACAAATCAAAGCTCCTATTATCTTGATTCTGCTCGGTATGATTCGGGGTAGCAGTAGTAGCAATATCATCACTGGCCTTGGTAGTTGGTAGAGTTTATGTCGCCCACATAAAACTCACTTAACATGGCTTTTGCAGATGAACTGTGACCCACTTCTTCAAACTCATGAGTCGCATCTTTCCCTAAATATAAACAAAACATGTTTCAGCACATAAAGAATCCTCTAGTCGTCTTCATTACCATGATTTCATCAAGAGATCTTTAGCTTTCACTACCTGTAGCAGACAAGAGTACATCATCTCCACCAGGATGGTCGTTCAGGAACTCTGTCACATCATAGACCTGTTTTTCGCAATTAACACAAACTAAAACTCGACTAAATCGAAGTTCCAACAAAACAAAGATACATAACAAAAAGGTAAAGAGAATATTTTGAGGACCTTTCCATCGATTAGGAGCCAACAATCATGCCGTCTACTGTGCTGGGAAAGCTCCGACAAGTTTAAAATTTTTCCATTTCCTGCCATCTCTGATTATAGATTTTTCCAAGGTTGTGGTTTCTAAAATTTCAGGGAAAGAAGAATGCTTTGTTATTTGATTCTCTGATTGTTGAGACTTGAGATTGGCTCTATGCCTCTATCATCAAACGTTCCTATCGTATGAGTTCCAGAATCCACGCTTGTCATGTTGTTGTCAGTTGTCACACAAACTCACGTAAGTGAAGTGTATCATCTTTTCCTTCTTCTTCTTCTTTTCTACTTTCACAATTGACCCCTATAGTTTTTATTATTTACCTGATCAACCCTTTGGCATTTAAAATTTACAAATGAATAGAGAGAAAAGATGGGCCTGTTTATCTTAAACTACATAACCCAAAAGACAATTGTCACGGCCCAATAAAATGATGCAAAAGGACACCCCAAAACCCTAATTCGAAAACGCTACTCACTTTTAATCACCCCGGAGAAGTAAGCTTGCGGCTGATCAGAGCTGAGTGAAAATGGTGTCTGGATCAGGAATTTGCGCGAAGCGCGTGGTGGTTGATGCTCGTCACCATATGCTAGGTCGCTTGGCCTCGATTGTGGCAAAGGAGCTGCTCAATGGCCAGAAGGTTGTGGTTGTCCGGTGCGAGGAGATTTGTCTCTCCGGTGGACTTGTTCGTCAAAAGATGAAGTACATGAGGTTTCTCCGCAAGCGTATGAACACTAAACCTTCTCACGGACCTATTCACTTCCGTGCTCCCTCCAAGATCTTCTGGCGTACCGTTCGCGGGTTCGTTACATCGATCTCTCTCTGTTTTTAAAATTTTTAGCTAGTGATTCGAGCAACGATTTTACTTATTTAGTACTGTGAATAATGTAGCTGATAAAAATATGATTTCATTGAAAATTGCTCTAGGATTGTTGTCAATAGTAGACAATCCACTTTGATGGTTTTGTAGTTTTACAATGTGTTTTTTATTAGAAGTTGGAAATTGAAATGGGTCAAATTCAATGTGGATTTGTTGTTGGAAATATTTTTAGCTAACTTACCAGAGTTTGTATTTGGTGGCAGTATGATTCCACACAAGACTAAGCGTGGAGCTAATGCACTTGCCCGCTTGAAGGTCTTTGAAGGTGTTCCTACTCCATATGACAAGATCAAGAGGATGGTCATTCCTGATGCTCTCAAGTTTGTCCTTTTACTCTTTCATTTTCATTTATTAGGTTTCTTTAATCTCTATTTACATGTAGTTACCATCTCTTAAACGTTGAATCTTCCTCTTTGATCAGGGTCTTGAGGCTGCAGGCTGGCCACAAATACTGTCTGTTGGGTCGCCTTTCTTCTGAAGTCGGGTGGAACCACTACGACACCATCAAGGTATGATTCCTTCACTTTTTATTGATCTGGAGCTTTTTGGGCCTAAGCTGATTTGGATATTGCATAAAAAGCTATTAAGAACACAAGTTCCTGTCCTGTGTCCATACACCACATAAATTTGTTGTTTTAGGATATCATAGATACGCTCATGTTTAAGTTAGAACGAGGGATCATAAGCTAATGAATTTGTGTTTGATAAAAATGAGCAGGAGCTGGAGAACAAGAGAAAGGAAAGAGCTCAAGTTGTTTATGAGAGAAAGAAGCAACTTAACAAACTCAGAGCCAAGGCCGAGAAGGTTGCTGAAGAGAAGCTTGGATCTCAATTGGACGTTCTTGCACCAGTCAAGTACTGAAGTCTATCGGTTTATCGTTTTTGAATGTTTCCTCAAGTTTTGCTCCGACATTATACTATCATATTACGAGGTTCTGTTGTATGCGATTTTGACTTAGTTTTTTTCATAAGTTTCGACTTTAGTTTATTGCTTGAGTTTTTTTCTTTCCATGTTTGAGCGTGTGCAATAACATGTTTGACAATATCCGAGATCAAGATCAGGATAATATGCCCTTCCCAAACGTTTCGTGAGTTTTATTCTGCACATATCACCTCTGAATTGGATCAGTTTCATGCTGGTGTTAGAGAACCTGGAGGGTTTTATTATCGCTAATACTTGGGTTATGTATGCGAAGGCAAGTGTAACGGCAACAATGTGATGGATCTGGTAGTTTGTTTTGTGTGGCCAGGTTGATTAAAAAAAAAAAATAAAAAAAAAAATTCGTCAACAGCAGGGTTCGAACCTGCGCGGGCGAAGCCCAACAGATTTCAAGTCTGTCTCCTTAACCACTCGGACATATTGACTGTTTTGTTAGTACAACAAACATGTTAATACATATATCTCAGAAGAACAAACATGGATTCTAATGAAATGGTCATAGTAAACAGTAAAAACTAAAAACAAGTTTTGTTATGTGTCAAACATGAAGAGGCTATAATAATACAATATTTCACATTAAATAATTAATTGGGAGTGACAAAGTGTTAAATGTTAGTATGATGAGCAGAGGAGCCAAGTAAGGTTTCAAAATCTTGTATTGTGTGATCACCAAGCATCTAATCAAGCGTCCTGTTTCTCACAAATATGCAATCCACGATTGTTCTAATTTCTTGGGTTATATAAGTTCATAACAGTCCTCTATCACTTCTTTACTTTCCTTTGCCAAGTGTGTTGCGTCCATCTCCACAAACCTAATTAAAACCGGTCACTTGTGTTATAAACCTTGAATTACATTTGCATACAAAAAAAAAAACCTTGAATTACATTTTGATCATCAAAAATAAAATATTCAAAAAGAACTTTCTACCTTCCACGAAAAGATTATAGGGTAATCCTTAATTTAGATCATTCTATTTCACCTTAAGACTCGTTCCTCCTTACTCTTTCTTCTCCATTCCAAAACACTTTTACCCACAAGTTTTCTTTCAATTTAAGGAGGTAAACAAAACAAAAAAGCAAAATTTACATGATAAAAAAAGTGAAAACACAATCCCAAATTTTCTACCATTTTTTTTTCTATCCATTTGTAAAATACGCAAATCACATTTTTCTTTTTAAATTTCCAATAAGCAAATGCGATGTTTCCCACTCTCTAAATCGATGCAAGAGGTAACATTTCGATGCATGGAGTTAAATGTCGGCGTTAAAGAGCCGTAGTAACTCGTTAGCCGGACTAAGTCTAGACGCTGTGCTTGGCGGCGAGATCGTTATACAACCGTCATCTCCCCCATCGCCACCACCTTTACCGTCAAAATCTCTTGTACCGCACCGCCCAACAAGCCAAACGCTTTTCGATATCATACGTGAGGAATACGCCAACGAAGGGCACAAAGATCGTACCACGTGGCAGATTTTCCGTGAGAAACTCCGTCTCAAACGAACCGGTTCTGCTTGGACCTCGTCTCTTCATATCCCCGCTTCAGATATCCTTATCCCTAATCCCAAACACCTTGGAACAGCGTTCCGATCACACTCCGCCGGTTTAAATATCCGAGATCTGGTTCACGCTATACCGATGTCAGATCCACCTGGTTCTTCAGGACGCGCTATGTTCACGCGCGGATCTTCAATGCGGGTCGGGTCGAGTAAAAACCCGGACGATTCGCCTGACATCAGCGTTCTTGGAGATGGACCACCGTCGAGGAGTTTTAAGCCGCAGTTATCACGGCACGATTCCGTTAGAGATCACAGTGACGGCGAAGAAGATAACAGACGACGTCACCCGATCGTCACGTTCGTGGAAGAGAGGCAAATGTCGGCGAGAGAAGCGGTTGCTGCTCAAGAAGCGGCTGAAGCTGAAGCGGCGGCGGCTGGAGGAAGCGAAGACGAAGACGACGATGACGAAGAGGATGATTCAGGAGAAACAGAGGAGAGGAAATCATCTTCAGCTTCTGAGCCGAAACAGACGATGTCTCTGATGGATCTGTTGGAAGAAACAGATAGACAAATGGGATTAACAGGATCGAGATACGCCATGGATGAAGATGAAGAGTACGAAGAAGAGGAAGAAGATGAGAATTACGAGGAAGAAGGAGATGGTCAAGGAGGAGGAGAAGGTGAGCTTAGTTGCTGCGTTTGCATGGTGAAAATCAAAGGCGCTTCTTTTACACCTTGTGGTCACACGTTTTGTAAGCTCTGTTCTAAAGAGCTTATGGCTCAAAAAGGTCACTGTCCTGTTTGCAGCAGCTTCGTCCTCGAGTTCCTTGAGATCTTTTAGAAACTAATTTTGAAACTTTTTTGTTCATTTTTGGAGAAATTTTGAAACTTATATTTTATTGGGAAAAGACTGTTACATGATCAAAGTCCTAAATCTTATATTAGACCATCTCTGTTTTAAACTTTGAGCTTAGCAATGGTTAACAAGGCGGTGGTGAAGCGGACATCGATCAGGTTGTCTGACAATGTAAATCTGATCTCCCACTTGACTGCTCGAGTCTTGATTCCTATACCATGTCCATAGTGCCCATGTCTCGTTCTTCATCTACATAGTCATTAATCTTTTTTAATCAGACTTATAAGCCTAAACTCTGTTTTGATACGTTTATGAGTTAAATAAAACAGTACCTCTAGGATTCCATGGCCAAAGCTGCTTTCTCTCATGGCACTATAATCAGGTTGCCGATCCCAACAGAATTTACCAGACGGGGTGAAGTTCCACGCGCAAAACCCACCCATGACTGGATCCGGCGTGGTTAACGGCTCAGGACATTTACCGGGTTCATCTGCGTGCTCAATCGCCATCTTTTCACGGTTACCTCCATCACCAACCACAATGTAAACCGGACCACATGGGTCCAGTTCATAGTTGTAAACTCTGTTCGAACGTTCATAAGCATGAACCTGGAGAAAAGTTTTCACAAGAAAGCAAAAACGGTCAATCATTGTAAAAAGGCCAAGGTAAGAGACAGCTTTTTTGGGTCGGGTCTTACATGTCCGTTAAAGACAATGTCGGTACCATAAGAGTAAAGTAATTCCTCCATAGCTTCTTTCATACATTCTGCTTCTCTGTAATGCGCTGTATAAGAACTATACCAAGGTGGATGCCAAGAAGCTACTAACCATGGAGTTACCGATCTATCGACTTTAGCCAAATCTTTCTTTAACCACTCATATTGTTCCGCTGCAAAACACAAGACAAAATATTGTTAAAAGAGAGTGCAAACAGTAAATTTTGAGGACAGAGTTTGAGGATATATTAAACCTGATTTGTCATAAGCAATGTAGGCACCGAGCATGACAAAGTGAATCCCGCCAGCGTTAAAAGAATAATAGAGCGTAGAAGACGAGCCGCTTTCTTTAAAAGGGAAAGCGAATCTTGAACTATAAGCTTCAAAGGTCTTGTTCTCGGCTTGTAATTCGATCTCATGGTTCCCTTCGATCACCATCAAAGGAACTTTAGAAGTCAGATTCTCCATAAACCTACCCCAGTAGTCCCAACGTGGCTGATACGTCTCATGTATAGGTGTCTCAGGGAAAGAGCAAGAATAACAATCGGAGCTAGTCCCGTTTGTTAGATACAAGTTTGCATAACTCACATCGCCGATCAATAAAACGAGATCTGGAGAATTATGAATCAAGTGACTAATTGTATCAGTTGTGTTATAAGTGAGACCAAGATCACCAACAACCGCTATTCGACCAGGATAACTCGAGGGACTAGAAACAGGCATTGTCCTGAAATGGTGTATTTTACTCATAGCCCGTCTTGAAGGATCTCCACATCGATAGTAATATATAGTACTTGGTTTCAGCCCTACGTTTCAGAAACCAGTCCATAATCAAGAATCGAGGCATATATATATATAGCTAAAATGAAAAAAAAAAAAGAAAGAAAAAAAGATGAACCTGTAATGCGAACATGGTGTATGATTCCAGAAGTGTAATTAAGGAGACCGTCGAAAGGGTAAAGTTGACTATAAACAAGTGAATGTCCTTTAGCTTCATGACTCAGTGAGTGCCTCAAGGTCCCGAATTGGACAATACTCTTGATACTTGTCGGATCTAATGGATTCACCTTCTTTCCGATTTGGAACTCACCTTTCAAATTCAAACAACATTTTCTTAAGAAAACAAACCAAATTATCTTATAAGTATTTATTATTACAAGCTTTCATCAAGTCACAAGATCCTAACTTTTGGTTGAAGTAACTAAAAAAGAGTTGAGGATAAGATTCTTCCTCTTATGTCAGAGTTAGCATTTATTACATGATATAATACAGTTCTTTAAAAGGAAGAAGTTAAAAAAAAAATATATAGAATTAAATTGAAGAGGATTATAAATTACGTCATTAGCCAAGAATCACGTAATTTTTCAGTAAAATGAAAAAGTGGATCAAAGGAAGGTAGTAAAATGAACCTGTGATCCAAGAGACCCAGATGGAACCATGATCGGAGGAGAGTGAGAGAGAAATTTGCTCCGGCTCGAAACCGGTGACCCGGCGGCGGACGCGGGGATCGGTGTCGGGCAAATCGATGGCTTTTCCTCGGAGAGAGGTGTCTAACGGCACCGTCACCGGAACGAACGGTCCGTCCAACGTTGAAGGGATAGAAACGGCGGAGAAGATTGCCGGGGAGAGAAAGCAGAAGAGCAGAAGTAGTAAAAACGTCATCGTTTGCACAGGGTGGTGGTGGCGGAGCTTTTCATTGTGGTGGGCGGGTTTCGGCTTTTTGTATTTTTTTAGTGTTGTCGTAGGGGTATTTTTGGAATCTTGTGCCCGATTAAATAGTCATTATCGTTAAACTAATCATGACTCTCTCTACTGATTTTATGTTTTTAACTCGCAACTACCATAGTCTTAAGATCAATAATTACTTAGGGATTTAATGATAATATAGTTTTCTTTGTATGTAGTATATATTACTATTCCAATCTTCGATAAATTACGTGCGGCCGAGGATACCGTGACGTTTTTGGGTTTATAAATTAGTATTCCTATCTTGGATAGTGGAGAAATCTAACCATAATGTTTTGTGCATTTCTGCTTTGTAATTTTCTAGATAGTGGATACTTCAACTGGTCCTAGTCTCCCTTCCCAATACGATTTTATTTTTTATTGGAGTAGCATGCAGGAGTTTATTGTATAGTTAAGTAAGCTTAGTGTTGTTACTCGATCATTAATTTTTATTACGTTCTCACAACATGGTGGTATTCGTAATTCCTTTATGATATGTAAATCTCAATTTAAATTTCATTGTATAGGTCCAAAATCAAAGTATACTATATATACAACATAAATTTCTATATAGAAATTTGAATTCTTTCATATCCAGGTAAATTCTTGTGACTGATTAGTGATTACGAAGAGTCAAAGATTTTGTTTGGCAAACTCGACGAAGCCCAAACCTTTCGAAGCCCACTCGCATACAATCCCCTTAAAATATCAAACCAAGAGTAAACCAGACCAAACCAAAAATCACAAACACACAGATCCCAAACCGAGAGTAAACCAGACTCCGATTTTGGTCATCACTTGATTCGTTATCGTTCTTCGCCGGAGCTCAGCGTTAATACTCTGTAATGCCCGATCCGCGGTAACACAAGTCAGTGACCTACTCCGGCGTTTATCACTGAATCCGATTATGGCTAGCCTTCTTCGATCCTTATTCCTTTTGTTAATTGTTCAATCGTTTTTGGTTGCGATCGCTTTTGGGTCGAACGAAGTTGAAGAATTCAGCGAGGCATTGCTCTTGAAGCCTTTGCCTGATCGAAAAGTTTTAGCTCACTTCCATTTCGAGAACCGAGCTCCTCCGTCAAACTCCCATGGCCGCCATCACCATCTCTTCCCGAAAGCTATTTCTCAGTTGGTAAATAACCTCTTTGTTTTTCCCATAATATGAACTGAGATTAGCAATTAGGGAGACACTTTTTCTTATTTTAGCTAGGATGCAATTAGGTCGTCTCAAATTAGCTCTCTCCTTAGCTTTGATCTTTTGCAATTTGAAAAACGGAGGTTTAAGATCTTAGGTGAAGATTCTAATTGAATGTACAAAGTGGTCCAAATTATCTTGTTTAGTGACTTGTTTACCTGTTTAAGTCTAAGTGTTTTGTTTATATGTAATCTCTGAAACAGGTTCAGAAATTCCGGGTCAAGGAGATGGAGTTATCTTTTACTCAGGGTCGTTGGAATCATGAACATTGGGGAGGATTTGACCCTCTATCAAGTATGAACGCAAAGCCTGTTGGGGTGGAGCTGTGGGCTGTGTTTGATGTTCCTCTGTCTCAGGTTGATACTTCTTGGAAGAACTTAACTCACGCACTGTCAGGGCTTTTCTGTGCTTCCATCAACTTTCTTGAATCTTCCACTTCATATGCTGCTCCTACATGGGGATTTGGGCCAAATTCGGACAAGCTGAGATATGGTTCACTGCCACGGGAAGCTGTTTGTACTGAGAACTTGACCCCATGGCTGAAGTTGCTTCCGTGTAGAGACAAGGATGGAATTTCTGCGTTAATGAATAGGCCATCTGTTTACAGAGGGTTTTATCATTCTCAGAGATTGCATTTATCCACGGTTGAATCTGGTCAAGAGGGATTGGGTTCTGGCATAGTGCTGGAGCAGACTCTTACTGTTGTTCTTCAGCCTGAGACTACTTCTGTTGAATCAAATATGCAGCCAAGTTGGTCCCTCAACTCCCTCTTTGGGCGAAAAGTAGTTGGGAGATGTGTTCTTGCAAAGTCAAGTAATGTGTATCTTCAATTGGAGGGTCTTCTTGGTCACGAATTAAAGAACATGGATACGAAAATAGAAGCACACAACCTCTGGAAGAACGCAGACTTTGAATTGTCCCTTAAGCCAGACAGGGTTCTTCGAGAAAGCAGCAGCTTTCTTTTTGTCTTTGATATTGACAAATCAAGTGACAGCGAGCCATTTGATCTTGGCCTTACTTGGAAGCTTCCCTCAAAGTGGTCATGTCAACAAGCTCCACTACACGCAAGTCGATTTTTAATGGGAAGCGGGAATGAAAGGGGTGCAATAGCCATCTTGTTAAAAGCGACAGAGTCTCAGGAGAAGTTATCGGGCAGAGATCTCACTAATGGCCAGTGTACAATAAAAGCAAACATTTTCCAGATTTTCCCATGGTATATTAAGGTTTATTATCATACTCTACAAATATTTGTGGACCAACAACAGAAGACAGACAGTGAGGTCTTAAAGAAGATCAATGTCTCACCATCTACGGATAAGGTGTCATCTGGTATGATGGAGATGATGCTGGAACTACCATGTGAAGTGAAATCTG